CAAAATTGAAAATGTATTTCCTTCTTGGTTTTTTGCTCAAAAAAATTTTATGATGTTTAATTTGTATTTGTTTTAAGCACTAGAATATTTATGTCAAAGTTTCAATCCATTTGGATAAACCCTCGAAGAAAAAAGTGACAAAATTGATTTTGACTAGGGTCGCCCCTAGTCCAAAATTGAAAATGTATTTCCTTCTTGGTTCTTTGCTCAAAAAATTTTAAGATGTTTTATTTGTATTTGTTTTAAGCATTATATTTATGCAAAGTTTCAATCCATTTGGATAAACCCTCGAAGAAAAAAGTGACAAAATTGATTTTGACTAGGGTCGCCCCTAGTCCAAAATTGAAAATTGATTTTATGTGGTGTACTTTTGTCAAAAAAATTTTTTGGATGTTTTATTTGAATTGACATAATTCTGACATAAATCAGGTACCAATATTACTTTTTGTAATGCATAGCTTAAAAAACCGAAATCTAAAATTTCGACTACCCCATCTGAATTTTGTTCATACTCTTTACTGTGGAAACCAAAAAACAAATTCTTTATCTTAAAACACTTGACGATGCTGGGTTATAAGTCCAGAAACTATAAGTCCAGAGATTATAAGTCCAGAAAATCAAAGTGACTAAAGGTTTATAAGTCCAGATACAAATTGCACTTGGACTTAAAAACCTCACGCGCAATTTATAAGTCCAGGTCCAAATACAGCTGGAATTGTAAACTGCACGAGAGGTTTTTAAGTCCAGGTACATTTTATATCTGGACTTATAAACCTTACGTGTGGTTTATAATTCCAGAAAATTTATAAATTTTACTTATAATCTCACAGTGCGATTATAAGTCCAGATACATTTTTCTGGACTTATAATCTTTGAAAATTATTTGAAACTTATTCACTTCAATGTATATGATTTATTTATTTATAGAAGCCATTAATCATTTTAAGGATTTTCCAGTCTAAATTTATAACTTTTGAAACAAATATAGTCATAAAAATTAGTGATTGTTGTTGATCCATGTCAAGAAGCTTGTGACACGAGCAAATCCATTGGGGAATGTTCCAACACATCCAGCAGCAGCACCGAATGAAACAACTCCAATTTGGATTGGACTTCCACCAGCACGTGGAACGGTGAGTGGACCGCCTGAATCTCCATTGCATGATCCTTGTCCGTGGGTTGTGCTGATACAGATGACTGAGGCAACAATGACTGATGATCCGAAGACTGATGAACAGGCAGCGTTGGTGATGACTGGAGCTGTTGCAACACGGAGAACAGCTGATGTAGCTCCGGTATTTGTGACACGTCCCCATCCAGAGACTGTGGCGGTTTCACCGACGAACAATTCACTTGCGAATGCAGTTGGGAGACGTGTTGGTTGGACAGCTGTGTTGTGTGTCCATGCTGTTGGAACGAGCAAGATTGCGATATCATTGTTCAAGTTGCTTGGGTTGTAGTTGGCATGGATTCTGTAGTTGGCTGATGTGACTGTACGGCGTTGTTGTGTAGCTTCAACAATATTTCTGTTGTGGGCTCCAGCAATGACCAATGTGCTTGCACTATTGATTGGACAATGAGCAGCTGTAAGGGCAGCATTTGTGCTCAAGACTGTACCACCGCAAAGTGCAGTACCTGCACCGACTGAGATGTGAAGTGCGACTTGCCATGGAATACTGTTTGGAACTGCTTCAACTCCACCAACGATTCTGCGATCACGAACATTTGGTGATGTATATGTCTTTGGGAAATCACGGCCTTCCCAGAATCCAGGGAATTCCTCAATTGGGAGGATTGTTGATGCATCAAATGGTGCATATTCTGGACCTTCGTAGTTTTCTGCGGCAAATGCGCCAACAGCGAGGAGAGCGAGAATTAAGAATTTCATCCTTTAAAGTAGTTGATATAGTTCCAAGAATCACAAAACACTGTTAAAGTGAGTTGCAAACTCTCACCTTTTATACTCTTTCACCTCATTTTTTATCATTAGTATTTTGTATGTGTGGATTATGTATTTAATATATAGCGAATTCTTATTTTGATATCTTAAATTGTGATCGCTTTGATAATAAGTTGGGTTTTCCATAACTGTTTATTTAATACTTCTTAAGTAAATAGTATTTGGGTCATACTTCTTTAATAATGTCGTAGTCAAAAATTGAACTTTTAGTTTAAATTTGTCATCGACTCAAGACAGACATGGCTAGAGATTTTATTGTAATTTTTAAGGTAAGAAGTTATATCGATTCATAGAATTTTCTCGCTAAAATTAAATCAACCAGATTTTAGCAAAATTTTAGAGTTATTTCATAAAAGGTTTGGTAGTTTTTTGGTCAAGAAAAATATAAAAAATAGAAATGTTTAGAATTTTGGAATTAAAATCAAAAAAATCTAAGGTAAGGATTAAAAAAAAAGAATATTACTGTCTTTAATCCTGCTGATAGGTCAATTTGACAGATACATCTTTAAAGAAATTTCAATATTAGCTTAATGAGATTAAAATAATTTTCCACAGGTTTATATTTATTCAGATTAGTTTAAAAAGGATTCAGTAGGAAATATAATATTATATCAAAGTCAGTTGTAATTATTTAAAATTAAAGAAAAACTATGTTGTGCATACTATGTTTTTGGTTTTACAAGGGGGGGGGGGGGGGCAGAGCAAAAATTGCTATTGAAATAAACCCAAAAATGTTTACTCTGATGAAAGATGTTTACTCTGCAGTTTAGGACCAAAATTTTGATTGGAACTGATGAGAATCATGATTTAAGACCTTTTGACATCCAAAAATTTTTACTTTGACTGAAGTATCAAAATTTTTAAATTTTACTTTTTCAATTTCGTTTGTGGAGTACTTGGAAATTTCATCAGAGGAAACATTTTTGGGTTTTTTTCATAGCAATTTTTGCTCTGTCCCCCCCCCCCCCCCCTGGGTTTTATTAAGATTTTTTGTGATTAATTACGAATGGTAAAGATTTGGTTATTAGTTTATTAAACTTAAAAAATAATTTTTTATGCTAGTCTCTTTGAAAACCCTTGTCAGAAGTGTAGTAAAGCAGTGGTCACTCCTGACCAACTAAAGTGCTTTCCTGGTAGGAAAATGCAATACAAAGTTTAAAAAAGTAATTTGCTCAATAGTTCGTCCGAGGTAAAAAAATCAAGAGAATCCATAATTTTTATTATTATACGCATTTTTTTCATGTCAATTAAGTAGAACGGTGTTCTAACGAATTGAGTGATGTACGATGTATAAGTTCTTTGTGCTATTTCGTGAAAGCAGAAAAACAAATTTTTTAATTTTGTGAAATTGCCAGTTCCAAGATATGAGCACTTCTAACACTTTCGATTGTAAATTTGACAAGGCTTGACGAAAATTGTTCAAACTTGGTCAGTGATTTGTGCAAATATTCCCTAATGGAATAAAATAAACATTTTTTTCTGTTTCGTTGCTGAACTTAGATACATTCTGCGCGTAAGAAACAAAAAGAAAAATTACTTTGCTTTTTTCTCTATTTTCATGTTTTTGAATGAAAAATTGTTTTAAAAAATACCAAAAATATGTTTTCTCTTTTTTCGTTTCCATTGAGTTGCTTTTAGTTTTGCTAGTTAAATTTTGTAGCAATAACAGAATTAAGTAGCTTAAGTTTTTAGAAGACTGTCATTTTTTAACTTTGTTCTCTATATTAATCAAAGTTTTGAATTTTAAACTAAGTTTTAATCCCAGGTCATATTAGATTACAGTGTTATTGTATATTTTACCGATACAGTTATGAGAATAGGCTTATTTATTGGATGGGCTCGGAACTATCATCAAAAATCCCTGACATGGAATTAAATTCGAATCCTTTAACAATTCTCTGTAACATTTTTTCAGATTAAACTTGATTTAATGCGGCTTAAGTAAATATTAAACTATATAAGTTCAGGCTATGCAGTGCATAGTATTCGTCAAAGCTCGAAGTTGACTCCACCATACAAAATCGATAAAAAATCTCAAGTCGACTTCGAGCTCTGGTATTCGTTAAACACCAATGTTTTCAGTTGCGAATTATAATTGATTCTGTTCTTGCAATCGATGTATGTGTCTGTCCTTGTTTTAAGTATTTCGTTGGAACAATATCTCTAGATTGATTATGGTAAAAACCCAGTGTAACAAATCTTGTGTTCTTTAAACCTAATTGTAATAGCTTAATTGCTTGCTTAATTTCTTTATTTTATGTCATATTTGAGCATGCTTACAACAAGCATTAGTTTGTAAGTTTAAAGTTTAACGGATAGGCTGAACTGTTCTCAGCATATATTTGAACGTTTTAAGATAGACGGGCACAAACTATTTTTTTGTGGACATGTTAATATATGTGCTCCATTTCTTCATAAAACGCGAAAAACTCATTTTTCAATCTTAGCAAAAAAAAAACAAACATTCTCACAAGAATACGGCGTGAATACAAAAAAAATTACAGAAGTCCTCGTGACATTGATCGAGGGACTTGAGCGCATTTTTGTGTAAGCGATCAGTATTTGATTATCTATATAATTTGCATTTACAGATCATTAAAAGATTAGAAGATTATTAATTTTCAAAAAATTACAATAAATTTTCATATAGAAAGGCTTTATTATTTAACAGTTTTTTGGAATTCAAAATTTCTAACGGTCAGTAAATATTTGATATTATAGAGGTAATGTTGAAATTATAGAGGGAAAAAATTTGAGCAGGTTACACAGTCCTGAAATAAAAAAAATCATTAATTTTAGCATAAAGCCATTGTTTTGTGCTTTAAAAATATTCGATCGGCCAATAACTCGATAAAACTGAGCTAAAAAAACAAATCCGAGCTCTCTACGATGTCTGGTTGCAAAGTTTTTAACGTGCCCCAAACAGCCGAACAAAGCGTATTATTAAGCTCCCTTTTCGAAACAAGTTTCAAAAATGCGCTAAAAAGTTGAGTCTGTATATAATCAACGTGACTAATGACGGACAGGTTCATAAAAAAAGAACGATTTAATTCTTGAAAAATTATTAATTTATTTGTGGAAGCCATTTATCAATTTTTCCCTAAACTTCAAAAATCTGAAACGTCGCTTATTAATTAAGAAAATCAATAAGCTCAGTTCAAGACCTCTGAAGATCGGAGGATTATACGGTCTTAATACAGCTTTTAACAAATTGCCAATTAAATAAAAGAAATTTAATGGTTGTTGTTGATCCATGTCAAGAAGCTTGTGACACGAGCAAATCCATTGGGGAATGTTCCAACACATCCAGCAGCAGCACCGAATGAAACAACTCCGATTTGGATTGGACGAGTGTCTCCGGCACGTGGAACGGTGAGTGGACCGCCTGAATCTCCATTGCATGATCCTTGTCCGTGGGTTGTGCTGATACAGATGACTGAGGCAACAATGACTGATGATCCGAAGACTGATGAACAGGCAGCGTTGGTGATGACTGGAGCTGTTGCAACACGGAGAACGGCTGATGTAGCTCCGGTATTTGTGACACGTCCCCATCCAGAGACTGTGGCGGTTTCACCGACGAACAATTCACTTGCGAATGCAGTTGGGAGACGTGTTGGTTGAACATTTGCGTTGTGTGTCCATGCTGTTGGAACGAGCAAGATTGCGATATCATTGTTCAAGTTGCTTGGGTTGTAGTTGGCATGGATTCTGTAGTTGGCTGATGTGACTGTACGACGTTGTTGTGTAGCTTCAACAATATTTCTGTTGTGGGCACCAGCAATGACCAATGTGCTTGCACTATTGATTGGACAATGAGCAGCTGTAAGAGCAGCGTTTGTGCTCAAGACTGTACCACCGCAAAGTGCAGTACCTGCACCGACTGAGATGTGAAGTGCGACTTGCCATGGAATACTGTTTGGAACTGCTGTAACTCCTCCAACGATTCTGCGATCACGAACATTTGGTGATGTATATGTCTTTGGGAAATCACGGCCTTCCCAGAATCCAGGGAATTCCTCAATTGGGAGGATTGTTGATGCATCAAATGGTGCATATTCTGGACCTTCGTAGTTTTCTGCGGCAAATGCGCCAACAGCGAGGAGAGCGAGAATTAAGAATTTCATCTTTTACGGCAGCTGATTGTGGTTCCAAGTATCACAAGTTACTGTTGAACTGAACAGTGAATTCTCACCTTTTATACTCTCATTTCTTATCAAGAAAGTGTTTTGTGTTGGTGGATTTTGGTTACTTTAATACAATTTTTGCAATCATTATAAAGTTTTAGCGATAGAAAGTTTGATTCTTTTTTCATTTTCAATATTTATCTTTAAATGTAGTCTTTACTGCATAGTCCTGCGATGCTGATCGTCTTATTGAAATTTGTATCGACTATTGAATAAGTTTTAAGTTTGTTGAAGTTTTAGGCAAGTTTTAGGTAAGAATTCGTGGTTTTATTTATGAAATTTTAATTGTTATGTCCTGTGTCGTAAAATTTACCTTAAACATGCAAGTTACCCAAAATTCTAGTGGTTATGCTAGAATAATTTAAAAAAGAGTTTTTTAAAAATATGTATGGTTTCATAGCTAAAGACCATTTCTTCTTTGTAGATATGACTAAAGTTAAATGTAATAATATAACACTATTAGAAGGCTTAGTTTAAAAAATGAGTTTATAAAAAAAAATAATAAAAAAAATCCAATTAAATCAAGACTAATTTTATTTTATTTAACAAGATTCAGCAAAGATCCAGGTTCATTATCTGATATATTCATATTCTTATCTGAAATTAGGTAGGAGTATAAAAGTTGAAAATTAACTGTTCAGTTCAACAGAAATTTGTGAAACCTAGTAATGTAAAATAGAATAAATTAAACCAGGCGAGTAGCCTTGGAGGGGACAGGTAGGGATTTAAAGACAAATCCCAACGCGTCATCAGAAATTTCTTTATTTATCTATAAATTTTATGAAAAATTCGCGAAAAAATCCCCCCCCCCCTAAATTTTTTCCTCCCCTCTTCAAATCCCGTGCTATGCCCCTGCAGTGCTTATCAATAAATCATTTTCATCCAAATTTTATTCAAGTTTTCTGCAAATTTCCGATCTTGTTCAAATTTTTAATGACGAGAAAAATCAAGATAACATTGCGAATCTCTTTGAGCTTTGTGGGAGCTATGTTTTCAATAAATTTTAAACTTTGTATCATAAAGCATGTTTATACTCTTAGGTTGCTTAAAAGAGTTCTCCTTTATAATGACTAACGCAAATTGCACCAGAATACGAATAAACTGTTTATATTTTAGTCAGTTGTCTTATTCTCTTTTTTTGACATCAACGTTAAAACTCCAAACAAAAACATTGATTTGAACTATTTACAAACATTGTCACCGACAAAACAAAATCAGCTCAAATAAACGAACTTCACAACATTTTCTATACTTTAATTATTATTTTTTTATGTGCAGAAAAAAAGCCAATCCAGTATCAAATAAGGAAACCGTAATCTTCGATAACGTCCAAAAATATAGTTACTGATACATAAAATACTATGATTACGCACGAACTAAAACGAACAGATTTAAGTTGTCCTATAAATAGGGAGACATTTACTTTGGATAGTTAACAGTAACTTGTGACATATAATAACTCACAACCAGCTGCCGTAAAAGATGAAATTCTTAATTCTCGCTCTCCTCGCTGTTGGCGCATTTGCCGCAGAAAACTACGAAGGTCCAGAATATGCACCATTTGATGCATCAACAATCCTCCCAATTGAGGAATTCCCTGGATTCTGGGAAGGCCGTGATTTTCCAATCGCATACACAACAAAAAATGTTCGTGATCGCAGAATCGTTGGAGGAGTTACAGCAGTTCCAAACAGTATTCCATGGCAAGTCGCACTTCACATCTCAGTCGGTGCAGGTACTGCACTTTGCGGTGGTTCAATCTTGAGCACAAACGCTGCCCTTACAGCTGCTCATTGTCCAATTAATACTGCAAGCACATTGGTCATTGCTGGAGCCCACAACAGAAATATTGTTGAAGCTACACAACAACGCCGTACAGTCACATCAGCCAACTACAGAATCCATGCCAACTACAACCCAAGCAACTTGAACAACGATATTGCAATTTTGCTCGTTCCAACAGCATGGACACATAACACAGCTGTCCAACCAACACGTCTCCCAACTGCATTCGCAAGTGAATTGTTCGTCGGTGAAACCGCCACAGTCTCTGGATGGGGACGTGTCACAAATACCGGAGCTACATCAGCCGTTCTTCGTGTTGCAACAGCTCCAGTCATCACCAACGCTGCCTGTTCATCAGTCTTTGGATCATCAGTCATTGTTGCCTCAGTCATCTGTATCAGCACAACCCATGGACAAGGATCATGCAATGGAGATTCAGGCGGTCCACTCACCGTTCCACGTGCTGGAGACACTCGTCCAATCCAAATCGGAGTTGTTTCATTCGGTGCCTCTGCTGGATGTGCTGGAACATTCCCCAATGGATTTGCTCGTGTCACAAGCTTCTTGACATGGATCAACAACAATCACTAAATTTGATGACAAGTTTTTTTTTGGAAAGCTAATTAAGTTTTTAAATGCTTTTTTATTTTTCCATGTTTTTATTTTGTTAAATAAATTAAAGTTCTTTTAAAATCAACGTAATTTAAAATGTTTTCTGATTTTTGTGATTTGATATTTTCAGTTGACAGGATTGAAATTTATAATTTCGCATTTTAAAAAAGTTCATTTTATTGATTTTTTTGTTTATGATTTCGTAATATTTTTAATTGAATTTTCGAGAATTGGTCTCAAAAAACTTAAGAAGATGCGTAGTCTACAAACAAGTCCTTATCATTACAACCATTCATAATCAACAATCATCTTATTCAGCACCAGATTGAAATCTTGGTTTTTCCAACCCGTCACATTCGGCCACTTATGAAACCCATAAAAATAGACGATAATAAATCAATGAGCCTGTGATAAGTTCCACTTGAAATTAAAGCTGTCAAAATATTTTATCTCGGATTTTTTTTCGCTTCTTACTGTAATTAAATCACTTTCAGATAACGCATTTATTATATGATAGCTTAAGGTGTTACAGCTACCTATACTTAAAATAGAATTCAATTAAGGTGTTTTAATTTCAATGACACAGTGAATTTTTTAATACCTAGAATTATGATTGTTTAGAATAGAATAAGTACTAATGTCCTGAAAATTTTTAATTGCGGCATTAATTTCCTTGGACATGGAAGTGATTGGGATGCTTGGATCCTTTTTTGGAAGAAAAAAGAATCAAAGCTGACTATTTCGGCTTAAATCAATTTTTGAGGCAGAATTTATTCAACACCCATTTCATGTGTCAGAACTGAACTTTTCATGCTTCACTATGATTTTGGGTAATATTTTGTCAGTATTTGTATATAGGAAGCTCAGAATCGCATGCTTGCCGATGCTAACATATCATTATATACCAATTTCGAAGCGTTTGATTAATGCCGTATATATGCTTAGTTTCTTAGCGGTGAAATGGGATAAGTGGCTTAAGTGGTAGAGCTTTGGCCTTACGTGCCTAAGGTTCAGGGTTCAATACCAGCCCAAGTCATGTTTTAGAAGCTCAATTTCCATTTCACCGATCAAGTTACGAAGCTCGGTTCGTGTGTTGGGTGGATGCTGGGTTATAAGTCCGGAAACTATAAGTCCAGAGATTATAAGTCCAAAAAATCAAAGTCAGTAAAGGTTTATAACTTATACTACCGCTAAAAGTTGCACTACGAAAACATTAGTTATAGTATAATTACATAATTTGTTCCAATGAATTTCCATATAGAAAAAGTTTTTCATTTAACGGTCTTTTGAGATTCAAATTTTCTAACAGTCAGTAAGTTTTTGAAAGCTTTTCGCCAAAGGATACACAAAAAATCATTAATTATAGCATATTTAACAATTTAATATCTTTAATTCTCATATATGAATTGTTTATCATTTACAAATTACAGGCAAGTTGAAAAATGCTAATCAACAAATAACGTATTTTTTCATTTTTGAATTTCTAATATTCGAATATTTTTTTGTTCATATTCGAATATATTCGAATATTTGCCCAACCCTATTTATAAGTCTAGATACAAATTGCACCTGGACTTAAAAACCTCACGTGCAGTTCACAAGTCCAGGTACAAATACAGCAGGAATTATAAACTGCACAAGAGGTATTTAAGTCCAGGTACATTTTATATCTGGACTTATAAACCTTACGTGTGGTTTATAATTCCAGAAAATTTATAAATTTTACTTATAAACTCCTAGTGCGATTATAAGTCCAGATATATTTTTCTTTATTATCGTTTTGTGATTTATCGTTAACAAATTTTTAATATTGGGCATTAATAAACAAGGATTTCAAATTTTTTTTGAGTATCTGTTGTTGAACTTTTTTGCCTTAAAATTTAACATCATTAAAATCTTCATCACTAATATTTACTGAATCCTAAATGGGTGATTCTCTAGAGAATAAATTGCAAAAATTTTGACTTCAAATGTCAAATGTCGTAATTTTTTATTTCCTATCTAAATTATTTGTCTAAGCATGAATTGTCCTAATTATAAAGATATTTCAATTCTTCGGCCTGTTGCTTTGTGACCAAAACTAGAATTTTGTAAAAGTTTCAACAGGGTTTTTAAAAATTTTGTATCAAATACTCAACTTTGCAGCATTAAATGTACACTTAATGATAGATTGAGATCTGTTTAGAAATATTTATGCTTCAAACTCCAGTAAAATAGCTTAATCATCGAGATAAATTGATTCTTCGAACGCCAATTTTATGTCACAAAGCAACGAAAGAGCTTAAATGTTCCTAATCCGTTAAAAAATTACAAAATTTTTTGATCAAAAATACTGTAATTCTGAAATTTCAAGCTACACTTTTGACAAATTTTTATCATTTATAATAAAAGTTAATTATTATTGATGAAAAATTTTAAATTTCAAATCATTCTACATTGAAAGAAATTGCAGAATATATATTTATGATGTAAGCATAATTGACAACGGATTATAAAAGTTCATTTTGAAAAATTCCACCGTTCTGGAGAATCGCCCAAATGTAGCAGCTCATACTTGAAATAAGTCAATCAGAAAATCCAAGATGGATGACATTTTTTGACTTCATGGCAAACAATCTCGCTTTTACTTATGACACTAATTGGGTTTCGATCAAAATGGTTGTTATGCCGTTCATTCTATCATCTTCTATGATTCTGCATACTTAAATTGACTTGAAAGACACCCAATTAACAGAAAAAAGAATAATTTTAATGCAACTAATGTAATAAATCCGTGAGAAAATGATATTAAAAAATCAATTTTTACCTTAATTACCAATAATTTCTTAGATTAGAATGTTGTTAATAAAAGTTTAATAGTCAATGAAGATTTCAAGAAAAACTGATTTAATTAAAGTTAATACTTTTTCCAAATTTTCGCTGTAAGCAAGTAAGAAAGCAAACAAGTATGCAAGTCAATCAGCAAGAAATCTCAATAGCGTGTCATCGTAGAAGAGCTTTACTGTTTTTTGGTCAAGATTGAAACTACCGTTGCTTCAGAAAAAGCAAAAAGACCTTTCTTTCTTACGAATTTTTAAAAATCAAAGTTAACTGTAATTTTTATAAAATTAAATTTTGGAATATAAATTTTCTTTAAAAACACTATAGAGTGTTTGTTAAGCTTTAAATCTCAACCATATGCCGAGCGAAGCTTGGCTGACTCGACAAGTTATATAAAATAAAATTTTAATTTTAAAAAATCATTTTTTAAAACGTATTAGAAAAATAAAAGCTAAAGTTTTTCGGAGACGTAAATTTACATCAATTACATCAATTACAATTCAAATTTTCATTAAGAACTGATTTATTTTCTAAAACTTTCTTAAAATGTAATTTAATATTGTTACGTCTGGTTTTTAAGTACCAGGTCCGATGATAGATATATTTGAATTCAGGAGGATAATTTAACTAAAATTGTCAAAAACATTCAATTAATATGGATACTGAAAATTAATAAAACCCGACTAAATCCTTAAAAAAAACTTAAACTCAATAAACAAATTAAATTCAACTTTTAATCAAATGCAATAATTTATTAAAGTTCCTAAAGAATAATCCAGGTATGTCCTCAAACTCATTAATCATTATCATTATTAAATTTAATGATTGTTGTTGATCCATGTCAAGAAGCTTGTAACACGAGCGAAACCAGATGGGAATCCAGCAACGCAACCAGCAGCAGCGACGAAGCTTGTGACACCGATTTGGATTGGACGAGCGTCTCCAGCACGTGGGACTGAGAGAACACCACCTGAATCTCCATTGCATGTTCCTTGGTTAACTCCTGATGTAGCGATACAGATGACGGAGCCAATAATGACTGATGATCCATAGACGGATGCGCAAGCTGCGTTTGTGATGACTGGGTTGTATGCCTTACGTAAGACAGCTGATGTAGCTCCAGTGTTGGTGACACGTCCCCATCCAGTTGAGCGAGCAGTTTCTCCGACGAACAATTCACTTGCGAATGCAGTTGGGAGACGTGTTGGTTGGACAGCTGCGTTGTGTGTCCATGCTGTTGGGACCATCAAGATAGCAATATCGTTGTTTAAGTTGCTTGGGTTGTAGTTGGCATGGATTCTGTAGTTTGCTGATGTAACTGTACGACGTTGTTGTGTGGCTTCAACAATATTTCTGTTATGTGCTCCAGCAATGACTAATGTGCTTTGGCTTCCAATTGGACAATGAGCAGCTGTAAGGGCAGCATTTGTGCTCAAAACTGAACCACCGCAGAGACCGGTTCCAGTACCGAAGTTCATATGTAAAGCAACTTGGTATGGATGGCTGTTTGGTGCAACTTCAACTCCACCAACAATACGAGCAGATCTTGGATTTGGTGTAAAGATTTCTTTTGGCAATTCACGACCTTCCCAGAATCCAGGCAAGTCTTCAACTGGAACAATCAATGACTCATCAAATGGTGCGTATTCTGGTGCATTGAAGTCCTCTTCGGCAAATGCGCCGAGGGCAAGGAGAGCAAGGATCAAAAATTTCATCTTTCTATGGCAGCTGACTGTGAGTCTTCGGTTATCACAACAATACTGTTAGTCTCATGGTCGAAAATCCTATTATTTATACTCAGATTGCGATACTCAAACATCTAAGAAATTTACGAGAGGAGGTATGTGTATGAACAGGGATTTGGGCAGACTTAAAAGCATTGAAATGTTATCAAATGTTTGATAAACTTGTTAAAAGTTTGTTCCTTATTTAGGATTTGACTGATTACAGAGTAAGTAAGACTGCATACTTAATTGTCAGCAGAAGTTATGGACAACCTTATTGTTTTGAATCCTTACCTTTACAGATTCTTATGGACGAATAGATGTAAATTTTAAGTAGTTTAAGGTGACGTAGAGAAATCAAAACATTAAACTCAAGTTGTTTATTAAAATCATTCCTGAAGTACTCATTAAAAGAATCCAGAAAAACCCAATCAAAGTAATCAATCGATTTGTGATTAATAAGTTAGTTTTATAATGGTTTTTTCCAGCAGATATCAAAACAGGCGTAATTATTTTATCACATAAGATTTATTAAACTTATCAAATCAATTGAAATAATCAGTTTTGTTTGTGACCTTGAAATGAAATTAAGAATACTGTGCCTCAAATACTTCGGTTAATGTTCTGATACTTTAAGGCACTTAAAATCTTTTTAATCAATGTTATATTGTGAAATTTACAATGGTTATTTTTGGCATCACAGGGTTATCAAATAAAAAAAATTGATATGGAATTTCATACAGGATGCCCAGTTTCAGTTTAGTTTAAAGAAATACAAAACAATTGGTTAGAAAGCAAGCATTTAACAATGAATTACATTAAACATTAGAATTATACAAAAGTCTTAATAAAGATTCTAATGATTTAATTTGTTTAATTTATTAATTTTATTTAATTTTATTGTATTCGCAAAAGAATTAAGCTACATCAAGTGATTAAAAACATTTATTTTTCTTGCAAATTTTTTTAAATCCTAATCTAGTCTGAATAAATAATAGTAATCTGCAATCATAAAATACCTTTACCTACTCAGATCAATTGTGATCCAGAGGTGCGCTAAGGCGTTTCGCAGCAAATGAGAGTTTTAACCAATGAGGATGCGCTAAACCACTGCACTCAAATCTAGACCTACAATTTATAGCGGAATCTGAACAACTCTTTTAATGACAATTCTGCCCGTAGCCTACAAAAGAAGGCTGTGAGCTTCATTTCCAGTACATATGCTTCGAAAAAGAACAAGTGATAAATTTTCCATACCCAGTCTCGAACCCATGATCGCTGTGTCGGTATTGCTATAATTAGGTACCGAAGTACTAAGCCATCCCGCAACTTAATTACATCAGTTCACCATTTTATCATACCACTCATTCGTTTAGCCGAGCTCTCAAAATTATTAAATTTTGATCAAATTAACAAGTTTAACTAATGTTTTTATATTCTAAGCTGTAACATAACATGCAATGATACTTATTTATACTTAACATCAGAAAGAAAATGCTTAATTAAGCTACAATTTAATTTTTAAAATGGCGGTCAAGAAAATATGCTTTTTGATGATTTTAGATTATAAAGTACATTTATTTCTTGATTTATTTATTGTATTATATTTCATTTTACATAAGCTTTCGATTAATATATAATTTGTTAACTTTTATGCAGATTAGAGGCAAACATTTAACGAAAAACCTTTTGCACTTTGAAAATTTTTCCCGAGAATTTTAAGTTTATCTCAAAATTTTGTTAAATATCAATATTATATGAATCAAATTTGTCTTTTCATCAAGTATTTTGATTAATAAATCATTTACATTAAGTTAATTAAAAATTAAATGAGGGATTTTTGAAAAAGAAGTAAAAATGTATCGTGGTTGATCAAAAATTTTGTATGAAAAATTAATTTTACGAAAAATTCTGTTAAATAATTGAAATCTTTAAAAGATTAGTCTTAAACCATTTTATTATTGATAATTAGAACCATAAGGACCATATTTAATAAATTGTTTCACTATAAATTAACTTTTTAAATTTTATTTTTTTTCATGACAAAATTTTTGATCAACCACGTTACATTTTTACTTATTTTACAAAAATCCCTCATTTAATTTTTAATTAACTTAATGTAAATGATTTATTAATCAAAATACTTGATGAAAAGACAAATTTGATTCATATAATATTGATATTTAACAAAATTTTGAGATAAACTTAACTTAAACACCACCTTTCAAAGTGCAAAAGGTTTTTCCAGGTTTTTCGTTAAATGTTTGCCTCTAATCTGCATAAAAGTTAACAAATTATATATTAATCGAAAGCTTATGTAAAATGAAATATAATACAATAAATAAATCAAGAAATTAATGTACTTTATAATCTAAAATCATCAAAAAGCATTTTTTCTTGACCGCCATTTTGAAAATTAAATTGTAGCTTAATTAAGCATTTTCTTTCTGATATTAAGTATAATTTAGTATCATTGCATGTTATGTTACAGCTTAGAATCTAAAAACATTAGTTAAACTTGTTAATTTGATCAAAATTTAATAATTTTGAGAGCTCGGCTAAACGAATGAGTAGCACCTTAATCACATACTGTTTTAAAAGGTTCATAATCTTTGCCAAAAAGACCAACAATCTTAAAAGACTGGCGTGGTTCCAATATAGAAAAATTCAGGATTTTAGTTTTGAGTTAAAATTGAGTCTCTAATGATTTAAAAAGCATTTAGAACTAAAAACCTATCATACAATAAACCAGCTATATCGTCGACTAACACATATATTTTGAAATTACACTCAACACTTAAAACTATAAAATTGATTTAATTATTTCGAATTTGATGCCTCATTAGCAAGCAAAACAATAAATTTGCTATAATCATCAATAAAATGTGAAAATCTTTTTCGAATTCGACGTTCAGCTCATTTAAATTTTTCATCCTCTTTTGACATGAGCGAGTCCTCATTCTTGTCATTTTCATCATCATCTTGGTCTGTAAAGCTGTCGTTCGATTCCGTTTTTATTAGTTTTTTGGATACATCTTGAATGTCACGATTTATTTCTTGCAATGTATTCATGAACTCATCGCTGTGGTCTGCTACAACATTAGGCGTTTGCTTGAGGACACTTTGTGCAGCTTGACTGGAAATATTTTTTAATTTTAAAACAATTTAATTTCTTTTTTTTAACATTTTCGAAAGGTGCTTATCATTTTTAAAAAATTTGATGTCATTTGCAATAATCTCACCTAATTCCAATAACTTCAGCTGGAATTTCCTGCTTAATTTCTTGAAATGCATCACCAAAGCCTTTTGCTTGGTCAAATGTTTGATCTTTTAGGTCCTGCGCTAGTTTTGTATCCGCTTGGACTTGTTCTATAGTTTTTAAAGTGTCTTCACCAACGAGATCACCAAGTTCTGCCTTAATGTCTTGTTTGAGTTGACTGAAATGAGATTGGAAAAACTTTAAAAAATACTGAAAGATGTTAAATCACTTTCATACAATCTAGTCTAGGAAATTTGCAATGGAATATGTGGATATGGCTCGAAGACCATCTGTAGTAGATAGGCCTGCCCATAAGGCTCGAGTTGAAACTGATTATTTTTGTATGTTGGATCCAAAGTGAGATAAGTACTTCGGTGCCAGAATGGAAGGGATCTCTGATCGATTGTTAAGAAATCGTTTTTTTTTGAGGTCGTAGGTTTGATTCCCATCGTACCTGAATTGTTTTACATTAGTATACATATATATCAGTTACAAGAGATCAACAGCATATTATTAAATCATAAAGCTAATCAATTTGAAGGGCAAATGTCCCAAACCCATCATAATCGCCAAGATATGTAACCAAGTTTATTGGTCAAGAAGTAAGGTTCAGCTCAGATCAACAATCAAGACAGTTGACATTCATACTCTAGATTTTGAGAATGATATCATTGAACTTACTCTGGACTAACTCCTTTCTCAACATCTCCCATACCACCGCCTCCTCCTCCATCTTCACCTTCTTCCTCTTCTTTCGTGAAACGATCAATGATTGAGTTAACCACTGGTAAGAATGTACAGACAATGACAATCGCTATTGGAGCTCCATACTCATCAATGACTGGAATTAAATTGAAGTTTATTTATTCTTACTGTCTCGAGCAGAGCTCGAAGTCGATAGGGTTCAAGTGAACTCGAGTCGACTTCGAGTTTTGGTTTCGAGGTCCAAAATCAATCATTAAGTCAAAGAATATTAAAAATCAGTACATACAATCACCAATTTTCTTTCCAGCTATGCTAAGTCGCTCTTCTCCGACATAATCAAGGAATTGGAATGAGATGCGTGATTGAAGAGCTCTTTAATGTGATAAAATTACAGAAACCACTTAACAACATGTCCCGCAAATAAAATTAAATCACAAACTTACTTGTCATGAAATTTAAATCCAGCAAGATCATTAATATCATCAAATGCGACATCAACATCATTTAACTTTACATTATATTTAATATCATCACATGTCGGTAGACAATTACAAGGTGTCTTCTTCTTATCCTCCTCATCGTCAATTTCTGTCCATTCATTAGTTGCGAAAAAGTAACAGTGCGCATTATCCAAATCACAAACCGGCGTGTCATTTGCACGTGGCATTGAAAACTTCACACATCCGCAACGATTAAGTGTGTAATTTGAAAAGCATTCATAATCGCAATGCGCCTTTGTGTACGAATTAAAAAATCTTAATTTTCTCTCTTCGGGGAAGTAACAGTGTCGCTTGTCAGGCGGATAGTTTTTCATTGTGGCATCACTTCTGATTGAGACTGATGATAAAGTTATGACTTTCCGGTGATCGTATGAGATGTAATGAGCTTTATGGAATGGCGTTGGAATTTCATTTGGAAGATGGAAAATTACTTTGTAGACTCGACCGAATGGTACACAGTAGTTTGTTGCTTCTGATTCATTTAGTTGGAGGTAGATTGTTGCTGTGTTCACTTTTCCTGAAATAAGTTTAAGAGTTTAAAATGAAGCAATTCAGTCTTTAAGATTATAGAATTTTGAGCATTTTGAGCTACACTACTCAGTAGACTTGTGTTACTGTCTTCATAAACAGCATAGAAGTATAGAAGTAGCCATTACAGACGAGAAAGAGCGAAATAAGTGCAACGAACGAACGAAGATTAGGCAAGACATATTTGAATCATCCTGATCTTAAAACAGAGATCCAGATATATCACAGTCATGCTAAATGGAAAACTAAGATCTAGTAGAAATTAAGACATGTCTAGAACTAAAAACAAAGATAAGCAGGAGCATCTAAGTCATGTTCTGAACCAAAACAAAGATCTGCGAGGTTCTAACTCATGCCTGGAAATTAAAAACTTAAAACCAGCATCACAAGACATTTTTGTGTGGGCCTATTAGTGCATTTGTTCACAGGTATGTATAGGACACTAATAAGCAAGGCGTGGAAACCAAGGATTAATCCCAAAAATCACTGAGTCAATAAGCATGGAAATTTAAAATCCCTTTTAATTCTTGAAATTATTCATAAAATGCATCAGAAAAACAAAAGGGATTTCAAACTTCCATGCCTATTGGCTCAGTGATTTTTTAAGATTTTTTGGGATTTTACAGGATTAATCCTGAGTTTCCTTGCCTTGCTAATAATCTATTAATTCTACTCACCAGGTCGTGTAGCATAGCTTATATATCCATTATCCAAATCAACAATTTCTGATATTTTGATATCCTTATAAGAGTCAAATTCGCTGCTAATTTCATCCTCATTAAACACTGTATTATATCCTTTCATGTTAAACGTGTAACAAAATCCATAATCGGTTAAAACTCGCGTGAATATTTTTTGACACTCGACCATATAATTCCGTAGATAACACGACACTAAAAGCTCATCGGACGTTAATGAGCTTTCGCCCAGTAATTTAACGATATTTAATTCCGATCGATCTGGACATTTTTCGAGAATATATCCACCGACATTTGGAGCACACCAGTGAGTATTTGCTGCGAGGTAGTTTTGTTGTGATGATGAGAGATTGACTGGCATTAAATGTACTATATTCTTCATATAATCATTATAGTTTGCCATTTGATGCTTGCTGAAGACTGGAGAGCAAATTGTAATTGCTGGAAATGGAATCTCAAATTCAGGTGGGTTCGTAATCTCTACATTGATATCCGGATTCACTGCCCATTTTGTGTACAGTTGAAAAGCAAAATATGCAATACCAGCAGCTGATGCAAGAAATACACATCCTTTAAGGATTATTTTCATACACAAACCCATTTAATCTCCGGAATTTTTTTTCCTTTTTTCACATCCAACAAATCCAAAAGTCACTGAAAAACTAAGCACAAGTTTCATTCACACATTTTTTGAACGGCAACAACTTAATTAAGAATGCGCCGACTGACAGCAAATGTAAGCTTATATTTTAAGGCGTGTTGAATCCTTTTGAGAATTGAACATTCGTAATTTTCACACCGTTATTCTTTTCTTACTTCTTCTTTTTACTTCAGCGTATAATTTACTGTCAAATGCAGATTAAGTTAAATTTAGAACATTTATTTTGTTGCTTTTTAATTAATTATTTTTTTATTATTTGTTAAGCGGTTTTTTGACTTTTTGGTTTCAATGCTTTGGATATGTTAAAGGACTATTGATGTAAAAGAGCATTTAAAGTTGTATAATCGTAATTTCTACAAATTATGTTGGGTAAAGTAAAGATAAAACTTTTTACAACTATTAAACTATTAAAATCTTAATTCTTGGGAATGAAAAAAATTTTAAAAAAACTGAAATTTCTTTTTTCGTCTGAATGTATTAAGACGACAGTAAAAATACTTCAAAACACCAATTCCACAATATCGACATTATAAATAATATCGAACTTAACCTCTGATTATCCCTCGTTTGAATTAATGTGAACAAATTACAAACACGATTCTCAATCCAAAGAACTATTTTTAAATTTTTTTATCTGCTTATTCATAAAAAGTGTACAACAAATATGCAAAGAATTTTTAAGGTTTTTTCATAAGATTTTCTGAATGAACTGGCGAAATTAAGTTGAAAATTATAGAACATTTTATAGGCAAATCTAAGCTGACCATATGCTTGGTTTTTCAAATAACAGTCCTCTATTTTTAGCGCAATTTTGAAACTTGTTTCGTAAACGTAGCTTAATATGTCGCTTTGTTCGTTCGTTCGGGCGGAGAAAAACTTTTTAACAAGACATCGGAGAGATTTCGTGTTTGTTTTATTAGCTCAGGTCCTTTGTTTTATTTTCGGGAAACGTATTTAAAATTCTTGACACAGTGATTTTGTACTATAATCAATGATTTTTATATTTTATATGAATAAACACGTAATGAGAGCGTTTAAAAATTCGAATTTATTTCTACCGTTAAAAATTTTTGAATCTCAAAAAACCGTTGAATGATAAACTTTTTATATTTGGAAATTCATTGGAACAAATTATTGAATTATACTATAACTAATGTTTTTGTTAAATGTTTTTGTTAAATAATAAAGCCTTTCTATATAAGCATTCATTATAATTATTTGCTAATTGCACTAAAATTAATAACACAAAAATGCGCTTAAGTACCTCGATCAATAAAACGAGGACTTTTGTAATTTTTTTTTTCAAATTTCAAAAAAAACTAGTTTTGTTTTGTTCTAATTCATACAGAAAAGGAATAAAATTGGTAGACATATGGGATGTCATCTATTTCATTTTAGGTACTCAATTTTTTTCAAAAAATATTTGGTCACCCAAGGAATATCCTTTATTTTTTCGACAATTATCTGTTCATCTTTTGTATTATGAGTCAGATCAAGATTTTAAAATTATATCCGTATTATATCCTCGATTAAAAATTGATATGTAATATTCAACATAGTATGTTGTTAAAGCTTAAATCAATTTTCCACCGAGCGTTCAATTCTCATTAAGTTCAAGAAACATCCAACTTTAAAATTCAATTTAAATTAAATTTAAACTTTTTTCATCAACAACTTGCACCACAATTATACTATTTAATCCTCTAACAAAATGCTACAAAAGCTTTAAATTTTTTTTTCACAAAATCACCCCTTCAGCTCTTGTCTCTGCTATCCGCACTGATCAAAAACTTAACTGCTTCTGTCGCGAAAAAAACTAAATTTTATTTTATCGTCATAAACTTTTACTCAGCCTAATTATGCGAAATATTCCCAATAGATGCTGAAAAAAAGGTTTTAGGGTGTTTCCATCATATTGCGTGTATTTTAAGTTTCTGTTTGTTAATTTCATGACATTTTTATTGCACAGAAGAGAACTTTTCAGCTGACAGAACTCGCACATATGAGAATTGACATGATAAATGCCATAATTAATGGAATTTTAATTCAGGTTTTCCTAACTTACACTCTGGCTTAATTTTTTTTTGTTATTCTTTTAATTTATTGACTCGAATAAATTAAATTTTACTTTCAAATAATTTGTATGATAATCGTGATGAGCATTTTAGTTAACAGCTAGACATGCTAATGTCCTTTGAATGTTTATGATAACTGCAGGGAAAATTTAGCAGCATAAAATTGAACTCAAGATGTTTGTGGATGTGATGAGAATGGTTTTAGGGATGTAAGAATTTCTATTAAAGTCATGATTGGCAGTGCTTTCTTTAAACATTCCAGACCAATTTTTGGTCGTTTATTTTTATTTTGACGAAATTAAATTTCAAATTGTTAAAAATATTCAATCACAATTCACTGGCAAAATGTCAGCAACTTCTTCATAATCGCACCATAATTGTATGCTCCATGGATAGACACACTGCTGATCTTTGTATGAAAAAACTAAATCACAAGGACACGGAATGATCTGAGGAATCCAACGGGCTCCATCGAATGTGCATTGATAGTAGTTCCTTAAAATATTATTTATTTTTTTAATTATTGAGAATTAAATTAGATTTTATGAGGAATGGTTCTAAAAGGTCAAATTTACTTTTTTCTGGGAACTTTTGAAATTTTGTGACATGATTCAAAGAATGTTAAACTTAAAAGTATAGCCAAGTAGAGAGTTTATCTAGAACCAGTCATTCCACATGATTAAAATGCCTTTAAACTCTTCCAAATAATCAAAATTCTTTAGTGCCAGACAATATTGAACAGGAAACCTTTTTGAATGCATTTTAAGCTATAAATTCAACACTGTTTCTACTCGACACATTGCTGATGACTTTATAAGTTAATCTTTGAATAATATAAAAATTTCATTACCACCTTGCATAAGGAGCTGGATAGTTTATAGCTCTCTGTGCCTTTTCACAATCTGGAACTGGACAATAAGTTGGCCAATATGGGTCGTGCATTGCTGGAAGTCTTGCATTAGCTTTTACATTGTCTCGTAGATTAACGAGTGGATTTGCTGATATTAAGCTTACAAAAAGAAGCAACAATGCTGAAAATTAAATAACTTTAGCTATAATTTCTAAAAATTGTAAAATCACACTTTTCTTACCAATTTGAATCTTCATTTTTGAAACTTTTGAATGTTTTATTTGACAATTTACGAATCAGACCTTCGAAATCAAGCGAAATATATGAAATGGCTCATCGCAAACTTTTAATCAAAATATAGGAAATGAAAAGAGATAATGCTTATACTTTTATCTTTTATTTTATCATTCATTAAAACAAAAAAAAAGTGGAATTGTCAAATTATCACAAGATTACGAGGAACGTTCTATTTTGACATAAAATTAAGCTCTACTGTTGAGCTGCTAGACATTCAAATGAAATTATGAAATTAATATTTATTAAAATTTGATATTATAGCCTTAAACAAATGCAAGATTCGTGCAAAAAAGTTAAAATTGTGTTATTAGTTCTTAGTCAATATTCTCTAATAATTTTACAGATCTAGTCTATTTCTTTGGATTTTTCATATTCTCCATGGCTGTCCTTAGTGATAAAAAAATCGTCTACAACTTCTCCAGCTTTGTCCATTGAAATTTGCTTGAACTGGATGTGACTGTGATTATGGACATACATTTGAGTGTATCCATAATCCTGCGAATGAAAGGCACTCCATTCTGGCAGGTTCTGTAAAAAAAATAATCAAAATTTCATTAAAACAACTCTTAATATACAAAATAAGCTCCACTTACTTCTGGGAACGGCTCACGTCCCTCTTTACATCCTGCAGATCCAGTAACAATATGAACTGGTGCACCTGGATTTTTATATGGTTCATCCCTCGATCCATTATAGACTTTATAGTCATAAATTGGCCATAATCTTTCATAGCTATGCTCATGAGCCCAGACTTCAACATCAACTCCATATTTATAGAACAAAGGTTCAAGTGCAAAGAATCCTGTGAATGGCAAACCCACTCGAATGAGAGTTTGTGAATGTGTGCAGTCATTGCCGTTGTTATTTGAGCAGTACATGGGACGATGACCAAAGACTGAAAATTATTGAATTAATTAAAATTAGAATTGTTATAAAAATCAGTCTAATCAAACTTACCGACAATCCAAGGACGAAGTTTTCTATTTTCAGGCTTAGTTGCTTCTATCAAATCTTTTTCAATCCATTGATATTGATTGACTAGAGTTTTCAGTCCATAATTCATAAAATAGTAAACTTCAGTTGAGATCCCAATAAAATGTACAGGACCCAGGTTAAATGAGTAGTACAGACTGTCACCTTCTCCAGGCATGTTGAATCGAGCGCGATAATTCGAGAAATTGCTACAAAAAAATTAAACTATTAATCATTTGCTTTAAAAATAATGATAAATTACTTACTATGCTTCCTCATGATTACCAGGACATGTCAAATAAGGAACATAAGCAGCAATACTTTCAATTTGATTCATAAACTCGTCACCAACTCTTGCATTGTCATCGTGCATGTCATATGCAAAGTCACCAACATGAATTATTGCGTCATAAAATCCACGTTGAGTCTCCTCTTGTAGCCTTGGTAATGACTGAATATTTTCATTACCCATATCACCATAAAGAGCTATTCTAGGCTGCCAATCACTTCCTTCGGGGAATGTTTTGAAATAAAATACCGGTGACCAGCCTTGTGCACTTCCACAATGATAAAGATATTTAGAATCAGGCAACAATTCCGTTAAAATTACTTTGTGAATGTATTGCGAATGCTTCTCTTTTCCACCATCAACAAATTTACTTCTTTCACCGGTTGCTGTGAGTGCAAAGCCATTGACTCCATACTCGACAACTGACTCTCCTGGATCATCAAGTGTACTCCATGTTACAATAATTTGTGTTGAGTCATCTAAAAAAATAAATTTATTTTTTTATTGTACACTGTGAGTTCGGAAATGTTGTAGAATCAGCTTATAATTATTTTTTTATATTCAATAGTAGCACTAGAGCTAATTGTTCTTTTGTAACTCAAGTAAACATCACTGCTTATGTATATGTAGGGATTCTTCCCTCTAAACTTTCAAATTACTTTTTTATGATCTTGACTAAGTTGTATTGGGTGTAGCTTGTTGTTTTGCAGCCTTCTAATTAGACTGGTTAATGAACTGAACTATATTATGCCATATAAATTACCCTAGTAGCCAGAATCATAGTTATTGAAGATATGGGAAGACTTATTAAGAAAAACAACGACTCAAATATGTTTGAATTTAGGAATTGTCAAAAGCTGAATAAAGGAATGTCCTCTTATGCCCTCATTCATAGAAATTAAGTTAAGATTGTTTTAAATCATTAACCAAACCAAAAAGGGCAGTTCTAGTCATCTAATCAATTATTCAATATTGTCATTTGACGTAATTTGTTTACCTTGATTGCATTTACTTCAAAATATTAAAACAAATCAGAGTATTTTACTAGAATGTTCTAAACTTGTTGGTACACAAGTGTCCTATGAACTTGAATGACTAGTCAAATCATTTAAATCACCAAGAATGTCTTCTACAAAATGATTATAAATCTCAAGACGACAATATACATAGCTGATTATCAGCATCATCTACGCATAAGATGACCCAATTCCGAATATTATCACTTGAATCTATTTTATTAATTTTTACAAGATTGTCTTTGACTGCGTAGATACGAGTTTTTTGATCCTATCCAATATCTATCACAAATTACAAATATCTTACCTCCAAGCGACAAATGCACAGCCTGTGGCTGATAATGAAGAGTATTTGAAAGCACAGAATTAAATAAAATAAATAAAATTCCAAAATAATGCAAAAACATTTCTGAACTTATTGAATTTTACACAATGAATGAAGAAGTTTATTTGTTATGATGATAAAGAAGAAGGAAGGAACGAATTGAAAACACAGTGGTGAGTTGGACTTTACGCATACGTAAGGGTCTTTAAAGTTGTAGTTGTAAATGTTGAAATTTTGTGATTTGAATTTTGAGTGGACGTTATTTTATGGATTGACGAAAAAGACTTTTGTGAAGTTAAATTTTAAATATTTCAGTGGTTCACAAACTATGTGTTGCGGCACACAATTGCGTCTTTCTTTAAATTCACACTTGATTGGTGTTGAAATGCTTCATATTTTGAGAGATTTAAGAACTACTGGAATAGATGGAACTAGCACAATTAATCCTAATTCAAAACCAAGCTACAACCTCCAATGATCTCAACATTTAATCTATCTTTGATTATTGTATCGCATAAAATATTTTTTTTTATTTCTAAGTACATCATTTATTTGACAGTTCATTTAAAGTTAAACATCTTGTTATCCTTAAAAATTAAAGAAACTTAAAATCTAAATAAGTAAATAAATCCACATAAATTCAGATAATTTACATCTAGCAAGTTTGAACGCATGTAACAAAAGGTGGAGTTTTGCATGTGCAAACTTTGCATTGATTTCCGTGTTCAGGTGATAAATTGTCTCCTATTGACAGCTTCAAGTCACCAAAAATACATTGAGGTAAATTTGGTGCTGGATTTGAGTTTTTGGTCTTAATGACTGTTGTATCATCATCTGGGCATCGAGTTCCTATTGGACAGCTACAATTCAAAATATTTTGAGTTAAACTTTAAAGAAACTGAATTATTTAAATCTTACCAATCCTCAGTTTTGTAGTAAATTGGAACACATCCTTCATGAATCCTATCACTATAATGCAAGTCAATATTACAATTAATTCTCTTGCAATGTCTATTTTCATGTGCTGGTTTATCTTCAAAATCTCGTCCACATGAGCATGAATAGCAAGCTTGTTCAGGCTCCATTCGTTCACCTTCATAGTATTGTTGACCGTGGAAATTGCATGTAGTGAGGTTTTTAAGCTCATCATCTGAGAAGTTTAATGAATTTAAATGTTATGTTATTAAGCATTATTTAAGTGGCTCGGAATGGTCTTAATTGTGGTTTAGTCAGTGTCCAACAAGTAAAGGGTGTGATCAAGATACCTTGATGAAATGCCGTTTTTTAAACTCGTCTTAGAATAAATTCAGAAAAGTCTGCTAAATTCTTTTAATTTGTGCCAAATTTTAAGCCCCTCCCCCAACAATTTATGGCTACGCTTCTAGTTCTTAGACGTAAGAATTAAAAATCATACACGATTCTCAACTTTGACTTGTTAATTCTTATTTGTATCACTTGTAATATGGACATACAATTGTGCAAGGAAACAACGATGACGATTGAAAAAATAACAGAATTTTAGGTAAAAGCTTTGAATTTTTGAACGTGGCTGAGTCAAAAAGTGGAGGACAGAGAAGAAAACAGAAGACAGTTGCTCAGCTTAGTACTGCATCTGCTACATATTGGAACTATGACTAATTGTTATCTTCATAAAACTCAATAAATTGTGATTTATTAAAAAAAATCACTTTCTCAAAAAATTATTCTTCCAAAACAAAAATAAAGACTGCACACTCAATTAAATCATTATCAGTCATGTTTTAGCTCAAACATCACAACAAATATGATCGTTGACACGATTCTCAAGGAAAAAATATCACCGGACATATTTTTCAGCATTATCAATTTCTTGAAATAAAATATTTTAACGATCAGATGAGTCAAAGAAGCTTTCTGTGAAATCATAGTAAATGTTTATATTTTCATCATGTGTGATACAAAACTTAATACTTTAAGTCTAGGATTGTGGGGAAATTGACTATATTGTTGGAAGCGAAATGGTTTTATAACTGATCAATAATGTTATGGTCAATTTTGATCATCTTGAGCAGCTCTGTACCCTAGCATGCAACATCCAATTTTTTTACCAATTAGCAGAAATTTGAATTCATAAGTTTTTTTAAATTGAATAAGGAATTTAAAGAGCAGTATTGCATTTTGTATGGGTAGTTGGCAAACGCTAGCCAGCGAAAGAGCCAGCTTCAGGCGCCATCTAAGGGAGTCTATGGATCACAATTGAGGGAAGGAAACACGGGCAAAAAGCTTCAGGTGCCATCTAAGGGAGAATATGGATAACAATTGAGGGAAAGAAAGAGAGAGAAAGAAGGGCAGAAAGCAGGAGAATTTAAACCGAGGCAGAAAACAGGGGGAAGGAAATACAACAGTAAAAACAGAAACATGTAAGAGATGAGCCCCTAAAATACCTACCACAAACATCCCTTGCTTTACAGCACTTATTTTCTTCATATTGTGAAATACAAGTTCTTCCTCTAGGCTCATATGATCCGAAGAACTCTGGGCAGTCAATGTGGGCGCAGGTTATCTTAGCTGGCTCGTCTGGATAATATCTAGTGCAACGGCATGCAACCGTACATGATGATTCCAACTCAGAATCTTCAACTTCCTCTTTTGGCTCATAAACTCTTCCTTTGTGATAACATTTACTAATATCGCGTCCAGTAAATGACGTACAATCAAAGCTAAAAATACAAAAATACAAAAAAAGTCGTTACTTTCTTGGGTTTTTTTTTGGCAAGTTATGTGACTTAACAATTTGAGAAATATTTAGAAGTATTAAATGTGATGCTTAAATTCTTAGTATACTTAAAAAAATCTTTATACTTGATAATACTAAGAATTAGCCATAAAATTGTTTGTCTACAAACCTTAGTGGGCAGCAGTAGCCCTGTTGATAGATTGGCTTACATCCAAGCTCTTCATAATGTTTAGGCACAACAGGACACTTTACATTTTCACATTTATCACTGAAAACAACGGAACACAACGAGAGTATTACAATTGTGACTGCAAACATTTTTTTAAAGGTCTAATTCTCTCAAGAGTCAGAACAAAACTATTTAAACTTATGAAAAATTGTACTTTTCTGAGAGAACTCGGAGCATTTTTGAGCTTTTTGTATGGAGAATGAGAAAATAAAAAAAAAATCAAAAAAATATTTTTATTTACATTGGGAAATACCGGTTTTTTTTATATTTTTAGAGGTCGTGTTGGTCAATTCTATATAGTACAATTATTATCTTTGGTTGAAGATATTCAATGTGATTTGGTAGTGATTAAAACTTTTGTTGGGCCCATTTTGGATAGCGAAAAGGTTTTTTTGAAGGCTGGTTCTTCAAGCCAAGTATTTAAAACTTAGATTGTGGTTCATGGGACCGACAAAAAATTTGGCCAAAATTTGGCCAAATTTTTACCCAAATTTTTACCCAAATTTAGCCAAATTTACACCCAAATTTGGCCAAATTTTTCCTGAAGAATTGTTTGAATAATATTTTTTGAAAAAGTTCTCCCAAATTTTTGGCCAAATTTGGCCAAATTTTTATCCGAATTTGGCCAAATTTTGAACCAAATTTTCATCCAAAATTTGGTTAAATTTTTAACCAAATATTGACCAAATTTTTGTTCAAATTTTGTTTTTTTTTTTGAAAAAATTGAGACAGTTTTTTAGATTCTTGTCGACTGTAACGTATTCAGAAAGAAACAAATTTCGTTCTTTGGTGTACTGGAAGTACGCGGGCAGGATATGTCCAATCGACTTGAAACTCTGCCTGAATATTGTCCTAATATAGGTTATTTTAGGTCATCAATCAAAACTTTTTGGTCATGTTTAGTTCCCGAGCAGTGTTGCATTCTGGCTATTTGTCTGGATCAGATAAATTCTGAGACAGAAATTTCTTCATAAAATCGATTCTACATGTAGAAAGAAAAAAACCATCTACATGTAGATTGTGTCTACATGTAGAATCTGTCTACATGTAGATTTAATGTAGATGTCTACGATTCTACATTCTTCTCTGATGTAGACCTGGAAAAAATGTAGAATTATAGACATCTACATCGAATCTACATGTAGACAGATTCTACATGTAGACACAATCTACATGTAGATGGTTTTTTTCTTTCTACATTTAGAATCGATCTTTATGAAGAAAGTTTCTTAGCTAGACAAAAACTATTGAAGAATCTACATTCTTCATCTAGTGTAGACATCTACATTTGCAACACTGTTCCCGAGATACAGCATGTGCCATTTTGTATAGCCACAAAATTGGAAGTACGCGGGCGACTTTTCATAAAACCATGAAATTATTAATGTTATATATTAAAACACATCTACGATTTATGTCCGATTTATGTCCGCCAAAATTTTTGGAATCGGACCTTTGGATGCAAAGTTACAGCCATAAGAAGTTTTAGGACGGGATGTCATGCACTTTTTTTTTCAATTTTTTTTAAACTAATCATGTTATATGTCTAAAAGCATCTAAATTTTACAAGGAATTCAAATCTTATAAAATGTATTTGATATGACTTGTCATTTTTGAAATATGGCAGTTCCAACACAACATATTCGTACCTGAATCACAAAAGTTTCAAAACTTTGTCTATAATATGTTATATATCAAATCATATTTATTTTCAACGGGAATTATTAATTTGCAAATATATTTTGGAACTGGTCGGTCACAAGTAAGTTATATCCAATCAAGCTATAGCAAGAAAGTTTAAAGATACAAGAAAAAATTATCGAGCTAGGTATTTTTGTCTAAAATAAAAAGATAAATTAATCGAAAAAAAAAATCGATTACGTGTGATCACCTCTTTACTAATTTTTATTTCTTTATCCATGTTATTCAAAAAATAATTATGGAATTTTAAAATTGAATCGTTGTTTACGAGATATCTACTATTTGCGCCTATTTTGAGAAGATTTTAAACTTCTTCATGAATCTCAAAACAAATGTTTAATCTAATTTCATTAGTATTTTTAAAACTTAAAAAACCAAAACTTAAATTTGTTATTTTTTTTGCAAAAAGCGTGATCACACAACATAAGCAATTTGGGGAATGGAAAGTCATTTTTCGAAATTCTCAAAAATTTTAATAGTTGTTTTCCACCTGTCAACGTTGGAAAACCTAGGAAAAATGGTCATTTTCTTAAAATTCTTGCGAAACCAGACTTTTTTTTCGAACTGGATATTAAATTGAGTTTATCTTAAATTTTTTTAAATAATTTTTAGACAAAAATACCTAGCTCGATAATTTTTTCTTGTATCTTTAAACTTTCTTGCTATAGCTTGATTGGATATAACTTACTTGTGACCGACCAGTTCCAAAATATATTTGCAAATTAATAATTCCCGTTGAAAATAAATATGATTTGATATATAACATATTATAGACAAAGTTTTGAAACTTTTGTGATTCAGGTACGAATATGTTGTGTTGGAACTGCCATATTTCAAAAATGACAAGTCATATCAAATACATTTTATAAGATTTAAATTCCTTGTAAAATTTAGATTCTTTTAGACATATAACATGATTAGTTTAAAAAAAATTGAAAAAAAAAGTGCATGACATCCCGTCCTAAAACTTCTTATGGCTGTAACTTTGCATCCAAAGGTCCGATTCCAAAAATTTTGGCGAACATAAATCGGACATAAATCGTAGATGTGTTTTAATATATAACATTAATAATTTCATGGTTTTATGAAAAGTCGCCCGCGTACTTCCAATTTTGTGGCTGTACAAAATGGCACATGCTGTATCTCGGGAACTAAACATGACCAAAAAGTTTTGATTGATGACCTAAAATAACCTATATTAGGACAATATTCAGGCAGAGTTTCAAGTCGATTGGACATATCCTGCCCGCGTACTTCCAGGACACGTTCTTTGTCGTTAAGTGAAACGACAGTTTTCATAAAATTTAAATTCATAGTATTATTTCAAATTGTTAGCTTCATAAATTTTAATCGGATCAACGAGATTTTTTAGTTATTTAAAACTGATTTAATGATTTATTGATGCTTATTTCTCCAAAATTATTTATATCTTAAAGAAATTACTTAATATAATTCAAAAATCTTCAAAATATTTTACTGCTTGTTGAAACGCATAAGTTTCACTCCAATGATTTAATTAGAGGAGGTTTGAAGAGTCTGATGGTGGCGTATGGATCCATTTTACTCAAATTTTTTAAACTATTTATTTATCTTTTCAAATATTTCTAAAAATATTTTGAAAAATTATACTTCAAATTTATTTTGTTGAAAATTAAACATCGTGAATATTCTCTGTTTTAAAATCTTTACGAGATTTGTAAAACTTCTTAAAAGTTTAAAAATTTTTTTTCAGAATCAGATACATTTTGTTTTCAGTTTCAAAAAATAATTATAATAAATTTCCAAAAACCAAAAAAAACCTGAATGCAAAATTATTTCGCTATATAAAAGTTTAAGTGACAAAAAAAGATTAAGATTTTTGCTTTTTCTGAAGCAACGGCTGTTCCTACCTTGCCCAAAAACAATACAGCTCTTCTATGGAGCAGCACGGATCAAATGCAAAAAACTAGAGGTCGCTACGATATCTCGTTATTGAGATTTCTTGCTGATTAACTTGCATGCTTGTTTGCTTGCTTACAGAAAGCGTATTTTGCGATTTTTTCAGCAATGCCGCAACCAATTTGAAATCTGTTTTTTGCAAAAGTTGTAAAATTTCAGGCACAAACTTTTCTTCAAGGATGCGAATCAAAACCAATAGATTCACACTTAAAAATCAAAATTTAAAACGTTTCATATGAGATTCGGAAAAAAATACTTAATTTGCAATGTTATTCCCTATTAGGGCAATTCTTTGGATGAGTGGAATTTGAAAAAAAATGAGCTTTCATTATCCAATGTCAATGAGTTTTGTGTCAATAAAATGTCTTCTTTAATTTCATATTACTGTGAAGGAATAATAAGCCAGAACATTCGTAGATCATAAAGCATAAATAATTCTTTACAAGTGATCTATTGAAATGTTACAACTCACCCAAATTAAGTGAAAAATTGAAAAAATATGTTTGAAAGTTTTGTATTTTTTCACGGATTAAGACAAAAAAAAAGCTTTTTTATAACTCGACGACACAAGGAAATTTTTCAAAGAATTGAAATATTTCATTATTTAATGACTTAAAGCACACATAAAAGCAACCTAATTAAAAATTTTTGTCTGTTCCATAACTCAGTAAAATTATTCAATGTGGATATCAATAGTTTTCTCTAATCTTCGATTCTTCGGATGATGCAAAATTGAAAATTCCGATTTCTGTCATCGAGTTATTGACTGAAAAATCCAAATAACTTAATTAATACAGCGATTACAAGTGTATGATATCAAAAGTAGTGTGCATTTTAGATTTTTACATCGATAAGACTCATAAAATCGGTGTCTCTGATGGGAAAAATCAACAAAATTTCGATTTTTTGCTGAAAATTTTCCAAAAGTCATCCAAAGAATTGCCCATAAATAGGGTAACAAGATATTTTTTGAAAAATGGTCAAACCTAAAATTATGCATCTTTATTGAATTAAATATCTCTTAAAAGAAAAAAAAAATCATCAATAATATTAAATTGAAAAATTCAGATTTCAATTGGATTTTTAAGACTTAATAAGCAGTTTTCTGTTGACTTGGTAGTTTAAATCAGTTTAAATATGCAAATCTAAGCTTAGCTTAGCTAACAACAGCTAGTAGGATATCGAAATAGAAACCTAAAGTAGAGAAACCAAAGATTTTTTTCATAAACAAATTGTAAACAAATTTTTGGTGAGAATAAATTAAAGATTTTGTGGAGTTAGACATTAAATTGGGACAAGATATGTTCACAGGATATGTTTCAAGTTGAGATCTTTAATCTCATTCAAAAATTGAAGTTTAATTAATATGATATTTCTGAATTTTTAAACATTTTTTCCGTATCTGAATCACTGTGGAATGCTGTGGATATATTTCAGCAGATTTTTAAAACTGTTGTTATTTTAAAACCCTGCATAAGTTGCAGTTCATATACAAACAAAGCGTAGCGCTTAAAGCAATTAGTTTAAATATTATGAAAAAATTAATCGTTTTTATTTAAACTTAAAACTACAACTGTCTCAATTTTTTCAAAAAAAAAAACAAAAACTTGAACAAAAATTTGACCAAATTTTAATTAAACATTTGACCAAATTTTGGATGAAAATTTGGGTGAAAATTTGGCCAAATTTGGATGAAAATTTGGTTCAAAATTTGGCCAAATTCGAATGAAAATTTGGATAAAAATTTGGCCAAATTTGGCCAAAATTTTGGGAGAACTTTTTCAAAAAATATTATTCAAACAATTCTTCAGGAAAAATTTGGCCAAATTTGGGTGTAAATTTGGCTAAATTTGGGTAAAAATTTGGGTAAAAATTTGGCCAAATTTTGGCCAAATTTTTTGTCGGTCCCATGAACCGCACCCTAAAACTTATGCTAATATTCGTAATCAGTTAGGTGATCCAGGTCATACTTGCTTTATAAGAGTCAAACTCAATAATCACAAGTTGTGAATTAAAATTCAGAATCACCGCGAAATATTTGAAGGCCAAATGTGAATCATTGAAGTTTATGGCACTTTTGGTCAAGCACAATATTGAATTATTGCACGTGAATTGAATAAATTAAATGAAAAGAATCGTTGAAAACGTGCAAAAATTTATTTTTTAAGTTGCACATTTACATTACAATATGAAGAATTGTACAACAGGAAGAATTCTGTTTAAACAATAACAATTAACTGGTCTGTGTTTATTGATTTAAGTGACAATTTGTACTACACATTTTTATTGATAATCAATCGATGAAGTGTTTTGACATGTGGAGACCACATAAGCTTTTACTTTAAAGAAATAGACGATGACTGCAGATATGAAAAATTATTCTATAAAGATGATGATTGAAGCAGTTGATTAAACTTTAATGTGCAAATAATGCACAATAATCACTTTAAAATGCACAATTGTTAAATTAAAATAAACTGCAAATCAGAATTGCAAACTGTCACAGGCAATCACCTGTAACTTACCTGTTAATAGTCAGTGCCCGTGATAGGTAATATTTGTTTTTTGCCTGTCTCAGGCACATATCTGTCAAATCTGCCCACTGATTTAACAGATCTGTCACCTGTTCCTTTGACAGGCGACCTGTATCGCAACTCTGCTTTAAATCATTGAGCTTGTAGAAAATTTAGACTTTACTGTTATCTTGGTTTTTAAAAAATAAATGTCTATTTATAAAGAATTTTGTGATTCTGGTTGAAAGATTAATCTATCAAAGTCTATTCTTACATCTTCATAAGCGTATAACATTGTTATTATAAAACTATGCGCCATTGGATGACCCAGATTATATCATTTCAATATCACTAGCACTACATTGTTAAGTCGTTAATCACTCCTTTGATTTCTCTAATTACTCTATCCACTTCGACCGAATCATTTAAGCTTACTATTTCTCCACTGCTGTATTTTATCATATTTGTCCTTACTAGCATTCTATTATGTTTTCCATTAAAGGCATTTAGTAGTTTATTAAGGTTTATTAAGTAGCTTATTAAAGTAAGCTTGAAAGCTTAAAGAAGAGGAAATTCATTGCCTTTAACTTTGAGTCAAGCGCTTCTGGACTTTGGTCATGATTTTTGAGTATATTTGATCAGATTTGTTAATTAAAAATTAATTTGGAAATCTGCCTAAAAATGACCAGGCTCGAAAACTAGGCGGTATATCACCAAATACCACCAACTTCTACATATACAAATACTGCCAAATACCCCCGAATACCGCCTCTTCTTATGAAATACCTCCAAATACCGCCTAGTTTTCGAACATGTAAAAACGATGCTATAAAGATACCTTAATAAAACCTACTGAATAATAAACAAACAAAAAATAATAATTTGTTAAAATTCGTCCAATTTTTATTGACTATGAAAAATGGTCCTTGTACTATAATATTATCCACATGTTGAACATTAACAAAAAAAAATAAAATAAATGCAATAAATTCATGTCAATCTTAAATCTCTAATAAATGCAACAAAATTAATTTTGTATTTTAGTTTATCTAGTCGATGATTGATATCGTTGAAAAATTCGATAAATTCTTAGGCACCAAAACCATCAAAAACCATATTTACATTCTGAACACACCATGACGTGTTGGTTGAATTGGAGCATTAAGTGCAGCAGCAAGAGACAATCCAAGTACCTTTCTAGTATCCATTGGATCAATAATTCCATCATCCCACAATCTTGCTGAACTGTAATAAGCTGAACTTTCAGCATCAAATTGCTTAATCAATGGTGCCTTTATCTTATCAGCAATTTCTTGTGTCCATTGTTTGCCTGATCGCTTGAATTGATCTTCAGTAATTTGTGCCAAAACACCAGCAGCTTGTGCACCACCCATAACAGCAATTCTTGAATTTGGCCACATGTAAAGGAATCTTGGTGAGTACGCACGCCCACACATTCCATAATTTCCAGCACCATATGATCCACCAATAATAAGAGTTAATTTAGGAACATTAGCTGTTGCAACAGCATTAACCATTTTAGCACCATTCTTGGCAATTCCTTGTGATTCAGCTTCACGACCAACCATGAATCCGGTAATGTTTTGTAGGAACAATAAAGGAATTCCACGTTGTGAGCAGAGTTGAATGAAATGTGAACCTTTAAGTGCTGATTCACTAAAAAGTACACCATTGTTTCCAACTATGCCAATTGTATTGCCATAAAGCTTAGCAAATCCACAAACAAGAGTTTCACCATAGAACTTTTTAAATTCCTGGAACCTTGAGCCGTCAACAATTCTAGCAATGACTTCACGAATATCGAAATTCTTTGTCAATTGTGAATTGACAATTCCATAAAGTTCTGATGGATCATAAATTGGCTCTTCAATTCCACCACCTAATGCTGGATCTGCAAAGTTCCTTGACACTTCATAATCAAATCTTAAACTGTCATTGTAGCTGTTTGTGGATGGAACATTCAAATTCGCCATTACTTGTCGTGCCAAATACAAAGCATGTTCATCATCATTAGCAAGATGATCAGTCACACCAGATACTCTGCAATGTAGCTTGGCACCACCTAAATCTTCAGCAGATACTTCCTCGCCTGTTGCTGCTTTTACCAATGGCGGTCCAGCAAGGAAAATTGTTCCTTGATTCTTAACAATAATTGATTCATCAGCCATAGCAGGAACATAAGCACCACCAGCAGTACATGATCCAAGAACGACAGCAATTTGTGCGATTCCCATAGCTGACATGTTGGCTTGATTAAAGAAAATTCGTCCAAAATGCTGCTTGTCTGGGAAAACTTCAGCTTGTCGTGGAAGATTTGCACCACCTGAATTAATTTAAGAATTGGTCTAGATTAGATAAGGTAAAAATGTGATTTAAGGAATGATAATTGTTCAGACAGAAGTGAGACAGTCAAGCTGATCAAGCTAAATTGTGAATATGTAATATATCTGGATCAATGCATGCATGACTGCTTTTGCGGCTGGTCTTTGAGCCTTTCCTTGGTCTGTCATACTCAAGGTAAACTTAAGGGCATACCCGAAAAAGGCTATTTACTCATGTTTTTAATGCTGGATTCTAAGATCCATAAATGCTAGAATCTTTACATTTAGAATTGTTTGTTTACTAATGTATGAGAATTTTAATTCACTTGTGTCTGGATTTATATCCAGCAACTAAGAGATCAATCTACGCAACCACAAAATTGAATCCTACCTGAGTCAACCAAGTAGATGCATGGCAATCTATTCTCCTGAGCAATTTCTTGTGCTCTTAAATGCTTCTTTACAGTAATTGGATAATAACTTCCTCCTTTAACTGTTGCATCATTCCCAACAATCATTGCCAATTGTCCACTAACTCTTCCGATACCAGCGACAATACCACCAGAATTGACAACATCATTTCCATACATTTCATATCCAGCAAGTTGTGATAATTCGAGAAATGGTGAGTTTGGATCAACAAGTTTATTAATACGATCACGAACGAGTAATTTATTCTTTGACAGGTGACGGTCGATAGCTTTTTGATCAGTCTTGAGGACATTCTGTGTGATTATCTCTAAATTGTTGACCATTGCTTTAAGGGAATTGAAATTTTCCTATAAAAAAAATGATAAGCAAAAATAAAAATTATCTGATGTCACAAATATTCACGAGCTTATCGTCATCGAACCTGATATTCAGCTGAATTTTTATCAATTTTCGTCTGCAAGACATTCGCTTCAGCCATGTGTAGTTGACGAACATATCTAATGGTTAAACTTGTTGCTGAATGCCTTAATTTCAACATTTTTTAAACTTTTTAAAATTAATAAATATTGAAAAATGAAAGAAAAAAAAATTGCAGACACTTTGCTGCTTGTGATTTGGCACTAATACAAGTGTATGTAAAAATTATTTGATTGTATTTGTGCGAATATCATGTGTTTTGGTGAGATTGTTTTGATCGTGGTGAGTTTAGTGTCTTGGATGTGATAAGAATTATTTGAAAAAATTGTGGATAAATTTTTTTAATTTTCAAATTCAATTTTTATTTAAATTTTCAATTATTAATTCTGAATTTTAAGAACTTAACCCGTTAATTACGGAATTTTTTTGAGCCATTAGAGTGCATTTATTTGATGAATTACAGTATAAAAATAAGTTTGACGATGAGTTTGGCTCAAATAAATGCACAGATTTAATAGAATTAACAAATTTTGTCCGTAACATATATGTTACGCTAGGAGTTTGGAAGCAAAAAATTTTTTTCTTCCAAAAACTTAAATTCTTTTATTTTACCTCTTTGCTTTACATATGTCAATAATGCAAAACTTTTTAATTAATTATATGCTATTTCACATAATTGGACTTTAATTTAAACACTCTAATTCATAGGAAAACGAAAATAACTCAAAAATATATACACTTTTATTTTATGTCATATCTTTGAAATGAGACATTTTTCAGCGTTTATACCTCACCAACTCGTTATTTTCACTCTATTTTATTAATCATTCAACTAAGAATCACGCGAAATCAGTTTAAATCATAAAAAAATCACTTTGAAATTTTCTCCAAATTTTATAATCAAATTTTTTTCTAATGGAAAAAATTCCTCCATGAAGCACTAATGTTAATATTTATGCCAAAAAATACGTCACTCTTATCATGATTAAGCCGTACACATAATGATTTAGCTTAAATCAAAGCCAAATTAATTTAATTAATTAAATAATATTTTAAATCCAAAACACTAAAATATTTGCAAAAAACTAGCGTTACACATAAGTAACGGGCAATTTATATCGTATTTTCCTAGCGTTACACAAATGTTACATTTATTATCGTCACATAGTTAATGTGTTTAACTATGTTTTATCTTTATTAATGAGTTTTTAACTATAACTATAGATGCTTTACTTTATAAATCTGTCCAGTTCTGATCAAAAATGTGTCAGAAAATGTTGAAATTTTGAGTTTCAAAATGACTAAATTTTCAATGTATAAGAAAAGTTTAATTAACTTCTCCAATTTACATAATTATGCAGCATTAAATGTTGAAGAAGGTACTTGATCTAACTATAAATGTAAATCATTAATAAGATTCAACGTAAAACCAACTACTGTAGAGAATTAAACGAAAAAGTTGGCGTAACATATATGTTACGCTAGTAAAGAACGGGTTAATTTTAGATAATTAATTTATTTTATAAAGCTGAATTGAATCAGTATAACCAAGTACTGCACGATTGCTCCAAATGCCTAAAATTAATTAAATTGAATAAAAATTAGAATTATTACAAAATTTGATTGAAGAGAAATTTTTTGAACAATCACAAAAGTCTTCCTCTAAAGCAGTTGAAAGGACACCAGAAGCAACACAAAATCCAATTCCAATCATGATTGGAAATGAAAAAATCATGTTGATCAATTTTGTTGTGCTGTTGACATTTAAATGCAGTTTGGATACTTCTTTGAGATATTTGATGTTGTCTGATGGAAAAATTTGAATTTTGATCCTTTTTGTAGCGCATTTTAATTGCCAAACTTCATAGTCCTCTAGAATTTCATTTATTTTCTTGTATCTAACGCGCGTTTCAAGAACCATTGTAAAAAATAAGGCATGATAGACGAAATTTGAATAAAAATACAAAATAGTGAACGTTTGACTGAACATCAATAAATGGTTGCCTTTAAACACAGTTGAATCTATGTTAAATAGCTTTATAGAAGAAAATGTGAAAATTCCTGGCACAAGGAAGCTTATGGTAATCAACGCCATGACAATATTTCCAGTTTTACGTCTTGAAAAAAAGTTTGTTGGAATTTTTGGTGCAATTTTGTAAATCTAAAAGAAATAACAGAATTTAGTGCGTTATCATCAAGGATCTGGAGCTAATGATTTGAAGTTTGATAATTATGATCAGGTTCCTAATTTAACTCAACTTAATTACATAGCTCGATGTCGATAGGATTCGAGTTGACTCGAAAAAAATGAATTCGGCCCGAGAAAAGTTGAGTCCACTCGAGTCAACCCGAATCGACTTCGAGCACTGCTTAATAAGATCAAGGCCAATTTACCTTACTATCGATTTCTCGAAATATTTTATTAAGGCTTGAAAATGACTGAACATGCACAAAAGTGCCAAAAGTTTGTAAAATATTAACAACAGTTGGAATGCTCTGTGTAACTCGATGAATCAAACTTGGCATTAATGATGTTTCCTGCATCCAATCACTTAGCACAGTAAAATTTAAATACATCACAAGAACCAAAACCGAAATTAAAAATGAAGCATAAATGCAGTTTAAAGCATAAACATTTCTGAATTTCTTATGACTTTTGTCGAACGTGAATGGAAAAAATCCAAAAATCAAACCAAAGTTTTTTATTAATTTCATTGACGAAAAAATACTTTTTGTCATTTTAACGATTGATAGTTGTTTCATATACAATTGCAGACAATATACTGAAATAAGTTAATTAGAAAATGAAACGAATGTGTCTGAAAATTAATATTTTAACATTTTCCGTAATGACTTAATTAAAAAGAATTTTTTTCAATTTCAAAACTGAACTTGGTAAATTTATTTCGTGAAACTAAATTGAACTAATATAACAAGGTACTGCACAGTTGCTCCGAATGCCTGTAAATATAAATTCTTGTTCAATTAGTTATCAATTACTAGGTTCTAGGGCTACCCGGGATCCCTAAGAGTAGGAATGATATTCTATAGACTTAAATTTAAGATATAAAGTGAGGCTGTCCAGCTGCGAACTTTTGAGCAGGACAATCCTTCTTTCTTGAACTAAGTCCCGCCTAAAACCCTTTTTTAAACCTATAATTCTTGAAAAATGCTTGAAAATTTGATCTGTTCTACTTTTTCAGAGACATATCCCGGTATATGAAACCAAAAATAGTCAAACATCGATGGACAGCCTAGCCAAGGTTAGCCTTATAAACCGACCCTTAAGAGGCACATCAGAAAAGCACACAAAAGAAATCATCTGTTGGTGAAGACTAACCATAAGTACTTAGTAAACTCTTACTATGGTCAAAAATGTTGTCATTTATTCGATGCCTTTTCACAGATTAAACTTCAAAATGAGAATTTAGAATCAACTTACAGTTCCCAAAAAGCTCCAATGAAATTCAAACAGTCCGCAATTGAAACTTGCATCCGAGTGAATAATTTGTTGCTGGAAAATCCTCAATCGTCTCTGAACTTTTTCATCATTTTCTTTGCTCAAAAAATTTCTTAATATTTTTTTCATCTTGTTTCTTTCACTAATTGCCAGCATGCAGCTTGTTATTTCCAAAATAATAGATATTAATGAATTTGGAAGCCAAGCATTGACAATTAAACAAAATCCAATTTGCTGCATTGTCACGTTCGGGATTGAAAATATCGAAAATAGTTCGTAAAGTGAAATGACACCGGATGTGATACAAAATCCAGTCTGGATCATTATTGGAATTGAAAAGATTTGATTAATCAGTGAAATTGTACTGTTGACATCTAGATGCAGTTGGGAAGTGTGTTTAAGATGTTGGATGTATTTGCTGGTGTTATTGAAATTAGGTTTGTAAAGTGTGACTTGTTGATTTGAAAATTTGATGTCAAAAATATTTTGAAGCTCTAAAGTTTCATTGATTTTTGTGAACCTTACTCGTACCTCAGAAATTATAAATAAAAATAGTCCAATAAAGACAAAGTTTGAGTAATAATAAAAAACACCAAATGTTTGGCAAAAAATCATCAAATAATTTCCATTAAAAGCATTTGTATCAATTTTAAAGGCATTGGCAGCAATCATTGTGAAAAAAGCTGTTGAAAAGTAACTGACAGTAGCTAAGGTAAAAATTATTAATCCAAATCTTTGACGTGACGCGTAGTTGATCTGACTTTTTGGTGAAATTTTCTTAATCTGTGAAATTAAAGAACTATTAAGAATATTGAGGATGATTTCGGGACTTGTAAGGAGAACGTTGAAGGGTTAGAGGAGCTTACCTTACTATCGATTTGCTTAAAATGCTCACTGAGACTCCAAAATGACTGACGATGAATAAAAGTGCCACAGGTTTGAGAAATATTGATAACAATAGGAATAATTTGTATTATTCGATCAATAAAAGTCGGAATCAATGACGATTCCTGCAGAAAATCAGTAAATGCTGTAAAATTAAAATACATCACAAAACCCAAAATTAAAGTTAAAATCAAAGCATAAATGCAATTAATTGGATAAACTTTTTGATACATTTCGTGATTTTTGTCTATGATAAATGGCAAAAAACTGAAAATGTTTCCAATAAATTTTATTGGTTTTATGGTTAAAAAAATACTTTCTGACATGTTGAAACTATTTTGAGTAGTGACGGACTGATTCGATCGTTAAAATTATAAACTAATTAAATTAAGTTCTCATAATGTCTAGTAATGTTCAGTAATTGGTGTGGATAATAATATCAATTTATAATAGAGACGTGGACGATGCGGATATATTATGTGTAGTTATGACGTGGAATGATCCACACCCCCATCCCACCTCTTCTCAGTTGCTTAATTATTGTCTACTAGGCTATCCGGAGGCGCCCGTGGCGCCTCTTATCAGAGCTAAAATTTGATTACTATTATGTAAATAACTGTAAGACGCAAATAACCATAATGTTTTTAGGGTCAATCCTACCACAGAACTTCACATGGCCTCACAACCCCCTCAAACTCGGATTTCCTTAATCCCACAAAAACTTTATAAATGGCTTCACAAAACTTCATATGGCTTCACAACCCCCCCCCCCCCCTCCAACTGACACCCACCTTGTCAGCACTCCTCAAATCATTGGCTTCACAAAATATACCTGAAACCCACCTTGTCTCCATCCCCCACCTGACACCCGCACCTACCCCCCACCTGACATTGTTTCCGTTCTAGTGTCAGTGAATTAGTGAATTGGGCTTTTATAATGTAGATTCAAAAACTGTTTCATTCTTGAGAGCTTCGTGTGTATTTTTTGCTAACCTGGCTGGGATTGGTGGAGCCGGGGAGTCAAACCACTTCCCTCCAAAATTTTTAATGCTATTTGTCATTACTTGTTTCAAACTGGATCAGTGTTTATGACTTCAATACGAATTTAATGATTTACGCGAGGAAAATGCGCTTAGATTGTCCGTTCACATCTGTAACAGTAGCTTCTATAGTGCTTGAAAGGCTCTGCAAAATAACGTTATATAAAAAAACGTTAAAAAAACTTTTTAAAAAACACGCTTTTATCAAAAAGACTAAAAACCAAAAAGATGAAAATAAAATAAGATCACACTTTTAGCAAATCAGGATTTTAAAAATTTTCTTGTGACAACTAGAAATGTAACATAAATTTTTTTCAACATATTCTAATTGAGTCCAAGAACACAATGACTCTAAAAGCGTGGGGCGTAATTTAAAGATAATTTCTTAGTTCAGTTATGTTCTTAAGTAAGAGAATGTCAAATCTCAAAGCCCCACGCTTTTAGAGTCATTGTGTTCTTGGACTTAATTAGAATATGTTGAAAAAAATTTATGTTACATTTCTAGTTGTCACAAGAAAATTTTTAAAATCCTGATTTGCTAAAAGTGTGATCTTATTTTATTTTCATCTTTTTGGTTTTTAGTCTTTTTGATAAAAGCGTGTTTTTTAAAAAGTTTTTTTAACGTTTTTTTATTTGCTACTTTTTAGTCTAAATCTTTTAATCGAATTTCGACCACAACAATTCAAATTCAACTCCACTTCGTTTCGTTCAACTTTTAATATATTCCCATTTTTTAATGGGTAATTATTCGTTCGTTTTTATAATTTAAGTCATACATGGAAACACATAAAACTCTTCAAAAAAATGTCCTGAACTTCAATTATGTGCGCTTTCTGTGTTTTTTAAAACATTCATTAGTAAAGTACATTAAAAATCACTCGTAAAGATTTTGTGTTTAACGTATTTATAACGGATTTTCAAATTTAAATTCAATGAATATCATTCATATGTTATGCAAAAATACGTCAAGCCATTAATAAAAAGAAAAGTCAATTTAATTAAGTTGGTGAAGTGTTATAAATAATGCAATACATTTAAAACAGCATAAATTTATACTCAATCAATGTGTGCTAAATGCACATCGCATATTAATAGTTATTTTGCATAAATTCGTAACGGACTTGTGCTTAACGGTTTTTTTGAAAATTCAAATTTTCACTTACGAATATTCATGAAAAAATTACATGTCAATTTTTTTGTCTTACCAGAATATCTTTAGCTGCTCAAATTTATAGTATAATTAATAATTAGTAATATTGATTAAACTTTAATGAATCATATAAATGACTTTAGAGCATCACAAGTATAATATTTATTACAAATCAAAATTTTATATCATTGACATTGGATTTTTTCCCATATAAAAAAGTTTTACTTAAATTGTACTATAATTAAGCAATATTGTGGTATTAAAGTGGTAAAATATTGTATTGTCACCGGGAATACGTGTGCATTAAAAATTTCAGCTCGATTGGAGCTGTAGAAGTGGTCGAAAAATTGATCGCAAGATTTGAACGTGACATACAAAGAAACCAACAGAGCAACTCAATAAAAAGCGTGTAATAAAAAGACATTTTGCGTCCTGAGTGGGATTTCTGATCATGTCCAAAAAGCATAACTGTCCGTAGTTGGACAGTGAACCTTTTGTGGAACAACAATAAAACTTTTAAAATAATTATTTAATAAAAAAAAACCAAATTTATTTTGTAAAACTAAACTGAACCAGTATGACAAGATATTGAACTACAGCTCCAAATGCCTGCAAAGAAATAGATTATCGTGAGTATTAACATTCTTAAATCATTAAGCCACTGAATTCTAAACTATAATCCGCGACACAATAGTGTGTCACATAAAAATTCGGAAAATTACACGAACCGTTTGCCGTGTACGGTCATGGTTTACCATTAAGGTGTGTCACCAACAGGGTCACCAACCACCGCTTCAATCGAAAAAGCTCTGACCCTCATCAAAAAATATCGAAAATTGTCAAATATTTTAATGAGCTTCTGAGCCTTAATCACCATAAACAAAATAAAAACTTACAATTCCCAACATTTCCCAATGAAACTCAAACAATCCACTGCTAATGACTGGCTTAGAATGAGAAAGCTGCTGCAAAAAAATTCTTAATTTCCAACGAATTTCTTCATTTATTTCTTTGCACAAAATGTTTCGTAGAATTTTTGACGTCCTGTTCCCCTCATCCACTGCAGCCATACAACAAGCAATTTCTATGACTGTATAAAGAACAGCATTTGGTAGCCAAGAGTTGATAATTAAACAAAGTCCAATTTGTTGAATTGTAAGTTGTGGATTTGAAAATACAGAAAACAGCTCATAAAGTGAAAAGACACCGGAACTGATGTAAAATCCAATCGAAATTGTGACGGGAAATGAAAAAATTTGATTAGTCAATGAAACTGTTTCAAAAATTTTCAAATGAAGGTTCGCTAATGTTTTAAGCATTTTTGAGTAGTTCAAAATTTTTGAATTATTTTGCAATTTTGTCTCAAAAATTGAATTAATTTTTTTATAACGAAACTTGATTCCAAGAACAGTCAGCAAAAATAATGCAGAATATACAGCATGAGAAAACATATAAATGCTGCAGAATATTTGAACCAGATGAGTTAATCTATTGTCTTTGAATCCTTGTGTGTCTATCTCAAAAGCGACAGTCAATATTACTGTTATTAGGAATGATGAGAAGCATAAAAGGAGGCCAAGAAGTAAAACTTTAATTCCAAAACTACGATGTTCTGAATAGTTGACTCGGAATTTTGGTGAAATATTATTTATCTGAAAACAATTTAAATCAAACGGATTTAAGGGATGCAACAGTTTTAATGCATTGTTTACGGTTCAGCAACTGCACATTGACTAACAAGATACTCACACATTCATCAACATCACTAAAATTCTTGATCACATCACAAAATGCTTGCGAATGAATAATAACTCCAAGAGTGTGCAGCACAGATATTCCCATTGGTAAAGATTGTATGATTTGATAAATAAGAACTGGCATTGCTGAGTACCTAATGAACCACGTTTGTACAAAAGTTGCATTCAAGTACATTGCACTCAGCATCACTAGTATTAACAAAATTGAATAGCAACAGTTGAACATGTAAAATCTGAGAAAATTTTTATTAGTTTTGTCAATGCAGAATGGAATGAAGCCTAGAATGCATCCAATATATTTTATTGGATTGATTGACATGAAAATATTTTCATGCATTTTTGTGGAGGTTTGAAATTTCAGTTAATGTAATGTGAAGTTTAAAGAAGACTGAAAATGAAATTCGACTTTTTTCATTAATTAAGAGCATTAACTGATTAGTAATTCATGTAATTATGTTTATTAATGTACTTAAATTCAAAAGGCTTGCAACGGTAATGCTTATGATGTAGATACAGATATCTTGTGTTAAGCGACTTGTGCTGTTCCGGTTACTTTGCAAGTTTAAATTGAATCATAATGACAAGATACTGAACTAAGCCTCCAAAAGCCTGAAATGAAAAAAAAAATGTTTTTAATTTTATTGAGAAACAGATCAAGATTGAAGCTACTTTTGACTAATTTTTATGTACAACTCAGACTTAATTAGTAGCTAACTTACAATTCCCAGTGATTCCCAATGAAATTCAAACAATCCACAACTAAAAGCAGGTCTTGAATGCGTAACCTGCTGCAAGAAAAGTTGAAGTCGCTTTCGAATTTTTCCATCTTTTTCTTTACATAAAATATGTCTCAAAATTTTTGTAGTTCTATTTCCTTGATTTACTGCCGCCATACAGCACCAAATTTCCATAATCATGACACAAACAGCATTCGGCCACCAACTGCTGACAATAAAACCAAATCCAATTTGTTGTGGTGTGACATTTGGTAAGGAATAAATTGAAAATAGCTCATAAAGTGAAAAGACACCGGAACTAGTGTAAAATCCAAATGAGACCATAATTGGAGTTGAGAATATCTGATTTATCAATGAAACCATTTGATGAGCTCTTAAATGCAAAATTGATAACTTTCTTAGAGTGTCTCTGTACTTGATTAGTGAATCTTGATTTTTACTTTTCAGGATGTTCGAAATCTTAACATTTTGATTCAAAAGTTGATTTATTTTTTCATAACGATTGCGTATGCCAAGAACTGTCAGTAAATATAGTGTGATAAAAACAAGTTGAGCAAATGAGCATGAAAGTGTGAATAATGTGATGAAAGGTGATGAATTCATTTGAATGGTAAACAAGTCGAGCACAAAATATTCAGCTATGAATCCGCACATAATTAAAGGTGTGAAAAACAAAATAGTTGCTACTATGATTGCAACTCTTACAGGAAACATGTGTGAAGAGTAATTGACTTGCACATTTGGTGAGATTTTGTTGATCTGGAAGGAGTTATTTTATTATTAGACATTAATTTAAGGTCTATAATGTTCATGACGGTATTTAGGGCACAGAGCAAGCTAGGGCACACTACAGTATGTCTACAAACTAGGGTATGTCTTTAAAGAAATCAGCTATTGGTTACAACTCAAAACCCCCAAAAAAATTAATGCAGAAATTCTGTAGATTTTTTTCTGAATTTTTTTGTTTGCCAGGATTCACAAACTTTGTTTCCCGTGCTCCTCAAACCTCCTCTGCTCTACATATGTTAACAAAACCACAAATTCCCTTCACTTACATCATTATCAATCTCATTAAAGAACTGCACTAGTTCTGAAATTTCTTGTGTATGTGCGAAAATGCCACAAGTAATGACAATCGAAATAATCATTGGCGATGCTTGCAAGTATTGATGAACCAAATCTGGCAACAATGATCCTCCATCAAAAAACTTGATTGCAACTGTCATGTTGTGATACAAGTTTTGAATCATTAATAAAATTAACAGAAATGCATAAAAATTGTTTAAAATGTAAAATAATTTAAATCTTTTGTGGTTTTTTTCTAGGCAAAATGGAACAAATCCAAAAATGTTTCCTATTAATTTCATCGATTTTATTGTTGAAATAATATTTTTCGGCATTTTTTATAGCTTTGGTGTTGACTTCAAAGGCTGAATTAAGACTGTAATAAGTCAATTATAATTTTATTATGTTTATTGATTTTCTGGCATAATTTTCATTGCTTATAAAGTTGATTAAATTGAATCATTGTGACTGAAATTCAATTATTAAGCCTCAAGTCTTCAATAAAGTAAAACTTGTTATTTGTTCCTTAACACTTTCATTCACAATAATTATGTGTTGAAGATTAATTGAACCATAATCATAAGATACTCCTTCAAACGTCCAAAATAATTGCGAAATAAAATCTTATATAACAAATCTTACTTGAAATCAATCTTATCCTTACAATCCCCAAAGATTTCTAACAAAACTTGAACAATCCACAGTTGAAAGCTGGTCTGGAATGGGAAATTTGCACTAAGAAAGTTTTTAAACTTTTTTAAACTTTTTCGCTTTTTTCTTTGCATTAAAAGCTTCTCAAATTTTTAATTATTTTAGTTTCTTTATCTATGGTCGCCATAACAGCGTAGAGCGAGAAGGCACCAGCACTCATGTAGAATCCATCCTGGCATAATTTTTTATCCTGGCAAAAAGGAACAAAATCAAAATTATTCCCTAGGGATCGTTCATTTATGGCTTTCAATAAAAAGAGGGTGCGGGGAGGGTGGTTTAAAAATCATGTCTTTTAATCGGTGCCATAAGTGAACGGACCCAAAAAAATTTTTTGATTTTAATATCAAAAAAATCATTTTCTTTAATCACAAAAACTTGGACTCGACTTAATTTATGGCTAAGTTGACACTGCAATCAAGAACTAATATAATAAAATTATATTTATTGATATAATCAACATTATAATTTATTTATGAAGATCACAAATTCACTTAAATAGATTAAATTGAATCATTATAACCAGAAATTCAACCATGGATCCAAAAGCCTGAAATTAAATTTTATTAACATTTTTTTAAAGAGAAAATTGTAATTTTTTTTTGTCATTTTAGTGATCAAAAAAAAAGGTATGCTGGGGAAAACACTTACAACTCCCAAAGTTCTCCAATGAAACTTAAACAATCCACAGCTAAAAACTGGTTTTGAATGTACAATTTGCAATAAAAAAAGTTTCAACTTTTTCCTTTTCTTCTCATCCTTCTCATTGGATAACATCGTCCTCAAAATTTTACTTGTTCTATTTCCTTCATTGGCTGTGAGCATGCAACATGAAACTTCCAAAATTGTCGACAAAAAAGCATTTGGAAGCCAACTATTGACCATTAAACAGAATCCAATTTGCTGACGTGATGCATTTGGGATGGAAAGCACTGATAAGAGCTCATAAATTGAGAATACACCAGCACTGACGTTAAATCCAAAGGAAACCATAATTGGGATTGAGAAGATTTGATTGACTGACGAAATTGTTTGGTGGACATTAAGGTGAAGTTTTGATAAATTATTTAATATTTTTAAAGTTGTTTCTTGTTGATTTGAAGCTGAACCAACTTGAAATTTAGTTCTTCGTGTCAGATCAATTAACAGCAATTCTGATTCAAAAATGTCATTAATTTTTCTGTATCGATAACGAATGCCAAGCAATGACAAAATAAATAAAGCCACGAATACGAGCTGAGCGTACAAACAACCGAACCCAAATAATGTAATTAACTGTGCACTTAAATCTAGATATTGAATCACATCAATATCCGTAATAATTGGAATTGTAAGACAAACAATTAGCGATAGAATTATGAAACAAGTTGCTATTGCCATGGCGGACCAAACAAACACACGATGCAATGAATAGTTAATGTGGATGGTTGATGAAATTTGGGGGATCTAAAAAGCAACAAAGTTTAAGGTTATTGTTTGGTTCTTCCACGAAAACTTATATTTATGAGCCAGGATCAAAACCTTTATTAAAGGTGAGCAACTCACCTTTTTGTCAATTTCATCAAATTTCCTAAGCAACTTCATAAACTCTTGTCGATGCAATAAAGATCCAAGGACATGAATTGTCGATATAGTCATCGGGAGAGCTTGAATAATTTGATGCACTATTTCAGGCATCATTGATGCTTCTCTAAACCAAGTAATGGCAATTGTCACATTGAAATGCAAACCGTAAACCATTAAAAAAATCAAAATAATCGAATAAATGTAGTTTAAAAATAAAAGTCCCAAATAGTTTTCATGGTTTTTGTCCAAACAAAATGGAAAGAATCCAAAGATATTTCCAAAATATTTTATTGGTTTAAGCGCATCAATAAGTTTTTCTGACATGATTGTTATGTTTTCTGACTGCTAATGAATATTACTGAATTAATTATTTTAAGTGTATTTAATTTTATTAATTTTGTTTTTATTAATTAACGTTAATTAAATTATTAAGTTTCAAAAGTTGACAATTATTTTGTAATATTAAACTGAACCATTATAACAAGATAGTGCTCCAAATGCTTAGAAAGTAAAAAAAAGCAGCGTTAAAAATATGTTTTGTGAAAATAAACTTGCAAAATCATTTAATCGGACATTAAATGCATTCCCTAATTGGCAAAGAGCACAGAAAGAGCACACTCTAATTTTTGCTGAGTGTACTCTAAAAAGTATGCTCTTTCATACAAAAGTTTGTGCCACTACTTTACGCCTAAAAGTGTACTCACCAGAGCATACTCACTCAGTTATACTTTGAGCACACTCTTGAAATACAACATTTTTTTATGTGTCATGTCACATGTGACACACTTTATGCTCAATTAAGCACATAAAACATATGCTCAAATGAGCATACTTAGTTTGATATACTTTTAATATACTCATAAAAGTACATATTAATCTGACTATTGATGTACTCAAAAGAGTATACTTTGAGTGTACTTTAAAGGACGTAATAAATAAAAATTATTATTTTTTGAAACTTTTTTTTACTATTATTTTACATAATTAATGTGTACTTTTTTTTATTATGCTGTTTAATTTTCAAAGCTATGAAAGAAAGAAAGAAAGAAGAAATGATTAATGAAAATTTTATAAATCTTACCGGGATTCGAACTTCTGACCGCTCCTGTTCTTAAATAAATTCTGCGTTGCTACCTCTACTCCACCGAGTTGTGTTATCTTAAGTAAAATTTTTGGCAAATAGCACATTTAACCTTGATTTTAAATTTTAAAATTTAAATGACGCTATTGCTTGCGTTTTGTCCGTCCGTCTGAAAGGAAGGTTAATTAAATTAACTTTTTCTGAAATTTTACCTTACGTTTTACATACGTATTTTTACGTAGCCCTTAAAAAGGTGAATTTTCTCACAACTCATTGGTCACGGGTTCAGGCCTCACCGTGAGTAACTTTTTTTTTTCATTCTTTTTACACTTTTTTGATAGATCATGATGTTTTATGATAAATTTTTCCATTTTCATATTTTTCCACGCGTTTTCCGAGCTTTTCACGGAGTTATTCACTTTTTTCCATACATTTTTCATACCAAATTATTTTTTTGCCATAACTTTTGTATCTTTTAAACTTTTAATCTGAAATTTGGCATGTAGGTTAAGTGGTATATAACCTGAATATATAACCGACGCCATTTTGGATTCTAAGGGTTGGAGACCTATGTATAATTTATTTTAGCTATAACTTTGAACTTTTTTGAGATTATAAGTTGTAATTTGGCATAGAGGTTAATTGACTGTTTCTTAATGTGAAACCAATGCCTTGTGGATTCTAAGGAGCAAAAATAAAGCAAAAATTGCTAAGAACTAGTGTATCGGGTAGAAACCCAAGTTATCCATAAGTTTGAAGGCATAAAGCTAGCGAATCAGCTGAGCTTCGCTCTGCATAAATTTGAAGGTATGAAGCTAGCGCGTCAGCTGAGCTTCGCTCAGCATATGTTTGAAGGTTTAAAGCTTAACGAACATTCTTTGAAAGATTTTTTTTTTTTTTCATCAAAAGTTTAATTTTATAAAAATCACAGTCAACTTTTGTTTTGAAAAATTCGTAAGAAAGGAAAGTTTTTTGCTTTTTCTGAAGCAACGGCTGTTTCTACCTTGCCTTAAAAACAATGCAGCTCTTCTATAGAGCAGCACGAATCAAATGTAAAAAACTAGAAGTCTCTACGATGTCTCGTTTCTTGCTGATTAACTTGCTGGCTTGTTTGCTTACAGAAAGCGTATTTTGCGATTTTCTCAGCAATGTCGCAATCAATTTGAAATCTGTGTTTTGCAATAGATGTGAAATTCCAGGCATAAAACTTTTCATCTCTGACCATTTTAAGCTACCTTGTTCCATATCCTCACAAAATTCAAAAAACTGATTTTTTAATCTGAACAAAGCCAATAAATTCACACGTGAAAACCTAAAAATGTTTACTGTGATGAAATTTCCAAGTACTCCACAAACGAAATTGAAAAAGTCAAATTTAAAGGAACTGAAGCATCCAAGTAAAAATTTTTAGATGTCAAAAGGTCTTAAATCATGATTCTCATCAGTTTCAATCAAAGTTTTGGTCATAAACTGCATCGGAAGGAAGTATTGCAAAAATTTCATTTTTCGACAATTTTTTTTCCAATACAAAAATACAGTGCTGAAGCATACAAACGATTTCAAACTGATATTTATAAATTTTTTTTTTAAATTAAACCTAGAGATTCTTGTAAGTAAATATTTGTTAAGAGTGAGAATTTAAGTATAATCCAATTGGATGTGACATGTAAAAAAGACGTGCTTAGAGTATATTTGAGAGTGCACTCAGAAAGTGTACTCAGAGGAGCATAATGTTTCTTACATAAACTTATTACAAAGACGTGATCAGAGTACATTTGAGAGTGCACTCAGAAAGTGTACTCAGATGAGCATAATGTTTCTTACATAAACTCATTACAAAGACGTGCTCAGAGTACATTTGAGAGTGCACTCAGAAAGTGTACTCAGATGAGCACAATGTTTCTTACATAAACTTATTACAAAGACGTGCTCAGAGTACATTTGAGAGTGCACTCAGAAAGTGTACTCAGATGAGCATAATGTTTCTTACATAAACTTAATACAAAGACGTGCTCAGAGTACATTTGAGAGTGCACTCAGAAAGTGTACTCAGATGACCATAATGTTTCTTACATAAACTTATTACAATGACGTGCTCAGAGTACATTTGAGAGTGCACTCAGAAAGTGTACTCAGATGAGCATAATGTTTCTTACATAAACTTAATACAAAGACGTGCTCAGAGTACATTTGAGAGTGCACTCAGAAAGTGTACTCAGATGAGCATAATGTATTAAAATGTGAATTATCAGAAAGATATGCTCTGAATATGCTCTTGAGTACACTTGAAGAGTATACTGACGAGAGTATACTGTCTTTGAAATTACACTCACATTTGTCATACTCACAATGTGAGAGAGGACATACTCAATAAGTATACTCAAGAGAGCACATAAAGAAAATTTTTTGTATCATGTTGATGTACTTAGAGTATGTAAGAGAGCGTACTCAATGAATGTACTCAACTGAGTATACTACGTTTTTGTACTCATTATGTACTCATGAGAGTATGTTCATTTGAGCACATAAATTTCTATAATTGAGTATGCTCTTGCGTGTGCTCAAATTTGTGAGCATGCTCTTTGCCTATTAGGGATTATGGTGCGAAATTGAAAAAAAAATTACAGAAGTCCTCGTGTTATTGATCGAGGGACTTAAGCGCATTTTTGTGCTGGCGATCAGTATTTGATTATCTAATTATTTTGCGTTCACTTACAGATCATGAGAAGATTAGAAGATCATTAATTTTAGTGCAATTAGCAAATAATTCCAATAAATGCTTATATAAAAGTACTTTATTATTTAACGGTCAAAAAATAATTTGAAATTTCCCGCTAAAAGTTGCACTACGAAAACATTAGTTTTTGTATTTTCAATTATAGTATAATTAAATAAATTGTTTCAATGAATTTCCATATATAAATTGTTTATCATTTAACGGTAATTTAACGATAAACTTGGTAATTTAACGGTTTTTTGAGATTCAAAATTTTTCAACGGTAGATATAAATTCGAATTTCTAAACGCTCTCATCACGTTTTTTTTCATATAAAATATAAAAATCATTAATTATAGTACAAAAACACTTTTTCAAGACTTTTAAATGCGTTTCCTGAAAATAAAACAATGGACCTGAGCTAATAAAACAAACACGAAATCTCTCCGATGTCTAGTTAAAAAGTTTTTCTCCACCCGAACGAACGAACAAAGCGACATATTAAGCTACCTTTTCGAAACAAGTTTCAAAAATGCGCTAAAAAACCTAAGGACCTAATTCGAAACATTCCCATTTTTAGATGAAGTGACCCTTTTTTTTAATTTTGCCCCATAGCATGCTGTACAAAACTTGGTCTATCCACAAGATTTTATATGATACGGTGTGAATATATCCGCATTGTGTTTCTACCCGATACACAAGTTTTGAAAAATGATTGAAAACACAGCAGAAAAAATTCTATTTTTTATAATTTAAGGGTAATTCCATGAGAAATTTTTGTAAAAAATTTACTTAAAATTGATTTTTTTCATATTTAGGCTTTACAAAAGTTAATAAGATTTTCACAGTGCATGTAAAAAGTCATATGGTATATGATTTGACATTAATTTTCTATCTAAAGTGGTTAATTCGTCCAAAAAATTGATTCCATGAGCGTTACTTGGTAACGCTATAAATGTTACCAAGTAACGCTATAAAATATAATTTTTTGGACTTAATAATCACTTTAGATGACATTTTAATGTCAAATAACATACCTTATGGCTTTTAACATGTCCTGTGGAAATCTTATTAACTTTTGTAAAGCCTAAGGATGAAAAAAATCAATTTAAAGAATTTCTAAACGCTCTCATCACGTTTTTTTTCATATAAAATATAAAAATCATTAATTATAGTACAAAAACACTTTTTCAAGACTTTTAAATGCGTTTCCTGAAAATAAAACAATGGACCTGAGCTAATAAAACAAACACGAAATCTCTCCGATGTCTAGTTAAAAAGTTTTTCTCCACCCGAACGAACGAACAAAGCGACATATTAAGCTACCTTTTCGAAACAAGTTTCAAAAATGCGCTAAAAAACCTAAGGACCTAATTCGAAACATTCCCATTTTTAGATGAAGTGACCCTTTTTTTTAATTTTGCCCCATAGCATGCTGTACAAAACTTGGTCTATCCACAAGATTTTATATGATACGGTGTGAATATATCCGCATTGTGTTTCTACCCGATACACAAGTTTTGAAAAATGATTGAAAACACAGCAGAAAAAATTCTATTTTTTATAATTTAAGGGTAATTCCATGAGAAATTTTTGTAAAAAATTTACTTAAAATTGATTTTTTTCATATTTAGGCTTTACAAAAGTTAATAAGATTTTCACAGTGCATGTAAAAAGTCATATGGTATATGATTTGACATTAATTTTCTATCTAAAGTGGTTAATTCGTCCAAAAAATTGATTCCATGAGCGTTACTTGGTAACGCTATAAATGTTACCAAGTAACGCTATAAAATATAATTTTTTGGACTTAATAATCACTTTAGATGACATTTTAATGTCAAATAACATACCTTATGGCTTTTAACATGTCCTGTGGAAATCTTATTAACTTTTGTAAAGCCTAAGGATGAAAAAAATCAATTTAAAGAAAATTTTATAGCAAAATTATAGCATGGAATTACCCTTAGTTAAATGATTAATTTTGTTTCAATTTCTGAATTAATTAATTAATTAATATATTTTGTATTCACAGTAGTTTTTGACTATTGATATTCGGACAACGCCACTGTTAAAACATTGTTAAACAGAATGAAATTATATCATTTATTATTAAACTTTGGTTGAAATAAGTTTAGTGCATTCCGTCAAATAATGAAGACCTTTTTGTTGAGTTCTTTAGCTTTTCTTATATTTTATAAAAGCTATAATGTAAGTTTTGGTAGTAATTCATGATATTTTTGTATATCTGCACAATAAAACAAGACATCAACCTTAATTCTCTTCTTCAACGCAGGTTCATTCAACAATAGACATAGAAACACCAACATCATGTCCATATGATCAAATTTTTGAACCAGAAAAGTCAAAATGTTGTGAAAATCTAAACAAAAGACGAACAGAATTTGCTTCATGCTGCAAATATCCAATTCTAGTAATTTATCGAGATGACTATGAATTTTGCATAAAAAATTGCACAAACTCAAGTTTAAATGCAGCACCTGAGCGCTGTTGTGTGATGCCGTGCTGCTTTAAAAGACTCGGAATCCTTACAAATGACATAACTGATATAAGCACAGATGGATTAATCAACTCATTTATGATGTCTGTCGATAATAATGAAACATGGAGAAATGCTGTAAATGATGTTGTTCGGTCATGCACGGCTGCTGTAAAATATCCACCAAATCCTAAAGATTATCACAATTATTGGGATTGTTATGAAAAAATTCCATATTATTTGTATGATGTCGTTGATTGCTGTTATGATTACAACTTGTAAGTTTTCTCATTTGACCTCTGCGCCTTCAAAAAGCTACTCATTCATTCCATGTTATTAAATCAAGGAAATTGATTTTATTTTCAGTCTAAGTTGTCCAAATTATCCATTTGAGTTTGAGTCATGCTACGAATCATATTATTATGTCCTTGATTGTTTCCTCAATGGAACAAACTTGCTGTCAACACCTCTGAAAAGTCCACGTAACTCTGAATATAGTGACAATGAAGATGACAATGAAGATGACTATGAAGATGACTATGAAGATGACTATGGGGATGATTATGAAGACTATAATAAAACGACAACATTTGACAATATTACTTTAGACCGTCAATCAAGTTTTGCATTTTTTAAATTCTAATGAATGGTTTTTTTGTGCTTAATCTCTACTGAATACAGAAATGAAACAGACAGAAATAAAATAAATAAGTAAATAAGAATTCCTTTAGTAAAATATGAGCTTTTAACGATCGACAAGAAAAGAAATAAAGTAGTTGGTCCAATCGTTTGTCCCGAGCGGGAATCGAACCATTTGGATGAATTACTTTTTGGTTTTACATTTTTTTTAAATAAAACCTTATCAATGATTTTTTTAAACATGTTAAACTAGTTATTTAAGTAATTTTTTTCCATTTTGTACAAGAACTTTCCATGGGAATCACTCAGATATGTTGTTAAAGCACTTAAAGTTTTTTCAAATCAATTATTGCAATCAGAGGGCAATTTTCAGGACTAATCGGTTATTCATAACTTGGATGACCATATGCTGGATTTTTCAGAGGACAGCTATTGATTTTTTTTTCAATTATTCAAAAATAAAATAGTTGATGTGCCTTAGTTTGCTTAAAGTAGTGTTGTCTAAACTGTGTGCCACGGCATACTGATGTGCCAGAGAAATTGTTTGGAAATAACACGAACCGCATGTTGTGTGCGTTTTCGGATGTTGCTTACTCCTAAGGTGTGCCGTGGCTCAAAAAGTTTGAACAACACTGGCTTAAAGACTTTGTACTAAACTTGGGGTGTGAAAAAAATGGTACTTACTTACTTCGCTGGCTGTACAGATCAAATGTGATTCATGGCCTGCGTTAGATGGCGAATAAAGCTGGCTCTATCCCTAGCTACCGTTTGCCAATTTCCAGTACCAAATGCAATACTGTCTTAGCATCATGACAGTTTTGCGCCGGATTTTTATTCAATATTTTTTATCTCTTTCATATTTCAGTTCATGAAATTCTTTCTAGCAAATCAGATTGTGACCTCGGAGAAAAAAAGTCACTCTTAGGAACCTTATTATGCTTAAAAGTACGAAATAGGCTTAAAAAAGTAATCAGTTTCAGACCCTCGGTCATATTCATCTATGACTAATATCTCAAATCAAATCCATTCAATTATCAGCAAGGACAGCATACAGTACACATGTCACAACAATTACCAAATATCACAATTGTTAACAATTTAATATGTTCGAAAAATCCAAGCTTCCTTTTTTTGTTAATATCACTCAACCATAAAAGCCACGAATCTTGTAATCAGAAAAACTAAGCTTTTCAACAATTTCATCTATTCTGACAGTCAAAATAAAAATCAATTCCCTTTCATTCATCAACAAGACCAGAAATGGAAAAGATTGAAATTTTTATCGCTTTGCTGTTAGGTGTGGCACTGTCTGTGCATTTTGTTGTAAGTTTTGACCAAACTTTGACTTTAAATTTGCTGAAATTTAATATATTTTGAACAGATTCAAGGCCAGGACTATGGAAGTCAGGACTATGGAAGTCAGGACTACGGCAGTTCAAATGCAACATCAGAAAATTCAACAGGCAATGGAACCCAGGCTGATGATTATTATTACTATTATTATTATTATGAAGAACCTCAATATCCAAGTGAATGTCCAATGAATCAATTTTCAAGTCAACAAGAATTCGATGACTGTTGTGCAGCAATGGACGCAAATCGTCGAAATTTCTCCGACTGTTGCGAATATCCACAACTTGTTGTATGGCAATGGCAGTACAATATGTGCATTAAGAATGTTCAGGCTAAAGGACAAGAACCAAATCGTTGTAATGTCATGCCATGCTGCTATCAATACATGGGTACCATTGACTCGACAGTGACCAAATCTGGAATTAAAGTTGCTGGATTGAAATATTCATTCTTGTTGTCTGTTAATAATAACACAGCATGGGTCAAACCAATCAATGAATCTGTTGAAATTTGTAATAAACATTTGCGCAAGACCGTTCCAAGTAAAAGGAATGCAAATGCTTACAAAAGCTTCTGGGATTGCTATGAAACTATTCCACTTTATTTATATGACATTATTGGATGTTCATATAATTTCAACTAGTAAGTATGATAAGGGGTGAGCTAGGGTGTCAATCTAGGATGTGGATCTAATTAGAATGTTTAAAATTGATCCACACTCTTGATGACTTCTGACTGATTAAGTTGCACACAATAATTTGGAAAATTTAATTCAAATCTAGCATCTGGTGTCCAAACGAATTGTTCCATTCAGAGCTCGATAGATGCGATATGACCAGACAATACGTCTACAATTGCTTACTTGGAGGCACATAAAGCTTAAAAACCGAAAATATTTTGTTCAAATTTTTAACAAAATGTTAATTTTTGACAACTGAAAATGAAATGAAATAAAATTGCTAATTAAATGTTTTTGGAGTTATTCACAAATAATGTCGAAGAGAGTTGAGAAGTCTCTGGTCGATGTTCCAAAAAAGTGGATTCTTGCCTCTGATTTGAGGAAATTTTTACTGTGTAACCATTTTTGTCTCGTATCTACCAAGGGTGCGGAACTGATGAAATGATCAAAAACGATCAAAATGCAATTTATCAGTTCCGTACCCTTGGTATATAGTTTAATCATTAAATATCAGTCTAGTGAATAATTCATGTAATCTGAAGTGCACTTGACTTTGAATATTCGTACATATGTAACTGTAAACAGGTAAGCAAACATAGTCTCAACTTTCAATGTGAAAAGGCTTCGCTATTGAATAGTAAAGAGAACTTTCATAGATGCTGTCTACTCTTATATTTTTAATAGATTTAAATTATAAACTTTTTAACAAATTAATTTTTAAAATTTTTATTAGGTGCAAATATCTTGGTTTAGTCAAGCTAGGTATGATCTAGCTTATAGCCTAGCTCACATCATATTTTTAATCAAACCTATATTCAGCGTGGTCTAAATCAAGTGTTTGCACATGAAAGACACTAATGATTAACCTCCTGGCTATAGTCATTTCAGAATGTACTCAACAGCATCTCAACATTTAATCATAAATCTTTATTACTTGCTGATAATTGTTTGAATGCTTTGATGTATTTTATAAGCAAAATATAGTTTTATTAAAGTCACAAGCTCGTCAAAGATCTTCGAAAATTAAAAACAAAAGGAACCGTCCCAATATAACTGAATTCTGAAATCTCATAAAATATCTTTAATCTCATTATTTTTAACAATATTAAGAGAAAGCCAAAAATTATTAACAAACCCGAGTGGGACACTTGAAAAGTTCTTAAAAAAATTATCATAAATCGTTCCTTCGTCTAGGAATTTACTAAACATCATGTTAAGTGTTCCACTCTGGAAACACGTCAGAAATATAACTCTCAACACAACTCTCTGTCACTCGACACCTCCATTTTCAGGGACCCAAAGTGTCAGCTCTGATGATCGTGAACTTGATCCATTTTCAAGGTCAATTGAATGATTTGTGTTGAAATTTCTCAGCAGATGCTTAATCTTTAGTATCAATGGAATGATGATTAGAAAGATGATGAATAAGTACGCAATAACTTCACGGAAGAATTTTTCTAGAATTAGAATTGTTGAATTATGTAGACATGAGCGACAAAAAGCTTCAAATTGCAAAGTTCTGAATTTGGAACAAATAAAAGTTGTCAATTTGAATATTTTTTGCTAACCGGCTTTAATTTAATTTGGAACTTTTAATGAGTAAATTGTCATGAGGCGTGAAAAGAGAATCAAGTAGGTCCAGACCCTCTGACATGTGATTCAATATTCAGACAAGTTCTCAAAAAATTAAAACTATCGAAAAATGACTAGCCATGCTTCTGTTTCTGCATGATTAGTAAAACATTAGATGAGCTTTTGGAAAGACTTTTTGATTTATTTTTTTCCAATTTTAATATCAAGCTTTTATTTAAATTAAACTTAATAAACCACTAATTACCCTTTTCACTCCTCATTGTAACTGTATCCCATTTCTCGCTACTTAAATTCAAATTCACTTCCTAGTTTTGTTTTCTTTTAATTTCATAATTCATTAACGTTCAGAATGAAAATTATTATTATTTTGTAGTCTAAAATGATAAACATTGACTTATTCACAATAATTAGATAGCTACTTGTCAACTTATCTTTATGAATATCACACACTAAGTGAACGAGAATAATAATAATAATAAAGTATAAGACGATTCATGAGACTTGATTCTCTCTTATTCTTTTATATCACTTTTTGTCGACTTGTGACGCTAGACCTCGACATAAAGTCTACTTTCCTCTAAACGAAATGATATAAATCGAGTAATCAAGTACGAGTGCTTCAAATCTGCTTTCTTAATAACTTTATCAAGTTTATTGATATTTCAAGCCCGTACGGGATTACAATTTGTATTTGGTGATTATATTCCTGTTTAAATGGAATATTATAGTCTTAAGTGCTAAATATAATTCATGAAATAGTAGATAAAACCTACAAAACGTGGGAAAATGCGTCCACTATGATCAAGGTTGAGGATGGAAAGAAAGAAGCCATGTCAAATGGTTAAAGGTGAAATGAGGGATGAAGCGCATAATGGTCACGACAGACATTCTGTCTAAAAACGTTAGAGGTATGACAAATTCAGGAAGTTTTAAAGATAAGGTAAATTTAATGATTTAACGTTGCTAGCTGACATTGTCCCCTGCTTAATTTGTCTCTATCTAACGCTTGTACTCGACTGATGAGTCGCTTTCATCATCACTTTCATGACCTTTGTATGTCCTTTTGCTCTGATTATTCAACTTAAAAGTCGAGTGATTCGGAACAATAATAATTGACTTCAATCTTTGTTTGTTTGGGATGACAGGCTGTGCAGCAGGATTAGAGCATCCTGGTAAGGATGAAACAGTCGGTTGGGATTGAATAGAGCGGCTGCTATTTTGGATATGTTCCAAATCTACCACAATTCTATCGTTAGCCTGTTGTGCTGCAACAACTGGACGTATAGCGTCGAGTTGTCGTTTATACTGACGATAATTTATCAACCATTGATTTGCTAAAGTTGGTACAGCACAGAATTTTGATGGTGGATCTCTAATCCTAGCGATTAAAATCAAATCATCCTGATTTATATCAAAGGCGTTCCAATTGATGCTAGATATTTCCACCTTTTTGATTAACAGCGTCCTTTTAGGATGATTTGATTTCATTATTGGGCATACAGCATCATCAATCGAAATTTCACGCCACTCAATTGCCTTTTGGCAGTCTTCAATGGATGCAAAAGTGATATTTGCGTAATATCCATTTGCTTGGTGTGTGCTATCGCAAAAAATCCTCACCAGCTTCAAACTCTCACCTGATAAACGTGTCATCAGTTCCATAAAGCAACAACTTATAGGCACACGTGCTAAGCGCACTGTCCTTTCATTTTCTGGATCTTCATACAATGGATCTCGAGTCAAGTTTCGCAATTTTCCAGCTAATGAAGAAGCTCCATCTCTTACCTCGATGCTGCGAAGGAATCTTGCTTCTCCAAGCTCAGTCATCAACTTGATGATGGAATCAGGATCCAAATTGTGACTATTTTCCATTGTGAGAAATAAATTTTGCTTTAAAATGCCGTAACTAACCTTGCAGCTGAGCGTATGACGTCGTTCAGAGGACAAATTCGAATCGGTTTCCCTCTGGCTGAGCGACTTTAACGGCTTTTTGACCCCTTTTGAAAACAAGATTGTATTATTGTCACAATTATTGTGACTTTTTTCATCAATTTCCAATTTTGCCAGACGGACTACAGAACGTCTTTGCAAAATATCTCCATTATGTAGTTTGACGTCGGCTATACGTGCAAAGCCATCACGTCCCTTGTAAACATTAATTATTAATCCTCTTTTCCAATTTGCAGGCTTTACAGTTGGATCGGTGTAAATGACGTAATCTCCAACTTCAAGACCTTCTTTTTTGTGCCGTCTTGCACCTGATTGTGTGATGATTGGTAGATATTCTTTGATCCAGCGCTGAGTAAGCTTTTCTGATGTCTTTTTAGCTCTAATTATCAAATGATGTAAGTCATCATTGTTTGGTGCTTCATTTTCTCCGACAAAGGCGTATCCTGGATGCTGTTTTATCAAGTAATTTGGAGTGATTGGGCATAAATCATCTGGGGAAATTGGCAAGTGCGTCAGCGGTCTAGAATTCATTATATCCTCCACTTGCAGCAAAATACATTCAAACAGCTTCTCCTTAATGACTTTTTTATGCATTTCCGAATGTATGGCTCTCTTGACATCCTTTATTAATCGTTCCCAAACACCTCCCCAATGTGGAGTCAGCGGTGGATTGAAATGCCAAGTAATTTTCTTGTCTTTTGCCAATTGTTGATGATGCTCTGCCTTAATAATGTTTGACGCTCCTAGGAAGTTCCTTCCATTGTCACTATAGATATGCCTAATAGGTCCTCTTCTTGTCCATAGATCCTGTATTGTCAGCAGCATTTCATCTGCTGTTAATGTATCCAATTTGCGTAAGTAAACTGCTCGGGTTATCATGCAAGTAAATAAGACGATATGGACGTCCTTTTTGACATACGAATTCCCTGCATATATTGTTATTGGACCCGCACAATCTGCTCCTGTATACTCAAAAGGTTTACTTCCGCTGGCAACGCGATAAGCAGGTAAAGGTGCTGTTGGTGGGATTCGATGCATTGCTCTCATTTCGACACAATACAAGCATTTATGCTTTACTCTCTTCATTGCTCTTCTTGGATCAATTATCCAGGCCCTTGCTCTAGATTCTGCAATAGTTCCTTCGATTCCAATGTGCTTATTTTTGTAATGCAAGTCCTCTAAAAGCGAATGTACACTTTCATGTCTATTTGGTAGTATTACAGGACATCTCATATCATAAGGGATTAAAGGATCATTGTACATTCTGGTTTTTGCTCGTATCAATTTTTCTTTATCCAGAAATGGATTTAATGTGTACAGTTTGCTTGATTGTGCTACTGAAACTCCTCTGGCTAGACTTTTCAGCTCTTTTTTGAAAATCACTTCTTGAATTCGTGAGAATATAAGCTTCTCACCTGCATCAAGTTCCTCTGTATCCAGTACTGGATCTTTTTTCAGCTTTTCACCTCTTATTGCTTTTAACATGTTATTTTTGAATCTGCATGCCCATGAGATAACGGTTTTGTACCAGTCAAATCTAGCACGGATATCAGGTCTCACAGTTTCAAATATTCCTGCGTAGTATTCTTTATTCCTTTTAAGAACTTCTTTTTCAGCATGCATTGCTAACAGTATTCTTTGCTGTTCCATATTAATGTTGGAAGGAAACTTATTTGGCCATGAATGTTCTTCTTCATACAAGAATTGTGGACCTTTAATCCAACGATGGTCTGCCGACGAAAAGTCGATGTCATTCCACTTTGTTCCATCGTCTGCGACATTATCACTACTGGCAATGTAACGCCAGTCATTGACGTTTGATATTTCCCGTATTTCTGAGATTCTTGGTGCCACAAATTGTTGAAGCTGCAAAGTATGTGAATACAGCCAACGCAAAACTGTTATTGAGTCTGACCAGAATGTAGTACACGCTATGTTAAGTCTTTTGTGCTGTGTTTTTATAGTTTTAGCAATTTTTGCACCGATAACAGCTGCCATTAATTCCAATTTAGGGACGGATGCATATTGAACAGGAGCGACTCGGCACTTTGCCATTACAAGCGCGACATTAATCTGTTTATTTGTCATGAAACGAAAATAGGCAACTGCAGCATAAGCTTCCGGTGAAGCATCGACAAAACATGTAATGCTACATTACTGGATCTGATGCTATGATATCCATAGTGCCTGGGTATCTCTAATTTGACAATTTCTTCAAATTTTTTCAGCCATTTGATCCATGCTTCAAATAAATCTTCTGGGATATGCTGCTCCCATGAAAGTCCACGTCGCCAAATTGCTTGTAAGATCATTCGTCCCCTGATATGAAAATGTGATATTAGACCTAAGCAGTCGAATATCTTCATTACGAAGCTAAGCACTTCGCGTTTTGTTGGATGATAATCATGTTCTAATGATAAGCTCACTAGCTCAAGATTATTTGTCATTTGGAAAGTAAACACATCCTTTCTTGGGTCCCAAAACAAGCCAAGTACTTTCCTTGATGTCATATCTTGATCCGATCCCAAGTCCATGAGCAAATCTTTGTCAATTGTTTCTTGTGGTAATTTTTTAAGAACTTCCTCGCTATTTGAGCGGAAGTCTACCATATTCCAGCTAATTTCACCAAATAGATCTATAGTTTCCTTGGCTGCTTGCACTCCTTCTTCTTCTGTATCTTCTGAATTGAATGCATCATCCATATACATGGATGTTAGACCAATTTTGCTTGCCAATGGGTACTTTTGCATATTCTTTTCGCAATGATCGATTCTGATGGCATTTGCTTGCGACGGAGAACAAGTCGGTCCAAAGAGCATGTTTTGAAAAATATAGATGGTCGGATCCTTTGAGCTGTCGCAATTTCTCCACAGGAATCTCTGCACTTGCTGATCTTCCGATATTATTCTTACTTGATGGTACATTTTTGTGACATCACTTACTACCGCAATTTTCCTCTCACGAAAGTGAAAAAGAGCTTGTGTAAGTGGTACTAGATTATCAGGACCTTTGAGCAGTCTTGAATTAAGCGAAACACCTTGATGCTTACATGCTGTGTCAACTACCCATCTCGGCTTTGGTGGTTGCTTATTATTGTTGAACGTGACAAATCCAACAACGTAATTAATACGACTATGCGGAATTTCTGGATTAAGATCCTCTTCAGTTGCTTCCCGTACAAATTCTTGTTCTCTTAAGGATTTTTGATGATCATTTGCCCATTGTGTCATACCTAAATGCTTCAGGCGTGCTTCTGTAGCATGTAAACGTTTTAAAGCTGTGCTTTAGTTATCAGGTAATGAACATTCATCATCTCTCCAGTACAACCCGATCTCATACCGATTTCCGTCTCGTCTCATCGTATTACTTTGAATATTCTTTGCTCGAATATCCTCTTCACATAAATATTCCTTGTTTGAGTCAACGATTCCAACTGATTCGAAACTGTTATAGTATTTTACTAATTCGTGAAGTTCCTGCAGTGACTCCTTCTCTTGTTCAGTTTCTAATTTATGGATACATTGTGATTCTGACTCACAACAATAGAATATTGATTTTGATGGAACTGATCCACCACAAATAGTCCAACCCAACGGCGTACGCTCTGCTATAGGCGCAGATTCTTGCGTGAAGTCTACTATTGTTTCAAGTGAAATCATCCATTTAGCATGGGGAAGTCCTAAAAGGATTTGCGGCCTCTGCTCCGTAAACTTAGGAATTAAAGCATTCGTAAGATACGGATATTCCGCTTTTATCGCTTCTGGATCTTGTTCCTGCTTTGGCAATGATAACTTCTGGAGCGCTATCATTCCATTCAAGCTAATGCGCTTGTCAGGATCTCCAATTGGAGCAATATTTAAGTCATGTAAAAATGCATTTGACTCTAAACGTTCTGTTTCCGGTTCCAACCATGTTAACTCGAGTTTATGCGGTTTCCCTGGAATGTGAAGTTTGTCAAATAGCTCCTTGTTTACCAATGATGCACTTGCTGCTCTATCCATCAACAGCGTTGTCTCGATTTTGTTTCCATATCCATCTATTACGTAGATGGGAACAACTTTAAAGTAAGTTGATTTCGTTCTAGATACAAGTTTTATAGATGCCCGACTACTCGATGGTTGTGAAGGTTCCTTTGCTTCATCACACGATGGTGGATGCATCATTGTTGTATGTGAGGCAGGATCTGTGCAGTTTTTCTTATAACACTTCGGAATTCGTCCAGATCTTGGACAAGTCGTACTGTTGTGTTGATTAGACGAAAGACATTTAGCGCATATCTTATTGCTAGCGAGAAATATAGCTTTCTCGTCATATTGTAGCTTTCGAAACTCATCGCATCTATAGAGCGGATGCTTTTTTTCTTTTCCACAGTACCAACAATCCGGTCTCTCTCTTTTCCACTTTTTCGTCGGAAATGGTTTTGGTTTATCCTGTCCTTCATACTGAGCCACATTAATTGAAGCTTTTACCTTCGATTCTTGCTTTCCATTTGACGGTGTTGAGACTTCCCGACTTGGAAGATTCGGTACGAACGACCACATAAATTCAGAAAATTCTACTAAATTTCCACGTAAGTCCTTATCGTGAATATGTGAGTGCCACTTTGATTCTATTGCGTAAGGCAGCTTGTTGGTAATTCTGGAATTTATTGCAATCTGGAGTTCTGGCTGGAAATTGAGATCCTTACACAAAAATATATAGCTGTCAATTTCAACTAGAAAATTTTCTAAAGACTTTCTGTTTTTATCTGGAATTTGAGTCCAGTTTTCAAGCCTTTCCCATGCTTTTGCAACTGCTTCTTTCGGCTGGAAAAATCTCTTCCGAAGAGCTTCCAAAATCTGATCTGCGTTCGCAAATGGCTGATTAAGTCGCGGCTTTACATATCGTTCTGCTTCACCAATTAAGGAATCTCTCAGCTTGTCGACCATTGTTTCATTATCATACTCTCCTCTTTCCTTCATACGTTCATAGCTGGCTTTAAATGTAAGCCATTCAGCTGGGTCACCAGAGTATCTCATAAGCTTGGGAGCTTCCAATCGTTGAACATGGAGCCGCTGATAATAAGCCAACTTTTCGGTTTCACTCATTGCATCGATCTCTTGTCTGGTTTTTTGACGAGATAAAGAAGTACTGCTATGACTTGTTGTTATTGCTGGCTGTTTAAAGATTTCAGTTAATCGACGTTTGAACTCATCATCGCCTTCATTTACAGTAAACATTTCTAGAGCATCTTTTTCTGTAATTTTTTCAGCTGAATCATCTTCGCTAAAACTTTGTGATAATGTTGATGCCAGAATTTTTGCTTTTGCCGTATCATTATGATTTTTACTTAAACGGCGATTTTCCTCCTCTAGAAGCTGAATTTTTGCTAAGGACTTCGACAGTTCAGTCTGTCGAACGGCATCTTCACGTTCTTTAGCTTCGAATCGTTCTGTTATGCCTTGTAGGAGCAATCGATTTGCCTCAAGTTGTTTCTTTAATAACAACACTTCATCATTTGATTTTCCTTTTTCCTTCGCTTTCTTTATACAGTCAGTAGTGCAATACCATTCATCTAATTTATCTAAATCTTCTCCTGCCTTGCTGGTACACTTTAAATGAACTATGCGTTCACACCAAGTGCATTTTATTCCAACTTCTGGATTCTCTGGATTCGTACAGGATTTAATCAAACATTTGTATGGAGTCTCTGGTATGCCATTTTCATTTAGCTTAATTATGGCTGACATGTTGATGGAAAATTGATAAGCTCAATTTTCTTTTCTTAACCAATTTAACAAAACAAATTTTTGCCAACAATTTTTTGGGTACGATGTTGACTTTGTGGGAATGTTAAGTTTGTAGTTTTGAATATAATTATTTCGACTTGTGACGCTAGACCTCGACATAAAGTCTACTTTCCTCTAAACGAAATGATATAAATCGAGTAATCAAGTACGAGTGCTTCAAATCTGCTTTCTTAATAACTTTATCAAGTTTATTGATATTTCAAGCCCGTACGGGATTACAATTTGTATTTGGTGATTATATTCCTGTTTAAATGGAATATTATAGTCTTAAGTGCTAAATATAATTCATGAAATAGTAGATAAAACCTACAAAACGTGGGAAAATGCGTCCACTATGATCAAGGTTGAGGATGGAAAGAAAGAAGCCATGTCAAATGGTTAAAGGTGAAATGAGGGATGAAGCGCATAATGGTCACGACAGACATTCTGTCTAAAAACGTTAGAGGTATGACAAATTCAGGAAGTTTTAAAGATAAGGTAAATTTAATGATTTAACGTTGCTAGCTGACAACTTTTTATTAGTGTAAACATAAACAAACCTGTGATATGAAAGTTATGAGAGAAGCGGAGACGAATAATGAAGAGAAATTAAGATTGTGAGATAATTTGCATGAATAATTTTTGTGGGATTTTCTTTAATATTTCATTCAGAGCGTTGATGAGATAGGTGCATTTATGGTAAAACTATGATAGTTCTAACAAGTGTTTGTTAATGATAAGGTACCAGTGAGTATACTCATTGTTTGTAATTCGGATGTAACTTCGAGATGATCAGTTGAAGCAAGATAAAACTGGGCGGGCAGTGAAAATTCCAATTACAAACTCAGAACCAAGAAAACTCAATTTAGGGGTTATTTTATTTGTATAAATAAACAACTATTGATGCAGATTTGATGCCCATAACCTTAGTGATTAATAAATCAGAAAAATTAAATTTCCAAAATACAAAATCTATTGGCCGATTGAAATCCTTTGGAACCTCAGAATTCTAAATCATTTGATTTTTCACGTAAATATTAATAATACTCGGCCATTTATTACTTCTCCAAATTACAATCATTTACCTTAAATTATTAATTTCATTAAGATAATTCAGATAATGTTCAAAGGTTTCCTGAATGACAAATACTTTCGCAACCAAGGCGTGGAAACTATCCCAAATATCATATTTATCCCACATATCCCTAAAATATTCAAAACCTCCTGAGCATGTATGCAAGATAATAAAGATATCCCAACATATCCTTAGTGTATTGGACGTGTAATTTTATGATATGATGGGATATCTCAATTCTAATGCATACAGGCTCAGGGATTATTTTGAATATTTTTGGGATATATGGGATAAATGGGATATTTGGGATAGTTTCCACGCCTTGTTCGCAACACAGCTCAATCAAAACATAACTTGAGATTATTATATGACGTAGGTCAGTATTTCTGCGCACATACTTTTCCAGATGAAAACTGAAACTTAAAAATGTTTATAAACATCAATTGATACTCTTTAAATTATTGTATGTTTATTCATAATTATTCTACGACTCACAGCTCTATAAACAAAACTTCTTACCAGATTCTCAACAAAAACTAAATTGAGTTCAAAAAATTTATTTTTGTTAAAATAAAGCCTGGTGAAAAAATGACCAAATCATATCATTTAATGAAACATCAGGAAATTAATAGATATAAGATTATTCCAGCTTTATTGAGCTAGTTTCCTCTCAATGGATGAATCAACAATGACCACCTTTATTGTAGACAAACCAACAATCACCTTTTAAAAATGTCCCAAATCTTTAAAAAAAAGACAAGCTAGATACTCGAATGGCACAAGTCGGTTAATCGATCGTAAATCCGGCACCAAGCGAGTGTCAAATCGAAGTCAGCACCAGGCTAGTGTCATACCGTCTAAGCCCCGGATTTCTTTTCGATTAACTGACGTGTTCTATTTGAATTTAGCACTAAACTCTAACTTACCTTCAATCCTGAATTAAATGTGTTCAGTTTCATGACCACGACATATAGAAAGCGGTGTATCTCACATAATAAATTACTGTATCATAAGAATCTGCAATAAATGAACTTGAAAGAATGTAATATGATCAACAAATATTATTTTTTATTAAGATACAACAGCATATACTTAACCACCACATACGCCTATAATTTAAATAATTAGTCGTGCATTAATGACCGCATTTGATTAATGTATATAATTATTACACGTCTTAAGATTTACTCATTTATATTAAACTTAATTGCGTTAATTTATTAGAATACTAGCAAAGTTGCCCGCTAATCATTGCATTGCTAAGACATCACAAAGCTGCATGAAGATCATATTGACAAAAATTCCCAATCCCTGGAAAAAAAATAATCACATACCGGAAAATGTCAATTTAGTAGTCACTCAACAGATTACAGGTAACAATAATAAAAATCTTTGATAAGATTACCGTAATCAATTATCAAATACTCATTCCAATTTTAAGCTTATTTGCTCTAAATCAACCTTAGAGAAACAAAGTGAAAATGTTTAAGTTTTTAATTATTTTAATTTCATTTGGAATTGTAAGCATCAAGTATTTTATAATGTACAATTACTGATTTTAATTTAATCTAGGTTGCATCACAACGTTCACAATTCGTCGACTATATTCTTGATCTTCAATATGCCGTTGGATATATTCATGATGAAATTCAAGACACAACATGGCAAACTCGTTACGATATGAGCGATGAATTAACTGAAATTGTTAAAGATGCAATGACTGAGATCACTAATGGTAAGAAATGATGCAGGATAGACATCCATAAATCATAAAATTCTATCAATTTAGGTCTTACAACATATCTTGGTATGAGAGACAGATATACCGGATATATCGAAGCTAATCGTACACCTGAAAATACACAATGCATTGATACAGCAATTGCTAATTGGCCAAGAATCCAAAATGCTGCTGGTGCTGCCATTGCCGTTTGCGGATCCAATCCAATGAATCCATTGCATTTGAATGTCTTTGGCTATCATAACTTTGTAAATTCTCACAGACAATTGAAGTTTGATGCACAAAATATTGTTCTTAATGCTTTTACTAAGGTGAGTTTTGGGGTGAAATTTAAGGAACGAGTATAGCATCAAATAATTGAATTAGTGGACGTAAAGTTCGGTTTTTGAGGTTATTTAGATTTGGGAATCTTAATTATTTTACTTATTCATTTAAAGAGATTATTGGCTCTAGACAAATACGTCATAACTTGGTAGAGTTGATTAAAGTTGAAATTTATCACTAATCCATATTATTCCTAGTCATGCCTCCTTAGTTTTCAAAAGGCAACATTATTTAAAAACATTACTCCAAAAAATCCAATTAATCAAAATTAATTCCACATAATAATCGCAGGTCAATCCAATGACAAATGTTATGGATCTCTCACCAACAGTCGAGCAAGACATCAACACAATCTATGACAGATATCAAGCGGAAGTTGTTCCTGAATTGACTACAAGATTAGAAGGATTTGCTCAACTTCGATCGGAAATTCCACCAGAAGTTCATGATTGTATTGCAACAGCATTAAACAAGTAAGTTGAGTTGGAAGTGATAATGAATTGATAAGAAATTTTAGAGATAAATTGAGTTTGAGTGGCTTTTTGGGTTAGTTTGGAAAAAATTAAAATTTTGAAAATGATTAAATTGTGTAAGAGGTCGTTCAATTATGACGTGATGGGAGGGAAGAGGGAGGGGCAGCAAGAATAGAACAATAGAAATTCCTTGAAATTCATTGTTCTTTTTTAAAAAATGATCATTAATTTTGGACTTTATGAATGACCGACCCCTAAACTTGACAATAAAAAATTATATAAATTTTAGCAATAAAACCTTACGATCCATAGCTGCGCATTATATGCGTTACAAAGGGTAATGATAGTTTAACGAGAAAGGGTTCGCCAGACCTCCCGCTCAAACCTAGACCTACAGTTTAAAGTAGCATCCGAACCACTCTTCTGATGACATTTCTGCCTGTAACCTACAAAGGTAGGCTGTGAGGCTCATTTAAAGTACATATGATTCGAACAATAGATTTTACAAAAAGTTTCTTTCAAGCTTTTCAAGTTCTTACAATCTTTAGAATTAGTTGAATTCATTATTAATAATATTTTGTCTTTTTTTTGTTTTTTGTAGCTTTAGCAGTCAAGCAGGATTAATCGTTCAAGCTTCAGCATCATGCTAAGTGCAAGTTAAAGATAAATGTGAAAATGACTAAAGATTATACAACAAAATTAAAACCAATTGTAAAAATTATTGAGTAAGAGAAGAGAAATAAGTTAAAAGTAGTGTTCAAAATCTCACCAAATTTTTCACGAGCAAAAATTTTTGTGAGCAAATTTTTTTAAAAATCTCACGAGCAAATTTTTCGTGAGCGGCTCACGAAAATTTTGCTCGTGAGATTTTCAGCTCGCGAGCCAAATTTTGCTCACGAAATTGCTCACGTGAGCCTACGTGAGCAAATTGTGACGTAATTTTTCAAAAAATTTCTATGAATAAATTTGTATGAAATTTCTTGTTATGGGATGGTTCTTCAGAATGGATGAAGCTTTTGCCAGTGACTTTTCATGACTTTGCTGGATAATTTTGAGTATGCAGGACCTTCTTGTTCCTGAATCTTGACTTGTTGCTTGGATTTTTCCTTAGTTTTGCTTAGAATCATTTCCAAAATCATAGGAGCCAATGATGGAAATAGATGTCAAAACATTCTTACAATACTTTTGAGACATCTCATATGGAACTGGTCATGTCCAACTGGGTGGAACTGCCGAAAAAATTTTTTTTTATTTTTCTATGCTTTACAGACACTTTTGGGCAGGGGTTGGAACCAAGCACTTCCGTTACTTCCAGGTCCAATTTTCAGTGCTTACTATGTCAAGGAGGTTTCGAAACATCAGGAAAACACAAAACTTTCAAAATATTCAGCAGTTCCTTCGAATATTCTTCAATAAACCGCAAGATTTTGTGAAAATGTATGGAAATTTTATACAAATGCAATATTTCACAAAGGAACTGCTTTCTAATTTGAAAGCTTTGTGTTTTCCTGATGTTTCGAAACCTTCTTGACATAGTAAGCACCTAAAATTGGACCTGGAAGTAAAGGAAGTGCTTGGTTCCAACCCCTGCCCAAAAGTGTCTGTAAAGCATAGAAAAATAAAAAAAAATTTTTTCGGCAGTTCCACCCAGTTGGACATGACCAGTTCCATATGAGATGTCTCAAAAGTATTGTAAGAATGTTTTGACATCTATTTCCATCATTGGCTCCTATGATTTTGGAAATGATTCTAAGCAAAACTAAGGAAAAATCCAAGCAGCAAGTCAAGATTCAGGAACAAGAAGGTCCTGCATACTCAAAATTATCCAGCAAAGTCATGAAAAGTCACTGGCAAAAGCTTCATCCATTCTGAAGAACCATCCCATAACAAGAAATTTCATACAAATTTATTCATAGAAATTTTTTGAAAAATTACGTCACAATTTGCTCACGTAGGCTCACGTGAGCAATTTCGTGAGCAAAATTTGGCTCGCGAGCTGAAAATCTCACGAGCAAAATTTTCGTGAGCCGCTCACGAAAAATTTGCTCGTGAGATTTTTAAAAAAATTTGCTCACAAAAATTTTTGCTCGTGAAAAATTTGGTGAGATTTTGAACACTAGTTAAAAGCCACACCAATAAGGCATTCAGTCTCCTTCTGTCTCGTCATAATAAAATAACAAATAAACGACTTTAAGAAATAAATTCCAAAAATTTTATTCAAATATTCCTCAAATTTAAAATTTATTTTTTAAATCTAAGGATAGTGCTGAGAATAGTGTGTTGTAGATTTCCTAGGTTTTACTTCTGGGCAATTCTTCATGAAGAACTGCACTTTATGACAAATTGGTTCTTCCTTGAAGTCAACACAATCGTTGGCCAAAAATTCACGTAGGCATGTCTGCAATGTTGTTATTTCATACTCAATTGTATTTTGGCGTGTTTGGGATGCTCGTGTTTGTGCTGAAATGAGAAATTGTTGCTATTGGAACCAAAGCTTATCAATTCCATAAAGTCTTATTTTTGAGGAGCTTTTAAGCCTTGGTTGGAACTAATATAATCTTATAAAATATTACTTACATCCCATGGCAATTTTGCACTTCTCAACAGCATGATCAATTGGAACTTTCCATTCTGGAGTGCCTTTTACACTTTCCATCAGCATTGCTTTTACAGCATCAAAGTTAAATGCATTCCCAACACGTAATTTTGTGTCATCATATCGACAAAATTCATCACATTTTGCCTGTCTTTGTAAGAACAATTCCGAGTAAGTACATTCATGATGACATTTAGAGCGCAATGCCTGTGAAAAAAGTGGTGGAATTTTGCAGCATGAATCAAGTGTTCCATAGCCAAATGGCCAATGTTCACAGATCGGCTTAATATGATGACATTGCTCAAATAGTTCCTGAGATCTCTCACAATCTGGTGTCTGGACAAATTGGACACAATTGTCAGTCATGAAATCAGTTAAACAGCCAAAAAATCTTGCAAGTCTGTCATGCATTGATCCATTATCCTCAAATTTACAGCTGTCAATTCCCGCTTCAATTATTCTGATCCATTTACTTGGAACAACGGAAGCACCAATCATAAGATTTTTAATTCGTTCTCTGTTCAATCGATGATCATAAAAGATTCCAGTCACATTTATAAAACATGAAGCACCGCACTCGATTTGACGTCTTTCATCTGTTTCACGAGATGTGCAGCGATAGAAGCATGTGTTGAGGGTGATTTGGAGTGGATTATGTGGAATCATGCAGCATTCTCGAAGTGGTTTATATGTTGATGGCCATGGCTTGCAGGCTTCCTCGGGTTTCTCTCTTTTAGATGATTTTGATGACTTTTGATCATCTGTTGTTGACTCTACAGTTGTTGACTCATTGTTTTCTGCTGTTGTACTGGAAACTTCGACGACTGATGTTTCTGTTGTTATAGCTTCTTCGGTGGTCTCATCAACTGTTACTGGATCTTCTGATTCTTGTGTAATCGTCTGTGAATAGTTTTTATTAAAATAGTAAAGCTTATTCTTAACTCACTCATTAAGATGCAGGATTGAAATAGTAAAAAATAAGTCATAGATAACCTAAATTCGGTTTGTTTGAAGTCTCAAAACCTACCTGAATGTCAAAATAAAACTATTTTTTTCATTGATACTTACAAAATCAAAGCTACATATCAATACCAACAAGATGATCCAAGAAATCTTCAGTGACTTCATATTTGACAAGCTTGCCTTAAAATTTTAATTCAAAGAAATTTAAAAAAAAATTATAAAAAAATCAGATTTCCACAAAAATATTCAAATTGACGCTCAGCTTAGACAACAAATCAATTTGCTACTAATTTAAAATAAATGAATTTCAACAAAGTTTTCCAAATTATTTTATTTGCGACCTTGCCGATTATTTTGGGTGACACAAAAACAAGAGTTTAACAAAACATTTGCAGCACATTATAAATTTACCAAAAAAGAATATTTTCAATTTTGTCGTGTTGAACATTCGGTTTGTATTTTGTGCCTGTAAACTCTTACATTGTTCTAATTACTTCTGTTGTTTTTTGTGATTGTTAATTTTGCATTGTTGAGGTCAAAATAATTGTGCTTTTTATTGCAACTTATTGGATATTTTACATTCCCGAATGGCACAAGTCGGTTAATCTAATAAAAATCTGACTTCCAGCCGGCATGACTCTGGCATGATGCTGGCTTCAATTTGAATCCAGCACCATGCCAGAGTTATACCAGCTTAGTTTCGGATTTCAACTTACTTGTGCCATTCGAGTTTGTTAAATCTAGTCATTTAACAACCAAATTATAGGAAATAATCCATGCTCTGAAACTAGCCGGCATTTTAAAGGCCAGTTTTGGGGGTATTTGTATGGAAGTTCGCAGTATTTGGTGGATTACCACCTAGTTTCTGAGTCTGAAAAATCATCTATAATATTGAAGACATTATTTTGATTTTTACTAATTATAAAATTTATTATCTTAAAGTATTTCATGCCTAAGAATTCAATTTGAGTCCATCCACATGTAAAGCAAGGAAATTCAATAATTTAGAAATTATAGTTGACTGTTGGTAAATTACTGCTGAATCACTTAATGTGATATATGCTACATTAACACCTATCTGTATGGGTACTCCTTTGTCGATGATAAACATTGGACCACCTGAAAATGAGCAGAAGTTTGAGAATCAAAAATTCCTCACAAAGTTCGAAATATTCATTTTTCAATCTGAAAACCGAGATTTTAAGTGACCCACTCACCACCCCCCCCCCCCCCCTTCCTCTGAGTCACTAGATGTGTATGAAGAAGTAAAGTATCAAATGAAATTAACTAGTTTATCAATATAAATGAGCTGTCGTTCAAAAATAATAAAGTCAATGGCAAGGGTTTCATGGTTTCATGTTTTTTGCTCGTAAAACATGATCTCGGAACCCCATCCCTTGCTATATAACATGATTGACAATTTTTCACTTTTATGATCCTCTTTTAATTATTGAATAACTTAAAAGCTACAAATTATTACTAAAACTCACCTGAATCACCTCCTAAGCTTTGAGATTTTTGATTAATTGGCCTACTTGCATAATAATAAGGACCAAGATTTAACTCATTCCGGGACACAAGTCTAAACTGTGTGTAGTGCAGAAACCTTGTAAACAGCCCTGGATTTGTTTCTGGAAATACAATTAATGAACTAGTCAGTAGATTGGAACTTGCATCAATTAGAATCAACTTGACTTGACATTCCCATCAAATACTTGAGTCAATTTTGAGCTTTATTTCGGTACCTTACCCGAATAGCACAAGTCTGTTAATCGAATAGAAATCCGACACCTCTGGCATGGTGCTGGATAACTCTGGAATGGTGCTGGAGTTAAATCGAAGCTAGCACCATGCCAGAGTCATCCAAGCTTGGTGTCGGATTTCTTTTCGATTAACAGACTTGTGTTTTTCGGGTTATTGATAGATGACTCTAAAAAGACTAGCAGAAGTCATCAAAACTATCAAAAGTCAACTTACGTCCCCATCCAGCAAGATAAGCAACTTGAGCGCCTTCAATAATTGTTCGGGCTTTAAAAGCATTAATAACTTTAATATAATTTATATCCTCAGAATATGTGACAGGACTTGATAGATGCAGCAATACAATATCAAGTTCTGAATCATCTTGTACAGTTGGATAGAAGCAGTTGTCCGCAAAATATGACTCACGATCTTCACCACGATCTGCTGATCCTAAAAGTATCTGAACTGTTGCGTTGTCTTTCCTGTTTTAGATTATTTTGAAATTACAACTTTACAGACAGCATAAGTAGCTCATTAAAGTCCACATCATGGACATGCTAACAAAAAAATTGAATAAAAACTAACCCATCAATACAATGTCTCGCTGATAAGACCCAATTGTTGTCTATCAAGCTTCCACTGCATATAAATCCAACTCCATCAGCTTGTTGAATCCTTATTTCACAAACAAAAGGAAACTGACCATCTGTAGCTTCTTGTGCGACACTATAATGCAATTTTGATGCAGCTATGCTTGGGATTTCAGGTTCAATAAACTTAAAATCTTCTGATGATTGAGGGATATAGAAATTGAGACCTTGGGATGTCACATCTTGTAGATTTGTGTCTGAATTTAAAAAAAAAACTTAAGTTTATTAAAAAATAATTCAAAATTTTACTCACATTTAACAAAAATCTGAAAAATTAAATAAAGTTTCAATAAAATCATTGTTTTCCTTATTATTTTTTAAAATTAAGCCAACTCATTTGAATGACTGTGATAAACTGATAAAATGATGTCAATGCTCAATATGTATTTATTTCCAATAATTATTTGCATGTATTTGTGATTCTCGTTCATCCCAAGATGTCTGTTTTGATGCGAACATATGGCAAGTTACAATTTACGCGTGTTTGCTGATGAAAACATTTGAAACGTGCGAGTTTGACGCAAATAAAATTCCTTGGGGACTCTTTACCCTACTCTTCAAACTTGGTAACTTCTGTATCAGGTGTTGGATTAAAAAAATAATCGTTTACAATTTATTTACATTTAGATACATTATTTACATGACTGAATTTGAAAAGGGTTTTGGGAAAAGTGAATTGAACTTCCATGTGGAAGTAAGCTAAAGTGTCTCTGTGAGGCGAATGCTAAGAACAATTTATGGCTCTATAAAAGATGAGGAGGAATACAGATGTTTGCATAATGAGCTGTACCAGGAAGCGGATATAGAAAAGGTGCTGCGAATAAATCTATTGAGATTGGCTGTGTCAAGAAATTAAATCTTTCTTGCATTATGAAATATCTAACGATAATTTCCCTTTCAAACACTTGCTGAAAATTCCAAAAAAATATGAATATGCTGCATACGTGCAGACAATTGCTAGAACGCCAATGTGAAGAGTGAATTGGAAGTGATCGAAAGGGAAAGTTTTCCTTAAACCGCATTTTATTGTAAGAATTTAGAATTATAATTAAAAGATAATACTATTAGTAACAATTTGAACTATACAATAGATTTGAACAATTCCGAAAGGACAAAACAATAAAAAGATTTGAGTCAAACTGGATGTGCTTTCATCGCCACGCTGCTTGATTCTTCTTACTTCCAGAAAATATTCATTCATAAATTGTGTTCATTTAAAAGGTAGGAAAACTATTTCATTGCTCAAACATTTCACTGACAGGCTGGGCATGTAAACAGAAGCTTAGAAGGCTCGTCAGTGCTGAAAGTAACAACAGCTGAATTTTTGGATGGTGAGAAATCTCGAGGTAGACTGAAGAACACATTGAATGGCTGTGTAAGGAAAGATGCAAATGTGCTAGAAATTAGAAACTGGCAGAAGTTGTCTAAGGATAAAGCCAGTTTTAGACGAACTTTGATTCAAAATTTTAATTTCATCAAATCGAAATTAAATTATCCGTTAAATTTTAAACTATTTTTGTAGTCTCACAAGGACATTTTTGTGAGCTGCTGGAGCTTTTGAATGTCTCTGTACACTTTTAGCTGTAGACTAATTCCACCTAAGATAGGGTGACCATCTGCGTAGTTTTACAACGGACAGTCCTGTATTTCAAAACCCTGTCCCGTATAAATTTGAAAACTTTGTTCCAGGTCCTGTATTTTTATTATGAAAATTTCCGTTAATTTTCGAATTTTACTCTATGTCCTGTATTTTTCGAAAAAATTTACCAAGAGTCCTGTATTTTCATGAAAATTAGATGGTAACCCTACCTAAGATCAACATTAATGAGCCTGAAGATGAATTTAAAAATGTTTATTTTAAAGCTGATTTGTAGATTACATTAGGCTGGTCATACGGTTTGGTCCGATTTCCCATTGACATTTTCCCATTCTTCTTTTGCCACTTGAGATTTGACCATCGATTTTTCCCCAGTAGGACTTTTGTCCAGTAGTATTTTTGGGCATCAATTGTATTATCAGGAGACCTAAAGAAGCTCCAATTAACAAAATCTTTAAGTCTTATTTTGTAGATGAAAAGAGATTGTGCGGACGACCAAAGAATTCCTGGAAGGAAGCTGTTGACAGAGAATGCATAGCAAGTACCACAAGTCGGATAATCAACACGAAATCCAAAAATTCGCCACTAAGTCACCATGACCTCGTCCTAACCTAGGATTTCATCTCGATTATCGGACTTGTGCTATTTGGGATAACATTAGGTATGAGCAATTTACAAAGAGTAGCCAGCGACAGAGTCTTTTTCAAACGCCAACTAAGGCAGTAATTTTATAGCTGAAAAGTCTCAAAAATGGCCTGAAACAGAAATAAGCAAATAGGTGAAAAAATCTCATTTGGATTTGGTGGAGCTAATGTGTCTTTAATTGTCAATGAAGATTTTAGTAAATATACAAGAAATTTTTATTAAAATTATTTTAAAATTAAAACGAATTTTTTTTTTTTGATTATTTTGGTTTCACTTCCTGCTCACTGACATATCGTACAAAAATGCTTGGATCTGCCATTGGTTCTGGTGGTTTCTCTAATTCATCCAAATATGAGCAGCCTATAGCTAGAGTACTTCCATCACTACTAAAGCTTAATGCAGAAATTGATGTATCATAATGATGAAATTGACATAAACGCTTCTTATTAAATCCATCCCAAATACTGACATATCCATCGGAACCGCCACTAGCAAATGTTGAATATCCACTATGAAAGCTGAGAGCATTTACAGGATAAATTAATTCGATATTATTTTCTTTCTGTCGATGACATTTAAAGGCAAACTTTTTCTTTTGAATTTCAGCGTCATTATCGAAATACTCAACAGCTACACGTCCTTCAATTGATGACATAACATATCCTTCTTTATTTGGGAAGATCCTGATGCAACGAGTCTGATATTTTAATGATGATTCGCGTCGTGCTACATAACTTCCCATATTCCTTAAATCCCATATTAAGACTTTCCGATCACTTGTAGCCACAACTAGCTTTTCATCCACGACACTCATCGAATAGACTTTTCCATTATTTTGTTCATACGTTCCAACACAGCTCTTTTCACGTGTATCCCATATTCGAACTGTTGTGTCCCAACTTCCAGTTATTAATGCATTCATTTTAGTAGAGAATTCTACACACTTTACAGCATTGTCATGTGAGCCGAGATTCGCTTCACTATTAGTATTTAAATCATAAAGCTTCAATCCACCATCTAAACCGCCTGAAATTGTATGAACTTGATCCTAAAATTGAAAATTATGAAAAAATGTTGAATTAATTGGAACTTTATGACTGGATGAATTAAAAACACTTACTTGAAAGCAAACATCGAGAACTGGACAATTGTGGACATACTTTTGTCTTAAATTATTACCGAGAACATCATACAATCGAACTCCCCCATCCCAACTACTTGCAATTAAATATTGTGAGTTTTCTGGACCGAAGCTTAATGAGGAAATTGTGTCATTTGGTGGATGGTTGATTTGAATTTCTGTTTTCTTAGCCATTATATAATTTAAATGTCTAGTTCGTACAGTAAAATTAAATTAAGCTTTTTTTCAGCGGCAATATTTTTGTTTTTTTCTTCAGTTTAAAAAGTTCGTTAATTTTTGTTTTGAAACAATCAGCTAAGTTAAGAAATTCAAATTTATTTTGACACTTGAAAAAAGCATGCGAAATGCTGGAATGTCATTTATCATTGGATTATTTGAATGACTGGATATGGATGTTGGGATGAATTAATTGAAATTTATTAACAAATGTTGGACACAAATCACTTAAAAGTCTTTGAATTTTTTAAGCCTGATCATGACTAGATTGTTGAATTACTGCATGTCAATGAATGTGAGACAATTTAAACAGCAGTTTTTAACCTAAATCATTTTGCTCTGTGGCACAAAATTGTCTAATTGATGCGGAATTCCAAAGATTCTTAACTGAAAAAAATCATGTAGGAAAAATATTGTTCGCAATTCATTTTTATGGCTTGATGGGTGTCACAGAGTCTCATGATGCTTTCAATCTATTAATTTCGATCATCCTAATCGGAATGAAAGGAATCAAATTTTTCTTATTTTTAAAACATATATGTTGAACAAAAATAAATATTTCCATTTATTAAGCTTTAAATTAGTGAGTAAGAGAGTTTAAAAACTATAAAGAAATTACCAAGGTTGCGGAACTGATGAATTGATAAAAAATGACCAATAATGACCAAAATTTGATCAGAAATAATCAAAATGTAATTTAATAGTTCTGCACCCTTGAAACTCTCAAAGGTTAATTTAACATGAAATTATTATTAAAAATGCACGTTTAAAATGTAGGATAAGTTAAGCCGTACATGATTATTTGATGAAAATAATTAATTTACGATTTTGTTTTAATAAAATTTAGTATAAAATTGTAATTTTGCCTCGAATATTATTTTGTGGTGCAATTCGACTGTATTTATGCTTGATATTTTCGAGATATGTAAATTAATAAAGACAAAGACGAACCATATCGGAAATCCAGTGATTACAGAACAAGCAGATGTCAGCAGTTGAGAGGATAAAATATATTAACGTAGACCATTAAGACATGATGTGATGAACGCTTCAATTCTTATGCTGCACTTAAAGCCCATTTAAACGCATCTACATTAAATAATCTTTTAATATCTTCTTTTATGCTATTGAAGATACTAACAGCATATAAAGTGATTCTTCTTTTACCAGGAAGCAGGAAGCATCTTCATATCCATACTTTTCGCAGGCACCATTTTCGAATGGTAAATTAATGTTCTGATCTCATTGACTAGTTCTATGACGGCAATTTCTGTCTTACAGTTTTTTTCGAAAACTATATTGCCTTTCATAAATTATTTCGGTATCTTCATATAAAAATTGTCACAGTCAAAGTTGATACGGCTGTGTAGTCAGAAAATGATGTTTTATTTCCACATTTGTTTATTGTTATGACTTCTGCCGTCTTCATGCATGATGGATAAGTTTCATTCCCAAAATATCATTTTAATAAGATGTGTCATTATTGAGGTGACTTTTCTTGCCAGTGTTTCAATGACTTTTGTGCTAATGTTGTCTTTGCTAGGCGATGTCCTTTAAGGATAATTAATTGTATTTTTTATCGTTCCTCTCAGTTACTTCTATTTTATTAATCTCTTGCTCATTGCCTTTTGCGTTTAGTTTATCCTCGTTTTGAGTGTTAATATTTAAGGTTAAGTCTATACGCTACGAAATTTCCATTAACATCAAACACTGCATTCTTGAAGAAAATCACCAAAATGGTTCAGTAATCTAAAAACTCTTTCAGAACTTTAAAATTAAATTTGGAATTTTCTTGACTTTTTTAGATTTTGATTAAATAATAATAGTAAATTTAAGTGGGAATACAATAATAAGCCTTTATTAAATGAGCTACAACACAGCTCGTTGGATATGGAATAAATGTGATTATAACAAACTCAAGCTTGATTCAAAAACACAAAGTGTTCCTTATCATCAATGTCATTGACTCAAAATAATATTTTTAATCGTGGTTATTTGCACAGAATAATCTGAACCAAAGAAACAAAATACTGACTAGTCAAGCTTGATCCTTCAAACTTATGCTGAATGAAGCTTGGTCTAACAACAAGACTTTTGATGATATCTTGTGAATATATCCGCATTGGGTTTCTACCCGATACACTACTTTATATTATAATTTTGCTAAAAGTGTCGCTTTTTTCAAGTCAAGGTATTTATTGGGGATCAGGGACGCAGCCAAAAATTTGAAGAGGGGGGACAAAAAAAATTTTATATGGAAAATTCAGAGTGAAGGGGGGATTTTTATGATTTTTTTATAAAACTTCTAGCAAAATGAAGAAATTTCTGTTAACGTCGGTGGATTTGTTTCCCAAATCCCCCCCTGGTTAAACGCCTGTTGGGAATAATTGCATAATTAAAGTTTCCCGAATGACACAAGTCGATTAATCGAATAGAAATCCGGTGAACAACCGGCTTCGATTTAAATCCAGCACCATTCCAGACTCACACCAGCGTGGTGCCAAATTTCTATTCGATTAACCAACTTGTGCCTTTCGGGTTTATTTATTAAATAGTTTTCTAAAAACAGCATGTGAGTAAAGTCAAAGCACTGAAAGGAGTTCTAAGAAAATAATAGAAAATGCTACTCAGATTTTATTTCTTTCTCAAACAACTATCCAGATGGAAAACTACTTGGATGGTTAGAAACTTTGATGGTAAATTTACCATTTTTTGTGAAAAATTTCCCATCATGAAATGGGGAAAATGGTAAAAAAATGGAACAGTGGTTTAAAAACGGTGAAAATGAGAACTTTACCTTTTTTCCTTTTTATACCTTTTTTAATGGAAAATTTCCCTTTTTACCTATCAAGTAGTTTTCCCCATGCAATTATCTTGAAATCACAATACACATTTAACAATCAGAACGTAAGTTTAAATTTTATTAAGATCACCAATAACTTCGGACCTTTCACACACCATAAAACACATGAACGAGATGCTAAACAAGCTCACTGAAATATTTCATTCGGATCAAAACGTAGAGTGAACAAGAAAATTTAAAACAATCCACAAAAAAAAACATTTAAAAATATCAACGACAATCAAAGTTTAACTTGGAGAGAAAAAGTTCAAAGCCCCTCGTGCATAAACGTGTGAAAAAATTTCATTTAATTAATTAAATAGTTTCCAAGTTATTTATAGTTGTTTAAACTATTTATTTAAGTACACGGTGCTATCTGCTGCCCATTGGGAATGAAGAGACGCAAAAGGAAGCAGGATTTAAGTCCAAAAATGGACTTTGATGAAATCCCGAGTGGATCAAAACAAAATCTCAAGAAACAAAGAAAACAAGTTCCAGAAAAAAAAAACTCCACGGCGGAACCTGAAGTTATTGCGGTCTCAATGCATCCCATTTCACACTTTCTTCGAGAAATCGGAGAAAACAAAGTCGACAACATCATCGTCAAGTGGGAGAACATCAAGAAGGGCAACAAAATCCCAACGCAGTACTTCAACTGCCAACGTTGGGGTCACTCATCTCAAAATTGTGGATACAAATTCCGATGCGTCAAGTGCACGGAAGTTCACGGACCAAATCAATGTCAACGATCCACTCGTGATGGAAATGCCAAGTGCATTAATTGCAATGGCGATCATGCTGCCAGTTATAGACTGTGCCCATCGTTCATTTCGTATTCCAAAAGAATCGAAAAGTCAAGAGCCAAACCACAACTCAAAATGCTGCCAAAGATATCAAGTCTTTTGGACAGTAACAATTTTCCATCGTTAAGCAAACGACATCAAGTTTCTGCTCATTCACATCCAGTGAATGCTGCAAGTAACTCATCAGCAACATTTCAAGAAGAGATTAATCAGCAACAACTGATCAATAATATCAGTTATGCAGAGAAACTCAACGAAGCAGTAAAGAATGAAAGCCTTTTCAAGAAATTCACAGAAGCTCAAGAACGTCTAAAGAGAATCCCCAACATTGAAGAAGCAATAAATCAGTTCTGCAGTTTCGTCGACGAAGCCGGAAAGATCCCAAAGGATGCACCTCAAGGAACTGCATTTAAACTCATAGTGAAGTATGGCTTCATTGGCTGCCCACCAGCACCGAACAAGCCAGTTCAAAAATAATTTATTAACGTAGTTCATAAGCTTAAAAAAAGATTTTTTTTTTCTAGCTCGGCAATTTTTTTAAACTTTTTATGCCACATTTTCATGATATATGTAAATCTCATTCATCAAAATTAATAATCAATCAAGATATAGTTGAATTAAAGCCATATTCAGGCTGGTGTCAAAATAAGACTCAAAGAAATGTAACTTAAACTACAATAATTCCAAATTTGAAATAAAGAAAGATTATTATTAACTTGGAATGTAAGCAATAACAGTCAACCTACATTTAATTGGAATTTCTACACGAGAAGCCAAACAAAAAATTTAATTGAAAATCCACATTATTCTCCTTCTAATCCTCCTGCAAGCATTTTACTTTCAAAATCAACATCTAAAACAAAAAAAAACTATTTCTACCTTCAAAAGTATAGCTATCGACACTACTTCATTAGACGAACTAGTTTAAACTTTTGATCCTATTAAAGCTAATATTCGGAAGGAAACAACAGGAGCATTGTTAAATTTAATTAAAATTTATAAAGACTAATTCATCATTATCTCAAATACTTAATCAGCTATTAGGCTAACATTTAATTAGTAATTTAATTAATCATTAATCAAGATACTAGCTTAATAGCTGATAAAATATATGAGATAATGATGAACTAGTCTTTAAAAACTTAATTACATATGACAAGGCTTGTGTTGTTTCCTCCCAAATATTAGCCTTTATAAGAACAAAAGTTTAAACTAGTTCGTCTAATGAAGTAGTGTCGATAGCTACACTTTTAGTGGAAGAAATATAATTTTTTTGTTTTGGGTGTTAATTTTAAAAGTAAAATGCTTGCAAGTTGATTGGAAGTAGAATAATGTGATTTTTCGATTAAATCTTTTGTTTGGCTTCTCATGTAGAAATTCCAATTAAATGTAGGTTGACTGTTATTGCTTACATTCCAAGATAAACTTTGATTGTCGTTGATATTTTTAAAAGTTTTTTTTTGTGGATTGTTTTAAATTTTCTTGTTCACTCTACGTTTTGATCCGAATGAATTATTTCAGTGAGCTTGTTTAGCATCTCGTTCGTATGTTTTATGGTGTGTGAAAGAACCAGAGTTATTGGTGATCTTAAGAAAATTTAAACTTACGTTCAGATTGTTAAATGTGTATTGTGATTTTAAAATGATTGTTTGAGAAAGAAATAAAATTTGAGTAGCATTTTCTATTATTTTCTTAGAACTCCTCTCAATGCTTTGACTTTACTCACATGCTGTTTTTAGAAAACTATTTAATAAATAAACCCGAAAGGCACAAGTTGGTTAATCGAATAGAAATTCGGCACCACGCTGGTGTGATTCTAGCATTTAAGCTTGCTGTTCACCGGATTTCTATTCGATTAATCGACTTGTGTCATTTAAGAAACGTTAATCTTGCAATTATTGCCAATAAATACCTTGACTTGGAAAAAGCGAAACTTTCTGTGAAATTTCAACAAGAAAAATTAATAAAACATCCTTTTTAGTCTGAATCAAAGTCACTGAAGTAGCAAAAAAAATATTAATGAGCTCATTTTACTCATCTTCAGTTCAGATTATTCTGCGCAAACAACTTCAATTAAAAATATTATTTTGAGTCAATGACATTGATGAAGATAAGAAGACTTTGTGTCTTGAGTGTTTTTTAGTCAAGCTTAGGGTGACCATCTGCGTAGTTTTACAACGGACAGTCCTGTATTTCAAAACCCTGTCCAGTATAATTTTGAAAATTTTGTTCCAGGTCCTGTATTTTTTTCACGAAAATTTCCGTTAATTTTCAAATTTTCCTCTGTGTCCTGTATTTTTTAAGAAATTTATCAAATGTCCTGTATTTTCATAAAAATTAGATGGTCACCCTAGTCAAGCTTGAGTTTGTTATTGATCACATTTGTTCCATATTCAATGAAAGTGTGTGTGTGTGTGTGTCCCGTAATCGACTGTAATTTAAAAGTTTTTTGCTACTAGAGCTCGAAGTTGACGAAATTTTTTATGGAGCCGAGTCGACTCCACAATACAAAATCGATTAAAAATCCCTAGTCAACTTCAAGCTCTGATTGCTACTAATAATGTCAAATAAATTCAGAATAAAAAAATGCCAACTTAATTTTTATTTCTTATGCAATTTTAAAGCACTTTCAGACCCAAAAGAAATCACATCAGTTTGCTGGAAAAACGATTGCGTCATCACTTTTTGTGCATTTTTCACGAATTTCCTTCTGCATTTCAGCCACAGACATTTTTCCACAATAATGTCCAAGACATTGACTAATGCAAGTATTTTGATGAAAGTCAATGACATTAACATTGCTGAGTCTCCGGAAGTCAACAAAAACTCTTTTTAATAAATTATTTTTCATGCTGACAACAGCAATTTGTGTGTCGATAAACAGTCGTGCTGGAAGTTCCTCAATTTCATTATTTTCAGCAAAAAAATATTTTAAATTTTTGAGGTTATGAAAGATATTTTCAGGCAAGAACTTGACACGATTATTTAAAATTTTCAGTTCCTCAAGTCGCAAAAGATCAGCAAAGGCATCGTCAGGAATTACTTCAATGTGATTATTAAAAAAATCCAAAACTCGAAGTTTTTTTGCAAAAATTGCCAATTTTGATCGTTCGATGAATTTCAATCCACAAGTCCATATCCGTAAATCATGAATATTCTTAAATTTGGACACAATTTCACTCATTTCAGGAATAAATTTTGCTTCTTGTTCAATAATCCAAATTTTAACAATATCATCATCATCCTTGTCATCTTTATGTGCTCCATGAATTCCGGTGATTTTTACATCATTTTTTGGAGATCTGACACCTCGGAGGGTGCATCGGTATCTATAACATAAGGAAAAGGTCTCAGCTATTGAATACAAAATTTTCTAGCACAAATTATAACAGTATTAATCAAATATGGCAAACTGTTATAATATGTGCTTAAATTGTTATAACCTTGAATCTAAAACTGTATAATTTGTGCTAAAATTGTTACAACATTGAATCTAAAACTGTTATAATTTGTGCTAAAATTGTTATAACCTTTAATCTAAAATTGTTATAATTTGTGCTAAAATTGTTACAACATTGAATCTAAAACTGTTATAATTTGTGCTAAAATTGTTTTAATCTTGAATCTTAAACTGTTATAATTTGTGCTAAAATTGTAATAACTTTCAAAAACTAGTAAAATGTCAACTCACGCATCATCAATAACATATTCACAAAATGCATCATTCAATTTCCAATCAGTTGCTGTACTTTCTGCATTAGCTAGTAAATATCCACTGCCAACTTCTCTTCTGATCCAGTCAACAAATCTTTCAACATTTGTAAAGACAGCAAAGACATCGTCTCTACATTTTCCTTCTTTTGTAATCACTCCAACAGACACGACTCCAACCAGCACTGGAGTTTTCTTTTGAAAGAGGTAAAAGCTTCCTCCAGAGTCACCGTTGCCTTCAAAGTTATTGTTAAATAATTTACAGTTTTAATTTACTTTAGAACTGGAAAATTATACCAAAATTATAACAGTGTAAACTACTTTTAGTACTGTCAATTATGACAGTTTTGCATGTAACTGTTATAAATTTGCAGATTCTAATTTGAGATTTTCTAAATTTTCAATTGTAAGACAGTTTACACTGTTATAATTTTTAGTACTTAAAATGACTCACATGGAATTTCTCCAACTTTTCCAGCACAAAAGCTTTCGACAGATTTAATTTCTGAAAAAACAGCATGACTTTGATAGCATTTCTCACTGTTTGTAATCGGAATTTTAATTTTTTTTGGCTTAGACTCGTGAATCACTTCCAACTCAGATTTTCCATATCCAACAACAAAACCTTCAACATTCTCACGAACAAGATTCGATGCTGGAAGTGAAATTCGCTGAACAAAATTAGAAAATGTTACAATATTTGCCATTTTAAGGACAGCTATGTCTGCATCATATCTTTGATCTGAGTGATCCCATTTTGGATGAAGTTTTGCTTCTGTGACTTTATTGATTGTTATGCCTTGATTTAATGGATTCTTTAAATCATGTATTCCAATAAATACTCGTAGGTATGGAATGTGTAGAGCTGCTGAATTCAATTTGTTGTGGATGCAATGTGCAGCTATAAGCAAAAGGAATTATTTTTTTGGTATTTGAATGTATTTAAATTGTTATAATTTGCTAAACTAATCAAACTGTTATAATTTGCTAAACTGTTTAAACTGTTATAATTTGCTAAACTGTTTAAATTGTTATAATTTATAGTTCTAAAGTTCACAAATTTTGAACACAAATCAAGCCTCACCAGTCAAAACATGCTGATTAGTAATTAGCGAAGTTCCACAAAAATATTTTGCCTCTTCGCCAGGAGGTTCATAAAATAATGGACACAACCACGGACATTCACCATGCGTGATGTAACTTCCACCAATTGACAAGGAATTTGATGAATCTCCTTGATGTTGTGGCCTTAAACTTGATGTTAATGTTGTGGATGCAATGATGAGCATGACAATTTGCACAAGAAATGAACACATTTTGCTGGAAGTAAAAATTAAAAACAATCTGAAGTTAAACTTAATTAAATTGATAAATAATTAGGATTGGGAAGGATGTGAATGCTTAAAAACAGCATGCAGCACAGCTACAACATCAGGAACTTCAAAAAAATACAAAAAAATCACACGAATTTCAAAACTCAATTTTTATTCAACTTCAACAATCGCTGATCTTTTTCGTTTACAAATGCAAAGCACAACTGTCTTAATCACAGTCAGAACACCAGCAGTCACTGTAAATCCAACAAAGAACCTAAAATTGACATTCTCAGTCATCGGTTCCTCAATTGTAGATAAATTATCAAATTTCGAGCATTTTTCATCGAGTTTAAAAATTAAATCATTAAAGTTGGTTATGGATGCATTGATGCACGTGTTGTTGAGTAGATTGAGGAACTGGAGTTCTTTTAAGACAGCAAAAGCACTTGTGTCGATGACTTTGATCAAATTGTCACTCAAATTTATAAAAATTAATTTCAAGTTAAAGTCAAAAAGGTTGTTTTCAATAATTTTAAGTTGATTTCCAGCCATTGACAGATAATTGAGATCCAGGAACTCTTTCAAGTTCTGCTGCTTAATTTCCATCAATTTGCTGTCTTCAACAGTCAGACTAGTCAAGTTGTTGAAGCATTTTGAGAGTCCAAATGGCAAAAAGTTGACAATTTTGCTGTAAATTTTAATTCCATTGAATTTTGAGTGATTTGAAGATGTTAAGCAGCTGCCGATTGTGGTTCCTGGTGCTGTTATGAGCAGTTCTGTTGTTACTTTACATTCGTAAGTTTTAAGATTATTTCCTTGACTTTCAAGTTCACAAATAATTTCGAATGTGTCAATTTTTGAGATCAAATTGAAAAAAATTAAAATTTTCAACATTTTTACAATTTGTCGTTATTTTGTTGACTGCTGAATATGAGCAGCATAAAGTCCTTTTGGACATTTATTATGTTCGTGCAGTTTAAAGTATCTGGAGCAGATTTGGATTAAAGCTGATAAGATCTAAACATGGCACTAAAGCTGATTGTTGCTGCTTTGAATAAAAGTTGTGTAAAATGTGTCGAAAGCGGATCATTGGAATTCAACCTGTTTGACAATTGATTCTTATAATTGGCATTGCCACAAAATTTGAGGAATTAAAAAAGTCAACAGAAATTAGTCAAAATTATTCGAAATTGCTTGAATTTTTCAATCAAAATAGTTTTTAATCCCCTCGTAAAGTTCTAGCTTAGCTGCAAATTCTGTTCAAAAAGATTGAGGACATAAGCCTTGACACAAGCTGACTGTTACTTCCTTTAAATAAAAATCACAAAAATCCACAAAAAATAATTCGTAAAAATTTCATTTTTTCCACAAAAATTCCCGACTTTTTTCACAAAATCCTCTTTTTTCTTATCCATGCACTTCTCCTTAATTACGTCAACAAGTTTCAGCAGTTCCTCTTTATTTTTAGCATCCATATTTATGCAAGTATTCTTGTACATGTAAACAAGATCCAATGACTTGAGATTATTGAAAATATTCGCATCAATTGACTTTAAAAAATTCCAATAAAAATTAATATAAATCATGTCTGGATTGTACAGGAACAAGTCAGCTTCCAGCACTTCTAAATCATTTTCCCAAATCCATAAAAATTTCAATTTTGGAAAAACTTTTAAATCATTTTTTGTAATTTCTTTTAATTGACAAAATCCAAGTCTTAATGCTGTAATGTTCTGTAGATGATTCTCAAAGCCTTGCAGCAGGAAGTACATCACAACATATTCAATGCTAAGTGACTCAACTTCCGTCAGTTCCGCTTTAACTTTTTCTGTAATAATTTTGACACTTTTGACTTTGTAATTTCTTTTAACTACAACAAGCTTGTTGCTGACTGAACATTCATTGAATTTTGTGGTTCCGTACCAAGTTGATGGTCCATAAGAGCAGGTGATGTCAATTGATTCCATTTGAGAGGCAGAATATTGAATTATTGATGTAAAAAGTGCAATAAATATTTTAAAATTTGTCATTTTTATTTCAAGTTGTGACTGGAACTGTCGTTTTTATTACAATTTTAAGATTGCTGTGCTGTAGCTGATAAGCATGGCATGCGATTGTTGGAATAGAAAATTTGTATCTTTTTTATCGTGATTTTTAGATTCAAATTTTCTGTTTTCAAGGACATAATAGCCATTGACTAAGTTAGGGTGGATCTACAAGCCACAAAGTTGAGGAACTAATAACATCGACTAATCTCTGTCCAAGAGCAATTTTGGTCCTCCCCTCCTTCCATCCATAACCTATATCATGTTTAATTCAGTTTGCCTTCACCACAATAAATCCAGCAACCACAAAAATCACCAAAACAACCAAAACCAAGCAACACCAAAAAATCCAACTCTTGAAAATCAGCCAACCAGTTCCTTTTACTTTCTTCTTCCTTTCTGAGCATTTTTCCTTAACATTTTTGATGATCCTTGCAACTCGATTTTTTCCATGTCCAAACATCTGAATGCAGTCATTGGATAGTAAATTCAGGAAGTTCAGCTGCTTCAAGTCATCAAAAATGTTTTCGTCAATTTTTTTCAATTTATTTTCATTCACATTAATATAAATCAGGTCTTTATTGTGCTTAAATAAATCATTTTCAAGGACTTCAAGTTCATTTCGAGCCATCATTAAATACTGTAAATTTGGATACCCTTTCAAGTCATTTTGCTTGATTTCCTTCAATTTACATGACATCATTGACATTGTTATAAGTTTAGGAAAGAATGTCGTGAATCCGGTTAGCAAAAAATTCATTTCCTTATTCTCTAAATAAACTGCAGCTACGTCATTGTTGAACTTGTTGACTTCATGATTGCCTTCAATTTCATCAACTATTGTGCCTGGCTTGATTACTTTCAAGTCACGAATCACCACGCATGAATAGACGTAAGGCATTGGAGTAAATTTTGATTCTATGCTGAATTCACATTGAACTTTAATGGACGATGAGCTGTTGATGGATGTAAAAATTAAGAAAATTATGAAGAATTTTTGGAGGTTTGTTGACATTGTGGTGGCTGTTGTGTCTGAACTGTTGTTACTCAATCTAAGTTGTACAATTTAAAGCTTGACTTTAACATGCAATGAATGTAAATTGTTATCGCAACATGAATATTGACACGAATAGCTTGCAAGAGCATAAAAGTGCTTTGTCACTGGTGCTTAGCAAATCAAAATTTGTGCCTCTGTACTTTTGGTCTTTTTCAAAGCGCCTGGGTAGGAGCTTTAATCTAAATCTGATTAATATAAATTTCATGTCAGCTTAAAAAACCTTAGGCACATCCATTTGCTGGCAAATGTGTTCATCAAAATGTCAACTTAAGATTCAAGCAATAGTGAAATTATTAGTGAAGTTCGGACCAATTCGACTAGTTATACTGAAATTGACGATGACTCAACTAAATCTACTAAAAACAACCAAGCCAGAGTTGCAATACAGGTCGATTGTGAAAGGCGCAGGTGACAAATCTGTCATAAATATTGTCTGTTAACAGGCAGTTCTATGTGATTGCCTGTGAAAGATCGCAATTCTGAACCAGGCTAACTCAAACAATGACGCTTGCCTAGTCAACGATTTTCACTAAATTGGTTTTATTTGCTTTCGGATGTGTTTGAACTGTGTTGCTTATTGTTGTAATTGAATTAATTTGTGTCTGTTTTATTCATGAAAAGTAAGCAATTGTGCAGACAAGGGGCATATCCAGTAAGCAGTTAAGTGCCTTGCTGGTCGAATAGGTAAGGCGCTTGGCTCAAATTTGGGATGGTAACTTGAAGGTCGTCGGTTCGAATCCAGCCATTTCCAAATTTGTTCTTTTTCGGAAGTTTAGATACTTCGACTGCTTAATGTACGAGATCAAGCCATAATTGGGCATTTGGGCAACGTTGGATTAAGGAACGGGTCAGGAACTTGAAGTGTAGCGGGAGAAATAGGAACGAGAGCTACAAGATTACCCACGAATGGAATATTGTTAGAACGGACCTGAAAAGTATCACGTCACGCCTACAGAAGATTGAAACGAGACCCTTAGTTTATTTGAAACCTAGATTTGAAGATTAGAAGTTTAATCCTACATAATATTAATTTATACTTATACAAATACAAAAGTGTAAAATGTGAATTATTACCGGACAGTATGTCGTCAATAAATGCAATAAAGTGCAATTAAAATGAAAAAAAAAAAGTTGAAGAAGGGGACACAAACATTTTTGAAATGGAAAATTAAGCGAGATGAGGGAGGTTTAAGATTTGAGAAATTTCTGTTAACGTAGGATTTGTCATCCAAATCTCCCCTGGTTACGCGCCTGGTGAAGACTTTAGTTAACCTGAAGAGTCAGGTCACCATTTATCGCTTTATTTTCGAGGTTTTTAACAGTCAACAAAGATGCTAAACAGATCAATTAGATTTTGAGATTCTTTTTTCCACTTTTATAAATAAAAGCTGTAATTTCTAATTTTTGTGGTTTAACCTTTAAAACTTATGAAACCTTCAAGATAAACAAATCGAAAGGGTTATTCTAATTTAAATTGTCTAATTTATAGTACACGTGTTATTTTCACACCGTATAACAGAAAGTCTCATAGATAATATATGGTTTAAAGGTTTAATGCTAGGATGATTAGATGTTTTTCAAAAAAAAAAGTAGAATACAAAAAATGTCTGATAAAATTAGCATTAAATTAGCTTCCATGCAAAAGCGTGTAATTGTAATGATACCCCTGTACGTAATCACCTGGAACAAAATTGAAAATTGACGCGCATCAGAAAGGGATTTTTGAAGAATATTTTACGGTGCCCTTGTCAAATGCTTTTGGAACTAACAGGAGGTCTTGAAGTAAGGCAAATGTTCAGTAAAATATCCATATTCACAATTTAAAGCTTTTCTTAATAACATCAACAAAGTTGCATGGCTTTAACAGCGATAAAAAGCACCTGAATCTAGCTTGATATTCCATGAGATCCTACGAAAGATGACTGCATCAGCTTGCATATCAAATCAGAGCAGAGGTTGGTGTTTTAAGGCTATACGGGGTACCATATTATAATTTCATACTCTAGGTCCAGGCACGTAACCAGGGAGAGGGGGGCTGGATGACAAATCCAACTATGTTGCAGAAATTTCTTTATTTTGCCTTCTCCTAAGTTTTTATTTTGCCCCCCCCCCCCCCTCTTCAAATTCCTAGCCACGCCTCAAACTAGGCCCAAGATTCTAGAGTGTCTCGAGTAGACATTTTTAATTCTATAGCAAACTATGTCACAAAACTATGCGAATGCGTAATATTATTAACAAAAAAATAATAAAACTAATATACTTAAAATAACTAGTTTACAAAAATTGACAGCAATCAAGGTAAATAACATATTTTTTTTAAATTAATCTTAAAATGATTTATAAAAATATTAAGAAATTAGTGAACTTGAGTTTTTAGTTTCATTATTAAACTCGAAGTGACTAGACCAAAAATGCAATTGGAGCTAATAATGATAAGCATAGAGGCGTCATTAATTTTTTTTATAGTCAGCCTTACAGCATTTTATTTTATTAACAATTGGAAAACAAACAGAATTTGTGAGTTGTCAGCTAAACTTCCAGGACATAATGGACTGTCCTTATTGTCATCTATTTATATTATACTAACAACAAAACGGAAGGACTATGTGTCAAAAACTTTAAGCTATGTCGTGGACGACTTTCCAATGACTAAAATTTGGTTCTTTAATGAACTTTTGATAATCACAAAGGACGCAGATTTCAGCTACAAAATCTTCAATTCAAATAAAACTTACGACAAGCCAAAAGTATTTTATCAATCATTGCTGGTAAAGAACAGTCTACTTGTCATGTCTGGTGCTGAGCATAAAAGACATCGAAAAATTCTCAACAAAGCATTTACATCAAAAATGTTGGAACGCATTCCTAAAGTCTCGGATGAAAAATCAAAGAAAATTTTGAATTTAATGGAAGAACGCGTGAATTGTGGTGAATTTGAGTTGACTGACTACATTGGTGCTTATTCTTTCGAGTCATTTGGAAAGAGCAATTATAATTATGAGATTGATTATTATAAAAGTAAAATTGTTCAAGCATATGCTGGGTGAGTTACGAGATCATTTTATTATTACATCCAGTCATAATTACATAAGCTATAAATATTGTTATTATACATTAGCTACTGCTCGTTAATGGTTGACACTTTGCCATTCTTTTTGATTGGACTCAGTAGGAAATTACTAAATTATTTTAAACTTGGTAAAAGTTTAATTCAAGTTGAAAATGAGTTCGACAAATTTATAAACAACATTCATGAAGCAAACAGTAAAGCTTCAAAAAGAGACGAAAACACAGTTGTTGATTTACTTTTGGATCCAAATAATAAGTTTAATAAACAGGAGGTGAAAGACGAGCTGATTATGACTATGTTTGGGGTAAATGTGATCATTGAATCTATTAATATCATTTATAATTATTAATATCTGAAATTAAGGCTTATGAGACGACAGCAAGAACTGTATCAACAGCTTTGATGATGCTTGGTATGCACAAGGATGTCCAACAAAAGGCAGTTAATGAAATTGATGAAATTTACAGTCAAAATGACAACCAAGAATTTACAAATGATTTCCTACAAAAATTCACATATTTGGAACTGATTTTAAAGGAAACAATGAGATTATTTGCAGTAGCTCCAATCGTGGCTCGAGAAACATCTGAAGAAGTCAACATCAATGGCTTCTTGCTTCCCAAAAATTCAATAATTCTAATTTTAATTGATGCAATGCACAGAGACAAGAAATATTGGGGAAATGATGCAGATAAGTTCAGACCAGAACGTTTTGAAGATGAAACAGTAAATCAACATGCATTTGCGCCATTTACACTTGGAAGTCGGATTTGTATTGGTGAGATATGAGTCATTAAGAGTATTTTATTTATTTTAATACATTTATATCATTTAAGGACATCGTTATTCAATGATATCAATGAAAATATTCCTGATTAATTTTCTACGTAAATACAAAGTTGATTGCCTGACTAAATTGGAAGAAATCGAAACAGAATCAACATTAACATTGAATTTTTTAAAAGGATACACTGTCAGTATATCTAAAAGGGGTGCGTGAGGAAACTGCTCAAATGACTGAAGTTGAGTTCTTTTTATCATGAATTTTAATATTTTACCTCAATTTGATACAATAGAGCAGTGTTGTCCAAACTTTTTGAGCCACGGCACACCTCAGGGGTAAACCATTACCAAAATAGCGCAAAGTATGTAGCTCGTGTCATTTCTACGGTGCCGTGGCACACAGTTTGGACAACACTGCAATAGAGCATTAAAATGTCTGAATAAAGTGTTAAAAAACCGTTAAAAAGTTTAGTCAATTTTTACCTGGAACTTTAAAATGCTGAGATTTTTAGTTTCCATAAATTAAGATTTTTTGGAAAAGTTTTTGTATAAATTGAGGATTTATTTTCATTATCTCCATCAATTTAGCAACAAGGTTCAAACTATTAAGTTTACTAAAATTCAACGAAATTTATTTCACAAATTTGCCAATTTAAGCTCAAAAAATCAACGAATTATTAAATTTTTAAGTATCATCCAACAATGGGCGACATTCAGTGTGACATTTTATCAGGCGACAACATGTGCTGCATTTTTGTTCGATTTGTGGACACAACAAATCAAAAAATTACATCATTTAAGTCACTCGACAATCGAGACGATCCAGAAATATTCCGTAAAGTCACTCACGTTCTGTTCTATCGTGGAATTTTGCCAACATTTCCAAGCGAATTGGGTGACTTTTTCCCAAATTTAAAGTTTATTGAAATCTATGACTGCGGAATGAAGAAAATTTGTGGCAATGATTTAAAAGGATTTCCAAATTTGGAAAAGTTGAAGCTTGATTTTAATCAAATTTCTTCCTTACCGGCAAACTTATTTGAATTTACACCGAAAATTTCACAAATTAGTTTTGCCAGCAACAGAATTACAAAAATTTGCCCGACAATCTTCGATAAACTTGAGAAATTGATCAGAATTGACTTGACAAGGAATATAAAAATTAATTATAAATTCAGTGTTAGTCGACAAAATCTGCCAGAACTGAAACGACTGATTCGAGAATATTGTCAGCCAATTGAAAGCTTAGTGGACTTGTCAATGGAAATTGTAAATAGAAATATGAACGAAAATAATGTTGAGGAAATTTCAATGATTGCAAGGCACTTGGGTATTGACATTTTGGCTTCATCTGCTCGATTGTTTGCAGAAGTTGATTAAAATGACCTTTTTTGTATTAAATAATATTTTAGTCGATAAATAAAAGTAATAATTTTTGATGCATGCAAACATCAATTCCAAAAAAAATAATCTTTATTTTTACATATTTCACTAGTTTGTTAATGTAATATTGCGACCAAATAAGCAATGAGGCAATGCCTTGACAAACTTTAACTTTTTTAAAAAACCCATCCTTCCCCCGACCCCACCAACCCAAAATTCTTTACTGTCCAACACCAAACAATAAAATTTAAAAATACTTTAACTGGGTTTTAAATTTTTGTTTTGCAATTTTATGGAATTTTCGTGATTTTTCAGTGCAGTCCAATTTTATAGAAAAATTGTTCTTATACAAGCTATGTCTAAGACTATCCAGTCGTGTCATTATTAACCTGGTTTTGCACATCTTTCTCTCTTGTGTAATGCAAATTTAATAATTTTTAAAAAATGCGTTTTTTGCATTGGAACTCAATTATCTTTTGGACTTTACCAAAAACTATTTACATCGATTTAATTTCTTAAATTCTCTTTTTCGGACAACGAAAGTCAATATTTTGGAAATATATTTAGTTCTTATTTTAAAAGTCCAGAGTCAGGAATGATTGAACTGGAATGTGTCTTAACTTTTATTGTTGTCAGTCTTGCAACATATTACTTTGTAGATCATAAAAGGGCACAGAGAATTCGTAAGTTGGCATTATTTTCGTACGGAACAAGCACATTGTTCGTTTTTGATATGTTTTGGTTTTGTACGGCACTTTAAGGCAAAAAATAGTTGAAGATGCTGCAACAAGCGATGAACCATCAAAAACTTTAGACGGTTATGTAGATAATATTTGTGAATTGATTGCACAAAATATACAAATTTCTTACATTTTATTGCCCTTCTGTCGTCTTAAACCAGTGTTGTCCAAACTTCGTGCCTCGGCATACTAGTGTGCCGGAAAATTTTTTTAAAACTCACACGAGCCGCATGCTGTGTGTGACTTCTGTCATGGCTTACCCCTTAGGTGGAAGGACCATGCGTATTAAATGGACAAAAGTGGGGAATATCTTAAAGAACACGAAAAAAACATTTTAAAAAACACAATTGCTATATGTCTGCCAACTCTGACGACTTCTTTACTTAAACTGATTGCCTAGTGCACTGAAATCTCTAATACATAAAAGTCTTACAGTTTTTTTTTGGGGGTAATAAGAATCCAAGCAGGGTCATGAGTGCACCAGGATAAATCTAGATATTCAATTTTCTTTTAATATTAATAATAATGTGCGAGGGTTTCAGCCAAGCGATGTGTTACTAAACTTTGCGATGAGCTCGAGGCACTGCGATCCTTATCGCGTTTATTATTAAGTCAAAATAATTAATGACAGACTTCAAAGTGACTTTAAAAATATGAAAAATTTGTGTGAAATACAGATAAATAACAATGTGCGTGAGTTCGATTTAAAGATTAACGCAAATAACGAGTTCTAAAATATTTTGCCAATTTTTTTTTTCAAATACATCTAATGATTTGTTATTCATTATGTGAATAAATTGCTTCTAGCTAGTTAATATTGAATAATGTAATATAGCTTTTCCTTTATAATAAAATAAAAATGTTGAATTACTTTACATTTGCTCATTCAAAACTGAGGTCAGGTAGTAACAATAATTCTATTGGAATCGATTACGAATTAAATCGCAATGTTATTGGCTCAAAAAGGCTAGACCCTTAGGGGCCATTCACTTATTACGTAACGCTTTTAGGGGGGGAGGGGGGGTCTAAGATTTTGTTACGGTTCAAACAAGGAAATTTTTTTTTCATACAAATTTTGTTACGAGGGGGGGGGGGTCTAAAAAGTCATTTTTTCACGTTACGTAATAAGTGAACAGCCCCTTATCACAATTTACTCTTTTTTGGCGTTGTATATAACTTATAGAACTCTACTGATCACTTTTTAAACTTTAAATTTTCAATTTTGGTTATGAGTTGAAGAGTTTCTAGAGATCGAGAAAGCTAAAGTGTCATCAAAGAGTTTTGGGTTGAACTTAAGTCTTGGTCGCTGAAAGCTATTAAGGATCAAGCAGCTTAAATAGTTTCAACACATATATAATTATAATGTCACTAAATCGTCATAAATAGTGGACGTTTGAACTGAATGAATATTAATAATAATCATTAAAATCCAGAGATCGAAGCCGATTTTTTCGGCTTAACTCAACTTTTGATTTTTTTGATAAAAAAAAAGCCATGTTAAACCCATTTTAAGTATTTAAATTGAACTTTACATGCTTTACTATGATTCTGTGTAATATTTTGTCAGCATGTAGCTATAGTGAGCTCAGAATTTCAATTTAGCCGATTTTAAGCCGAAATTTAAGCCGATCGGCTTAAAATCGACTTAATTGAAATTCTGAGCTCACTATAGCTACATGCTGACAAAATATTACACAGAATCATAGTAAAGCATGTAAAGTTCAATTTAAATACTTGAAATGGGTGTCAAATGGCTTTTTTCTATCAAAAAAATCAAAAATTGAGTTAAGCCGAAAAAATCGGCTTCGATCTCTGATAAAATCCATTCATAAACCTATTTTATGCTGCTAAGAAAAACAAACATCAGTTTACATCCGAAACTATAAGATTATAAATTTTCGTTAACATTAAAAATTATTTCAATTGTTTTGATAGCTACTTTGATAACTTATTATATTGTAAATTATTGGAAAACTCAAAGGATTCGTCAGTTGGCATCTAAACTCCCAGGACATAATGGACTGTCATTATTGTCATCCATTTATATTTTATTTATAACAAAACGGAAGGACTATGTTTCGACTATATTAAGCTATGTCATGGAAGATTTTCCAATGACTAAAATTTGGTTCCTTAATAAACTTTTGATAATCACAAAGGACGCAGATTTTATCCAAAAAGTCTTTAATTCCCACAAAACTTACGACAAACCAAAAGAATTTTATCAAGGATTTTTGGTTGAAAAAGGCTTAATTGTCATGTCTGGTGCTGAACACAAAAGGCATAGAAAAATTCTCAACAAAGCGTTTTCATCAAAAATGTTGGAACTACTTCCGGAAATATTTGATGAAAAATCAAAGAAAATTTTGAATTTAATGGAAGATCGCGTGGATTGTGCTGAATTTGAACTGACTGACTACATTGGTGCTTATTCTTTTGAGGCATTTGGAAAGAGCAATTACAATTATGAAGTGGATTATTATCAAAGTGAAATATTTCGTGCATATGAAGGGTAATTAATTTATTTGACTTTATTGGATCATATTTTGTGTTTTTCGGAAATGAAGCTAGTGAAACTGGCAGTAGGTTGTGGAGTTAAATCAATATTCCAGTAATTGTTGTGATTAAGTGCTTATCAAAGTTTCTCTTCTATTCAAACTCAATTTAGCTACTGTTCCTTAATGATTGACACTTTACCATTCTTACTGGTTGGATTTCCTCGGAAATTCCTGAATTTAATGAAATTGGGAAAAAGTTTGATTGAAGTTGAGAAGAAATTTGACCGATTTTTTGACGAGGTTTGCAACACAAACGATAAAGCTTTAAATAGAGTTGTAAACACAGTTGTTGATCTCCTTTTGGATCCAAGTAATAAATTTGATGAACAGGAGATTAAAGAGGAATTGATTATGACTTTGTTGGGGGTAAGTCAGCTTTTTTAAATTGTAAAAATTTAATTTTGCTCAAAAATAATTCCAATAAGGCTTTTGAGACAACAACAAGAACAATATCAACAGCTCTGATGATGCTCGGTATGCACAAGGATGTCCAACAAAAGGGAGTTAATGAAATTGATGAAATTTATAGTCAAGATGATAACCAAGAATTTACAATCGACTTTCTCCAAAAATTCACATACTTAGAACTGATCTTAAAGGAGACAATGAGATTATTTGCTGTAGCTCCAATCGTGGCTCGAGAAACATCTGAAGAAGTCAACATCAATGGCTTCTTGCTTCCCAAAAATTCAACTATTCTGATTTCAATCCATGCGATGCACAGAGACAAGAAATATTGGGGGAGTGATGCAGATAAATTCAAACCAGAGCGTTTTGAGGATGGAATGAGTAATCCACTTGCTTGGGCACCATTTACTGGTGGAAGTCGCATCTGCATTGGTGAGTATTGACATCGATTAAATATCAGGTTTGCTATCGCATCATAATTTGGAGAACATTATAAATCTTTTACGATTTTATGAATGATTGAACTTTATGAATAATCTTCATTTTTTATCGATCTAATATTTGATTGTGGTTAGAATACCCGAGTAGCATCAACAACAAAAAACTGGATTTACGTCAACGTTAAGGTGCCATCAAGTAGAAAAAAGTACGTACATCCAGTTGTTGTTGTTGGTGCTACTCAGGATAGGGAAGCCTGTTTTTATGTCTTATGGTCGTCTACTCGATAGACATAACTTAATAATCATTTTTCTAAATTCCAGGTTATCGGTATGCAATGATGTCAATGAAAATATTCCTGATAAACTTTCTACGTAAATACCAAGTGGATTGTTCTTCAAAATTGAAAGATGTGGAAACTGAAATGACATTTACATTGAACTTTTTGAATGGATACCATGTCAGTATAACAAGAAAGTAATTTGAAAAAATATTATAAATAAAACTTATAGCCAGCTTCTTCAAAAGTTCATTTAAAAATGCCACAAAATCATACAATAAAGCGAGGGAGGAGGGGAGGGGGGGGGGGGGGGGGGAGGGGGGTGGGTCCACATTAGAAGGTTGTAAAATTTATAATTTTCTCTCAAATGCCGAAACTTTGCATACCTTTAAACCTTTCTTGAGGACGTCCCTAAGTCACAACTTTTTTAAAAATAGAAATATTTTGCAACATTCCTCGACCAGTTGAATGAACTTTTACTAAATATGATCCAGAGACATCTCTGTTTGAGTTACATAAGCAACAAATTCTCTTAGTTTAACTCGCGGACCCAAAACATTTGTAAATTCTCTCATGGCTCTCAACACGATGGATTAAAGTGAGAATTATGCAACATTTTTTTTTACATTCACAAGGTAAAGTTCATTTAATAAATTGAAAAAAAAGCTATTAACATTACACGCTACTTATTTAACGGTGTCTGTTTTTTTTATTGTTTTCTGTTGCTCGTTTATTTTGATCAGATGCGAAAAAGTCAATGAACTGAATGCGTAGTTTGAAATAAAAATATGAGTTTAATTTGCATTGAGTGAGTTTTGGTGAAGTATTTTAATTAATGAATTTTATTTTGATACTTTTGTGACTAATCAAGATTGGTGCAATTGGAACTGTGATAATTATTATCTATTTTTCGATATACTAGACTGCAAACTGAGGCAAATGTCATAATTAGCTAAAACACAGCAGTCACGATGCCATTAGTGAACTACTTCGTCATCTCACATCAGCATATGACGTTGCAGTGTAGCATTTGAGATCGTGTTGTGTCACTTTAGTACTAATAATGAATCAATATTCTTGGTAAGAGTTTTGAAGTCTCATTTGGACGTTCTAAAGTTCTGATGATGTTTTATTCTTAAATCAACATACACTTAGTTTCCTAAAGCATCACTTTGCAACAACGTCAGTCTTCAAGACTTAGAAACTTTGCAAATTTAATATTTCTAACAGTTTTCATGGACGTCATTTGTAAGCTTTGCAGGAGCTTCTAATTTTTGAACCTTGAAACTGGTATTTTTCTAAAAATTAAACTATTTATTTTCACAATAGGCACGTTTCAAAAACCAAGGATAGTAAAGTAATGATCATTATCATCATGGATGATTTGTGTTTAAATTTAAGACTTGAACTGAGTTGCATTGGTGGAAATTTATGATCATCGGTTTTCTGGGAGATAATTATTTAACAATATTGCTGATCCAACGGGTTAAAACAGAATTATGGAGAATAAGGAAGACCAAGGGTGTGATTTGGAGTTGAATAATTAAGATTTGAGCCAGTGTTGTCCAAACTGTGTGCCGTGGCACACTGGTGTACCGTAGAAATGTTTTGAATGTGACACGAACTGCATGCTGTGTGCGACATTGGTCGTTGCTTACTCCTAAGGTGTGCCATGGGTCAAAAAGTTTGGACAATACTGATTTAGACTATAGCTGCAGCGGTAGACTGGTTGATCTAAAGCGTCCACTGATGTATTGTGAAAAGAGGAAAGTAGCAACCACTTTATGCTGCTGCAAACGAGTTTATTAATGTTCATGCTGAAATATGAAAGAAGGGATACTTTTAGTCAAACCAGCACAACGTCAGGGGTATTTATCAGTTAATTTACAACATTAAGAATGAGATCAGTGTCTGGTGCTATGAGACACTTCCTACAAAAGTTCATAATCACTACTTACATAAAGGTTCATTCAGAAATGACGTCCCACAAAAAACCAAACTTTGACTCTCTCTGCTGAATTTGAAATGCTTCAAAACATCTTGTATCCTATCCTGAATTCTAAGTCTTCTTTCGATAATAATTTCTTAAATACTTTCAGCAGTGACTGTTGTTTTCTCACTTCAACCGCACAAAAATACGTCATTGAAGTTTTGATGACTCCTTTCATAGTTATTTTACGTAAAGCATAGCAACGTGCGTCAATTATGAGTAATTTTTTTCAAAATCTCTTTTAACACGTTCAAGATTATTTGACCACAAAATATTAAGACACTCTGTTTAACTGTTTAATTGTATTTAGTTTTAATATGATTTATAGTACTTAAAAATGTTGATTTGATAAGCTATGAAAGTTACTAAATTAATTTCAGCATAAACTTCTTAAGAATATCAACAAAAACTTTCAGACAGCATAAAAGTGTTCCAAAAGCGTGTCTTTAATTAACAGTTAAAATGTAGGTAAAGCCGTTATTAAAGGAACAATTTTATTTGTGAACACATGTGGAAGGGCATAAGTATCTCAAAAAAAGCTCCAAAAGCGATGACTTGCAAACAAAAATACCTGCCGAAAATCACAAAATAAATCATTGTAAATGTGGTTACCATTGAAGAGAATACGTGCGATGAGGCTGACTATCTAGTTGTGTTTTTTGGAGTTTATTTAAAATATTAGTCAGAATGATAAGGAGTGGATACTTCAATCTAAATTTATCTTTTGAACAGTAGCTCCTCAATGGTTTTAGAAATTTGTATTAATTTGCATTGAGTCTTTAATAAATAAACTTTCAACTTTTTGTTGCGAAGATGGGTCTTAGAACTTAGTTTTTTGAAAAAAGTAATTTATGAAAGCCTCTTCGCGATCTTTTACTTATAACGTCCGAAATTAACGGTCACTTTTCAAAAACAATGGATTTCCACGAATTTCTATTGTTCTTTTGTTGCAGACTACCCCCTTTCAACGTCATAAGTGAACGGCACCTTAACTGTCAACACGATTTCCTAAAATCCTTCAAACAACTCACGTCTCATATCTAATAGTACCTCATCTAGCCACCCTAACCTCAATTACCTCTGTAGGCCTCTCATAGAAATCATATGCTTCTATTACACAAGAGATTTTTGAGTCGCACAAGAGATCTTTTCACAGGAGTATTCAACAAAAATATTGGTTTAAAAATTATCATTAGAGCAACACAGAACGAGTTAAGAAGCGCATTAAAAGCAAATGTTTGGTGTTAAATTTTATTATCTAGTCCTTTAGTTTTAACTTGACTATAAAATTGAATTTTATTTTTTTTATTGATATGTAGCTTTTGAGTTGAAAGCTAGCTTAGAGCTAGTCAGTATTAAGGGTTCTAAAATCGGGAATATTCCTTCGAATATTTTCGTTCCTGCTCCCCTTTCGTGAAATCTCACCAGAACGGCAAATCTGGAGACCCTAATCAGTAGGATGGAGCATAGAGCTAAGCTCAATAGAACCTCACTGGCTTCTCCTCTGCTTAAAAAAAATTCAAACCTCCGATGTTTAAAACCTTCATGACATCATTGAGTACGGTTGCAAATTTGAATCGCAGTACCTCCAGCTTAAAAAGCTGGGCCCACTCCATGCTTTACCTTACAGTTGCAAAAACACCTGTTCTCAGAATATTTTTTATCTAGCTTGAATAAACGCAGTCTTTACTGTACTAAAGAACAATTGAATTATCTTAATTAATGTGACAACGTGCAAATTATCGGAATCTTAAGCTCTTGAATTTTCATCTGAGTTTGCAAAATCTTTTAATGCATGAAGAATTTATGCTTGATTGGTGAAAAATGATCGAATCATTTTAAATTGTTTGATTTTCTTTCAGCAGAAACGATGTTTGTGTATTAATGTTTATTTAGATCCAATCGTAACTGCTATAAAAATAATTGCGAAAAGTAAATCTATATTGATAATTTAATAGTCAAATATTGATCGATATACGATAAAAAAAAATGCGCTTTAATCTTACAACCTTTAGATTTTTAAAAAGGATTATAATTAAGACTATATTTCTTTCAATTTGATGAATATTGTTCTGTGGTTTGTGGGAATTACACCAATAATTTCTAATTAATTAACAGATTAACCATCCATGAGATAAATCCAAAACAAAGAATTGAACAATCATCCTTAAAATATTACGCCGCAATTCTATGTCCCCAAGTTAAATAAAGTTAAGATCCTTTTTGAACAGAAAAATTCATTAAAATAAATGAAAAACAACCTTTACAATTCAAATTTCCTGTTCTTCAATCCCTTTCCATTAAAAAAAAACATGATCAGTCATTACTTCTGCTTTTTGAAAACTAAATGTGACTACCGAACAAACTGCGTACATTTAACCATCACTATTCATTAAAAAGCAGCATCTCAATGATGTAAAGACCAAGTTTACTTAAAAGCTTTCAGAATTATTAAACAAATTTTTAGTCTTTAATGTAAATTTGACTAAGCAACATCGGAAAATTGTCAGTTTAGTTTAGTTGTTAAAAAAATGATTGATTTTGCATCGCTACTAATTTTTTGTGCAGTTAGTTTTGCTGCATATTATTATGTAAATCGTGAAAAAAATAGAGAAAATGATGAGCTAGCAAAGAAGCTTCCAGGAATTAATGGATTGTCATTAATTCAGTCATTTGATTTGATCCTTAATACGCCAAGAAAAGAATACATTAACAAAGTTTTAAGTTATGTCAAAGATGATGTGCCTATGACTAGAGCTACATTCTTTAATCAAACACTTATCTTGACAAAAGATGCTGATTTTATTAATAAAGTCTTCAATTCACCTAAAACTTATAACAAGCCTGACATATTCTACAAAGGATTTATGACATCCAAAGGATTAATCACGTTAGCTGGAAGTGAACATAAAAGACATCGAAAAGTTCTCAACAAAGCATTTACATCCAAAATGATGCAACGACTTCCTGAAATTTTTGATGAAAAGGCGAAGAAAGTTATTGGAAATTTAAGTGAAGTTGAAGATCGCGGTGAATTTGAACTTTTAAACTATATTGGGCCATTTTCATTGGAAACTTTTGGCAAAAGCAATTTAAATTATGAAATTGATTATCATCGAAGTGAAATTTTGGATGCATATGAACGGTGAGTTGTTGAACGATACATTTATTAATTAGTGTAAGGTTCTAGTCTAGTGATGAGCTTATTGGTTTTAAAAAATGTGAAGTGAATAAAATTATAAATTTTATCAGCTACTCTTCGGTTGCTGTTGATTTTCTACCTTATTCTATCATTGGACTCAGCAAAAACATTTTGTCGCCAACAAAGCTAGGAAGAAGAATCAAAGAAGTGTTCCAAAAATTTCACATTTATTTTGATGATGTTGTTAAAATCAATAAGGAGAATGAAAACAACAATATGGTCGAAAATACTGCAATTGATATTTTACTAGATCCAAATAATGAATTTACAGAGGAAGAAGTAAGAGATGAATTGATCATGATGATGCTAGGGGTAAGTCGTTGATGTCATAGCTTTTAATCTTCTTATTGAATGAAATTTTTAATTAATCAGGCTTTCGAAACATCCACAAGAATAATTTCAATGGTCTTAATGATGGTCGGTATGAACAAAGACGTACAACACAAGCTAGTAAATGAGATAGAAGAAGTCTACAATGAGGATAAGGATGCAAAATTCTCAGCTGATTTTCTACAGAAATTTCCATACTTAGAAATGGTTGTGAAAGAGACAATGAGACTATTTGCTGTAGTTCCTTTAGTAGCACGTGAAACATCCGATGAAGTTGAAATCTGTGGTCATGTCCTCCCAAAAGATACAACAATTCTCATATCAATTTATTCAATGCAGAGAGATGAAAAGTATTGGGGAAGTGATGCAGATCAGTTCAGACCAGAACGGTTTGAGGATGAAATAAAGAATCCTCATGCATGGGCACCATTTACTGGCGGAAGTAGAATCTGTATTGGTGAGTGTTAAAAATTAAATTTTAAAGGATTTAAAGATCTTTCAAAGAAACAAATTTTATGAACTATGTAAGAAACCCAGTTCCTTGGAATAATACACTTAAGTTGCGGTACATCTCAGAATAGGGAATAAGGAACAGTTTAATTTTATGGGGGTTTTAAATCCAGAAAACTATAGAAAATTATAGAAAATGTTGATATTGGTATTGGTTTTGACTCCAAACACCTATCGCACTTACTTCTCTAAATTGTTGTTTCCAGAATATGGAATAACAATACAAAAATTACAGTTTAATGTAAATTTACTTCTTCATGAATGTAGATCTCCCTATAACTACCATATGTGTATACTAATGTAAAACAAGTCGGGTTCGATGGTAATCAAACCCACGACCTCAGAAGAGGCGATCTCTAACCACTCGATCAGAGATTCCTGCCACTTGGCCAATGAGGTACTTATCCCACTTCGGCTATCCGTCATACACATATAACTAGTTTCACTGCGAGCCCTATTCTCAAGCCTATCTACTACAGATGTGCGCTTCGAGCCATATCCACAATGAAATGTTTTACAATTCCATAAACATATTAACATTTTAAAAAATTGAAACCCCCAAATTTTATGAAGGGCATCATTTGTTCTTTTTTATACACATGTCAATCCATTACATGGCAATGGCTCATATTATGATTTAATGACTGTAATGAACAATGAATATGAATTCTATGATTTTCATATCTTTCTTATTTTTAGGCTACCGCTACGCAACCATGGCCATGAAAATTTTTCTCATCAACTTTTTCCGAACGTATCAAGTGAATTGCTCTCAAAAGTTTGATGAAATTGAGACAGAAATGACAATGACATTGAATTTTTTGACTGGATATAAAGTTAGTATTAATAGAAAATAGTAAATTAGCTTTAAAAAATTTAAATTGTAGGTTATTTACAGAATTAGAAGTTTTATTAAGTTTTTGAACTTGAGTAATTTTTTTGAGATTAAATGAAGCATTTTTAAAAATCTTAAGATCATGAAAAGCATTGAAATTAGTATTTTTGAAATTAAGTATCACACGAGCCTCATTAGATAGTATTTTTGTCCTCATCTCTATCTTTTGCTGTCTTCTTTTTATTATATTTATTTTTTTTTGTGTATTTGACATATGAAAAATGGACTGAACATAATGGAATGTAAAAAAGTATTGAAATAAAAAGTAATTGAGATTAATTTGAAAAGTCTACTTGGAATTGTTTTCAGGAACTCTAGCAGTTTAAATAAACGACTATTTTTGCAAAAATTGCTCATTGAAATCGCAGTTGAAAAATTATTTGTTGTCAAGGTTGTTCACAAAACGCGTGTGGCTATGGAAGATGTGCAAATATATTGACTTTATAGGCTTATTGATATCTCAATCTGAACATTGAACAAGTCAACAATTTTGAATTTTTGCAATTAAAGAACTTGATAGAAACATATTTGAAAATGTAGAGTTCCGCAATTAAAATAATGTGAAATCAAAAGCGGAACTAATTTAAGAAAAAGCTGCAAAAAAGATTAGAATTGTTGTTTAATTAGAATCCTTCGTATTGAAACAGCCTAAACGTTGATCTGAGCACTCGCTTCGGTTAAAAACGCTTAAGGTGGGAGGCAAGACTCTCCTGGCTATGCGCCTGTATGAAAATATACATACAAAGATAGACAGAATAATTCAATGGAGTCCAAAGCCTTCAACATTCTTAAACTACTGAATTGTCAATTTATTTTTTCAACCTCAATGTCCAAGAACCAAAATTCTGCATACTTTTACATGAGAATGTGAGAATTCGGGTCATATCATAAGTCCTCATTTTATTGCTATGTCATTATGATTTAGTAAGTTCAAAACATCTCAATTAATTAAAAAAAACCATCAATGAAATAAAACTGTAAACGAATCATCAGCAACGTAAACAATTTTTTACCCCTTCCAAAATTCAATTAAAGACAACAACAAAGTTCAAAATCCTCTTGTGAGTCAATGAGGTAAGCAAAGCACATAATAGACTAAAAAAAGAGTATGAGTCAAGTTCAATGAGCAAAAGAAAAAAACGTCATTTGATGCTTGCATAGCAACTTTACCTTTATGTTGTCTCTTCGTTGCTTAGTTTTTACAGAAAATTATATTCTGCAAATTTTGCGACAACAATACCTTTTTCTTCAGCAGAGCTCGATGTCAACTTAAGTCGACTCGATAAAAATTAAGAAAATTCAATTTTAAGTCGAGTCTATTTTGAGCTCTGTGTTTTTAAAAGTGAAATTGATTCTATAAAAAAAGGTGTAAACAAAATTCCCAAACATTATAAAAATAACAAATAAAAATAAAAAAATTATTCTTTGGCATTTATAAAAGAATTCAAGATGACTTGCAAAAATTAAGTTAAATGTTGATGCACGGGTTCCCCAGTTATAGATGTTTTAAACAGGAATAACTTTCTCAGAAGAATAATTTTAATTTCAAAACCGCTTCAATATATTTCGTCATTCATTCATAACCCACAGCATCAACATAACTTACGCTTAACAACACGTGTTAATAGAGTCAATACGAATCAAATCAATTTAAAATAGCCAAAACTTTAGATTGCAAAACACGCACAAAATCATTATTTTTATTATTTATGTAATGTATTCTAAAGTATTAAGTAATAAATAACAATAATAAGAATCTATATTTGCGAAATTATATTATACAGCTGTCAAAATGGCAAACGAGCATTGCTTCAAAAAATCAGTTTAAAACACACCTGCTAGTGTCAAATTCAAACTTTTTTGATTCCAAAATTTCTACTTAAATTTTTGATAATTGATTTTTTTTTGATTTTGCATTGTCAACTGAGGCCACTTGATCAGTATCCCCAATGTTTCTTTATACTAAAGTATGTCCTTAAGGTTGTTCTCCCTTCTGGCTTAACTATAGATCTCACAGAGCTTCCATTCATAAAAAAATTATGCTCATTAAATAATATTAAATCACGATTTATTTTAGCGACATCTGAATCTGAATACCAAAGCTACTTTTTACGCACACATTTAAATCACTGAATCTTTTTATGAGCTACAAATTAATTCATAAAACGAGAATGAGTCAAGGTCGAGTTTACACACGAAAGAGCTAACTCACAACATTAATAGTTTATGGCTTGTTTGTTTTGATTGACTGAATAGATGTCAATGAACTGAGAGCAAATTAATGAATGAGACGGAAAAGTTGTAAGAAAGGAATTAATAAAAATAAAAAAAAGGTTTTAATTGTAATTCCTGCAATATGTGGAGCTTAGGTTACAACAAAAGGCTTTCCATCTGACTCTGTTACTGGCTCTGTCACCTAGTTTGTATAACTTCTGCCAATTAGGACTGAGTATGGGAACAAATCCAGACCTTAAATCGAAACGAAAGTTTACTTAACAAATAATTTTGAATTCAGTTACTAAGTTGTGCTGCCAATACTTGAAAAATGATGACCGTGGACAAGTCTTTAGAAATTTAATAGTTCAATTCAAATAGCTAATTTTGCACAAGACAATTTACGTCAATTAACAGGTGTTCTTAAGCTTTTTAAGATCATGCTATAATAAAATTTGCAAAACATTGAATCTTTAGAGTTCACATTAGATGTTCCAAACTCCAACATCATCATAGAATTCACAAAGCACGTGTAGAACTGTTAACAATACTTGGATTAATTACGGAAAGGACACATTAATTTTGTCAGCTTCATTTGAAGAAGAAACAACAGAAGTAGAAACAAAAAGATTGGCAAATTTATTTGCAAAATCATTGAAGAAAATATTCATCACGTACTCCCGTTGAATAATAAGCTTATGACGCTCTTTGGTATTTGAATTGTGACTTCAAGAAGTTATCTCTTAGAAACTATGTCTAGTGTGCACGACAATTGAATTGTCATCGCAAAATGTGACGTATTTTAAGTTTATTTGAGGTAAAATTGAATAGAATAAATTTATTGGAAAAAAGTTACTTTTATGTTGTTTGTGATTTTTATTAGCAGTGCTAAGTAGAATTAAAGATATTTTTTGAAAATAACTTAGTCATGTATGACTACACAGACATTACGTCTCTTTCTAATTGAGTGTAAATATTTGTGAGTAAACTTAGGTCATAAATTATGTTCAAGATTAAATGAGCAAGGTGGTTCAGGCACTTCCAAAAACCATTGTGACAGTGGGGGAGGGGCTGTAAAAATATGAATTTTTGGTAGCTGCGATTTATGGATCATCATTTTTTTTTAAATAATTCTTTAAAACTTCTCCATGCGATTGAGTGAAAAAATTAAAACAATAAAGCAAAAATCGTTAAAAATATAATATGAATTAAAATTAAAGATATGTTTTGTTAATTACTGCCTCTTTTTAAACCAGATTGTTAATCCGAAATGACACTAAAGGATTCAACTACTGAATAGAGTAAAGTAAATCAAAATACAGAAATATTTAATTAAACTTGCATTGAATAAAACAGAAGTAGACTTTGTATTTATAATTATGTGTTTGAATGTGTCTTAATGACTAAAAGACGCATTTTTCTTTAAAACCAGATCAGTAACTCTCAAACTTTACTTACAGCGATCAAAAAATTCCCCCCCCCCCCCCTCCCAAAAAAAACATTAAAACTGGAGACAATGCCTAAAACTTGATGTTTATTTAACGGTAATTGCTTCTATTACCATACCATACTATTTTCTTGTAAAAAAGAAGGACTCTGTAGAGCAGTGTTGTCTAAACTGTGTACTGCAGCACACTTTTGTGCCCTAGAATTTTTTTTAAAATTTCGCAACCAGCTTGCGTTCATGGCTTACCCTTAATTGTGCCGTGGCTCAAAAAGTTCGGACAACACTGCTGTAATGTATAGTTTGATAAGCGCTAAACTAGATCTTCAAATTAACTGATTAGCGACTGATTCTCGATAGTTTTGGTTATTTGATTGCTTGTTGGCTCATTTTTGTCTACTTCAATTTAATTTTATTCATCTTTATTTGTGCAACAGTGTTACTAAACCTTTAAACGCTACAATTTTATTCTTAACATTAATAACTCTTAAATCTATATTAAGTACGCTTGCTCAGTATGTAGTGCAAAATCTGCACCAAGCAGTTGTGTGTCCAGCAGCCAATTAAAAACTGTTTTTAAATCTTAGAACTAGTGTTAATGTCGGATCTCGTTCCAATTTTTTGTAGATCACAATGTCTCCAGGTCCGTCCCAGTAAAAGCTCTCTTTGGTGAATTTGCAGCTTTCGTATCTTTCTCATTCTGTCTACATAATTCTTGACCCGTTCCTACATCTCACATTGCCTAATTCTTAGTTTTACGTCTTAAAATGCCGCACTGGTGCAATTTGTAGTTTAGAAATCTCCAGAGAACACTTGGAGAAGCTGATCCAAGAGACAGCATTTCACTTGTTATTGGTAATTGACAAGCACTAATCAGCAATAGAACAAACTTTTGCTACATTTTAGGAGAGATTATTCATTAACATTGATCAGTTTGGCCAAAAAAGTAAATAATTATTGTTTGAGATTTAATAATTGACATCTTATTAAGTGACTTTTAGTAGAAAAGAAGTCAATGTAAAATAAAATTCAATATTTATTTAATGCATCGATTCATCCGAAATGTTTATTTTATGCAAACTTCGCCAAACCCATCAGTGTTTGCCAAATTCTGTATCAAAATACTATATTACCTCAGCATCTCACCATTACAGCTCTTCTCATTCTCATTAGCAGCTGCATATCAATATTGATTTACCATTTACTGTATAGATACAAAATAGACAATACGCATGCAAAACAGCTCGCTTACCGAGAAAAAAAGATGTCAAAAGGATCTCAACACTTGTTTGATTTATAAAAACGAAAAATTGTCGACAATTTACTCAGTCTTTCATAATAATTGAAACATACAACATCTGACATTCGGAGCTAATTAAAATATTATTTTTAAAAATGTTTGATATATTGTCATTTACAATTTTCTGTGCAGTCAGTGCCATTGCTTATTATTTTGTGATTCGCGATAGAAATCAAAGAGTTTATGAGCTTGCAGCTAAGCTTCCTGGACATGACAAGTTCACATTGTTGCAGTCTTTTCTCTTGATTCTAAAAACTCCACGCAAGGATTACATCTCAAAAGTTCTTGGCTATATGAGAAATGAATATCCAGTCACTAAAATTTGGTTATTTAACAATTTGTTGGTTTTAACAAAAGATGCAGATTTCATTAATAAAGTGTTCAATATGCATCAAACTTATAACAAGCCTGACATATTCTACAAAGGATTTATGACATCCAAAGGATTAATCACGTTAGCTGGAAGTGAACATAAAAGACATCGAAAAGTTCTCAATAAAGCATTTACATCCAAAATGATGCAACGACTTCCTGAAATTTTTGATGAAAAGGCAAAGAAAATTATTGGAAATTTATGTGAAGTTGAAGATCGCGGTGAATTTGAACTTTTGAACTATATTGGGCCATTTTCATTGGAAACTTTTGGCAAAAGCAATTTAAATTATGAAATTGATTATCATCGAAGTGAAATTTTGGATGCATATGATCGGTGAGTCTATAAATTTAAGGTTCTAATGATGTGATAAGCTTGGTTGTGTTGGAAAATGACCACACTCGTTAGTCTTATGTAAAAATTTCCAAACTAAATTGCAAAAGTAACCATAAAGGTGCGAAAAGTTCATTGCAAGGGGTTGCAAATTTATTAACTAAACATTTAATGCCAAAAATACTTGCTCCGTCATTAAATGAACTATATACAACTAAACTCAATGGTGATAATGATAATAATTTGAACAATCGAAAAACATTTCTTTTCAGCTATTCTTCTGTTGCTGTTGATTATCTTCCATACTCGATGATGAGTATAAGCAAGAACTTAATAACTCCAACAAAATTAGGTCAAAGAATCCAGGATGTTTTCCAAAAATTCGATAACTATTTTGATAATGTAATCAAATCAAACAATCAAAATAATAACAACAATATGCTGGAAAGTACAGCAATAGATATCTTACTAGATCCCAAAAATGAATTCACAGAAGAAGAAATCAAGGATGAGCTAATCATGATGTTATTAGGGGTAAGTCGCTGTCAATAAGAGCTTTATTAATTGCTTCATTATTTAACATTCTTAATCATTTTGTCATCGATTAGGCTTTTGAGACATCCACAAGAATTATTTCAATGACCTTGATGATGCTTGGAATGCACAAGGACATTCAGCATAAATTAATCAAAGAGATTGAAGAGGTCTATAATTTAGAAGACACTAATGCAAAATTTTCAGCTGATTTTCTACAAAAATTCCCGTACTTGGAAATGGTTATAAAAGAGACAATGAGACTGTTTGCTGTAGTTCCTTTAGTAGCACGTGAAACATCCGAGGAAGTTGACATTAATGGATTTTTAATTCCCAAAAATACAACAATTTTGATATCAATTTATGCAATGCAAAGAGATGAAAAGTATTGGGGAAGTGATGCACATCTGTTTAAACCAGAAAGGCTGGAAAATGGAATGGAATTTCCACATGCATGGGCACCATTTACTGGTGGAAGTAGGATTTGCATTGGTGAGTTTTAATATTGAATTCAGGAATGTTAATCGAATAAATCTAGTCTGGATGTCTGAGGAACATTTGTCTCAGTTATAGTTGGATCTTAAAACAAATCCAGTTTTGCTCTAGTCTCTTTCTTCTAGGTTGTACTTAAGGGAGGTCCCTTTTTTCAAATAAGTACAACTTTTGTTCTTAGTTCTGAATAGAATCAAAGCACAAACATAACCACTAATCAAGTTATCCTCAATTGACTAATCCTTAACTTGTTCTTCTTAATTTCTATTTTCAGGCTACCGCTACGCAATGATGGCAATGAAAGTCTTCCTAATAAACTTCTTTAGAACGTATACTGTGAACTGTTCTCAAAAATTTGAGGATATTGAGTCTGAAATGACGATGACATTAAATTTTTTGACTGGATATAAAGTTAGCATACATAAAAACCAATAATTAAACTGTAGAAAACAAAATAATTATCAAGATATTAAAAAGTGGTTTTTCAGAATTTCTTATGACAAGTTGTAATCTCATTAGCTGTTTAAAAGCAGAATTGAGACATTTTAGCACCAATGTGATCATCATTTCACTTCCATGAAAGCGAGTGATTAATTTTTTAGCAATTTGACAATAATATAAATCTGCCATTCTCTCAATGATAACTGTCTGTTTGAGATAAGTCTAAGTATTGACAAATGCACCTCAACACGACTGAAACTTTAAAATGTTTACATTAAAATTCATTCTCTTTTTTACGTCTTCTTCAAATAGCTTTAATCTTATTGTATTGATTTTGTATTTATTTTTGTGTCTGAAACAGTTTAAAATTTCATAATGAACAGATGTGCTTTCATCAGCTTTAATTTACTAAATCAAATTAATAATGCGAGAAAAATCAAATTTTTAAGATCACTTATAGAAGCTAAATGCACTCAGAATTTCGATTTCGATAAGTTTGACCGTCATCACAAGTATCTCAAGAGTTTGATGATCAATAAAACTGAATGATTTGTCAACTAAAGTTATATAAATGACTAGCACAGTTGCAATATAGTGTCACTTTTAATAGACATTTGTTTTAAACATCCTTTAGCTTCAGTGAGTTGTACAGTGGTGACTATTGTTTTGAGGTAAGCTACACCTGAGGTGCTGTTCATAATAATTGTGACTACCCTAGCCCGAGAGACCAATAAAGCCCAACCGCTAAAGCCAGTTGATTGAAAATGCTCCTTCCTTCCACTATTAACTTAAATTCTCTATTATGGCAGTTGTGAACTTTTAAACTCGTCCGTAAAGCCTTCCAAAGACACAAACACTACTGCTTTATAGATGAGACTATCTGATAGATGTCAAAAGATTAGGATAAATACTAGATTTCGAGTTTTATGAAAACAAAAAAAAATCCAATAAAAAAGAATCAAATAATTTATTTTTTGACTTTAAAGAGAGAATTTAGAATGATTTTTCAGAATTCTAGATTTTATGAGGTTTCGATTTTTAGAAATAAGTTGACGAAAAAAATGGTGTTTTGAATTTCAAATGCATTTCACATATTTCGTCATTATTTAAAACTAGGCTATTTTTTGGGGGCGCTCGTGGCACCTGTTAACAGTGGTTAAATTTGATTACTTTTCTTTAATAAACTGTAAGACCGATATTTTTTTACATACTTCATACTTTTTTGGCTGGGGCGCATGTAAGTCCATTGCCGCGCTTAGAGAATGTCTGAAGACAGCTATCCTTAGAAACCATCTGCCAGTTCGGGATAATAAGGACTCTAGCGTCCTTTTCAACACATCCAATCCACGAGATCTTCGGTCTTCCTCGTGATTTCTTGTTATCCATAAAGTCTGCTACTGTTACTTTTAATACTGGGGCATCTTGTGAGCGTCTAAACACATGTCAAGTCCATCTCAAGCGATTTGCACGGAGAACTGTAGCAATATCAGCTTCCTGAAATAAATGATATAGCTCAACATTTTGTCGACTTCGATACTATTCTTCTTCCTTCACAGGACCATGAATCGCTCGCAGTATTCACTTTTTGAAGATATAAAGTGCTTCCTCATCCGCATAATACCGTTAATGATTTAGGGTGCATTCTAAAACATACCAAAGCACCATATACCTGACACTCACGTTGTCAATAATCGAACATCCAAAAATCATTGGATTCTAACGGCTTCACAAATTGCTTCAAATGGCTTTCGTACAAGAGTCAGTGAGTTGTAAGTGGACAGAGCTCGAAGTCGATAGGGTTCGAGTCGACTCAAGTTGACTCGACTTAACTCAAAACAAATAGAAATAGACAACTAGAATTTGGCTTCTATTTATTGATAAAAATCAAGACACTGAAGATACATTGTCATGAAAATCAATTCTAACTCATTTAATACTGATTAATGGAATAAGCAAGAATCCCTGTGTTTTAAATGTGACATTTCAAACCTGATTTTAAAGAGGAAGATAAATTGAAACGTAATCATTCTGGGGTCGATCATAAATGAAGGAAAGCAAAATATTTTTTTAGGTCAGAGCTCAAAGTTGACTTTACTTGAGGGATACAAATTTTATCGCTAAAAACCACATGTTAAGCTTGTCAATCGAAATAAAATAGCTCAAAATTTTAAATTGCAAAAATTATACGCACAAGATTGTTACTTTTATTATTTAAGAATTAAAGTATTTTAGTAATAAATTACAATAATGAGAATCAATTTTTGCGAATATTATCTTATGCACGTGTCGAATAGCAAACGATGACCAAAACTTTTCAGATTTCAGTTTCTATCGCTGCTGAAAAAATCAGTTTAAATTCGCACCTGCAAGAGTCAACATCTAAAATTATTGAACATCCAATAAAATGATTGGAATTGAATTTTTTTTAATTTTCTCGGTAGTAAGTCTGATAACTTACTTTTTTGTGCTTTATTGGAAAATAAAAAGGATTCACGAATTGGCAATTAAACTTCCAGGACATAATGGACTGTCATTATTGTCATCACTTCATATTATAGTTACAGCAAAACGCAAGGATTATGTTTCGATTGTAATGAGCTATGTTAAGGACGAGTATCCAATGACTAAAGTTTGGTTTATGAATAAATTTTTAATCCTTACAAAAGATGCAGATTTTATTAATAAAGTCTTTAATTCACCACAAACTTATAACAAGCCTGACCTATTCTACAAAGGATTTATGACATCCAAAGGATTAATCACATTAGCTGGAAGTGAACACAAAAGACATCGAAAAGTTCTCAACAAAGCATTTACATCCAAAATGATGCAACGACTTCCTGAAATTTTTGATGAAAAAGCAAAGAAAATTATTGGAAATTTAAGTGAAGTTGAAGATCGCGGTGAATTTGAACTTTTGAACTATATTGGGCCATTTTCATTGGAAACTTTTGGCAAAAGCAATTTAAATTATGAAATTGATTATCATCGAAGTGAAATTTTGGATGCATATGAACGGTGAGTTGTTGAACGATACATTTATTAATTAGTGTAAGGTTCTAGTCTAGTGATGAGCTTATTGGTTTTAAAAAATGTGAAGTGAATAAAATTATAAATTTGATTGATGCTATTTTGATTAGTAATGAACTCAATTTTCACAGCTACTCTTCCGTTGCTGCTGATTTTCTACCTTATTCTATCATTGGACTCAGCAAAAACATTTTATCGCCAACAAAGCTAGGAAGAAGAATCAAAGAAGTGTTTCAAAAATTCCACATTTATTTTGATGATGTTGTTAAAATCAATAAGGAGAATGAAAACAACAATATGGTCGAAAATACTGCAATTGATATTTTACTAGATCCAAATAATGGATTTACAGAGGAAGAAGTTAGAGATGAATTGATCATGATGATGCTGGGGGTAAGTCGTTGATGTCATAGCTTTTAATCTTCTTATTGAATGAAATTTCTAATTAATCAGGCTTTCGAAACATCCACAAGAATAATTTCAATGGTCTTAATGATGGTCGGTATGAACAAAGACGTACAACACAAGCTAGTAAATGAGATAGAAGAAGTCTACAATGAAGATAAAGATGCAAAATTCTCAGCTGATTTTCTACAAAAATTTCCATACTTAGAAATGGTTATAAAAGAGACAATGAGACTTTTTGCTGTAGTTCCTTTAGTAGCACGTGAAACATCCGATGAAGTTGACATTAATGGATTTTTAATTCCCAAAAATACAACAATTCTGATATCAATTTATGCAATGCAAAGAGATGAAAAGTATTGGGGAAGTGATGCACATCTGTTTAAACCAGAAAGGCTGGAAAATGGAATGGAATTTCCACATGCATGGGCACCATTTACTGGTGGAAGTAGGATTTGCATTGGTGAGTTTTATTTTGTCCAATCAATTTGAAACTTTGCCAGAATCTGGATGTCTGAGGTACATTTGTCTCAGTTATAGTGGGATCTTAAAACAAATCCAGTTTTGCTCTAGTCACTAGCTTCTAAGCTGTACTTAAGGGAGGTTCCTTTTTTCAAATAAGTACAACTTTTGTTCTTAGTTCAGACCCCAGCACTGAATAGAATCAAACATAACCACTAATCAAGTTATCCTCAATTGACTAATCCTTAACTTGTTCTTCTTAATTTCTATTTTCAGGCTACCGCTACGCAATGATGGCAATGAAAGTCTTCCTAATAAACTTCTTTAGAACGTATACTGTAAACTGTTCTCAGAAATTTGAGGATATTGAGTCTGAAATGACGATGACATTAAATTTTTTGACTGGATATAAAGTTGGCATACATAAAAAATAAGCATTCAAATTAAATTGCTATCAGCAAAAAACTGATCAGGAAACTTAAAATGACTTTTAATAATTAATAATTTTAACAACTAAATACTTTTCTGGTCTTCATTTTATGCACAAAAAAATATTTTAAAATTAATACATGCTCATCCATATGCCATAATTAAGTAATTTTTAAAAACTGATAAAATAATAACTAAGATTAAAAAGGAAACTTTACAATCATGAAATAAATAATTGTAAAAAAACTTAATTTGACTTCATCTTCACCATAAAGAAATCATTCCGAATTCTACTTGTCACCGTCATCAATCTCAGAAAAGTTTGATGATCAAATCCAAATCAAACCGAATGTAATTTAAGAGCTAGTAAAAGACTTTTATTAATAAATGTTTATTAATTAATTTGTATTTTGAAATTTAAATAATGCAATAAATTCTGATATTAAAATAATTTTGTAGAAATAAATGAAGAATGACTCTGCAAAAATAGTGACATTTGGAGGAACAAAATTTGAACTATAATCTTTTCAAATCTTTTAAACAGAAAACTGATTTTAAAAATTATGAATAAAATTATTTAAACTATTAAAAAAGTTATTGGTTTTAAATCATCAATAACGACTTAAAAATGATTGCAATAATTGCATAATTTTTAAAAAAAATAAATTCTACTTCAATCAAAAACTTAATCAGCAAATCTTCCTTGATAAAATTGACCTTTCACATATCAGCTTAATTCAATATATTTTGGGAAATACCGTAGTTTTGTTTTGTTGTTATTATAATATTCAGGGATTTCCTTGTCCATGTAAATAATAAACTTTATTAATAGATTTTGTTTAATCATCAGGAGTTTAAGTGAGTTAATCTCAACCATTAGCTGGTTTATACATGATATTCATGATATCCTACCTTCGTTCCTGATACCGATAAAAACTCTCATAATTATGCTTTATTAATATTATTCATAAGTTGGTCAAGTTTATCGATTCTTTCACATTCATTTACAAATGAATGCATCAGTGACGTAACCAGATAGTTACAGGAAGTAAAACACGACTGATTAATTTCTTTAATGAATCGTATACTTAAAAACATACAAGAGCGATTGGTCATTAACTTATAAAATCCATCAATAAACATTATTTTTATATCCTAGAACCCCGACCTTCCCTTAAAATTGGACGTCAAATGTGGACAATTAAATCCTTTATTTCAAAAATCACGTTTCAAAGCATGCAATTTATTTTTGATCTCGATAACATTGTTTTTGCCATTTAATCATTCAAAAGAATTAATAAAATACGAAATTTAATGTCAAACTGTTTACTTCGAGTTGTCTGAAATCGCACAACTCCTTCTTATAACCTTCATTGACAAAATGATGATAACTAAAACCAGAACCAATTATGTGGCTCCACCAATTGCAGCTTTTGTCCAAACAGGAAACCTTAATTTAGAATTTTCCTTAATTTCTTGTTGCTTTGTTGACTTTTCGAAATTTTTGAGTTTATCAAGGAAACTTTCCATTTTTGTTGTAGCTTCAATTTCAGGCTTATTGGTTGCCACAACAATTGTGGTCATTGTTGTGGTAAGTGCTGTTGTTTCTGGTTCTGGTTCTTCTTCTTCTGTTTATGTTTCATTTTTGATAGAGCAATTTTCTTTAATTTTTGCAAAAATTGCAGTCATAGTTGTTTCATTGCTGGTTTTCATGTTAATGCAGGTATTCTTGGTAATATCTACAATCTTTAAAGCTTTTAAATTTTCAAAAATTGAAATGTTAATTTCTTTAATTTTGTTCGAACTGAAATTAATGTAAATTAGGTCAGGATTGTTTTTAAACAAGCCTTTTGCAAGAGTTTCAATTGAATTTTGAAACGTCCAAATATGTTGAAGCTTGGGAAATGCTTTTATATCTGACTTAATCAGTTCCTTTAATCCACAATTCTCAATACTCAAGCCTAGCAGTCCAGTGAAGAACTTCCCAAATACAAATGGTAAATAATATATAGTTTTATCTTTCATATGGATTCCAGTCACATCTTCTAATGAGTTTAGGAACGAATATTCACCTGACACATTTGTTATAGTTTGACTTCGGTCTGTGATGACTAGTTTGTCTTGAATGTTGCATTCGTAAATTTTATTATCAAAATGTGAACCCCAAGTAACGTCTCGATATGTGCAAGTTACTTTAACACACGAAATATGGTGGACAGCAAGCAGTAGAATAAAGATTCTAAGTATATAGAATTATTTGTGATTTATTCACATTCACATTTAAACAAAAGTAAGGTTTAAACTATGATTTTTCAGTTTTGATCTAGAGTTGGCTGCTCATATGCTGTCCATTGGTTTTTGCCGATTTTTTGTCAAAAAGCGGGACATTTCCCGATTTCAGTTCTGATAAAGCGGGACAGACCAAATTTTCAAGCATTTTCCAAGAAAAAAAGGTTCAAAAAGCGTGCAATTTGGGATTTTAGGTGAGTATTTCTTCAAAAACTGGAACTGCCCACTCAAAAAAGCGCAATTGGACAGCCTTTTCATGTATAATGTGCAAATGTTTGAGTTTTCGGTAGCATTAAAATTCCTTTTGGCGAGCAGTAAGTGATGAACATTTAAATCAATTATTTGAGTTACTTTTCTAATTAAAACTTAGATTTTCCACATTTCATAACAAAGAAAACACAGACAAAAACTTAATTAAGTTTACACATCAATTAAATATTCAAAATCATTTGAAATATTATCAAAGCAAATTAGTAAGATTACTCTTATCATTACTCACCACAGCTGTTAACCTAAAGCTCAGGAACTATCTCAATTTAAAAATTAAATCACAAACAAACAACAAATTATCAAGCTAAAGTTTATTTTCCACACACTAGACAGATCAACTCGAATGAGTTATTAAGTTGCGACTGATTCATGTAAATTAAAATCATTTAAAGACGGTTCAATAATCAACTCAATAATCATGGGAATTTTCGCTATTTTCTAAGATTGCATTGAGTACTTTTTTCATCAGAACAGCGATGAATTGCATAAACCGGTTGAGAAAATTAATTACTTGCTTATTCTTAGTTATAGGAGCATATTGTAACTGAAAAGATATGTCGTAGATCTAAACAAGGAGTTGTGGGTTGACACCCACGTAACCAAAGTATTCCATATATTTTCCATTGCCATCAATGGAAAATGTATGTACTATCCATTAACATTCCTTCTTTACATTACATATGTTCAACATAAATGTATGATACATGTATATTCCATATTTAATACATTTATGTATAAAGTGAGTTTCCTGTTTAACATTGCCATCAGTGGAAAATGTATGTACTTTCCATTAATATTCCTTCTTTGAATTACATATGTACAACATAAATGTATGATCCACGTATATACCATATTTAATACATTTATGTATAAAGTGAGTTTAATTTTTTAATTAGAAAAAATAAAGTTGTATAAAATTAAAAAAAATAAAAAATCAATGAGTATTTATGTAAAACCAGATTAAAAATTCATATTAATTAGTAAGATTTATTTATATTAATAAAATACGTTTATCCTCGACTTTTCCTTTTATTCATTCGTTGATAACCACGGATCCATTGTTTTCACGCCAGACATGTTTAAATGGTTTCTGTCCTGGACAATGATATTTCAAAATATTTATCAATTCTTCATGACTTCTTTCTTGCTTGATTTCGATTCCTTTACTAATTTCTCAAAACCTTCACGTTTTTCACGATTTTGTTCTGCCAATGCACGTCAAAAGTCTAACGCTCAACGACTATATTAATAAAAATAGAAATAATACAGTTCATACAATGATTATTTCATTAAAATGAATAAATAAACTTACCGATGGAAGCGAGATGATGAAAAATATATTAAGAAAATGTCTCGCATATCTGTTTGACGAGTGATGCTCTCTTCTATATGACCAATTCATCTATTTCACGATCGATTGGACAAACTTGTTCATTGCAAACATAAATTCCTTTTTGTCTTGTTCTTTAATTTCGCCTTCAAACGACATCAGCTACGTTATTTCTCGCTCGACTTAGCACGAACGGTTGCATTTCCCTCAAATTTGTCTGATTCCTTCACATCCATTTTCAAGTAATCAGCATGAACTTTGTGACAACATCGAATCCACTATACTTGGACCTTACTTCCTATTTGGCATATTTAATTTCAGCAACCATTTTGAAAGATTTGTGTGTTTGATTGATTTAAGCTTTTAATGACTTTAAATATGATTGAGCAGATCCAACTTTCCTTTTTCTGATCATTTCAACCTGAGACTAAAATGATGAATTATTCACCATAAAAAGGATCCAACTCAAAATCCAGAACTTTCAATGGATCAAAAGTGGATATGATGTTCTGCTGAATGTTCAGACATCGCTAATGTAATTCTTATTTCCTTTAATCGATCCTTATGCTGATATACTGAGATCCAGTAATTGTCAAATTCCTGAATATACATGCTAAAATTAAAAAAAAAATATTTAAAAATAAGCCTAAGACGTTTTTACATCATTGTAAACATTCCTTCGAAATTTACCTTACCTTTTTTATTGCTTTTTTCACTTTAACTTAATAAATTAAATTAATTTAACACAAAAACAAAACAAGAGTTAAGGACGAATAACTTTAAAAAAAACTTGCAAAAATAGAAAAAGACTACCCCTCATAAATTTAAAAAAAAACGACCGTTATAAAAATTTGGATAACACGTGATACATTTATGCATGACATGTGATACATGAATGGGTGATTTATATTCCATTGATGTAAGAAAACACGAAAATGAACTTTTAAACAATATCTTTAGTATTTTCCGAGACTGCAGTTCAAGATTTAATAAATTAGTGAATATTGGTGTGATATTGGTTAATTTAATACAAAATTTGGCAGAAACTGTAAGTAAGTTATTGAGAAATTGTGAAATTATTCCTAAAAAGTGATAATATATTTAGAAATTATGGGAAAATCACAAAATCTACTTAATCTAAAAAAAGACAGCATTAGAAGAAAGAAACAAAGAAAAATTGCGGAACTTAATCTAAAGATAAAGGAAAATGTTGATAAAATTAGTGGAAACAAACGTTTAATTGCATTAAATAACATCAGTAATGATAAAAATGCTGAAAAAGAGGAAAACATAAATGATTTTTATAGTGATTCAAATGAGGTTTTTGATGATAATATCAATGAAGAACCAGATTTTCTAAATAGAAATGTTTATGATTTAGACCTCAGTAGTTTTTTGAGAGTATGGAGCATAAAATTTAACATTCAAAGAAACGCATTAAGTGACTTATTAAAATATCTTAAAAAAATCGATCCGACACTCCCAATGGATTATAGAACGCTACTTGAAACCCCCAGAGATATTTCATTAACTAAAGTGGAACCCGGAAACTACATTCATTTTTCATTAAAAGATGAAATAAATGAGTTTTTGACCAAGACAAAAAACATTCCACAGAAAATAAATATTAATTTAAATGTTGACGGAGTTCCTATTTACAAAGATACATCAAAGTTTCCAGCATTCTGGTTAATTCAAGGTCAATTTAGTGATTACAAATATAAACCTTTTATTATTGGATGTTATGGAGGTACGACTAAACCAAAATCATTTACTGAATTCTTGAAACCTACCATAGATGAATTTAAAAGTTTAAGGAACTTTATGTTTAAAAACCATACAATTGATGTTAAAATTAATAAAGTTATGCTCGATGCTCCAGCAAAATCAGCTGTTTTAAACATTACTGGACATAATGGCTATTATTCGTGTCCTAGATGTGAAGTAGAAGGCAGATTTATCGAAAACAAAATGTCATTTTATGAATTAAATGCTCCATTAAGAAGTAATAGTTCATTTCGTGAGAGAGAAAACAAGGAGCATCATCATGAAGGATCTAGCATTCTGGAAGAACTAGACTATTTTGATTTAATATTCGATGTAGTAATAGATTACATGCATACTGTATTGTTAGGTGTGATGAAGAAGTTATTGAGAATGTGGTTTATTGATACTGGAAAGTTTAAATTATCAAATTTAGATAAGTCTAAAGTGTCTAAAATTATTCAAACTATTAACAACACGATTCCGACAGAATTTCAACGAAAATTAAGAGATCTAAACTATATTTGCCATTTTAAAGCAACCGAATGTCGTCAATTTTTGCTATTTCATGGAATAGTCGCTTTGAAAGACGTAGTTGATAGAAAAGTTTACCAGCATTTTCTAAAATTTCATATTGCTATAAAAATTTTATGTGACACTAAATTTTATGTTAAGTTTAATCAAATTGCAAAATTACTTCTTGATGAATTTATTTGTGAATTTAAATTGTTGTATGGTGAAAAGGAAATTGTTTATAACGTTCATTTGTTACATCATATATCAGACGAATGCTTTAGGAATGGACCTTTGGATACTTTCTCATGTTTTCCTTTTGAAAATAACATGTCCATGCTAAAAAAGTTAATTCATACAACGAACAATCCTTTACAACAACTTTTTAATCGTATTTATGAACATAATGCATTAGGTGACTTAAAAGTTTTTCTATCTAATGAAAATGATAGTAATAGAAAGAATAATTTATTCGTCAATAATTGTACTATTGATAATTCTGACAAAAATAGTTATGTATTGCTAAAGACTGGCGAGATTTTTAAGTTTCATTCTTCTATTATAAACGACGGTAGCTTGAAATTAAAAGGTCATATTTATTTGGATACTCAAAATCTATTTGATTTTCCTATAGCGTCTAAAAATATAGATATATTTGGATTGAGTAATGTTAAGACAGTTGATGTCATAATTGATTTAGAAGATTGTGAGAGAAAGATGTTTAGTATAGATACAAATTATGTAAAAGATAATGGACAAAACTTAGTAAAATTATTTTTCCCCATGTAAACTTAGAAACAATAAAGGAAAAAAATGTATTACGTTGTAAAATTCGATGATTCTTGTTTAATTGGAACAATAAAAAAGGACTGGATGATAGATGATAATCGTTGCATTTTTCCTTCTACAAAAAATGTAAAGAAATATTTGAAGATGAAAAGTACTGAAGCAAACAAAGGCAACTGGAAAATCTATAAGTGCACATTAAAATATCCAAAAAAAAATGGAGAGCAAGGTATTCAGGAGCTAGATGATGCAATATTTAAGGAGACATTTTATGTTGAAAATTCAGATACTGATGATCATGAGGCAAAGGCTAAATTAAAAAAATACCTGCATAAGCATCCACTTGCAAAATATGATGATCAATTGGATCTTAATCACTTAATAACAGAAGAAATGGTAAAGTTTTTTTTTATTAATTAATTTACGCACATCAAGCATTATTTTCTATTAAAAAACCAATACATTTTAGACTGAAACAAAAATTTCAGAAATGCACGCAACGTCTTTTGTTGATTCTATGAGCGGAATAGAAGATGGTATGGGTAGCCAAGTGTTCAACATGGAAATTTCAAATCCTGGCTCATCCTTTTCAATTGTGTATGATGCTGATGAATTAAATAATGCACCAGCGGATGAGAATGAAAATGATAAACCATCCAAACAGGTATGAAACATTTTTTTGTTATTTTCATTTTTATAATGTGTTAAATTTTATTATTATTTATCATAAAATAGTTCGTCACTCAAGGAGTTCAGCAAGACACACTAACAGTAATGTGTAATTTCTTAAATCAGATTAGTGTGCAAAACGATACAATTTTGTCACAGAATGAGGTCATAATAAGAGAACAAGTCTCACTTTCAGCAAAATTGGCAGTAATTGAGAAGCAACTTGAGCATTTGGAAGTAAATACTCGAAGTGATATCGATATCACCGGTTTTTCAATCAAACAAATTGAAAATATTATTAGGGTGACCATCTGCGTAGTTTTACAACGGACAGTCCTGTATTTCAAAACCCTGTCCTGTATAAATTTGAAAACTTTGTTCCAGGTCCTGTATTTTTTTCACGAGAATTTCCGTTAATTTTCGAATTTTACTCTATGTCCTGTATTTTTCGAAAAAATTTACCAAAAGTCCTGTATTTTCATGAAAATTAGATGGTTACCCTAAATATTAACGATTTTCAAGCCTTTCTTAAAAAGCTTGATGAGGAAAAAGTTTTTAAAGCAAAATGTGTAAGTATAATAAATTATTGTAAAAAAGTTAAATTTTAAAGAAAAATTATATTTTTAGGTTTTTTGGCTTTTTAAGAACTGTCCAAAAGGTACTTCATTGCATGCTTATAACGGAGTAATAAAAAGAGTAATTCAAAAACTATTCAGTATTGATTTTATTGATATTTGCGGATGGGGATCAGAAAAATCGTCAAAGGATGAGTATGTTAATTCTATTTTTACATTATAAATTTTTAAATTAAATTTTATTTAATACTTTTAGCTCGAACGTGGGTAAAAGTAAGAGAATAATTTTGTCGGAATATGCAACATTTAAGCAATTGCTTTTTGACGTGCTCAATTATAAAAATTTACATGGTGAATTCACGCCAGATGAAGTTGCCAAGGGAGTTAAAGAAAAATTTAAGCGGTATCAAAGAATGAAGGCTCAAAATTCAGTTGCTAATGACAAAAAATCACCAATTGATAAGGCTACAAATCAACAGCTCAATCATGTATCAGCATAATAAATAAGTAAGTTATTGTTAAAAAACTAGATGAAGCATAAATACAATGGTGCTTTTTTTTATATTTGCAGACTCTAATTATTGTATTTGCTTTGTGGTGACGAGTTCTTGAAGCAAATTAGGAGATGGAATCAATTGGCTGTTAATTTATGGATATTGAGTTGAACTCGTTAAAGCAAATTTAAACTTAACTTGGAGACATTACATTAGTTTTTGCACTTACCTAGTCATTGTCTTATAGTATAAAAAAATAGAAAATTAATTACCAGAGAATTGTAAGAACATTAATTTAGAAAATAAATTTTGAGACTTTTAGTTATTCTTGAAAAATAAAACCACACAAATTCTTTTTCAATAAAAAATTGTATGGTTCTAACAGTATCATACACAAATGTAATACGTAAATTATACACAAAAGTAATACATAAGTTTTACTTTAATGGAACCAAAGTCACAAATAAATATAACACATAAGTGATACATAAGTGTTACTTGAATGTACTACATATGTTGTACTTCAATGTAATACAGAAGTAATGCTTAATATCGTCCCAAATATCGTCCATGTTCATAGGACAATATCATTCCATGGATTATCCATGGATGATACGTGTGGACTTTACATGGATTATTTTCGTGTATTACATGTATCGTCCATTTATGGGATTTTGGTTACGTGGGCAAGCTCAATTGATCTGATTTTTAAGTACAGTAAAGGTTCCTAGTTCCTGTAATATAAGGTTTAAATTTAATAAGGAATGAAGGCATAGACCATTTTCATATTTGATTAATAGTTTATGTATTTTATTAAGAGAAAGTTTAAGGATTGCAAGTTACTAATATTGGAACAATTCGTGTCAAAGTTGGAACAAAAAAAGTTGGAAAGTTTTATGCTTAAAATAGTTAAAAATATGAAAGTCAAATAAATTCTTTAAAAAAAGTCAAAATCATCCCAAAATTAAATTAATAATAACACTTTACAAATTTAGTCTTTCGATTGTCGTCCATATCAAAGATACCTAAATGATGTGTAATCATACGAACTTCATCGTTCATATTTAGCTTGAGGACTTCTTTTGCCATGTCTTTTAAGCTTATTATCAGCTTACATTGTTCTTGAATAAGAAATTTCAATGCATTCAGGTCCTGAACACCTTTGTTGTATTTGTAGCTAATGTTAGGATTGCCTCTTAGGTCAAATTTTATCAAATTTTCAAGTTTATCAAAGATTTGAGGTCCAATTTTTGTTATTTTATTGTTTGCGAAGCTGATTTGTGAGATTTTTGGTGTAAATTCAAATAAATTTCCAGGCAAATAAGAAATTTTATTGAAATCGAGTCGTAATTTTTTCAATTTTGTGAATCCTTTCAAATCTTTGCTACAAATTGTCTTCATTTCTGCATTGTAAATCTCAATGTACTCTAGATTTGGAAAAAAGTCACTAAGTTCACTTGGAAATGTTGGTAAATATGACGGATAAATAAACACACGAGTGACTTTCCTGTAAATCTCTGGATCATTTAAATCATCAATTGACTTAAATGATGTAATTTTACTATTCATTGTGTTCACATACAATAAAATTATAAAGCATGTCTCGTCATTTTTTATGAAGTCAACTTGTACGTCGCCCATTTTTCTGAGTACTAAGAGCTTTTTGGTTTTTGAAAATTGAAGTTTTTTGTAGGTTTTCTCAAACTTTATATTTAACTGACTGAGTCGGACTGAATAATGTTCAATATATACATAAAATTTCTAATAGATTCTCATTTTACCAGACTGAAACTTTAAGTTTCTGAAATTAATATGTAAATAATTTTGTTTTTTTTTTCATAAAAGTTTATTAAGAATTATAAACCAGTTGTGCTTCATTCGAGAACAAATTCCACTCTCCCTATCTACGCGCCTGCTTGTTGCTTTTATAAATTGATGCTTACCTTAGGTGTGCCTTTGCCTAGCCAATACGAGAATTAGAGTGTTTTGTACCAGTTTTGTGTTTTGTCAAAGGCATGTATAAGAGAGGTATTGCCTTCATCTAGTCATGCCTATCCGAACGTGGTGCCCGAACAAACGCAAAAGCTTTCATGCTCTGGTGAGGCACCTTTCTTTGTGGAATCTGGAACCTTAGACATAAAAAAAAATTATTGTCAAATAAATTAAAACCAACTTATTGAATTTTTTAATCAAGTTTTTTGTTTATTTAAATTACACATCCAATTTACAGTTTTTAAATTATTTTTATAAAGAAATTTTGTCGTCACATGTACTCAAATATCGTAAAAAAGGGAGCCTTAAACAATAATTCCATGATTTGGATTTTGAAATTGCAGCATATTGTGCTCTTCAGCCAAATGCCTCTTCAATTGCTTTTGTCTTGGGAACTTTCGTCCACATAAATTACATCTTAATTTGGCCTCATCAACCTTCGGTCGTATACCTTTATGTACAGCATTTACGTGTGCTTTGACGTTGTATTTACATGCAAATCTCTTGTCACAAATCTCACATGCGTAGTTTCGTTCTGTAAAATTAGAAAAAAAATTAAAGAATTTGAGGATCATGATTTTTTCAAGTTGAACTTTACCTCCTGTGTGTGTTTTGCTGTGCCTTATCATCCCTTGTTTAGTATGAGATTTAAATCCACACACTGAGCAGACTATTTTCTTTTCTGTATCACCACTGTGGACCCAAGCATGCTTCAGAAGGGATCGTTTACGTGCGAACGTCAGTCCTGAGGATTGGAATTAATGATATTCAGTATTTATTGGATAGTTTATAGGTTTTGCTATGTGTTTTGAGTTTGGGTCGATGCTTCAAATTTGATTTGTTGCTTTAAATTTGAGTTGTTGCTTTTATTAATAATTTATTTCACAACTTTAAATTTTGATCTCAAATTTTGAACTTGATGCGTTTCTAGTCTTCAAATCCTAACATAGACAGTAATCTTAATACTCACCACATATAGTACAGATGTATTCTCGTCTGTTCAGATGAATGGCATTCATGTGCTCAAGTAAATAATACTTCTTGTCGAATGTTTTTCCACACATATCACTGTAGAACAGAAGAAGATTATCGGTTATCAATTTAATGCTTCCAAGGACTAGGTATAGTTGTTGAAATGATGAATATAAAGCAAAAGAAATTTAACGGACATTTCATTTTCAAAAAGAATGAAAGAGTCAGAAAAGGGTGTGAAAGAGAAAGGATGAAAGGGGCAATTTTTGGCGGGAAAATTTCCCTATAAAAGGAGCGAATTATTGCAGGGAAATTCATTTTTGTTTTGGCAATCGAGCTGAAAACATCTAAAGGAAAGGGATAAAGATATAAGGATAAAGGAAAAGGGAGCGAAAAGGATAAAAGAACAAAAGATAAAGATATAAGGGTAAAGGAAAAGGGAGCAAAAAGGATTAAAGAATCAAAGGTGAATAAAGGACCTATTATCAAAGGTGAATAAAGGACCTATTACCACGGAGATCACGACGGTAAAAGAAGTATCGGACGTAGAGTGGTAGCCATCTATGAAGGAGCGACCCCTAAAGGCTGTGAAGACTCGTGGGAGGCGATCAGGAAAGGGATAAAGATAAAAGGAGAAAGGAATAAATACTAAAAAGGGCTTAAAGAGTACTTTTAAGTACTATAAAGATAATTAATAAGTAATAAAGGTAAACATAAGGAAAGTCACCACGGAGGAGGTTACAGAAGTCCAGTGGGAGCCATTTGAGGAGGAGCTAGCAGTGTGCTCAACCCCAAAGATTGTGAAGGAAGATTCGTGGGAGGCGATAAAAGCAGTGATAGGGGAACGCGAAGTGGCATTACTTGCACATCTTCGTAACAGTTCAAACGTGCAAAAGGTAGAGAGAGAGAGGTTTTCCGGAGACGAGCTGCAAGACGACTCAACCCGTATCATAAATCTCAACAATAGTTTAATATATGAAGCAGCCCCTCTCCCGCTCTTTCCCTTCTTTCCCCTTTCCCCCTCTCCCCTCTTCTTCCTCTCCCCCTCTTCCTTCTCTCCCTCCTTCCTTTTTGCTATATTCCTAGTACTTAGCGTAACCAATTTGTGTGAGAAAAACGGATAAACTGTGTAGTTCAATTTAAGTAAGTTCATCCAAATTACAAATCATTTCGGCCAATAAAGGAAGTTCAGATTAAACACCCAGAAGCTCATAGTCAACTAAAAACATCTTCACACATCCTTACTTACCATATCATTCTATTATTCTTCAGATGAATTTTCTTATGAGAATATAGACAACTTGGAGTTTTGAACATTTTACCGCACTCAGGACAGCAAATTTCCCTCTTACTTGTATGAATCCTTATATGCTGCCTAATTTGTCCTTTCTTTTGTGCTGTCTTATTGCATATTGTACATTGAAATACAATTTGTCCATTGAGATTGTGTTCCTTAATATTTTCATCCTTAAATTTATATGACGAACCTGATGACTTTAATTTTTTGTATTTCTGTGGTGATGTCTGTGATTTATTTACAGCCGATCTTCTACTTCTTACTGGAGACACTTTTGTTTCCTCTGGTTTTGTACTGTCACTGTCGTCAGAATCATCAAAGTCATCATCATCATCATCGTCATCTTTATCATCATGATTATCTTGATTGTAATTATCACTGTCATAAATTTCATTCTCAACCGACTGAATGTCAATCGGTTCAATTTTAACTTTTAGAATTTCTGTGGCTTGTGTTGCATGAATTGGATGTGATGTGTCGTAAAGATATGAAAGATCTAGTCGAATTTTGTCTGCGATTGTCTGATGCTCGTCAAGTTCATTGAATTTTATGTAACAGTTTTGACAAATGCTGGTCTGATCTGAGTTTTTGTCGATTGGACCTAACGATATGAGTGATTCTGGAAAAAAAAAATTATGTTGGATGTTAATGTTATAGATAGAACCACATATTGCTACGTATTGATGATTAAAGTTATTGATGTACAACCTGAGGGCCCGTTCACTTATTACGTTACGCAAAAAACCGGTTTTTTTCACCCCCCTCCCCCCTTGTTACAACATGTTACAACTGGAACCCCCCCCCCCCCCCCCCCTGAAAGTTCATAATTCAATTTAAAAGACAGACGACAGTTAAAACGTTACATTCTTCTTGACACCCCCCCCCCCCCCCATGTTACATTTTGTTACAATTTTTCAAAACCCCCCTTCTCCCCTAAAATGCGAACGTTAGTTAAATGCTGAGTATTGTGAAACAATAGGAAACTTGTCATTGCTTAAAAACGTTGCACATTACTGATATAGATTAAGATGAGGAAGCTTATTTGTTTTTGAGAGGCTTGATAGCCGAAGGATATTATTGATTGCACTAATTAATATGAAAAAGTTGCAAAAGTCATAAATGAGTGGTCCAAAAACTTAATTTTCATTTATTTTCATTAACCAAGGTGTATTTTCAATTCAAAAAACTATTGTAAGTGCCCCAAAAATCTACAAGACTTCCAAAAGATCGGGAAGTTTGTGAATTTAAGAGATTTTGTGTTTGATCTTAATGTGGAAGGCGCGTAGCCAGGAGGGTATTGCCCCCCTCTCAAGCGTTTTAGACCGTGTTCTCGCTGCTTCAAAACGTTAAAGGAGGGGACAAGACCCTCCTGGCTATGCGCCTGTAATGTGCAATAAATTATCAAAATGTTTGTTTCAGATAATTTTTGTCGATAATTTATTCAGAGTTCTTATTAGAATTTAGAATGTATGTTAATCGGAAATACCGGAAGTTTTTTAAAATTTCCCTCCGCATAATTCCAGAAGAGTCCTGAATATAGGTTTTTAAATTGATTTTAAAGACTGGTTTTGATGGTATATCCAATTTTGATGAACTATATCACTTACTAAGTCTTAAATTTAATTTATTTGAGATTATGGTGGATTTATAGCTGCAGGACATTATTTGACGTCCTGTTTAATATCAAAATATTGCAATGGAGAGCAACTTTAGATCTGTAAGTCCAATTTTCAATCATTATCATTAGTTTATGACCTCTTAGTATCTAAATCCTGTTGTTTTTATTTTTATGAATTTAAATTCATTGTTTTGTTGATTATTGAGTGATTTTACAATATTCCTTACACTTTAAATATTTTAAACAATATTTTCATAATCTATCCCCTAATTAGACATACAATCACAATTTAATTCACTAAACCGCTACCAAACTCACAAGACATCCTCAAAATTACATTCCAATCACAATTAAAGTCACAAATTTCCCAAAACAACTTCAACTTACCCAAGATTTCCAAAATAGTTCTATTTGAGTAGTTTAGTGCATCCTCAACATTTTGCTTAAATCCTCCCATAAACTCACTACAAACGAGGCACAAATCACTTAAATTCTCCTCCGATTTACTCATTTTTAGTGAAGTTTATCAAATATTTTTGTTTTCATCAAAAAGTCTCAAATAAGATTTTTTTTTTTCTGTTTTACAGGGTGCAATGATGTCTATTGAAACTTAAAAATTTTTGAACGCACCCAAAAATTAATCCACACTGAACGTAAATAATTCTTTATTGTAAACACAGGAAGATAAATTTTTATTTTACACAATTGAATTTTTTTGACATTTTTGAGCAAATGATTGTTTAAAAATGAATGAAACAAGTGAAGATTTTGGTGACTTATGTCTGATATGCAATGAATATATGGGACAGTTTAGAAATCTTTTGACAATGGAGTCTGCATTCTCCAGGAGACCGATTTTGCAATTATTTGGTGAGTTCAATATATTTAATTTTGGGGAGGGTCTAGTGACATTGTGTTCAGTTTTGTGCAGTGATGTTTAGTCTTAAGCAACCAATTAGTTACGTTTTTTTGGGTATGGAGATGACTTGTTTGCTGGTACTTGTTGGGATCATGGATGAAATTTTGAAAATGTTGAAAATTATTCAAATTATAAAATTATTGAGAATTTTTGACATTTTAAAAATTCTCAGCAGTTCTTTTGGGTTTCATAAAAGCTAATATGTTTAAAATTAGCATTTTGAAACGTTATTAAAGTCGAAACGTAACTACATCAGCTTTTGATCAACATTGATAAAAAAAATATGCGATAGAAGTTGAAAAAAAAAGTTTGAAATTATCAGGTGTGATTTGAAGTGTTTAAGACAGTTCGTACTTAATGGATATGACCCTTGAAGTTGACGCGGTAATGACGTGATGTTACAGTAAAAGTGTTACGACTGCCAAGCACACTCACAAAATAAGGTGAAAGGGTGATACTACATTGCCTTCTGTGGATATGGCTTGAAGAGCATATCTGTAGTAAATAGGCCTGAGCATAGGGCTTGCGTTGAAACTAGTTATAAGTGCATGACGGATAGCCGAAGTAAGATAAGTACCTCGGTGGCCAAGTGGCAGGGATCTCTAATCGAGTGGTCGCAAAGAGATGCCCTCTTTTGAGGTCGTAGGTTCGATTCCCATCGAGCCCGACTTGTTTTACATTAGTATACACATATAGAAGTTATAGAGAGATCTACACCTCGAGTCAACTTAAACGTATGGCTTGGAAAGAGCTTCTTTAACTGCGCTTAATGACACCTAAGTCTTTCATCAATAAATCTTTAGACTAACTGCATTAGATTTTTATTTTTAATAAAATCAACTAAACCAGCAATAAAGTAATTTTAAATTGCAATATTTCAATTCCAGAGTCATTTATCAGTATATCCCTCCCAGAAACAACAGTAAAAGATAGAAAAATTTGTCAAAATTGCTTCATAAAATTCAATGAACTTGATGAACATCAAACAATTGTCGACAAGATCCAAAATGATATCTTAATGATCTACAATAATACTTTATCAACATCCCTTGACATCAAACATGACATAAAGATAGAAAACTATGATATAGCAGCCGTAGATGTGCATGAAAATTTCCATTTTTTTGACAGTGAACCTGAGTATTATTCTGAGCAGAAAAGCCATCGTAAGCAGAGGGATGAAGATGGTTTCATTGTTAGAAAACGGAAGCGATCAAAGCCACTGAAGAAAGATGATGAAGACTTTGCAAAAGGATATACAGTGATGGAGATTGAGGGTGAAAAGTGGTACAAATGTGATGTATGCCATAAAGTTCTTCAAAGAAGAATTAAAAATCATCGAGAAATTCACACGTCCGAAAGGAATATCAAATGTGAAGTGTGTGGTTCAATGTTTAAAACATTAGCTTGTCTATACACACACAGGAAGATTCATAAGGAGAGAAAGTATCACCAGTGGTGAGTATTATTAGACGTTCACTAAGAATAGCTCAGGAAGCCTGATAGGATTCGTCAAAGTCAAATCCCTTGGTTTAATTTGAATATATGCCAAATAATAATCTAGACTAGGCAACTAAAGCATGGCAGAACACTTACCTACACCAAACACTTGTTGTGCCACATATTCTATGACAAACTAGATATAAAGCCATTCAAGATATCCAAACTCAATCAAACTTACTCCCTTCTAGTGACATGTGTGGAATGAGGTATCTTCAAAAGATTCAACTAAGAAAGCACATCGACGCAATCCATTTAAAACGAAAAGATCACATCTGTGCTACTTGCGGAAAGTGTTATTCACGTGAATCAACTTTGCAGGTGCACATGCTTAGTCATAAAGCAGAAAAGGATGTCGTTTGTACAGTTTGTGGTAAGAACGTACAATTTAAACTAATCATCAACTTCTTGCTATAAGTATTCACAAAAATTCCAGGTTTCCGAACGCACACAAAATCAAAAATGTCAAGACACATGAAATCACACACAGGAGAGCGAAACTATGCTTGTGAGCTCTGTGGAAAGAGATTTGTTTACAGCTACAATGTAATCGCACATGTTAATTATGTCCATAAAGGAATCAGACCTAAAATTGATGACGCAAAGCTAACTTGTAAATTTTGCAATAAAAAATTCTTGAAAGTTAAGAAAGTTAAGGAGCATTTAGCAGAGGTTCATAATGTTGTTGAGCAAGAAGCAATGCCGGTATGGGTGGTGAATCAGAATATTGATTAGATTGGATTGTGTAATATGGTTTGGTAGGCAGATTGATGTTGTTTAATAGTGGATTCTTTTAAGTTGAGCACATCCGGAAATTTTTTGAGGTGAGCTTTAACTTCTTTGTGTGAAGCATGACTTTAACACATAAATTGACTATTACTAAAGTTTTAGAACTTTAGAAAAATCAAAATTATTTTTAAAAATAAACAATTAAGGATAAAATGTAAGAATATTAATTTAAATAAAATATAACAGTTTTAAAATTGAAAGTCCAATCTTGTAGTTTGTTACAAATCTCAAAATTAATCAAAAAACTCAAACAAAAGAAAATAAAATCTAATAAAAATCTCAACGACCTTAAAAAATTTAAACCACAAAAATTTTAAGAAACTTTGGTACTCAAAATAATTCTTAAACGCACCCCAAAAACTGTAAACATTAAAAACAACAAAAAAAAATCTTGCAAAAGTAAAACAAAAATAAATTTTCCATCAAAAATGGATGCGCGAATCATCGAGACCTGCTTGATCTGCGGCGAATATATGGGCCCATTCAAAAACGACCTGAACGTCTGCACAGGATTCTCAGAGAAGCCAATCTACGTCTTGTTTGGTAAAACAGGAAATTGACAATTTATTCGACACTTTTAATTGAATTAAATCACTTTTTAGAGTCATGCATGAGTATTAAATTGCCAAATGACTTAATCGAGTCAGCTGGAGTTTGCCAAAATTGTTTTATCAAGTTCAATGAGATTGACGAGCATCAAGCAATTGTTGATAAAATTCAGCATGACCTGCTTACGCTGTTCAACACTACACAAACCAATTCACAAGATACAAAAGTGGACATTAAAGTTATTGAGGAGGAAATCGAAGTTGCTGAAGTATATATTAACAATGAAGACATCATGTCAGATGAAGAATATTTTGTCAATGACATTAAGCCACAGAAAGGAATTGTAGATACTGATGAAAACAGGAAAAGACGAGGACCAAGGAAGAAAAGGAACCTTGATGAAGGCTTGATTACAGTTGAAGTTGATGGATTTAAATTTTATCAGTGTGAAGTATGCCGTAAAGTATTTAAGGATAGATATAAGCTCAAAATTCACAAAGAGACACACAATATTGATAGGAACATTTGCTGTAATGAATGTGGTGCAATGTAAGTAAATTGTTGATAGATTTGATGCACAGATTGGATATGAATCACTGGGTGTAGACTAAAACTTTTTGAGGAAGTCTAAACGCATGGGATGATGCAAACCTTTTTTACATAGCACTCTGGTTACTTTATTGGCTCCCCACATAATGGACTAGTGCTAACCTGAACTGGTGCTAAAGATAATTCTGACATTAATTTCAATAGCAACTTAATGATAGTGCTGTTAACCCATACATTATGGACTGTCTGTTGTTAAAACTGTTACAATAAAAAATAATACAGTGATCGAAGTCGACTCGAGTTGACTCGAGCTAGAATCAATTCGAGTCGACTCGAACCCTACCAACTTCGAGCTCTGAAATAACGATTTAAACTTTTCTCTGTTTTAGGTTCAAAACCCTCAGCTGTCTTTATTCTCATAAGAAAATTCACAAAGACAGGATCTATCACCAATGGTAAGTAATCAAGAAAATGAAACTTAATAAACATTCTGAATTACTTCTCAAATATCAACAGTGACATGTGCGAGATGCGATACATTCAAAAGACACAGCTTAGAAAGCATATGGATGCAATTCATCTGAAAAGGAAAGACTACATTTGTACTATTTGTGGTAAGTCTTCTTCATCATGATGTTTTCGAACCATTCTTGATTTTTTTTTGAGCTAGTATAATTATTAAAATTCAAAATTCTTCAGGCAAGAGCTACTCCCGTGACACAACTCTAAGTAAACACATGTTTGTCCATAAATCAGAAAAGGACGTAGTCTGCTCAATTTGTGGATTTAGAACGCACACAAAACCTAAATTAGATCGACATATGAAATCACACACAGGAGAACGCAACTATGCATGTGAGATTTGTGGCAAAAGATTCCTTTATAGTTACAATGTAATTGCACATGTCAAGTATGTCCACAATCGAGAGAAAAGGCCTTTTGATGAGTCAAAGCTAATTTGTCAGTTTTGTGGAAAGAAGTTCCAGAAGCAGTGGAAGAAAAAGGAACATATGATTGAGGTACACAATGTGATTGAAGCTATTGAGGGAGAGGACTTGATTATTGAGAATATGGAAGATACTATAGTTAAGGAAGAGAGTTCAGCTAACATTATAGTGAAAATACAATAATTGAGAGAATGAAAAATAAAATTAGACAATTAAAAACTTTCTTTTATTTTAAAATAATTTATTTAGAATTTTAATTCTTCAATATTATACAGCAATATAGTTGTAAAGTTAAGCATGATTATATTATAGTAATTAATTTTCATTTAAAATTCAAAAAAAAATCATTTAACATTTTGACAATATCGCACTATAAAATGTGATGTAGCTCCCAATAGTAGAATTAAACATCTGGTTGCATCCATTTCCAGAAAAGTTTACAACAGTTGCGCTTCTCAATTTCCATACAAATGAGCTTTCAACTTTCGATATCTGATTATTAGTTGCACTAAAATATTTAATTGAATTTGATGTTGCAATATAATCAGCTTTAATAGATGTCAACTCATTTTGGTCAAGACTTAGAGACCTAAGATTTGGTAACATGGCAAAGATCTTTGAAGGAAGTGATTTAATTTTATTATCAGACAAGTTTAATGTTTCAAGGGATGCTAAACTGTCAAAAGCTTCTAAATCAAATGTTTCAATGTTATTAAATGTGATTTCTAAAGTTGTAAGAACATCCAAATCTTTAAAATCACTGCTCGATAACCTTTTAAGTCCACAGTTACGCACAATAATAGTTTTTATGTCTGCAAATGTACTTCCTATGGTATTAGGCATGTATTGAATATCTAAGTCCCGCAAAATCAAAGCATGGACATTTTGATCTTTAAATGTATTTGGATTATGAGTTCCTGTCCAAACAATCTCTGTGTCTGTTAAGTTGGTAATAGTGATATTATGAGCAATGCAAGTATATCCATTAGTGCCGTTTGTGAAGCGACAAGTTCCATTAACTTCCAAGCATTTTTCAACTTTTACATCCAAGTCTTCAATTTGTAATTCAAGTTCATCTGCATGAAGTTGTAAAGCATTGAAACTATGATTAAGATTATCATATTTTAATTTGCACTGCTCATTAGTTGTATTTAACTTCATGATCGTCGATTCAAGTGTTAAAATAGTTGAATTAGCATTTTCACAATTTAACATGAGTTCTCCGTAAGAAGCGCTTAAGTTTGAAATAATCAAATTTAGTGTAAACATTGTCGTGTTTGCAGATTCATAATTTGATTTACAATCTTCATTGCTGGCATTCAAAGTTGTAATTTGTGATTCTAGATTTGTAATAGTTGAACTGGCATTTTCGTAATTTGACAAAAGTTCCTCATTAATTACACTTAAGTTAGATAAAGTCAAATTCAATGTAAATAGTGTTAAATTTGCAAATTCGTATTTTGACTTAAATTCTTCGTTGCTAATGTTTAAAGCTGATATTTCATATTCGAGTGTAGAAATAGTTAAGCTTGCATTCATATACAAATCTGTAACAACGGCCAGAGATGTATTAAATGAGTCAAAAGTATTTTGTAAATCTTGAATTTGTTTTGCCTGAGTTATTAAAGCTTGCATCGACGTAAGTATTTCAACTTTTGTAGAACCAAATTTTGAGACGAAAGTTTCAGGATCCAAAGAACCACAAGATGAACTTTTAACTTTAGTGATAAATTCTGGTAAGGTTGATTGACTAATTTCAAAATGTCCGACATCAACTCCTGAAGATTTACATTCATTTCCATCAAATAACAAAGAATTGAAAATTAAACTCCCGAAGACTTCCGGATGAATGTAAAATATTTTATTATCTCGCAAATCTAATGATTTTAGTAACGCCAATCCACTTAACAAATTCTTTCCAATAATTTCCAACGCTGACGATCTCACAACTAAATAGACAAGTTTATCTGCATATGGAACAAGATGTTCATTTTCTAAATATGACAGCGGAGTACCTCGAATAGTTAAGTAAACTATTTCACTAAATGTTGCACTTAAATCTGGAAGTTTATAAAACTCTTTGCCAATAATCGAAAGCACATCGACTTCTGTATTTTGCAATCCATCTTCATGTTCTCCGATAACTTCACTAGGTTCTGAGTCGAATGAAAAAGATTCATCGATAAGATTGCATCCATAATGAGACCCAGAAATGTATGGAAGAGTTCCTGGATTTATTACAACAAATTCACATGTCATATTAACTAAATCACCAAAGCATGTTCCCATTAACAGAAAAATATACGCCAATTGGTGCATTTTCATCTTTTTAAACATTTATTGCTGAGAATTGAATAAAAATAATTTTTGATTTAGTATTTTTTTAAAAAAAATCACTAAAAGATTTCACAAAATTAACACTGCTTTCCAGTACCTTTTGAAGCTGACGGTTTAATGATTTTGGGCAAAATTTTGCAAGCTTCCATTATAAAGTAAATTTTTTTTGTTTGTTTAGTATTTTAGCATATTTTGCGAAACTTTCATCGCTACTGTCATGAGCATATTGTCTATTGTTTGACTTTATAAAGAAAACTTGAGAAGTTGTTCTGCTTGGACTTTATTTAATTTAATTTTCAATTACTAGAGATCAGTAGTGGCCAACCTTTTTTGTGCCAATGCATACCTGATGATGAACGATTACGAAAACGGCAAAAGTCTTATGATTTTCGAGTCGACTTCGAGCTCTGGACAATTGGATCGGACCTTGATTGGACTAAATGATTTGAATTAATTCTTTAATTAAACAATTTAAAGAAAAGCGAACACTTGTCCGGTAATCGAGAGGTGCGAGGTTCGATTCGTGCTTGGGACGAACCATCGGATGAAATTATTTTTTCGATATTTGCATGTAACATGCAAAAAATCTTGTTGAACTTTTAGACCTAAGGAAAAGCTTTTTTGTCTTTTACTTGAGATTTTATTTACTCAAGATTATTACTTCTCTGAAAAATGTCATATGATTTTTAACAAACTTTTTTGCACAAGAGTTATAAATTTAAGAGAATTTATCTCTGATTGCAATGTTTACATTATCATTACGTAAGTAAATTCTGGATGATGGTTGATGAAAGATAAAGCAGATATGCATTTTTATTGCGTTATTAGATGATAAAAACTTTTTTTGACTATAATGAGCCTTTCCGCTTAATAATGGTACTTGGATTATTTGGTTTTGTGTCAATAAAAGCTTTTATAAAGTGCTTAACTGAAGAGTTTCGCAAAAATATATAAAATTTTATAGTTTGGACAAAAATTCATGGTTTTATTGAGACAAAACCAAAAAAAGTTTCGAGTCTCATTATTTTATGGAAAGCTCAAATGTTGTTTGTCAAATAATCTTTAAACTTTTATTTATAAAGCGGAATTAAAACTCAATAGATTTCAGAACAGTAAAGTTTAAATTGCAGGATAGAGTAAGCAATTCATCTTAAAAGAAAAGACTAAATTTGTTCTATTTGTGTTAAGTCTTCTTAAGGTTATCTCAAAGTTGTACAAACATTCTTGATTTATTTCTTAATTTATTTACAGTATGAACAATTTGTTTCCGACTCCTGAATTGAGTTGAAAACAGTTTTCAACATTCCAAGCATTAACTTCTCCGTGACACAACTGAGATAAAAGTCTTTTTGATGAATCAAAGCTGATTTGCTAGTATTTTGGTAAAAAGATCCAGAAGCAACGAAAGAAAAATGGACATATGATTGAGGTGTACTATTGAGGGGGAGGACTTGATAATTGAGAGTATGAAAGATACGATTGTTAAGGAAGAGAATTCAGCTAACATTAAAGTGAAAATGCAATAATAAGAATATGAAGAAAAACTAGACAATAATTCAAATTTCTCAATATTTTTATTGATTTTTCATATACTTGAACTTTAAGATTCCTTCATAGAAACTTTTTTTTTACATAGTTCATTATCTCAAACCTTAAAACCTTCGTGAATCTTTCCATATTTCATTTTTTATCTTAAACACTCAACATCTCGTCAATATAGCACTATAAAAGCTTATATAATTATCAGAAACTAAATCAAACTTTTGATTGCATCCATTTCCAGTAAAGTCAATGAATTTTGCTGCTCTTAATCTCCAAACGAAGGAGCTCTCAAGTTTTTTTAGCTGATTATCAGTTGCACTAAAATATTCAATTGAATTCGTTGCTGACACAAAGTCAGCTCGAATCGTCGTCAACTGATTTTTGTTCAGAATTATCTTTTTTATGGCATTCAACTGTGCAAAAACCATTGATGGAAGTGATTTAATTTTGTTTCCCGATAAATCTAAGGAAGTCAGAGCAGGAAGTCCAACAAAAACTCCAGCTTCTATAGATGTTATTTCATTAAGCGTAATTTCAATTGATTTAACATCTTCCATATGAAGGAAGTCATCAACTGATAGTTTTGAAAGTTTACAGCTTTTCACGATTAAATTTTTAAGTTTGATAAAGGCATCACCAATCTTTCTAGGCATAAACATAACCTCTAAATTTCTAATGATCAAAGTTTCGATATTTCGATTTGAAAGATTAGGTGGATTTTGACTTCCAGTCCATAAAATTTCTATTCCTTTTTTAGCAACACTAATGTTATGAGCAATGCAGGTATAACCAAGTTCACCAGTATTGTATCGACAAGTTCCATTTACTTCCATGCATTTTTCAGCAATTTGCTCCAATTCTTCCATTTCCGTTTTTAATGTTTCTGCTTGTGTCTTAGCTTCGTCACGTTCAGTTCCAAGAGAACTTAAGTGAGATTTGCATTCTATATTCTCATCGGTTAGCTTATTGATTTCATCATTTAGTGTTGAAATATTTTTTTGCGCAGCATCAAATAAAACTTTAGTTTTATTTGTAGCTTCTTTTAAATCACCTAACTCTTTTTCCATTTTATCAATCAAACATCCTTGCTGATCGATTACCAAATTTGATATTCCAGGAGCATTATAAACTTCCGAATCAAGATTGAGTGTTGCATTCTGATAAATTGATAAAAGTTTCTCAAAGTCAGAAAAGTGGCAAGTTGAATTTAAAATTTTCGTCAATAAATCTTGAAATTCTCCATTCCCAGTTATGTAGTTCCCAATATCGTTTGAACTTATGTCAGTGCAATTGTTGCCTTTAAGCATTAAATAATCTATGGATGCTAATGAGTTAAATACATCTTGAGCAATGTAGAATATTTTATTGTTTTTTAAATCTAGAGTTTTCATTTTTGTAAATCCAGCAAACGAATCTTTAGAAATAATTTCCAACATTGAATTTTGAATGACTAAGTGCTCTAATTTCTCTTTATATACTTCAAGATTTGACTTTTCTAAAACTCTAATTGGTGTTTTAGTCATCTTTATGTAGATTAATGAAGGAAATTCTGCCACTAGATTTGGAATTAAGAAGATTTTTCTGCTGTCAATCGTTAATGAAGTCACATTATCTTTTGATTTGTTCGTCATATGATCTCCAATTACATTATCAACAGCCATTATGATAGACGGAAAATCTTTTATTAAGTTACAAGCATATTGCGGGACATCAAAATATAATAATTCTGTGCTTGATACGGTTTTAAATGTACAGGTTATGTCTGCTGCATGACTTGATCCTAATGAAAAAAATACGAGAAGCAGTAAAATTGCAGCCTTGACCATTCTTTATGTAAAGTTTAGCTTGCCCACTGTCGGAAATAAAAGCTGTTGAAAATTCAAAAGAATGAATTAGAAAACTTAAGAACTAAAATTCTCGATTTCAAATGTTTGAAAGTTTAAACTATCCAGCACAAAAACTTACTCTCAGCACCTTATTCTTCAACGTTAAAAAGCTTAATAAGCTTAAGAATCGAAAATTAATTGTCAAGTGTGTATTTTTATAGCGAAAAAAATTTGTTGAATTAAGGTGATGGCTTATTTTTCTAGAGAAAAAAAAAAGATCAACAAAGATAGCAATTTTGTACAGATAAATTGCAAAAAGATCATCAAAAGAATTGTTGTGATATAATCATGTGACAAATTTGCAAATTTTGCGATATAAGCGAAATAGTGACTATTTAATCAGGTATTATTATTATTTTTCATTTGTCGATATTACCGTCCGGAAGAATTATTATTTAAACATGTTTACTTTTTACATTGATTAGTAATTCAGCTCATAACACTATGGTGATGTAGAATCAAGCTTCCAATCTTCAAATCTAGGTTTCAAATAGATTAAGGCTCTCGTTTCAATCTTCTATGGCAGTGTCGTGATACATTTCAGGTCCGTTCTAACAATATTCCATTATAAAGTAATCTTGTAGCTTTCATTCCTATTTCTCCCGCTACACTTCAAGTTCCTGATCCGTTCCTTAATCCAACGTTGACCAAAATGCCCAATTATGGCTTGATCTCGTACATTAAACAGTCGAAGTATTTAAACTTCTGAAAAAGAACAAATATTGGAATGGCTGGATTCGAACCGACGACCTTCAAGTTACCATACAAAATTTGAGTCAAGTGCCTTACCTGTTCGACCAGCAACTGCTTAGGTTGCTTTAGAAACAAGTCTCTAGTAGTAGTAGTAGGTGTCCGAGTACCTAAAGAGCTCCTCCCACATTTACTAAGCCACTAAAAACAATTGATCCAAATGAAAAACTATTTCGGGGGGTTTTAAATGCTGCCAGTAATTTTATATTTTTAAACATTTTCTTTCCTGCGAAATGTTTGCATTTCAACTTCAGAAAAAAGCGTGATTATTGAGAGATTCAAAACAAAGCTTTAAGTGAATTAAAGAGAAATAAAAATCCACGCGGAAGCTTAAATAGTAAAAAAGTTTACAAAATAAAAATCTATAATTCCCCAATTCCCAATTCCCTCCCTGACTCTCGTGGGAAGCCATTTGTGAAGTCGTGTGAAGCCAATAATTTGGGGAGTGTTGACAAGGTGTCATGTGGGGGATGGTTGTCAGGTTTGGAGTAAGATGGGTCCGATGTTGAGGGGTTTATGAATCCATGTGATATTTTGTGGTAGTATTGACCTTAAAAACTTTATTGTTATTTGCGTCTTACAGTTATTTACAAAATAGTAATTAAATTTAAACCTTGATAACAGGCGCCACGCGCGAGCCCGAAAAACCTAGTAAGTTAATAAATGTTATTTTTTTTATTTGACAAAAATTTTTATTGTTTTTATTTATTGATTTTTTTTATTGATGAAGCTAGTGTTGGAAGCTTAACACTTTTTCAAGATAGAATTGTAAAAAGCAATGTACTGATCGCCAGCTTCTTTGTCAAATTTTAAATTACAATCATTTCCAGAGAAGTCAATCAACGTTGCACTTCTTAATCTCCACACAAATGCACTTTCTACTATCGCAAGCTTATTATTCCAACCAATGAAGCTATTTATAACATTAGTTGTTGGAAGATAATCTGACCTTAAAGCTGTGAAGAAGTTGTTGCTTAAATTGAGTGAAGTTAAAGTTTTTAAAAGCGCAAAAATCTTTGATGGCAAAATCTTGATCTTATTTTCAGAAAGATCTAAAACTTCTAGTGACGTGAGTCCATCAAAGACACCAGAATCGATTGAAGTTATTTCATTTCCATTAATCTGAATCTCCTTCAATCCTTCAAGAATAATAAAATCATCTTTAGACAGCTTTTTGAGTCCACAATTACGGATCATCAAAATTTTGAGGTTAGAAAATGAATCTCCAATTTTAATAGGCATGAAATGAATAGCTAAGTCTCGAATAATCAATGCAGTGACATTTGCATTTCCTGATGATTTTACATGTTCACCAGACCAATTTATGACATCGCCAGATGCATTAATGTTGATATTGTGAGCAACACATGAGTAGCCATAAGTTTCATCAGCTACGAATCTACAAGTTCCATTGATTTTTATGCATTTTTCAGCTTGAGCTTCAAGTTCTGAGGATTTTTCTTCTAGTTCTTTGATTTGTAGCTTAAGAGCATCATTTTTGGCTGTCGCATTTTGGTATTTATCAGTCAGTGCTGTTATGTTGTCGCCGCTTTCAATTAATTGATTTTCTAGTTTTTCAATTTCATCGTTCCTTAAGCCTAACGTGTCAAACAGTGTATTGAAGTTCTCTTCTGCTTGGTGAGCATCTAAGTCATTATTATCTCTTGAAGCTTGAAACACATTGATTAACTTTTCAGTGTCAAGTATACCGCATGTGGATGTTTCTATTTTAGCAATGAAATCAGCCATAGCAAAAGTATCAGATATCAAAATATTCTTAATGTCAACTTGAGTTTGGGCATCAAAACATTCATTTCCCTCAAGTAAAAAGTTTTTCAAAAGTGTGAGGCTCGAAAATTGATTAAATTCGATGTAAAATATTTTATTATTTCGAAGATCAATTGTGATTAATTTAATCATATCCTCAAAGACATTTTCCTTGATGATTTCAATGTTTGAACTTCTAATGACTAAATGCTCTAAAATTTCTTTAAAATTTGCAATATTTTCCCTCTTCAAAGTTTTTAATGAGCTCTTCAAGATGTTAATGTACTTCAATCCAGTAAAATCTGTGCTCAAATTGGGAATTTCGAATATTTTCTTATCATTAATGGTCAATATAGTCACGTCAGTATCAAATTTTTCTACAATATGATCACCAATGACTGCCTCGATTTCACCATCAATATATGGAAAGTCATTCTGCAAATTGCACTCATATTGCTGCCCTTCGATGTAAACAAGACCAGCTGGAATTATTTTATATTCACATGTTATATTAACGGTGTCAGCTGCTGAACATGATTTTATTAGGATTGTAATGAATATTAGGATGAACTTTGACATTGCTGGTTTCGATGTAGCTTAGATTATTTTTTGTTGAAGCTTTGTAATTAATTAATATTAATTTTCAACTCCTGAGGCTTAATTTTTAAACTTTATTCAATATAAAAACTAATTTCTAAAAACTTCCTCTTTCCTCTAAACAAGCTAGAGAATTAAAACTAAAACTGCGAATTTTATGCCTAATATTGAGTAAATATTCAAAAACTTTCTTATCATATCTAGACTTGCTTTTAGCAAATTTATTTTGCCGTAATATCATAAATTTAACTCATTTTCCTCTTTCGCTTATTGTTGCTGAATGCCTGAAACGCGTGAACATTTATCTCGATGATTTAGTACAGTTGCTATTTTTGTGCTTCGCAATGGCAAAAAGTCTATTTTTTGATTGAAAAGGTTAAAAAGTTGTTTAGTTGACGTTTGTGGATTGAAGAAAACAAAAAAGTTCCTCAAACTAAGAAAAGGTTGACTAGAGTCGGTTTTAGAAACTCAAAAATTGTTTATTTTGATCTTTGCTTCAATTTGGAATTAATTTGCATAGTTTGAAAGATTTGTTGGTTTTTAATAAAGCTACAGTTCTCCGTGCAAATCGATCTTGAGATGGACTTGACATGTGTTTAGACGTTTACAAGATGTCCCAGTATTAAAAGTGACAGTAGCAGACTTTATGGATGGCAAGAGATCACGAGAAAGATCGAAGATTTCGTGGATTGGATGTGTTGAAAAGGACGTTAGACAGGGGCGTAGCCAGGGGGGGCCATAGGGGGCCCGCCCCCCCCCCCCTACGAAAATCTGATAATTGTTTTATTAAATATTTATAGAGAAGAACCAGTTAATGTAGAGGAAATGATGAAAGAAATTTCAAAATCAGCACGAAAAATTAAATTTAATGTATGAGTAATGAATTCAATATTTAAACTTATGAAGAATGAATATAGATTTAAGGATACAAAATAACGGTTTTTTAATTTTCGAAAATGGGCCCCCCCCTTAAAAATTTTCTGGCTACGCCCCTGACGTCCTTAAAATCCCGAACTGACAGAAGGTTTCTAATGATAGAGCTGTCTTCAGACAATCTCTAAGCGTGGCAATTGGCCTTCGTGCACCCCACCCAAGGAATTAAGTATTACGAAACAAAAAATGTTGAAGACAATTTTAGATAGATCTTGCTGGAAATTTGCAAAAATAGACTTTATAGACCACGAATAAATATAGAGATCGCAGTCGCATGGAAATCACTCTCTCAAGAGTGCAAGAAGCGCATGCAAGTTAAAATTGAGAAATTGCTCTAGAGCAGTAATATCTTAACTTATTGAGCCACCGCACACCTTAATAGGATTTTTAGTAAGATTAATTTGTTTACAACAAAATGATTTAAAGGTTTTAGTTGCTTATTCATCAGTTGCTCACATGAGCTTAGTGATTGTTGGATTAATAGTTTTATTATGTTGAGGGTGAGGTTTTTCTTATTCGTTAATAATTGCTATGACCGGAGTTACACACAACACATTTGGCTAGTTTCATTTTTAAAAATATCTCAAATCAAAAATCAATTCAAATGCCGAAGCAGTTTGAGCAACACTGCTCTAGAGCATGGCTTTGAGAAAATTTAGTCTTCTCCATTTTTGGTGATTACCTTTCGAATCCGGGTACGCTGTTCTTTAGTATCGTCCTGATGACACATTCTCATGAGTACGCTAAAAGCATGTTTTATGTCCTCTCCAGATCATGCTCTATAGTGTGATCTTCATCGAAATCATGCTCTTGGTGCTTTAACTCGATTCAATGACTTTTGACTGAAATGCTAGACAATTTAAAACATGATAATTTCAGCCAATAAATAAGCTGAACAACCTAAATAGTGCCCAAAATTTATGATAATTTTTATGAAAAAAAAAACATTAAAATTTATTTCTAAATCCAAAAGTCAAACTTAGAATTTATTTGATGCAATCTGTGACAAAAGTTATGAAAAACTTAAAATTTTCTTAACGAATTGCGAACTTGATCCAAAGTGGGGCATGTGGCTGGATCAGGGTTCAAAAGACAACCTAAAATCTTGTCATTTTCTTCTTGCAAACTTTCAATTTGTGCTGAACATTCAGCCTCTTTGTCTGCTATTTCAGTTTCACATTCTGACTCTGTGATTTAAAATTTAAAAAATTAAACATGTCAATTTTGAAAATTCAGTTCTCACCATTATTTTCGGATCCTTCTTGTGCCTTTAACCAGAACTGATACAATGGCGGAGCATTTTCAATATCTCCACAAGGTGACTCCTTCAATTTATCAAGAACCTTTCCAACTGCAGCGTTTGATGTAGCTTGTGGGAACCCACATGTGATTGCAGTTCCATCAATATACAATTGAGCTAAATTTGGTCGAATAACATCAAATACTTGAGGATCAAAGTATGTGATCTTATTTGATCTAAAGCTGACGAACTTTAATTTTGGATTATTGATGAATAAATCTTTTTCCACAAACTGAATCTGATTGCTGACACTTGAAAACATCAAAAGTTCTGGAAATGGCGCCAAGTTCTCCTTGGTCACGTGTCTCAACTTTGTCAACTCGAATCTTAATCCTGTTAAATTAGCAAAAAGCTGATCTAATCCTTTTGGGATGAAATGCATAGTCTTGGCAAAGACATAAAAGAAACTGACATCCTTGTTTGGTTCATCTGTTGGCTTTTTACCGTTGAGTGATACAATTGTTGTGTCTGCTTTTGTGACTTCAAATTTTGACTTGACTGTGCATGTTTTTACAAATTTAAAGTAGAGAAATGGAAGGTTTGAGATTGTGCATTCACATGGAATGTCTACAGCTGATGTTGCTGAGAAGGTCGTGATGATAATCAGCAAAAAAGTGATGTAAAGTTGGCTGTGGAAAATTAAAAGATATTAATTTTAACTGCAGTTGCAAGAAAGACCGCCTATGAAACCTTAAAGACATTTATGTTTGGCACTAAGCTAGCCTCTAATCTCAGATAGACATGTTTGAATCTTTACTTACATTTTCATGTCGACTTTTGTATTTCAAAAATCAAAAATAATTCAAATTATTTTTAAAAAAACTCTTGCTTGGCTTAAAAACCCTTTTTAAAAAATCAGAACCTAAACCGTTTGATTCCCAAAAATCAACTGCAGCTTTTTAAACCTTACAATTATTTTAATATGAAAAAATCTGGGCCACCTTTCAAGTTAATCAAATAATCATTAACAAAAATAATTTGTTTGAATTGTGATAAAACCTACGAAATTATTTTATTAGTAAATTTGCTTAGCCGTAAAAGTTAATGACATTTTCATTCATGCACAAGGAAAATACTTACTCGTGGTGTCTAAAGAAGATAAGAAATGATTAAAAAATAAAATTTCTGCAAATCGCACAATGTGATTTTATTGAGGCGGCTTTGATGTGTAGGACTAGATAAATATTTGAGCTAGAATTGAGATAAGTTTAAGTAATAAAAAGGGAAGAATTCTCTGGAATTGTTTTTGTTGGCATAAGATGAAGCTTTATCGCAGTTTTGGTAAATTAGGGGGATATTTATATATTTTATAGAAGATGGGATAGTTGAGGTATATTCTGAGGAGGCTGTATTCTGTCAGGTTTTCATCAACTATAAGGAGAACTCGAAGTTGACTCGAGTTGACTCGGGTTTTTGAGAGTCGACTCAACTTTTCTCGAATCGACTTCATTTGATTCCGAGTCAACTTCTTCATACAAAAAATTAACGAGTTGACTCGAAGTTGACTTAAAACCGACTCAAGTTGACTCGAAGTCGACTCAAGTTGACTCGAAGTCGACTCAAGTTGACTCGAGTGGAGTGATATTGAGTCGAGTGGAGAAAACTTGAGTCGACTCGAACCCTATCGAATTTGAGCTCTGACAATAAGCAAACTAGAAGAACTATGCAGTAGCTTGATGGTATCATTTAAAAAACTTTTTCATACCAAAGGTTTAAGTACCAATGTTAAAATGCCAAATGAGTCACTTCGTTACAAATAAACGCTCTACTCTAGTGAATCTCAATTCTTGGAAAAAGTAACTTAATTCATAGAATTATTATAAAATGACAAAGTCATATTATTTAAATAATAAATCAGAAATGTGACGAAGTGTTTTTAAATTATTCACAACAATTGAGGCAGACAATAGCATTATTAATGACTCATGCCGTCAGATTATTTTTTTTTCGTAGGAATACTGTGACTGGTCTCCTCTGATTACCATTTTCTGTGGAAGCATTTTGATTTTGTGAAAATTTTAATTTATTTATAGCAGTTTGTATGAAGATATTAAATAAATTATCAATGTTGAATATCAAGACTGCATATATTTTTGAGCTGAAACTGACAAACATAGTCATGCTGTCTGTAACAATTTTTGAAACAGTCTGATAAAGGAAGAGTGATGTTGGCATCTGCTAAACATGTAGATTTACTGACGGACTTGCTAAGGCAGACTTGCTAACATGCTGACGGACTGACAAATTGAACGATTGATTAAGCTTGGACGCTACAATAAAATGCCACAAAAACATAAACAACTCGATTCATCAATGACGAAACAAAAAAAAACAATAAAATTAAATTAAATTGGTGCAAAAAAATATTCTTAAATTGACAATCAACTCCACAGCATCAACAAAATGTTCCATCTCATCATCTCACAACATCATAAAATCTGCCTAAATTAATATAATTTAAATTGAGCGGATGATGATGTCATCATTTATATCTCCTGTCTATCCGATTATATCTTTTAATTGAGAGCCACATAGGCTCCTCGACGTGTGCTGAATGAAAGAGCAAAAACGTGTTTGCTGAGATTGGACGTGATTTGACTCTATTTAAAATAAATAAACAATTTTTTTCGCTCAGTCGTAAAGTTGCAAACATAAAAATCGGACGTAAAAAGATTTTGCTAGAGTAGAATAGTTAAAATGTTGATTTTAATTTTTGGAGTGCTTCTAGTTGGATGTACAGGTGCGAATTCTTACAGTCAAAAACACAGGCATAGAATCAGGCAAATAACTCAAAATTCCCTCTTTCAGCATCCTCAATCGGTGGCGAACGTGTCAAAGAATTCGCATTCAGTCCACATTACCATAACGAAGGTCCGACAGACGAAGCTTCATCGTTTGTGTCAGACACACCAAAACTAAGCATCTGCGATGCATACAAGACCCAATTATCAGAACCAAAACCAAAGAAAACATTTTGCAACGTAAAATGCGGTAAGACATAACAAAATGCTCGATTATTGCATGTTGACGACAAAATTGATGATTGTGAAACAAACTTGATGTTGCAGTTTAGATATAGTAAAGCACATTTTGTAATCTCGCGCGTGTGAGAGGTTGAAGAAATGAGAGATCAATAAGATGATTTTATAATTTATTGATTCGTGCCGGATTGGATGTGATTAGCAATGTTTTGAATATTTTTTAGTCGTTTTGTGACTTTTTGAATATCAAAAGGTAAACCTAACAACTAAAGGGAGTTTAGGGCCGATTTCATGCTATCTGGATGTTTTGCCCGAGTAGCACCAACAACAACAACTGGTTTTACATCAACTATCAAGTGGAAAAAAGCAAAATTATTTCATTGTTCAAATGCGGCGAATTCGTGCGTGTAGACGCCTTAGCGTTGCCACAACGGTAAAATTTCGGCGTGACTTGCTTTTTCTACTTGATGGTGCCTTGAAGTCGACGTAAAACCAGTTGTTGTTGTTGGTGCTAATCGGGTTGCGTTCTATCTTTAAATTATACTAGTAATGTAACTGTGACCAGGCCAAGTTGCTGAGAATGCCATAGAAATTGGTCCGTCCCAGTTTGGGTTTGCCTGTCTTTATATGAGAACCGCTGTGTCTGTAGTTTAAAAGCTGGACACTCCACATATTATAATTGAACATCCTCAGTTAAGCAGACAAAGTCCGTTGTTTAGACCAGTAAAAGTTGATTTTTCACTATTCAACTCCCTGGCTATGTGCTTGCTACAAGATACATGCTATCTAAGCCAACGATCTAACGTTAGTCTAACATTCCTTTATTATTTTTTTTTTTATTCTAGAAACCTTCACAACAGTTAAATGCACACTTCCTGAACTTGACATTCCTGAGTGTAATGAATATGCTGCTTATGTCTATAAAAGGATTTTATCCAACTTCGAGGTAATGAAGCAAAATGATTTTGCTTGTGAAGTGCCAACAGCTAAAGACTACAAAATAAAACCAAAATTGGCAGCTCCAATCAGCAGCTCTGAGACAAAAAAATCAAAATTCTGTGAGGAATACAAAAAGTTGTCTACACCAAGTGATTTTGAGTTTCCGTGCTATATTATGTGTGACAGTAATATTGGTGAGTTCTACTTAAAAGACTTAAGAAGGCCTGGAGGCTTAATTAGTCATATGATTCATATATGTTGATAATAAATGAGGTCGTTAAAAATGGATTTGTTTGATCTTGAATCCTAGAATATTTCTGGAGATAAGTAATGACATCATTTACGATAGACCCCGCATCACAGTGAACAAGCTCAAATAAAATCATTAATTTTACTTTCAATTTCAGTCGGCGTTTCTTTAGAAGGCAACAAGCTTGATTGGGAGCTTACATGCGAATCATACCAGCATGCATGCACATTCGAGTCATCAGATATTCCAATGAAGGTTGGAAGTATATGTGAAGCTTTCCGTCGTTATGTTATGAGTAAAGTGAAGCTTGGTGAAAGAGATTATCATCATTGTAATGTTTACAATCATGGACCACAGTTTGATTATTATAATAGAACCTTGCATTGAGATTTTTTAATTCTAAAATTGTAATTTTGAGATGACTTTTGTAAAGTGTCAATAAATATAGAAATTAAGATAAAAAGTGAAAATGCTGGGAAAACCCACAAAAACCTACCTCTACAGCTCACCATGGGAGTTAAATCTTATCAGTTCTTATCCAAAACCCACCTGTTCACAGCCAAAAAGTAAACAAAGAAGCAGAATTTATCGATAACAGAATATTTTAACTATTTTTGTTATCATTTTTTATTTCGCACAGTTGAGAATTTTTTCCAACTTTCACTCATTTGTGTTCAAGTTCTTGTTGGATTCGGAGGTATTTTTTTTCGGTTGACTTTTTTTTTTGGTGTTATATAAATAAAATTGAGTCACAATGTCGGTCGGTTCGGTGATTGTTATTGGAATAATTGCGTTCGTTTCGTTTCTTTATTCGATGCTTACGCTTCCAATTTATTTCTTGGTTCAACAGCCGTGGAAAATGAGGCAGAGAATTAAGGAAGTTAAAGTGAGTAATTACGGAAAGTGTTGATTTTGATCATCATTAAGTGTTGTGAGCTGAGTAAAATGAATGATTTGGGGTGTCTTAAGCAGAGTTGAACTTGTGGGGACAGAATTTGATTTAACTCTGTCAATATAGCAGGCACAAATGGATCAAGGAGATCATGGTTCAGCTCATCGATCAGATACTCAAAAGTTTGTCTATGTCTCAGCTTAATAATAATAATAATATGTGAAGGACCCAACCTTTCAGCTGGAAGCTCTGCGAATCAATTTGTAAAGAATCAATTGTACCACACCCTTAAGACCTACAGTTTAACGTGGAATTCGAACCACTTGCAAGCTCTGCACATTGCAAAGACACGAGTACGTCATAAGACCAGATGTACTCTGCAATGAACTTAGGCACAACTCGTGGGCGCAAGCTGCCGTAAAAAAGTCATCGAAATGCTACTATATTCTTGTATACCTAGCAATGGAGGCATGTTCTATGCCAAAGACCTTAAAAAAAATCTCAGCTTAGTCCACTTCTGTATTTGTGAATAAATAAGATTCTTATTAACTCCAATTCAAAGAATCGATGCCTGTGCATTGCCTATCCACCTAAATTTAGCACACACAAACATCAATTACCAAATAAAAAGCTCATATAAAGATTACATTCCAGACCTCGAATAATAATTTTCGTATTTTTAACCAATCAATTTTTAATTTTCAACATAAACACTATAAGACTCTCGACATTATCGAATTTTAAGGAATTAAGATAATAAAATGCTGATTAAATAGATCAGTTACGTAATGCCTTGTTATCAATGCATTCCCTGTCAGATGATTAATGCCGCTAATGGAAAATATAATCTAATTTTACCACCAGTAAGTGCGTCAATAGAATTTAAAAAAAAAGAGAAGTTATCGCAATTTTGATAAGAACTGATTAAATTATATTAATAAAGTTTTAAATTTAGATAATTTTGAATGTGACCCCGATGAAAAAGTTAGAACTTTGGCACTTTATTTTAATTTAATGCTAATAAATCAATTTGTTTATTTTCATTTGATAAAAGTAGATTATTTGACTTTATCTAATCTAATAATTCTAATAATCTAATCTGTTCGTGGTATGTCAATTAATTCTAAAAATAAAACAAGTATTTGGAGATTTAGCACCGAAATGCTTACAGTTTTTAATAGATTACAAGATTTGGTGCAAAATATTTCGTTTCTATTAAATTGGACATATCAGTCTTGGCTCTAGAGTAGCGTTGTCCAATCTATGTGCCACGGCACACTGGTGTGCCATAGGTTTGGCATAGAAATTTTTAAAAAATGACGTGAACCGCATGCTGTATATGTATTTTGTCATGCCTTACCTCTCAGGTGTGCCGTTGCTCAAAAATGTTTTGACAACACTGCTCTAGAGAGATGTCAATGGATTAAAAGATTCTATCAAGGATCAGATTTACAGAGGCATTGTCTCATCGTGTTAAGGTAGATTGACTTTCTGCTAGGGTTTCAAAGAACTGTCTTTTATTTTATTTGAATAAATCTGGTCAGTTTAATGTCTTTTTAATCTTAGTTATAACTGTCAAATTAAATCAAGTTTTAAAAATGAAACTAGTGTATCGGGTAGAAACCCAATGCGGATTATATTCACACCGTACTATCATAAGTCTTATGGATAGACCAAGATTTGCCCATCATAAGTATGAAGGTATGAAGCTTGATAAGTCAACTAAGCTTCGCTCAGCATAAGTTTGAAGTTATAAAGCTATCGCGTAAGCTGAGCTACGCTCAGCATAAGTTTGAAGATATGAAGCTAGAGAGGCAGCTAAGCTTCGCTCAGCATAAGTTTGAAGATATGAAGCTAGAGAGGCAGCTGAGCTTCGCTCAGCATAAGTTTGAAGTTATAAAGCTATCGCGTAAGCTGAGCTACGCTCAGCATAAGTTTGAAGATATGAAGCTAGAGAGGCAGTGGAGCTTCGCTCAGCATAAGTTTGAAGTTATAAAGCTATCGCGTAAGCTGAGCTACGCTCAGCATAAGTTTGAAGATATGAAGCTAGAGAGGCTGTGGAGCTTCGCTCAGCATAAGTTGAAGTTATAAAGCTATCGCGTAAGCTGAGCTACGCTCAGCATAAGTTTCAAGATATAAAGCTATCGAGTCAGCTGAGCTACGCTCAGCATAAGTTTGAAGGTATAAAGCTTGACGAATATGCCAAATATTCTTTAAAAGTTTTTAAAAAAAAATTTTCATCCAAAGTTGAATTTTATAAAAATCACAGTCAACTTTTTTATTTGAAAAATTCGTAAGAAAGGAAAGTTTTTTGCCATTTCTGAAGCAACGGCTGTTCCTACCTTGCCCAAAAACAATACAGCTCTTCTATAGAGCAGCACGAATCAAATGTAAAAAACTAGAAGTCTCTACGATGTCTCGTTATTGAGATTTCTTGCTGATAAACTTGCTTGCTTGCTTGTTTGCTTACAAAAAGCGTATTTTGCGATTTTCTCAGCAATGCCACAACCAATTTGAAATCTGTTTTTTGAAAATGATGTAAAATTTCAGGCACAAACTTTTCTTCTTGCCCTTTTATAACCAATTTTGCTTTGTTTTCTCACAAAATGCGAAAAACTGATTTTTCAATCTGAACAAAACCAATAGATTCACACGTGAAAACGGTGTGAATATAAAAAAAACCTTTTCCGTCTTAGATAAAGTTTTGTCTATTATCAATCCTGATTAGCTACTATCTTAAGACAAGCTCTGACTTTATTGTATTCATACCTGCATCATATCATTCTAAAATTCATCAATATTATGAGCTCAAGATGCTTAAATCATGAAACCTAAATGAATCTTTAGTGCAACAGCACCAAATCTAAAAGATATTGACCTCATTATCCACTGCAGACATGACTTTGTAAGTTTATGAAAACTACCGCAGTAATACAAACATTTAGTGATTTCTGCGCATATCTGAATGTTATGATGATTAGATAATGAACGTCTTTGTTGGCTAAGAATAAAAAATCTCGATAATCTGGATCTTTTTGTTATCATTTGGATAATATTATACAAGGTTAATCTCCCGGTTGATAAAATGTGTTTCTAAGCATGGAAAAATTAGGGAATACTTACTTACTAAGCTACTTTGTAGATTATGCAGATTACGTGTGATTCATGGTTGATGGAACCTCCTAAAGTCAGTTCTATTGGTAGATGTAATAGTCCAATAAAACAAAAATCTTCGCCAAATGATGGTAGATGCGCCAAACCACTGCTTTTAAACCTAGACCTACAATTTATAGTGGTATCCGAACCATTCTTTGATGACATTTCTGTCTGTAGCCTTCAAAACAAGGCTGTGAGCCTCATTTCCAGTACATATGACTAGATAAAGGACAAGTGAAAAATTTTCTATACCCAGTCTCGAACCCATAATTGCTGTGTCAGTATTGCAACAATTAGGTATTGAAGTACTAAACCATTCCGCTACTGGGCATTTCAGCACCCCTTATTTTAGTAAACAAGGCATTAGATTAGGAGAATGGGAATAGGCTACACTTCTGCCAAGTATATGTAACAAACCTAAAAAAATCATTTAATGTTTTTCTTGCAGGCTAAACCAGTCAGTTCATCAAGCACAGCAATTACTTACAAGAGCATCCGACCCAACATGGAACTTCATCTAACACTTCAGAGACAAAATGTTGATACACTTGAGAAAATGTTCAAGTTTGCAGCACTTAATTACAAAAATAAAAAGTGTCTTGGAACTAGACAAATCCTTGCTGAGGAAGATGAAAGACAGCCTGATGGTAAGATCATGAAGAAGTTCAGGATGGGTGTCTATAAATGGAGAACTTTTGATGAAGTCAATGTCGAAGCTTCAAACTTTGGTAAGGGACTTCGTGAACTTGGAGTCAATCCAAAAGACAGAATTGTCATATTTGCTGAGACTCGAGCTGAATGGATGATTGCTGCACATGGATTATTTAAGCAAAACTGCACCTGCTGTACAATTTATGCAACTCTTGGTGAAGACGGTATTGCCTTTGGTGTTAATGAGACTGAAGTTAAGTTTGTCATAACAAGTCATGAGTTGATGCCAAAAGTTAGAAATATTTTAAAGGATATCCCCAATGTCCATACAGTTGTTTACTTTGAAGATCAGTTAAACCCAACTGACACATCTAACTTTGGAAATGTAAGAGTCGTGCCTTATACAGAAGTTGTAAGGAAAGGAGCTAACAATCGTCATGGTGAGTTGAACTTTTGGAAGTGACTTAAGAATCTTCAATCTTTATTGATTTTTTTGATTTTTTCCCAACCAGATGAACATTCACCATCTCCTGCTGACATTGCAATTTTGATGTACACAAGTGGATCAACTGGAGTTCCAAAGGGTGTTATGTTGTCCCATGCAAACTGTATTGCCACATTAAAGACATTTTCGGATGGTGTAAGTCTTAATTTAATTTTTTGTATCATTCAAAGTTTAATTTTATCAACCATTAAACAGATCAAAATATTCCCTGAAGATGTCTTCCTTGGTCTACTCCCGCTTGCTCATGTTTATGAGCTACTTGCTGAGACTATTTGCTTATGTCTTGGTGTTCCTATTGGTTACTCGACAGCACTCACTCTCCTTGATACTAGTCTTAAGGTTAAAGCTGGAACGATGGGAGATGCTCGTGCTTTAGAGCCGTCAGCAATGACTGCTGTTCCACTGATTCTTGATCGTGTCCGTAAAGGTATTACTGATAAAATGAGCAAAGAATCAGCTGTGAAGAAGGCTCTATTTGAATATTGTGTCAATTATAAACGACGCTGGGTAAGACGAGGATATAGAACTCCGATTGTTGACAAGATTGTCTTTAAGAAAGTCGCTGCATTACTTGGTGGAAAAATGAGAGCAATGATAAGTGGAGGAGCACCTTTATCGCCAGGTATATGACTCAAATGTTTTGTAAGATTTAATCTTTATTTTCGTATCAATTTAATCCTTTAGATACTCACGAATTCATCCGAAATTCACTTTGCTTAGACGTAGTTCAAGGATATGGATTAACTGAGACAACAGCTGCTGCAACATTGATGGAGCAAGCTGACTGGTCTTTAGGGCGATCCGGTGCACCAACAACAATATCTTCAATTAGAATTGTGAATTGGGATGAAGGAAATTACATGGTGACCAAGAAGCCACATCCACAAGGTGAAGTTATTGTTGGTGGTGATAATGTGTCAATGGGATACTTTAAGAGACCAGTTGAGAATGAAGAGACATTCTTTGTTGAAAATGGAGTCAGATGGATGAGAACTGGTGACATTGCTGAGGTTCATGAGGATGGAACTGTCAAGATTATTGGTAAGCAACTCATTAATCCTATTTAGTCAGTTTTAATTTTAAATTTAACAATGTTTCAGATCGTAAGAAGGATTTGGTCAAGCTTCAACATGGCGAATATATTTCCCTCGGTAAAGTCGAATCGGAGCTGAAAACATGCATTTTTGTAGAAAACATTTGTGTCTATGGTGACTCAACAAAGACTTATTGTGTTGCTGTAATTACACCAGCAGAAATTGGATTAAAGGACTTGGCAGCAACACTTGGAGTTACTGGTGAAATTGAGCAGCTCTGCATGAATCGTGAAGTCACAAATCTTGCATTAAAGAGAATTCAGGAACATGCAGCAAAATCAAATCTTATTAAGTTTGAAATACCAACCAAAATCACATTAGTGCCCGAGCAATGGACACCCGAGTCTGGACTTGTAACAGCTGCCTTTAAAATTAAAAGGAAAGAAATTCAAAACAAATATAAAGCTGAATATACAAAAATGTATATTTAATGCTGTATGGCTGTTGACCAATTTAGGAAAAAATTTATTCGAATTAAGTTTTATAGATATTAAGAGGGGCGTTTATATGGAAATGTTTTTGTAAATTTTAATCTGCAGTTTTTGATCATTAAATTTTTTTAAAATTTACATCAATTTTTTTTTTCAATTTAATTTTAATAATTGTTTTTCAAAGTCAAAAATTTTCGGTGTTTTCTGTCGACAACTATCGAATTCTTATCAATTGATATCCATTCCAACCGTTTGCATGCCGAAAAAAGTATCAAAACAATCCCTGATAAGGAAATTATTATCGATAACTTAGTTTAACTGTCGCACCGCTTAATTGCTTTAGTTTGAGCAAATTTAGTCAATTTTTTTTTTGTAACTGAAGCTGAATTAAGTTGTAGTTTTTTAAAAAAAATCTAATACTGTTCATTTTGATGAACAGAACTTGTACTTTTCAACCAAAATTACCAAAATTTGCAACTTAAGCTCTAGTCTATAAAAGAAAAAGATCAAAAACTAGCTTTAAGGTGTGAATATATCAAACCACAGCTACCTCATTTATTTCTAGTTTCTTCAACAATTGAGAAGTTTGTAACAAAAAAAAAATGATTTCTTTACTCATTTGTGATCAAGTTTTTAAAGGTTTTGGAGGTTTTTCAAAATTATTTCGTTGAGTTTTTTTTAACAACCTTTGATCCTTACATAAAAACTGTCGCACAATGTCAATTGCTTCCGCAATAGTTATTGGAATAATTGCAGTTATTTCATTCCTTTACACTATTTTGACGCTGCCAATTTACTTTTTGATTCAACAACCATGGAAGATGAGGCAAAGGATTAAGGATGTTAAGGTAGGTGTCATGATTTGTAGTTATGTATTTAATGGGAGAAATTGTCAGTGAATTTGTGGCAATTGGGAAGGCATTGGTTCCAGTTTTTGAATGGACTAAACTATTTAACGGTGGTTTAGTACTGCTTAGATGACATAAACTGTCCTGTCTCTAACTCAATTCCTTAAAGTCTACAAAAAAAATGGTGCAAATTCAATGGATTTTAAAAAAGTTTGAAATTGAGTAATTTTGATAAAACAGCAGTGGATAATTGCAAAGATTCTCATGCATTGTTTCCATCACGATAAAGTTTGAAGCTTTTAGCTTATTTATATAATATCTTATCTTCATAAAAAGCTAATCTCCATACAATGTAGTTCGTTACTGACCTTTCTCTTTAAGTACAAATGTTCACTTATTACTGATAAAATCGACTTTCTTATTAGGATAAACTTGACATTAACTCATGTTTTAATCAAGTTGTTGACTCTTAGAAACTAGAATTAAATTAAATTTGTCATATTAATGACTAGAAGCCAAGAAAGTCAAGACTTGCAAATTATTCAGGAAAGAGGTACAATTTAATGGAGAATCTAGAAATGTTTATTGAGCAATATGGTTTCTTAAATGCAATTCTTCTTTAAGGTATAGAAGAGGTTTTATGTTCTTAAACCTCCCTTCCCCTCTCTTTTGGCTCCCAGCTTGTTGTACATGATAGTAAGTTCTGTTTTTCTGTTAAAGTTTAAGATTATCGCACAATTTGCACATAAAATCGGTACCAGAGGCATAGACATAAAGAAGATAAGGAATTAGGGCTATACAACTCCTAGTTTGACTCTTTATTAATTCTTTTTACCAGAGCTGTAACTTACAGCCTGTAAGTAAGCGTAAACCTCATTTAACTTATTCAATCCATCCAAAAAAGCTTACCATCACCCAACACTTTCTTAAAATTTGGAGTTAATAATCAATTATAAACCAGATCAGAACTTTATAAATGCAAAAAAGCTACAAACCCGAAAACCAAAATCATATTCTTCAAAACATTGTTGCATTAGTTTTCCACCTAGAAGCTCATTATTCATTTAATACCCAAAATATCTCTATGGGCAAATCCACGAAAGAATTTTTCTACAAAAAACCACATCTTTTGCAAATTTCTCAAAAACAGCTTAATTTACTTTGTGCTTTGAAACTCAATATGATAGAAAAACTTAATTTTAATATTTTTTTCAATAATTCAGCTTTCTATGTGCTTTAATTAATGAGTTATTTCCATTTGGAGAGCGTCTGATTGTTAACTCTACGAAAATTGAATTTTACACTTTTTCCATTTTCTAGTTAAATTTGCATTTTACCGTCGAGAAAAGATGTACATTAGATTTTTGCTCGATATAGCTTTAATTATGTGTTCTTTCTTTCTCAATAAAATGCTTAATTAAATTGATATTTACAAAATTAGCGTCAGTTTGTTAATTTTTTGACTCATTATTGCAAAACACAATTGAATCCAAAACGGTTTGAAAGAGAAAAATTCGTTAAAATTTGTCTCCAAACAAAATAAATTTAATTTTTTAAGCCTTAAATTAGATCATTAGTCATCTTAGATCTAAAATATGTAAATTGGCACTGTTTTTGATAGGTAAAATAATTCAGGAAGTAAATTATACTTAATTATTTTTTGATTTTAACGGTGTTTTTGAATTTATCAAGTTGAGAAGAATTCTTAGTCGATTTTCGCAGTACCGTTTATTCATGGATTTGCCCCTATTTATATCTGTCGATATGCGAACAAAATCTTTTCAAAATTATCAAATTTTAAGACATTTAGATAAGAGTTGATCAGATATAAGTTACGATACAATTCTTATCACAACTTTGTTGTTAGAAGCTTAATGCCGCTCAAATAAATACAAAACCAACAATTACGTCAATGGAAATGAAAGGAAAAGTGAACTTAATCATAATTTTGATTAGATTTCATTGTAAAAATGTAAGAAGTTCATTGAAAACCTGCAATTCTTTATCAAATAATGGGTATTGAACGATAATGCATGTGATATAACCTTATTATCGATACCACAATATTATAAATAGACTCAAGTCAATGCCAAGCAGTTAAATAATATCTGAAAATATTATTACCGGCTGATAAGAATAGAACTTATCAATTGATAAGGAATTCAGATTTAACTGACTTTGTTTTGTACTCTGAAACTTGGAATTTTTGCATATCAGAACGTTTTGGTTGATTTGATAACGGATATGCTGCACTATGGGGCAAAATGAAAAAAAATCGATGATTCAAAATTTTTTTTGACTTTTTCTAGTTACAATTTTTGGAGTATTTTTTCTTGTAAAGGACATCAAAACTGGATTATGTTTCAAATTTCAGGTCATTTGGTGCTGTTTTTGCGATTCTGTGGCTGTTTGAAGTTGGAAAATGACGAAAATTTGAATTTTTTCATGCATTACTTAAACTGAAATATTTCTACAATGGCTAAAGATATTGAAAAAATCTTTTCAGTTCCTAATAGAACCATATAAGAGCTTTATTTTGATAGAACACAAAGTTTGGAAATATGTAGTTTTGGTTCCGATATAGTACAAAGTATATGAAAATCCTATGAAAAATATCTTTAAACGTGCCGCAACTGTCCTAAACGGCCATTTTTCCCCCCATAAACCACATATCAGTGCAAAGCTCCTGTTTTCTAGTTTTTAAAACAGTTATAACATTGTAATTCTGTAGAGGACTCGAAAAGTTATCGCAGTTTAAGTGAGACGACAAATATTTTGCCAAAATTAAAATTTCCTCATAACTGTATAAAAAAAATAACCACAGATAAGGTTTGTTCTGTTTTTCAATGCCAAATGTTATTTAAAGATGACCTGTGAAGAAATTTTTTCAAAAAGTTCAAAATTTGTCGATATATAGGGTACTTTTGATATCTGACGACTTGTATGTTTTTTTCATCACTCAAACCACTAGTACTCTTAGAAAATTAAATATTTTTGAATTTTGTTTTCAGTTTATTGTAGCTTAAATTAGTACCTTTCTAATGATGTATAATACTTGATAGTTGACTTTGATTTTGGTCATGAATATGAGGCTTGTTTGTGAGCGACCCTAAACTAGAAAAAATCTCAAAAACGTCATCTCTAGAAATACCACTTGGAAACAAAATTAAGTATTGAATTTTGGTTTTTTATGATGATTTATGATAATTATGACTAAAAACACTCAAAAAATTGTATTTTATAAACTTTTGGCTATCTCAGGTAGCTTGTTTAAGTACGATCCTAGTAGTCTTTATTGGGTCAAAAATTCCCAAGTATTACACTATTTCTTGGATGCTTATCGGTTGATATTTCATATTTATACAGATTTTAAGAAAAATAAGTCAGTTTAAAATATTTTTGTTTGATAAATTTTGGTTTTTGGCTATTTTGTTAAAGTTCAGCTTGCGTCGATCACATTCAATTTACTCCAGAAGCAGCTATAATGAACTTTCATACAAGTATTATACATCATTTTAAAGGTATTGATCTAAACTAGCAATAACCGAAAACAGAATGTAAAAATATGTATCCTGAAAAAGGTTAGAGCTCTTTATGCCCATCAAAAAGCCTACAAAAGCGCAACCAGCATAGGTAAATTTTCAAAAATTTAAAATTCAATGACTACTATTAAAGCAAATTGTTAGAAAAAGGTTTAATGTTTTAAAGGAAATAATAATAAAATAAATTTTGCAAAACTAAGTGTGAAATATTTAATTTTCTAAGAGTACTAGTGGTTTGAGTGATGAAAAAAACATACAAGTCGTCAGATATCAAAAGTACCCTATATATCGACAAATTTTGAACTTTTTGAAAAAATTTCTTCACAGGTCATCTTTAAATAACATTTGGCATTGAAAAACAGAACAAACCTTATCTGTGGTTATTTTTTTTATACAGTTATGAGGAAATTTTAATTTTGGCAAAATATTTGTCGTCTAACTTAAACTGCGATAACTTTTCGAGTCCTCTACAGAATTACAATGTTATAACTGTTTTAAAAACTAGAAAACAGGAGCTTTGCACTGATATGTGGTTTATGGGGGGAAAAATGGCCGTTTAGGACAGTTGCGGCACGTTTAAAGATATTTTTCATAGGATTTTCATATACTTTGTACTATATCGGAACCAAAACTACATATTTCCAAACTTTGTGTTCTATCAAAATAAAGCTCTTATATGGTTCTATTAGGAACTGAAAAGATTTTTTCAATATCTTTAGCCATTGTAGAAATATTTCAGTTTAAGTAATGCATGAAAAAATTCAAATTTTCGTCATTTTCCAACTTCAAACAGCCACAGAATCGCAAAAACAGCACCAAATGACCTGAAATTTGAAACATAATCCAGTTTTGATGTCCTTTACAAGAAAAAATACTCCAGAAATTGTAACTAGAAAAAGTCAAAAAAAATTTTGAATCATCGATTTTTTTTCATTTTGCCCCATAGTGTGCTGTTTAAATTTAGATAAGTTTGATACTGAGTGATAAATTCAAAGAATTCATTGAGAATTCTTATTGTTTATGTTTTGGCTCTTTAATTCAAGGATATAGCTGTTTTGTTTGTACCAAATTAATGCTTCTCTGCTATCAGCTTTGATTAAATAAACTAGTGATTCTTAAAATGCGAACGCGGCTTACAAGTGTACTACAATTATTAAATTATGAAGGGTTTCTAAGCTAGGGATTATCGATATCGCAACATGCACCTTGGCATCCAATTGATTTCTTTTGCAATTTTGTACAACTGCATATACCAGACACACAGCCTTAAAAATCATCAAAAACCTCAATGACAATCTCTTAGATCAAATAAGGCGCATTACAGATTATAAATTAATATAATAAAATATAACAAAAACTCACAATTGCCTAATTTCCAGGCCAAACCAATCAACTCATCCAGCACTGCTATCACCTACAAAAGCATTCGACCACATATGGAGCTTCATCAAACACTCGAAAAACAAAGCATCGATACACTTGAAAGGATGTTTAAGTACGCAGTTAACCGATTCAAAACCAAAAAATGTCTTGGAACTAGACAAATCCTTGCTGAGGAAGATGAAAGACAGCCAGATGGAAAGACATTCAAAAAGTACAGAATGGGCATTTACAAATGGAGAACTTATGATGAAGTCAATGTTGAAGCTTCAAACTTTGGTAAAGGACTTCGTGAACTTGGAGTTAATCCAAAAGACAGAATTGTCATATTTGCTGAGACTCGAGCTGAATGGATGATTGCTGCTCATGGCTTGTTCAAACAAAATTGTACAGTTTGCACAATTTACGCGACACTTGGTGAAGATGGAATTGCCTTTGGTGTAAATGAGACTGAAGTTAAGTTTGTCATAACAAGTCATGAGTTGATGCCTAAAATCAGAAACATATTAAAGGATATCCCTAATGTCCATACAGTTGTTTACTTTGAGGATCAATTACATCCAACTGACACATCTAACTTCGGTAATGTAAGAGTCGTGCCTTACACAGAAGTTGTAAGGAAAGGAGCCAACAATCGTCATGGTGAGTTGAACTTTTGGAACATACTTAAGAATCTTCAATCTTCATTGATTTTCTTCAATTTTTCCCAACCAGACGAACACTCACCATCCCGTGATGACACTGCTATTCTGATGTACACAAGTGGCTCAACTGGAGTTCCAAAGGGTGTCATGTTAACTCACTGGAACTGTATTGCAACAGTTAAGAGCTTCTCGGATGGTGTAAATTGAATCTCATACTTAATACATATACAACATAACCTAAATTCTTATTTTTGTAGGTTAAAGTCCAAGATGGCGATACTTTCCTAGGTCTACTCCCTCTTGCTCATGTCTATGAACTTTTAGCTGAGAGTATATCCCTTTGTGTAGGTGTTCCTATTGGTTATTCAACAGCATTGACTCTTCTTGACTCAAGTGCGAAAGTTATGTCTGGAACTATGGGAGATGCTCGTGCTTTAGAGCCAACAGTAATGACAACTGTGCCATTAATCCTCGATCGTGTCAGAAAAGGTGTTACTGATAAAATGAGCAAGGAATCAGCAGTAAAGCAAGCATTGTTCAATTACTGTGTCAATTATAAACGACGCTGGGTGAGACAAGGCTATCGAACACCAATTGTTGATAAAATTATCTTTAAAAAAGTAGCTGCATTAATGGGCGGTAAAATGAGAGCAATGATAAGCGGCGGTGCACCTTTATCGCCAGGTTTTTTAATCTAGGATTAATAATTGCTACTAATTTTGATAAAAATTATTTTGGTTCTAGATACTCATGAGTTCATACGCAATTCCCTTTGTTTGGATGTTGTACAAGGGTATGGATTAACTGAGACAACAGCAGGAGCTACTCTTATGGAGCAACTTGATCTTTCTCTTGGACGGTCTGGTGCACCAGTTACAACTTCATTGATTAGAATTGTTAATTGGGATGAAGGAAATTACATGGTGACCAAGAAGCCACATCCACAAGGTGAAGTCATTGTTGGCGGTGATAATGTGTCAATGGGATACTTTAAGAGACCAGTTGAGAATGAAGAGACATTCTTTGTTGAAAATGGAGTCAGATGGATGAGAACTGGTGACATTGCTGAGGTACATGAGGACGGAACTGTCAAGATTATTGGTAAGCAACTTCTTAATCTTATTAAGTCAGTTTTAATCTTTAAACTTAACAATGTTTCAGATCGTAAGAAGGATTTGGTCAAGCTTCAACATGGCGAATACATTTCCCTCGGTAAAGTCGAATCGGAGCTGAAAACATGCATTTTTGTAGAAAACATTTGTGTCTATGGTGACTCAACAAAGACTTATTGTGTTGCTGTAATTACACCAGCAGAAATTGGATTAAAGGACTTGGCAGCAACACTTGGAGTTACAGGTGAAATTGAGCAGCTCTGCATGAATCGTGAAGTCACAAATCTTGCATTAAAGAGAATTCAGGAACATGCAGCAAAATCAAATCTTATTAAGTTTGAAATACCAACCAAAATCACATTAGTGCCCGAGCAATGGACACCAGAGTCTGGACTTGTTACAGCTGCCTTCAAAATTAAAAGGAAAGAAATTCAAAACAAATATAAAGCTGAATATACAAGAATGTACACATAAAATGATTATTTGAAGTATTGGAATAAAGTTTGGTGATATTTGCATAAAAATTAAACAATCTAGTAGAGTTTACTTATCAAAAGAAGGAGAATAGCAGGAATTAAGCCAAATCTTGCCTTTTTTTGAAGAATCAATAATTTACCCATCGATTGTCGTCAAAGGATGAGGCTGGTATAAACTCCACCTGTAAATATGTATCAAGTCTCTTTACAGTTGCTATAAAGCTTGTCATTTCGTGATTTCAAAAAGTCACCAATGTAGATTTAAGCTTAAACTAAACACAAGTGCTTAACAAAGTAAACTCAAAATCGTTACTGACACAGTTTTTTAAAAGTAACAAATTAAATCCTTAACAATGTAATCAAAACCTGTAATTTTTACTATAAAATTAATAACAAAGAGATGCGGAAATGAAAATTTCCTAAATTTTAAAAAATATTTCAGCCTGAACAGTCATGAACTGATTGATTTTCAGGTGACATGTGATAGATAAGGTCAATAGTCGTGTAAAGTTTTTATTTATTTAATATTTCTAACATTTTCACGAAGTATAAATTAAGGGTTCTGAAGTCGTAAAGCGCTAGTTTACCGCTACAATTCAAAGTTTGCTTAACGAGCTTAAGCATTAAAAATTTTATTTTTGTGAATCATGAAAGCTTATATTGGAATATTTTTGGTTTTGTATCTTGTGAAAAGTAAGTTTGAATATTTTTTTTATGGATTGAGAATTACTTTTAACCTACAGCAGCATGAAAGGTGTTTAGAAGAATCTTTTAACGTATTAATATTGTGATATTAATAATAAACCTCCATCGATTGATGGAATAGTCAACTGAGATTCATGAACAACTTTATTATATTTCTGAGCTTTGATTTAATATCAAAAATAATAGTTTGATGAGCAGTGAAATGGTATCAGTGGTCTTAGTAGTAGAGCGTTGGCAGTACGTGCCAAAGGTTTTGGGTTCAATCCCAGGCCAAGACAAGTATCAGAAGCTCTTTTTCCATTTTTACCGTTCTAGTCACGAAGCTCGGTTCGTGTGTTGGGTACAGTCTTAAGGTCTTTGGCACATAAAGTGTTTCCTTTGCTTGGTATACAAGAATATACTAGCATCTAGATGACTTCATTACAGCATCTTGCGAACACGAACAGGAATGGGTACATTGCAGGGTACATCAGGTCTTTAGACATACTCGTGTCTTTGCAATGTGCAGAGCTTGCAAGTGGTTCGGATCCCACTATAAACTGTAAGTCTAAAGGGTGTTGTACAATAGATTCTGTTTTATTTGAATCGGAGTGCCTCTAGCTCAACAGGCTTGGCCCTCTCCATGCTTTATCTTTTAAACTGTTTGATAATCTTAAGAAACGTTTAATACGCGAGCCATGTTGGCGTTTGCTCCGTTAGTATCTAAAGCTTACTAGATTCTTTACTAGCGATAGTTAAGAATGATTTAGTGATATAAAATTCAACTTAAAGGAAGTTGAAACCAGTGATTGGCTAAGCACAGCTAATTAGTATGCAAAACTTTCAGTAAACATAAGAATAAAATTCAGGAAACTTAAAGCATTTAAAGCCACGAGCTTATAATGGATTTTGTAAACTTTTGGTTTAATAAACCAATAAAAATTATTCAATCAAGCAATAAAATTGTTTCATAATATGTCAAACTCAGTTTCGTGAGTAGGAAATCATGCATTTATTTATTTTAAATCATGACGGAAATTGGAAGTTGTTTTAAAAGTAAATAAATGCAATAACAATTTGAGCCATAATCAATTACAGACTTAATAAACCTTTTTCCATTCAGGTTCGCTCTGCGGTGGTTCAACAGCTTCAATTACACCTAGAGATTTGATAATTCATGGACAGGCGACAGATATTCTCTCAGAATTTTCAGCTACAACGCTAGTAACATTACAGGACCTTTCAGATCATCTTAATGAAATCGCAAGACACCGAGATGATTCTAATTTTAAAATGCTTAACAAACGGGCCTTGAAATCAGGAGACAACCTGAAAAATGCAACAAAACAAAAACTTGAAATTGCTTTTAGGGAACTCCTTGAGAAATTGGCGAACCTTGTTGATATTGATCCAGAAATAATCAATAATGTTCTTAACAATTCACCAATTTTGTCAAGAGACGTAGCGAGAATTCAAGAATTTATCAAGACTGGCAAATTATTGTATGACTCAGCAAATAATGTTGTTGATGGTAAAGATGACGAATTCCTTATTCACATTATGAACAAAAGTCAAGCAGAAAATGTTAAATTTAATTTGAGTGGATGCTAATGGAAAATTCGAATTCTCTTTTCAATAATTTAATGTTGTAAGTTGTAAAAACTAGAAAAAGATTTAAATAAATTTGATTTATTTTTAAAAAAAAAGTTTGCTATTCATTTTGAGTTTTAATGCGAAGAAAATTTTTTGTAGTCAATCTATAGTTTCTACCAGAGTTGTCATATAAGTTCCATCGGAATAGTGCCTCAGTTGAGCATGATAGCTTTTGCCTTTGTCTAGGCAAGACCTTTGGTATTACCTTTGGCTAGGTTTTTGCCTTTGGCTAGGTATTGCCTTTGGCTACACAAGCCTTGATGAAGATAAATTTTGACGCCTTTCTAAAACAGTGCTTATCATGAATAATGATGTAGTGCCAATTATAGATGCTCATCTTTGTCCAAACAGGTAGTTTTAGAAATAAATTAATTTACACGGCTTCAATAGCTATAATAAACCATGATTCATATAATCTTGCTAAGCTCCTATAATAAACCAATCCTTAAAACTAGATCCTAAATTACAAAACTAGGTTGAAAAATTTTTTCTTTTTTTATCACATAACATTTATTTTATTTCTTTTTTGTCAAAGTCACAATTTTCAAGGGAATCATTTCAAAACTTAATGAAACTAAGTCCAAAGAAACTCATAAGTTTATTCAGCAACATCTTTGAAATATTGACAGCAACATCCCAAATTCCAAATGCTGATTTTTCATGCTCAACTTCTTCATAGTCTACAATTTTAGACTTTGCTTTTTGATTTCTTTCCTTTCTATTTTTTTTGTTACTTTCTTGCGACCTTTTCAGCTGTTGCTGCAAGTTTTCTTCGCTTTCTTCCAAGTTTTTCAACCTTTCTTCAAGTTTTTTCAATAAATCATCGGCTTGAGCCATTTTTTGTTCAAATTGTTCATCCTTTTCCTCACTAACGAAATATAGATCTTCATTTTTGGTGTCAATAGAATCTGATAAATCTGTAAAATCATTTTGAATGTCGATGATGCGATAGGCTGTGGATGATGCCAATAAAGTTGCTAGCAGTGCAAAAATTGTAATAAATTTTGATGCCATGTTTACAATTTTTCTGTTTTCTTCACTTTTGAGGATTAATTATTTTTTGAATTTAGTCTTTTAATTTTAAAAAGATCTGAATTGTTTTTGAATTGAACTGATACTGATTAAGATGATAATTTTGGACGATATTTATCTGATTTATTTTTTGGAAACTTTTTGATGATATGATTTTAGGTAAACAATTTAAACCAAATTCAATCATCTGCTTTTATAAGAAACTTCTTGTGTACCTGAACTTTTCTTATCAGATGATTCAAGCTTAATTGTTGTTTCCTGATTAATATAACATTAAATTTGTTTTAAAAATGTCGATTTAAACTCAAATATTTATTCAAAAAAATCTTAATTTTTTAAAAATCATTTATTTTATAGTTTTTATACTATAATGTTCAATACTACAACAAAAACAACATTTTAATCTCATTTAACTTCAATATCTCTTAGTAAAGGATTTTTGTAAAGTTGATAATCATCCTGGCCAATTCGATAACAAGTATCGATTCCAGTTTTTTGCATAACCCAGTCACTAACTGCTGAAATTCTTGAATAAACACCTGGATAGTTTGGTCTTGCACAGCCGTAGCCCTACAAAAATTAATAAAAATCAAATATTTCATTATGGTCAACTTAAAGCAGAGATGAATGTTGTCCAAACTTTTTTGAGCCAAAGCACACCTTAGGGGTCGCTATTACCAAAGTCGCACACAGCATGGAAACTATCTCAAATATCATATTAATCCCACATATCCCAAAAATATTCAAAAAATTCCTGAGCATGTTTGCACGATAATAAAGATATCCAAACGTATCCTTAGTGTTTTGGACGTGTAATTTCAGGATATGATGGAATATCTCAATTCTAATGCATACAGACTCAGGGATTATTTTGAATATGTTTGGGGTATATGGGATAAATGGGATATTTGGGATCGTTTCTACGCCTTGCAGCATGCGGCTCGCATCATCAAAAAAAAAATTCTACGGCACACAGTTTGGACAACACTGGCATAGCTGAATGTTTACCCATGAAACAAGTCCAATCAGAACTCTCCCATCAGATATAAAGGTGCTTGTGTTTGGAGAAGCGAGTGGTCCACCAGAGTCACTAAAATTTGAAGATAAATAAATAAAATCTGATTAATAATAAAATTAAAAATCTTACCCTTGACAAGCATCTTTACCACCTTCTATTAGGTATCCACTATAATAATTAGAGATTTTTTTGATAAGTTTAAAATCAGTTTTAAACAAGATTATCAAATATTTTAGCCAACTTACGCACAAATCATCTGAAAGTTTGAATTTTAAAAAATTAAAAATTAATATTTTTATCAAAACAATTTTAAACTTTAGCATCCTTACCCTATTCATTTGTAGTCACATAACAGTTGATTGAAAAAAAAAAGAAAATTGAAAAAGTCATTAACAAAAAAACTAAAACAATTAAGCACCTTTTAGTGACTTCAGCACTAATTTTAAGATAAGCATCGACGCAGACTTGCTGATTAATAATCACAACATAAACAACTCTTAATTGATCATTTGGAATGCTTGAATTTTGAGTAGCTCCCCAGCCAGATGTTGCTTAAAATTATGAAAAATTAAATTAATCACAAATATCCTGAATCAGGGTAGAACAGATCGATTCCGGATCATCTGGCAGAAACCATGAAATTTCCATTATTGAGGACAAAATTGTTTTTGTTTTTGGAAATCCTTGGAAATCCATGTAATTTAAAGGTTTTCTATACTTAATCTATGGATTGTTTGTCAAAGTCCATGGATATCCATTTTATCTGCCAGATGATCCGCACCCGAACAGATCTTAACAAAGAATTGCACCTAATTGCACAACTAGAATACATTTAAGTAATATTAAAAACTCTCGACTTATTCAAACTTACAAACAATTGTTCCATCAGGGAAGTCCTCTCCTGAGCATGGAATTTGTATAGGTTGGACACTGTCACTGAAAGTTAATTCTGTTTGAAGTCTAAGGAGCGAGAAATCATAATCAATATTCCATGAATTGAATTGTGGATGCTGGATTATTTCTGAAACATTAAAAACTTGACCATCTCGTCCCATAAAGCTAGTTCCAACACGAACTGATAATGATGATGCATCTGCTCCACTCGTACAATGTGCTGAAATTGTTTTTAAGTTTTTTAAAGACAGCATGGACATAAACCCCATTATTAGAGCCTACACAATACCTCTCCTTGTTTAAGCCATTAACATCTATTGTTTACTCAAACTTTCACTTTAAGCATCAATTAAGAATTATTACAAACCTGCTGTAAATATAAAAAATGAGCTGATCACATTGCATCCACAAATATGACTTCCTGATCTTCTTAAGCTTCCTTGGTATGGATAGTCAGTAATGTTTGCTGCATCTCCTGCAAATAAAAAATTATTTTGAGTAAATTTGGCTGAAACAGAAAGTCTTGTCAACTCACCTCCAACAATTCGTGCATCGGGACTTAGTCTAAGTCTATTGAATGGTCCGAAGATTCTTTCCAAATTATTCAAAGTAAATGGAAGCGCTGAGACTGAACAAACAGCATAGATTGAAAGAATTAGTAGAAATTTCATCATTCCTTTATTTTTATGCAGCACTCTTTAGGAATTTTGAGGTTATGTTTCCTTAGAATCTTCCTTAATTTATCAATAATATCGCAACTTTAATTTTCAATTCCCACTCTTTTCACCTCAGTCTTGCGAGCTGATTTGACGTCTGTCTAACAATAAGTCAGTGCATTTATACTACTTGCAGCTATTGTGCATTTGCACTTGACAATTCTTCTTTGTTGTCATTGTAAGGTATTTTCAATGCTGTTATCAGTTAAGATTTTCTATAGTAAATTAGTAAGGAATGGATTGATAAAAATTTGCAGTACAATTTACGCGTGAAATTGGTTGGATTATTTGTAATGATTCGGCGTTGCTCTAGTTTATTTTGAGTATATTTAGTTGAAAACAGAATTGTAATCTGTCACAGGTCAACGAAAACGGCACACCTGTCACAAGTCGCCACCTGTTGATAGATCTGTTGACAGATTTTTCAACATTTGACCTGTTAACAGGTGATCTGTCAAACAGGTGTCACAGGTACAGGTGATCTTTTGACAGGACCTGTCATCTGTGCCTGTAACATGTTCTTGTTTTTGCAACTCTGGTTGAAAACATTTTATCGGGCAGAGGACAGTAGATGTCTCTAAAAACCGACTTCAAGGATGAACCTACAATAAATAGGATGGGATAATCTGCCTTAAAGGTGAATCACATTGCACGTTGTTTTGAGGAATTGTTTCAAGCTTCCAACCAAGATCTCTCTGTGTCCTCAAACTCTTAACTTTATGTGTACCTATTTCAATATCACTAGATATCAACAGTCTTCTTCCTTAGGAAGTAAATTGCAACCGTAAGTGCACGTTCTAATCAAATTGTCAATAACTTCATCTGAAGTGGCATAAGACTTATGTTGGCATAGAATTCATAATTTTTATTACATACTTAAATTGAATAAGTACTCTTAATTGATTCGTACATAACCTCAAAGCAGTGTTTAATGTATCAAGGGCTTGTTGAAATAAAGATTAGTGGAAATGCTTGGTGGTACATTGTGTTGGAATTATTGAATTACTGTAATAGCCAGTCAACCATAAATCATGGAAGGACAAGATTAACGTCATCTCTAAAGTCAAGTTATCCCTGACAGTTTAATGAAAGAATTGCGAAATGAAATTGAAGCTGTAACCGAGTTGAAACTACACCATGGTTGAGTGGAAGCGAGAAAAGGCTGAGCTGAATCTGTATTTAATTGGAGATTATCTAAAAAAACTTGAAACCAAGCCGACTTTTTCATTGTTTTTTGGGTCGATTCAGGTTGTTTTTAGTCAAAATAGAGTTAAAATTAAGATGCAATTGCACTTTGTAGCTGCCCTACTTTTAATGAGAACTTTTTATCATATCTCATTTCAAATTTTCGTTAATCTGACATTACAGACCCAAATTGTATTTCTTTTTTGTCTTGAAAATAATTTTCGACCAACCACAACAAAAATTTATTACTACGGAATACACTTTATTTTAATTACGTGGTATTGCAGATAAGAGCAAATGATGACTCTCATTTTATTGATGTTGGCAATTTTATTGAATTTGGATTTTTTAGAATTATTCCTTAGTTTCTATACTTTGGCAAAAAAATTGAAAATTAAAAAAAAAATAAAAAAAGATCAACTCTATTTTGCAAAAAAATAATGATTAACAATTTATTAAAAGACGTCTTCAAAAGTCAACAATACTCAATAAGTAAAGAGTAACAAAACATTCATTTAACATTGACAAGTAGTTGGATTGATAGGTGCTCCAGTCCATGGACAATTAGGGAATCGACAAACACAAGCACAAGTTGCTTCATTTAATACTTGATAGATTGTGCATGGAGTAGCTAAAGGTGCACAACCACATCTGCATGTTGTTGTATCCCAAACTTTTGGAGCTACGCAAGTGGCTGGAGCGACAGTGCAAGCAGTACAAGTGCAAGTAACACTTCCTGCTGGTAAGTATTGACCTGCTGGACATGGTGGGCATCTTGGGAAACTTGGGAATCCACCTGGATATCCACCGGGATATCCACCTGGGTAACCACCAGGCGATCCACCTGGGTATCTTCCTGGATATCCACTTCCAAAGCCACCACTTTCTGGACCGAATCTTTCTGGTCCAAACCTTTGGTCATCTACATGATTAAAAAAAGAAATATTATCAATAAAAGTCAATGAGGTAAAATATATCTTTTGTAAGGTACTCACGGCCTTCAACGGCTGAAGATTGAAATTAAAAAAAAGTCAGCATTAAAAAATTGTGTCTTATTAAAGCCAAACTAGCTGAACACGAGCCAGTCACAAGAAAAAAATTTTCAACTCACCAACTGCGAAAACAACAACGAACAAAACTAAAAATGTATTCATCTTAAAAATTTCTTCTCAACTGATAAAAACTGAGTAAACCTTTTTGGCTTATATAGTATATTTGGGTCTAGTTTTAACAATTAGTGACGATAGGTTTTAATAAATTGAGCCTAAGTGTGTATTGGAACGTCATGAAAGTCTCTGGAAATGGAATTTTATTTTTTTGTTGTTGAGCACACGAGTCTGCTCATGAATATCCTTACATATAAAGCTATGCCATGAAAATATTGAATAAATCAATGCTGAGGATTAGGGATGCAGCCAGGAATTTAAAGGGGGGAGGGGGGGGGGGGGGGTTCAAAAAGTTTAGGAGAGGGGAAATTTGCGCGAATTGTTTATAAAAAACCATAGCAAAATTAAGAAATTTCCAATGAGGAAGAGGATTTGTTCCTCAAATCCCTCAAACTAAGCCCTTTCAAACTTAGTCTCCTCAAACGTTGTCCCCTCAAATTTTGTACCCTACCCGGCAATGCGCCTGCTAAGGATATAAATTGAGAATTAAAATTTTACAATAGCGACAGCGAATCTGAGATGATAAACATTAATTTATGACGTCACTTAACACATTTATTAAAATTTAGGGCAAAAAACATATTTTTTGAATACTTTCAATTATTTCATTCAAATCAACACGATCACATGATATTTATTATTTATTATTTTTTTCGTCATTTGTTTTGAAATGAGATCGATGACACAAATGAACTATTTACTTATTTGTATGAAAATATTTCCGTTAGTAAACAATATTTTATAAAATTCCAGACCTTAGTATGTCTACACATGCTTTAGATAAACTTTCCAGAAGACTTGACAACTTTTGGACAAAATTTTCTTGCTAGTTTGGCATAATCTGAACGTTTATAAATTTTTAAGTATCCTGAATTGCTGCCTTTGGTTTCAATGTTGACAAAAAAGGAATTCGACACTTCAGATTGAGGAAATTTCTTATTATTTAACATAAACATTTTGCTGCGACTTCTGCCTAGTTTTTGGGCACATTTGTCTGTTGGGAAAATCAAAATATCATCGCACTCAACAGATGTGTTGCTATGAAACTTGACATCAGGACATGATGACTGAAGTGTATTTGAAAGAAGTCGATGTGGATCGTGAGGGTCTTCAGACTCTTTATTGATGAACTCATCCTTCTCCTCACCTGATGACAATGGAATCATTTGGAAGGCTTTTTGCAGTCGTCTAGAGGAAATTTTGATTAAATTTTAACAAAATAATTTCAATTTGTCTTTATTTTAAGAACGCTGATAACCTAGAAAGCAGAGTTGCGATACAGGTCACCTGTTTTAGGTACATGTGACAGATCTGTCACTGATTTTACCTGTGAACAGGTAATAGCTGTTGACAGATAAGTGACAGGCAGGGTGACAGGTTAATTCCTGTAACAGATCGCAACTCTCCTGGAAAGATCAATCACATTTTGATAATTTTTATCGGTTATAAATCCTTAATTAACTTACTCAAAAAACCCTAAAGCAAGTTTGCTTCCAAATTTCGTATCAAGTCGAACAACTCCATCATAAATTGCAAACCTTCCATGAGCTGAACATGCAAAACTCGGATGGTCAATTTCATGTAATGATCGTATTGACAAAGTATCGAAATTCATGATTACACCTGAAAGAAATTGAAAATAAAGTTTCATTTTTGGGAGAATTTCATAAGTCTTAAAAATCAAAACCTATTCCTAAGCACAATCATCAACATTACCTCCATACTTAAAAACGCTCATAATTTTCATAACATCTGCAATTTGTCCAGTCGAATATTTCCAAAATGGATCTCCTTTAATCCAGCTGTCTAGTTCTGTTCCTTTGCAGTAGTCCTTAACATTCATAAATTGAATTTTAATATTTTTATATGACATTAGGACCTTCAACAAAGTTGTATAACGTAGCATCATTTGATGTGTTGGAGTTAAGAATATTAAATGAATTGTATAGTCTGGATTGAGGTTGGCTGAAATTATTAAGATCCCGAAAGGCATAAGTCGGTTAATCGATCATAAAATTAGCACCAAGCCGGTATGACGCTGGCATAGTGCTAAATTTAAATCAAACCTATCACCTTGCCAGAGTCATGACAGCTGGGCGACGGATTTCTATTCGATTAATCGACTTGTGCTATTCGGGGATGTAAGAATATTAAATAATGATTTTTATTTACAGCAGGAGCAGTAGAGCATAGCTTTTTTTCCATAAATTCCCTGATGTACAGGTACTTAGTAGTTTAATGTTGAGAACTTTATCGTTACCAGCTGTTTAAGAACATATGTCGAGCATTAATCCGGTTATCAATTTTTATTAATTATAGGAAATTCTGGATAAGTGCGAAATTCTAGTTTAAAAGTTTAAAAGTTCTCAAATCTAGCTTGTCATGACTCATAAATAAAAAGTAGCCACATATACAATTTATCTTATTATAATTTAGTCAAAATATTTTTTTTCTCAATTTCAGAAAAAAGTCTGTTAAGCAACAAATTCATTCAAACGTAGTAACTCAATACAAACAAGTCTGTTTTACCTGCAGCTTCAATATTGCATGCCTTCTTAGCATTTCTGATAACAGCTTCTGTCTCTCCGTCACCGTCGATAAAAAACACATGTCTATTTAAGTTATTTGTCATCTCAGCATCATTATTTTGAATATTTTCTAGAAAAATTCCTCCTTTTTCTTTAATTTCTTTAATTTTACTTTCAAAATCTGGACTTTTACTGCTTTCTAGGTATAGAATAATGAAAGTTATGATAAGGATTAAAATGTAAGCTATTCGACTTTTTTTCGGTTTAATGTGCATGATTGAAAAATTTAAACTAGAATGAAAAATATTTTACAATAACAAGAATATTACAAATATAGGTATAAAAAAGTTTGAATGTAAGAACATGTGTAAATTCTTGAACAACTAATTTTTGTTTTATTCGTTCGAAATTGAATTGAAATATTTCAGAATAATCCAATTTTTAAAATCAAATGACATTAATTTTTGGAATAAACTTAAATTTGACGTTTTTGATAAACCTAGATTAGATTTTTATGCCTAGTCTAGTATACGAAAATATTTCAATAATACCCCATAACAACCCACTTATTTTTTTAAAAGGTAAAGCATGGAGAGGGCCCAGCCTTTTGAGCTGAAAACTATGATTAAAATTAGAACAGAATCGATTGTACCACACCCTTGGACCTACAGTTTAAAGTGAAATCCGAACCACTTGCAAGCTCTGCACATTGCAAAGACTCGAGTATGTCTATAGACCTGATGTATCCTGCAATGAACCTAGTCACAATTCTTGTGCGCAAGATGCCGTAATGAAATCATCCTTACTTACTTTACTTCGCTGGCCGTACAGATCAATTGTGATCCATGACCTCCCTTATGAAATCATCCAGATGCTGATATATCCTAGTATACCCAGCAAAGAAGACAAATTATGTGCCGAAGACCTCAAAATTACACCCAATCGAACTTCGTAACCAGAACGGTTAAAATGGAAAAAAGAGCATTTATGAATTGCTCAAAATTTTTTTGGAGGGGTGGGGGGGGCATGACTCTCTTGGCTACGTGCCTGCAACTTGCCCCGTTCTTAAATGGAATCAATCAACTTTCAGTTGCAGGTTGTTTTATCAAATTTATCACCTTTGATTACAATTTTCATAAAATTAAAATTATTTAATGTACTGGAAGGAATTACAATACTGATGACTTTGTAGATATTTGACATTTTTTCTAAATCAGCAAAGCAAGATTGATTTGAAGTCATGGTCATGGCTATTCATCTTCATCAGTTCCTTGTTTTCAGTATTTTCAAAGATTAGCGATGTGTTCTTCAAGATAAATATTTTTCTGAGTAGACTAGTGTCGAATACCGAATGAAATTTATAGGAATCAAAATATTGCGACAATTCTAGTCACATATTAAGAATAAAACTGACCTTACTTAATTTTATAGTATCAAATAGATTTGTATTTCTTTTCAATAATATAACTGTAAAGCTTGTATTCGCGAGTCATCATCAACATTTCATTATCAATTTTAATTTATTCTTTGAAAAGTAAACAAACGGCAGAACACGTTTTTGTCCTTGAAACACTCTTTTTTTGAGCTTTTTAAATATTCATTGGTACATTAAGAGTAAAAAACAGGTTTAACTGTTGAAAAATCATTGCTAGGTGTCGATTTAATATTATAACTTTCAGTTTGTTATCGGCTATTCAATTGCTAGGCATTACAAACGTTTAGACATGAAAAAATTAGTGCAAATCAATTTGTTATTAATAGGAATCTGTTGTTCATTTGTAAACTTGCAAGATTCATCAAATGTATTTCCATTGTGCAGCAGAAGATATCCAGATATTGGACAATGCATTCTTAAAGCCCTCAATAAGCTTAGACCAAATTTGGCTTCAGGAAAATTAGCTCCAGATTTTTATATAGATCCATTGGATCCATATGTCCTTCCAAATTATGAGTTAAGACGTGGACTTCTTACTGTCAAATTTTATGATATTTATATAATTGGTGCTACAGGCTTCAAACTCAAAGGCCTTCGGTAGGTATATCATCATTCATATAGTTTCATAGCACGCTAGGTTTAAGACTCAATATTTATGCCTAAGAATTTCAATAAAAAACTGATTTTTTTTATTTTAGTGCTTATTTTGAAGGTGACTACTTAAAATTCATGCCGCACATAGAATATGACATATTAAATGTATCAGCAAAGTACAGTATTGATGGACTTGTGTCGTTCCCACAAACGGGAGAATTTTCACTTTCTATACTTGATGCAAGCATTCATGGAAATGGAAGTGTTCACATAATTAAAAGAGATGGAAACGAATATTTTAAAATTGAGCAAGCAAAATTGAAATTTGATAGACTTCAAGTTGGAAATGTAAAGTTTTCATTTCCAATAGGAAGATTGATGGAACCAGGGCCAGTTTTAAATTCATTTTTAAATATTTTTGATGGAATTCTATTTAAATTCTTATACAAAGTTTTTGAAGCTCGAATCGATGAAGTTCATTTGGATGTTGCAAATAATTTCATTAAAAATGTTCCTGTAAGTTATTTTTTCAGTGATTAGCAAAGTCGCAACTAACACCTCCTTCTTGCAATAAAGCAATAATAACCTATGATTAACTCAAATTGTACTATATTGGAATTAAAGTCAGTATTATATGTGGGATCTGAATTGTGTCGCTTTCAATTATTTTCTGCTTTGGTTTCAATTTTCAGCAGAGGATATAACTAGAATCTCTACTCATCAGTTCACTTATTATAATACTTACTGTAACGATGTTCCTACGTGGAGCTTAAGTTACAACAAAAGGCTTTCCATCTGACTCTATTGCTGGCTCTGTCACCTAGTTTGTACAACTTCTCTGTCTACATATTAAGCTGACATTCTTTCATCACTGTTCTGAGCTTTTGGAGCTCCTGTGCGTATTTTCCCTTGCAGATTCCAACCAAGCGCAAAATAACAAACTTGTGTTTCTGTCCCAGCAATGACATTCTCCCTGGAACTTTTCTTTCAAAGTGTATGTCCGATCCAGCCATACTTCCTCAATTGTATCTCCTTGTTGATGTCTTGTTGACCTGCTTTCTCTAGAACTTATTAAAATGATCTTCCTTACTTCCTTTGCTGCGGTGCACGTGGACTCATTGCCGAGTTCAGAGATTGTCTTAAGACAGTTCTTTCCTTCGAGACCTTCGGCCAGTTCGGATAAAATGAACAAGCTGTATTTAAATCTCATTAAAGTTCCCAGTTTCCATCAAGAAACCGACATTATCTGGGATCGAACCCGGGTCGTTAGGGTTGGTTGGTCAACACTCTAACCACCACGCCACTGCTGCTTTTTCGCTGCTAGTTCCCATCAAGAAAATTTCACTAAAAAACACCTGTAACAATTTGAAATTTCTCTAAACCGCCATAAAAAATTCAAACACAAATCAAGCTTTCTTACGATAAACAAAGCAGCTTTAGCTGTACAGTTCGACAACAATTGAATTAATATATAAAAACAACTTCTCTCTCGTTTTGACTTCTCACTTGTTTCAATATTTTATTTGGAAAAGCAACAAGTTTTGATGTTTTTTGTTTACTTTCTACTTATAGAGTATCTTAATTGCCTGTCGCTCATGTAGTTGTTATCATCGAGTGGCTTTCGAATCAACTTCATAAGCTGCTGTTCGTGTTCTTAGATGATATAGTTGGTATTTCAGGATCTTGAAGTCTAGTGAAGTTGGAGATTTAATTCTAAAATTTAAAATTGTGCATTAAAATTGCTCAATTTCTATTTAATTAAAATTCAAAGCCAAAAGATCTCATTAATTATTTTAAATTTTATTGTGCAATTTGTGGCTTGTTACTAGATTTTATAGAACAATTAGTTTATTCAAAATGTCACTGGATCCAAAAAGTTTGAGATATGAAACAAAAGAAATATTCACACCTACTTTGGATGAGCTAGCTAAAGGTAGGTTATCAGAACTTTGAAATTATTGCCTATCTAATTGCTAAGGTGATGTATGTGGAAGCGCTTCAGTGTGGCTCAGATAGGGTAGCTAGGTTCTTACTTCTTATAAACTTCCCATGAAACTTTTTTACTATTTGCCTTTTTCTGCTTGCCATTGTCAATACCAGCCAGTAGTCATTGATAGCTCAGACATGTTAGAAGCACCTTACAAACTTTAGACATTATACAATTACTTCCTCAAATCTGAAATGCCTTTTCTCCATCATATTCATTACAACTGCATTTTGTTTTCTCCATTTTAGCAATCACCCGAGGCCTCAACAATAACTTTGCTGAAGTCACTTTATCAATTGTTGACTGTCCAGACCTATCAAAAGCACCATTCCATTTAGCATCATCAGGCATAGATGGTGACACTGTTGTCTTGGAATATGGAAGTCCAGATTATTTATTGCCACTTGTTGATAGATCGAAAATTTACGACTTAGTTCCACTTGTTAAAAATATTCAAGGATTTGAAAATAAAGATTTTTTCTTAGCTGGTGCCGGTGCCGGTCCACATCCATTAATTAATCAAAATTGTGAAGGAATCATGAATTTAAAAGTTGATAAAAATGGTAAAATTGTGAATGAAACTCACATTTCAAGAGTAACTGAAGATGGATTAATGGAAGTCCAAAAAGTGCCAACAGCAGAAACACGAAGTGCTTTACTTGGAAATGTTTTCTTGTCTGAAGGAAGGGCTGGAAAAGTTTTGAAAGTTTCATGCAAAAAACGCATTGGAACTGAAAATTTCATATCATCAATGCGACTGTCAATGGCTAAGCACTTTAAAGACACAACAGTTGGTGTCGGTGGAGTTTTCTTGCTCAAAAAAGGTAAAGCTAAGCAGCACGTGATGGATGATTTCTCAAAAACTCCAATAAATACTGAAGATGAGCTAAACAATTGGCTTAAATTCTACGACATGTCAGCTCCACTTATTGCTGTTGGAACTTTTGTGACTGATGAGGCTGATTTAGATTTGAGATTGCAACATTTTCATAGTTTTTCGCAGCACGGAGAGGCTGGACATTATCATTATGACGTAACACCTGATATTGCTGAGTATGAGGGGTACTTTAATGTTGGTGCTAGAATTGTTCGGATTGATCGACCTGATGTGAGTATTAAATTGAGTTTGGGAGAAGCTAATAATGCATTATATTATGAAGGAAAACTTCTTTTTTGTGCTAATGCTCAATGCCAGATACTTTACTGTGCTGTGATGCTTAAATGGTTCCAAACGACTGCTTTACAGCTGCTAAATGGCATAAAGCCTGGAAAAGTGACAAAATAGTTGCACCAGGCTTTCGTGAGGCTAACGAAGTGAAAGATTAAATGAAATCAGGCTACTCGTCAGCTTCATGTTTGGTAAATGCCACTATTCTGTGACTTTAATATCGTGTGTCTATAAAAACATGAACTATTGCCACATCAGGTCTTACTGGTACAAGACCATCACTTTTAAAAAAACGCTAATTCAAATTCCTCATTTCATTCCAGTCATCCCTAAAATTCGGACGCGACTAAGCAGAAACGAGTTCAAATGAGAAATAATTGATAAACAGCATGTCAGGAGAGCTGAGTAGGCATGAAAAATGTTCACACGACTTACGTCAATCTGGAATTATCATTTTTCTTATTCATCGTGCTGATGAAGTTCAAGTTTCTTATCAAGAATTTGTATTGTAAAATAATTAAATAAAATTTTTGATGAAATGTTTGTTGTTGTTGTGGTTTTGTGACCTAAAAGTCATGTTACATGATTATTGGGTCAAACAGAAGTTCTGTTTTAGATTTGACATGGGTCGGACAACTAATGTCATTCTGAGTATGAATCTAGCTACCTGAAATTCTGTGAATATCTTCATGTTAAGCATCAAACAACCACAAACAATTTTTTCAATTTTTATAAACACTTTGAATTTATTTTTGGACATGATACAAAGGGAATTAATATTAAACATTTACCAATATATAAGAAGAAAGTTAAATTTTTACAATAATTAAAAGAAAATTCAACTAAAGTAAATGTTTGAAGAAAAAAAATCATCAATTTAATAATGATGACATCAAATGGCAGATGAAATGTGAATAAAATACATCAAAATTTTACAAATCTCACTAAAGAAAGTTGCTGTAATTATTTATGCTGAAGCTGCAAATAATTTAATCAACCTCAGAAATTTGAGCATCAACGTCACTAAGGTAATCTGATGTTAGTTTAACGACTACAAATCCACTTGTGAGACCGACTACTGTTGCTACTCCGCAGTTCTTTGGTAAAACGTTCTTCATGAAGGCCCACATTAGGACTGAACCGAAACTGAAAAGTACACCGCCGGTTGCTCTGAAATTGAAAGAAAAGATTTCAATTAATAGTTTAAAATGAAATACCAGAGTTCGAAGTCGATGAGATTCGAGTCAACTTCGAGTCAGCTTGGTTATTTTTTTTTGTATGAAGAAGTCGATTCGAGAAAACCCAAACTCTGTGAAATACTAAGAGGCTAGCTCATGTTAAGTAGTATCCTAGGTGTCGTCAATAATTATAAAAATAATGTTCTTTATAGGGAAAGCAGAGTAATTGACTGAGTCATAAGGAAGCCTCAATTAAACTCAAATCTGAACATGTCCTTAACATAAAATGCTTTTTAATACGGATGACAAGAACGTTTGACAGTCATGACCTTGGTTTGCAGGTACTTTGATGAAACTGACTTATATTTGTACTTCAAGTTTATTCCAGGTAAATGTCATTTACAATGTTGTGGTCGAATTACTGATTATGACCGTTTCTAGTTAAATCATTATGAAGGAACCACTTACTATGAATATGAGCTGTTAAAATCACCCAAATCAGTCATTTATCATCTTCTGTACTCAGATTATTAGAGCCAAAAACTCATTTTGTCTTGCATTTGTTGAGTTTAATCCAAATTCCAAAATTAAAACCAGATCAGAGATGCGATCTGTCACAGGCAGTCACTTGTCACTTACCTGTCAGCAGGCAGTGCCTTTAACATATAACAGATAATATTTGTGATAAATCTGTTATCTATGCATGTGGCATGCGACCTGTATCAGCAACTCTGTTCCAGATTAAAACATTGACTTTTTAACTTCTTTGCTACCCAATTTAAATCATACCGCAAATTCGACTAGGATGCGAAGCTATTCAATAGTCTTCTCGTTCTGCTTTAAGTCGTTTTTAAGCATCTCAAAATTAATACTTACGCATAAGCAAGTCTCTTTTGGTTTGGTACATTTTTAAGATGTTTGCGGGTGTAGATATATGCTCCAGATCCAATCACACTGTGCCAAAGGAGGAAGTTTGTGAGATCAGATGATCCAAAGAATCTAGAAATGAGAAATAAAATTATCAGTGACTCAAAAAGTTTAGATTAACAAATATTGAACTTTCTCATCCAAAATTCTATAGTCCAGGTTAAATGGTCCACAATTTAGGAATTTATATTCTTTACACTTTAAAATCACATCAAATTACTAAAATCCTACTCACTTTGTTCTCAGTGCTGGATTCATGATGTTAATTGACAGTGCCGTGTAGCTAACAAGACTGTTAACCGGTAAATAAAATGATAAGAAATTTTCCTTATTTAATGGCTTCATTTTGGTCTTATTTCAATTTGTTCCTGCTGTATTTAAGTATGCCTGCTTGCTAGTCCTCGAAGTCTAAAATGTCAATTGAAAATTATTAAATTAAAACTTTTTTTATCACGAATATTTCATGAAATTGATTTTTATTACATAAAAAATTTGAAAATACTTTTCAGCAAAGATTATGTGATGTTGATGTTATGACAAACTGTCTCTAAATGTCGGAATGTCTAGGGTTAGTGACTGAGCTTGTGGAAAAAAATTAAAAAAAATTCTGATAGAGAAAAAAACTTGAATTTTTAAAAGTCGTTCGGAAACTTTTGTTTTTGTTGTAATTTAAAGGTTTCATAAAAAAACTAGTTTAACTTTGACTTTGATTATCTGCAAGATGCTTAACACAGTTCCAAAAACGAAATTGCTCCTAACCTTAAATTTAATTGAGTTTGCCTTAAAAGTACCGCGCTTTAATTAATATCTGAAAGCAAACTTAAATGCACTTGAATTGATAACGAGCATGCTTGTACCAAAAAATCCCCAAACCTCAACATTTTCTCAGATATTTGTCAATAAAATCAAGTGATTGGATCAACAATGCTGCTTATTTTATTCTGAATATTAAGTAGTAAGGTTTGCAGTTGAGTTTTATTTCAAAAATGTCCCACGAACATCCTTATGGTAAAGCTTTAAATGTCTTAAGTTTTTCTAAAGACAACAAAGTTCTTATCGATGAAGACGCTATGAAGAAGATGTTTGAACATCCGGATGTTAAAAATCGTAAGATTGTTTCATTTTCAATTATTGGAGCGTACAGAAAGGGAAAGAGTTTTTTCTTGGATTATTGCTTAAGGTTCCTTTATGCTCATGTAAGTTGATTTCCCTTTTTTAAATTTTTGAATATTAATTGATATTTATTCAGTATCCATCTATAAATTTCCCAAACAATCCAACATCTGACAAAGAAAACTGGATGGGAGCTGAAAATGAACCTCTTAGTGGATTTTCATGGCGTTCTGGGTCAATACGTGATACAACAGGAATCATTATGTGGAGTGATATTTTCCTCCATACGAGTACAGTGAATGGAGATAAAATTGCAATTATTGTCATGGACACTCAAGGACTTTTCGACAATCAAACGTCACCAGTCGGAAACTCAAGAATTTTTGCTCTTGGAACATTAAGTTCATCTATCGAAGTTTTGAATCTGTTTAGTGTTGTCCAAGAGGATCAACTTCAATATTTACAATTTGCTACAGAATTCGCAAAATTTGCTGCCAATGATAGTCATGGAAATGCCGGAAAGTCTTTTCAAAAGTTGGTTTTTCTAATTAGAGATTGGGTAAGTTTATGACATACTTTTAGTTGACAGCATTGCCACAAATATTTATTTCAAATAAGGTAAATCCGGATGAGCATCCATTTGGTTTTGAAGGAGGTGCAACTTATCTTCAACATTTCTTGAAAATACAGAACGAACAAAAACCAGAACTTCAATCTGTTCGAAAATTTATTCAAAGCTCTTTTGAAGAAATCGACTGTGCATTGCTTCCTCATCCAGGTAAATATCCCGAATAAAAATCCAGCCTCAAGCCTGCATGACTCTGGCATGGTACAGGCTTCGATTTAAATCCAGCACCATACTAGAGTCACACCGACATGATGCTGGATTTCTGATCGATTAACCGACTTGTGCCATTCGGATATTTTCATTGAAAATTTGCAGAGCTTGAAGTCAACTCGAGTCGACTCGGGTTTTTCGAGTCAACTCGAGTCCACTTGACTAGAACTCTAAAAATGTGTGATTATTATTTATTGCTTAAACTTGACTTGTAATTTCAGGCAACATAGTAACAGGAGGCTCAAGAAAGAGGATAAAATACAATGGAAGTTGGGGTGGAATGAGTGAAGATTTTAAAGATGAGCTTTTTGCTGTAATTGAAACTCTTCTGAAACCCGATGATTTAATTATTAAGAAAATCAACGATAAAGATCTTGAAGGTTTCGAGTATTTAGAATTTATGCTGCAATATTTTCAAATATTCCAATCTGATGATATTCCCCAAGCTCAGTCGATTTATGAATCAACAGTCGAAAAACAAATTAATATGCTGGTTGAGTCGTGTGTCGAAAACTACAAAGAAACGATTTATAAAAACACAGATTTAATTACAAATGTAACGCAAATACCCATTTTTCATAATATGAGTAAAAATCAAGCAATGCTCATGTACAATGAATCGAAAAAGATGGGAAATATTTCTCATGAAATTAAATTTTCAAGAATCCTTTCAGAAAAGATCGACAAAATATTTCAAGAATGGTCAGATCGCTCAGAAAAAAATATGAAAAAAATTGAAGAAGAAACTGAAAGAACGCGTTTAGCACTGGAAGAAAAGCAAAAGGCCGAAATTCAACAGATTGAAAGTGAGAAGAGAGCAGCAGAAGAACTTAATAAATTGAATCTTCTTAATGCTGAAGCTAAGAATGAAAACTATTTGAAGGATAAGGAAATTGCAGAAGTAATGTTAAAAGCTGAGAAAGAACGAGTTGCAATGATTGAAGCTGCCAAAGAAAAAGAAACAGAATTTCGGAAACAACTTCAGGCTATGCTAGAAGAAGAGAAGCGAAATCCAAGAGTAGTTAATTATAATACTGGCCCTTGCACAATTTTATAACTTACTATAACATCTCAAGGTGTAACTCGGATCGTAACAAAACTTGGACTCCCCCCCCCCCTCTTTGTCCCCAAGGGTTAGAAAATAAACCAAAAACTCCTTTGCAAAAGATTTAAAATTTTATTTTACCTGAATTTAATATTTTTGTACATTACAAAATACTAAAATATTTCATGTATCTCAGTCAAAATCATAATCACAAATAGTGCAGACTCATCAATAAATTCAGTTTCTATTCATATTCTCCCTCATGCTCCTTATCATCTCATCCTTAATATTATTCATTCCACTTTTGATGAGATCTTCAATTTTATTCGTTAAATTCTTCAAATTGTCCTCGAGTCTCATCAGCTTTAAATTAATTTTCCTAACTTCACCCACCATTCGATTCTCCATCTTCTCTAGTCGTTCTGTTAGATTTCTCATTAAATTTAGATTACAAAATGCATTACAAAATTCACCTTCAGTAAGAATTTTTTTCAATTGCACTTGTGAGCCCTCTTCACTTGATCCAATTGTCGGCTGTTTTACAGGCGAGTCGTGTTTCTTGAGGAAATCTAGAAAATACGAGTCTGGAAATTGCCTGACATCTGATGCTAGATTTTCAGATCCTGTTGGCTTTCTGATGAGTTGATTGATTTCGCTAACGGATTGCTGACATGAGCAGTAGGTTGTGAAGAACATCAAGGATATGATGCGGATTTGGAAGTTACTACAAATGAATGAACATGATAGTTTTGAATTAAAATTGTTTCAAAATAAAAAAAATGGTCTTTTGGTATTGAAAGCTTGCTACAAATATCTTCAGGCTCGGAAACTAGGCGATATACCGCCAACTTCTATTCAAATACTCGTTACTCGTTAACTCGTTAACTCGTATCGACGTCATTTTATTCGAGTCAACTCAAAGTCTACTTCTAGGTCTGCAAATATTTTCGAAAAGAGCTGGTTTTAGATACAATTTTAAAACGACTTTGGATCACAGTGGATCCATATGGCCATCGAGGTAAGTATATAAGTAAGCAAGGCGGGATATTGACCGAATTATATCAATTGGGTTTATTTTAAACATTTTGTTTCAATATTTAAATTGCTTTTTTTGTCAAAAACAAACAAAAACAAGATCAAGGTAGAGCCTAAATTTATGCTCCTTGAACTGACCCTGATGGTCTAAAAATATTCTGTTTTATGGAACATAACTCTTGTGAATCAATCACTAATTTCCCAAGATCATAACCCCAATTTTCTAATTATTCTGATCAAATTGAACCTAAAAAGGTTGAATTTATTAATTTTGTCGCAAAAACTGTCAAAAATTGTGTAATAAATTCTCGAGTTCCTTATTGATCTGACCCGAATCCCCGCAGATAACTTCCGAAAAATTCTTAAGAATTCAGCCTTATCTCACATTTTGTTCATTTTTCCACCACGTAAAAATATTTTACAAATCTTATCACAAAATGTGCACTTGCAGCACGAGCAGCTGATGAAATAAATCTGAGATTGTTTTTGCACTGCAATGTGAACAGCAAAAAAATGAGAGCAACGAAAGTTGAATGAAACAAATCGTCGGATTTGCGATAACATTCAAATTGCACATGAATGTTATTATGATCATTTCAATTGAGACTTGTGAGAATAGTTGATAAATTGAGAAATTTGTGAGAATTTAAATAAATGAAATGTGACAGTAAGTTAAAGATTTGATGAAGAGAGTGCAAAATGTGATGACTTACCTTGAGACAAAATTTGATTGTATGCTGGAGAAAAGTGGGATGTAATGGATTTAATTTAACAAAAATATAATCATTTCAACTACAAACTGAACAACTACAACAATTAAGAACCGAAAATCCGTCTGTTCAGCTAGTTTCAATAGATTTTCGTCCACAAAATTTGACTTATCCATTGAGATATTTAAATTATTATTAAATTTTGTGAGAATCATGTAACTTGAGCAATGAAATTAAATAAACTGAAGCTGAAATAATGAGTTTATTATCAATTTTTTTTGTTTGCTGTTCTTTGTGTTCATTTGCATATCGCACAAAAAATAAATTAAAAAACAAAACAGAGAAAAAATAAATTTAATTAAACTAGAAGATTGTGATATATTTCTTGGGAATAAATTTAAAAATTTTCAGTGTAACTTACAATAATTCCAAAATATGGAACTTATAATTAACATTTTGAACATTTTTGAACATTTTGGAACATTTTGAATATTTTATTTTATTTTATATTTTATTTTCGCAACTTTGATAAAAACCTTATCGGCCTGTTTCACTAAGGTGGATTATCCTCATTTTAGGATTATCCATTTCTTCGATGCAAGGAAAATCCAAATGATTTCTTTCTGATGTAGAATTAATTGGTAAATAATAATCAAGCTAGTGTGAGAAAAATCTATTTATTGGATAGTGAATATAGCAAAAAAATAATTTTAGTATATGTATTATCCTTAGATTATCCTAGGATAATCCTGAAGACTATCCGAATTTTCAATCTTGGTGGGACCCAGTTTTAACATTTTAGAATAATAATGATCTCAGGATAATCTTCGGATAATCCACTTACTAAGATAATCGTTTTTTGTGAAATCCATCGTCAAAAAATTATTTTCTTTAAATCCATTTTTTCCAATTCACCGTGCAGTTTAACGGAGTAAAAAAATTTATGGATTATCCTCGGATTGAAAAAGTGGATAATCCGATCGGTGGATAATCCACCTTAGTGAAACAGGCTATATATGTTAAACAGGATGACGTACAGAACTGGCTTCTGTTAACTTTGACAAAAAGTTGCTACAAATTCGATCCTGCTGCCTTCATTTGGTAAGGGGCTGATTAGTTTTTAAGAAAAATTAAATACTCTTGATTAAAAGGTGCAGCAGTTTATGATGTTAATATAATTAATGATTTGAGAGGCTTAAACAATGTGAGCTGGTTCCAGCCAGCAATGTTACCACACGTTGAGACGGGCTGGAGGCACTGCGATTCTAATCGATGATAGAAGGAACGGCTTTTGAAAAATGACATTTTTTTCTTCAAAAATTAGAGTTTTTAGAGCCGATTTCCGTTTTTTCATAAAACTTTATTGAAACTAGTGTGTCGGGTAGAAACCCAATGCGAATATATTCATACCACACCATAAAAAGTCTTCTGGAAAAACCAAGCTTAGCTCAGTATTAATATAAAAGTATAAATCTTAACGAACAAGCTGAGCTTCTCTCAGCATATGTTTGAAAATATAAAAATCTAGAGGAATTGCAGCATAAGCAGTATATACTCTTACCATAGAAAATCTCCATCGATTTGCTGTGCTATCGTTCAGCTTAAGTTTTTAAACTAGACTTTTATCATAAAACTCCAGATTCACTCAGTTTAAATGTTGGACGTCATTTATGAATGCTTCAATAATTTAAAAGCAGAGAATGAAGTTGACTCGAGATTGTTATCAATTTTATATTGTGGAGTCGACTCCGAGCTCTGTGTATAAGCATTGAAATAAGTGCAAGAATTTAATAAATGATCTAAATGACAATAAACGTTTTTATTTTAAATTTAATTTATTAATTATATTATAAATTGTTACACAAAAAAATTCAATACTTTAAAGAAAAGGAAAAGGAAAGGTCAAATCATCTTCTAGTTCCATGTCCTTGATTTTATGATGACCTTTATGAAAAATCGTTGCTTGATTCTGTTGTAGGTGGTTCAGTGAGAGTAGTTGTTGAAGCCAAAGTTGTTGTAGTTGTGTCGATTTTTTCACATTTTACTAAATTTCGGTTTTCATTTATTTCTAGTTCAAGCCAATTTTTATAATCTTCACAAGTTGCTTCACATTTTCCATCTAATGAAGTTCTACTTAAACTAAGGTCTTCGTAACTTTCTCTATTGTCTATGCAATTATTGTTATCGATCTTAAACACGTCTAATGCTTCCAATGTGTTTCGCACCTCAGCACCAATAATCCTTATCGAATTAGACGACACGGTAAACATTTTTAATTCTTCATTGTCAACAAACATACGATCAGGTATAGCTTGTAGCTCATTATAGTCCAATGTGACTGTATTTAATTTACTTAATCCATGAAAAAGTGTCACTGGAAGTTGCTCAATTCCATTCATTTGCAACTTTATTACCAATAAATTTTGATTATCTTGTAATAAACCAGCTTCGATTGTTTTGAGTTCATTGTCATTCAAATGAAGTTCTTGAAGATTATATAAGCCTGAAAATGCGCAACTATCAATAAATTTGATTTTATTGAACGAAAGGTTGATTTTTTGGAGTTTTTGATTGTCACTAAAGGAGCCAGGTTCAATTTTTGTCAGCAAATTTTTATATAAATTCACTTCAATCAGATCTTGAAAATTTTTCAAGGAATTTTGAGAAATTTTTGTCAATGTTGATTTTTTAAAAATGAAGTATTTAAGAGCTGGAAAGGATGTTGACAAGCCAAGTGGAGTTAAATCTGATTTAGAATTTTCAACATAAAATCCTTGAATATTCTCGTTGCCATTTGTAATGTTAAAAATTTCTGTATCATTTTGAATCACAAATGATGATGGAATGCACGTTTTTGTTCTTGTTCCTGTCTCAAATTCTATGTCTTTAATTTCACATGTGATGTTAACATTACATAGGATGCTAGGAATGACCAAGATTGTAAAGATGCAAATGATCATCATTTTAAGATTCTTCATCCTGTAAATGAGAAAAAATTAGTATTAAAACTGATACTAAGGATCTGAGTTGACAAGTCACTTTTAGTGAAGTTTAGACACCAAAATAGTAAACTTTTGAAGCCTTGGCTTTATAACATTATAAAAGACTCCTGGCAACTCTCTATCAGATTCACAGTTTTGATGAAGTTAGAATAATTTTCAGTACAATTTAATTTAAATGCCAGTTCTTACCTCCTTGCAATTTTTATATCTAAAAACAGCTCTCTTCTCTCCGAACAGCTGTCGATCCTAAAGCTAGTAATCAAATGAAGCTCAAAATGATTTGTATTTCTTCTCCAGAATATGAATTGCTTGATAAGCAACAATGTAGAAGTTCATAATACGAGACTTATTCAGATGTTATGTTACGTTTGTAATAAGGATTTTGAATCTTTTACTCAGGTATTATTTCAGAACAAAAAGGAAGGATCTTGTAGATCTCCCGATAACAACCATATGTGTATACTAATGTAAAACAAGTCGGGTTCGAAGGGAATCGAACCTACGAGCTTAAAAGAGGCGATCTCTAGCTACTCGATCAGAGATCCCTGCCAATCAGCCACCGAGGTACTTATCTCACTTCGGCTATCCTTCATTCACATATAACAAGTTTCAAAGCAAGCCCTATGCTCAGGCCTATCTACTACATATATGATCTTCAAGCCATACCCACTGACCACACTTTCTTTCTTTCTATGCCAAAGACCTCAAAACTACACTCAACACACGAACCGAGCTTCGAAACTAGAACGGTGAAATGGAAAAAGAGCTTAGAAAATTAGAAATGGCCTGAGATTGAACCTAGTACCTTTGGCCAACGTTCTAACATTTAGGCTACTGATACCATTTCACTGCTTTCAATGAACTTAGACATTATAAAATTAGGAATTGGAATTAGTTTATTATACCAAAAACTCAGACTTCCTCAACAAATTGATCATAGACTGTGTCAGTTCAGTTTCAGTTTACAACATCAAAAATAAATGTCTAGTCAAAATATATAGTCGAATCCTTTAAACAATAAATTGAGGTCACAGAACAAAGAAATTATAAGATTCGAATGTTGATTCCTCATTCATGTTGAATTAATCATTTTTAACTTACATTGTAATGTAAAGTATAGCAAAATCAGCAGAATCATACACTGAGATACTCAAAATATGTTCATTTTTAATTTTAATCAGCACAGTTTTTATTTGTAATTCTTCTAGAGTGGATGCCAGTGAGAAGGTGAAGTAATATTTTAATTATTGGGTCCAAATTTAAGGGTATATAATGGTATTCTAGCTTTGTAGCACTTTGATAGTTCTCATAAGTGAACTTTTGTCATGATCAGGCGCGTAGCCAGCAAGGTCTTGTCCCCCTCTTAAGCGTTTTAGGCCGTGTTCTCGCTGCGGTTCAAAACGTTTAAGGGGGACAAGACCTTTTTGACTATACGCCTGGTCATGATTAAGGACAAAGAATCCCTAAAGATAACTTAATTTAATTTGCGACTTTTTGTCTCAAAAACTGTCCAGCCAATCAAATTTTGTGCACATTGAACATCATTATGACCAGAATTGCTGATTACCCAGATGCAGTCTCCTTCTATTTCCACCAAAATTAATTTAATTGTCTTTTGGAAGCTTAAAATTAAAAAAATAATATTTAAGTTCCATTTTCGCAGGATGTTATTGTTACTGCTATCAGTCATTGCATTTAATGTCATCAATGCATCTAATCCGGTGATTGATCTGAACTGCAAAACGATGCGAAAAACAATTTGTTACAACAATAATCTTGAAATACTCGAGCAAAGCATGCAAATTCAGAAGAATGACAAGACTAAGTACGAAACTTTGTTCATTAATGAAGCTAACGTTGAGTTCCTGCCGATTATTATTGCAACTACATTTCCTGATATTAAGGTTTTAAAAGTCATCGGTTCATCACTTAAAAGTATTGAAAAATCAAATTTTGAGGGACTTGAGAAGGTCGTGGAAGTGAATTTAGAGAAAAATTTAATATCAAACTTGCCTGCGAATGTTTTTGAGCCACTAAAAAATATCAAAAAGATTAATTTAAATTCAAATAAAATTTCATCATTTCCGTCAAAGATATTTGCAAGCAACACGAAATTGATGTCAATTACCGCCGTTGGTAATGTGATAAGCTTCATATCTGATCAAGCATTTAAGAATTTAGCTAATTTGAAGCTTCTTTTCATTTCAAATAATCAAATTGAGGATCTACGAAGTGGAACTTTTGATGATTGTGTCGAGTTGAAAATTCTTTCAATCCACAATAATAGATTAAGGCATGTGCCTGAAAATATCTTCAATAAAAACACAAATTTAGAAATCTCTCAGAAACATTTTGTCAACAATACTTGCATTGATGAGTTTGTAAAAAAAGAAACAATAGACACAATTGGTGACCTAAAGAGAGCATTTAAGGAACACTGCAAGCCACTTTGTTATGATGAAATGGAAGAATTGAAGGAGAATGTGAAAGATTTGAATGAAAAATGGGGCGAAGCTAATGAGACGATAGATGATTTTAAAGCCAATTTGAATAATATAAAGCAAGAGCTTGGAACTACCAATAGCAAGCTCGAAAAGTGTGAAAGTTCAAAAGTTAAGCTTAATCTTGAAATGGATAAATTTAAATATGAAACTACAAAATTAAAATCAGAAATTTCAAACCTAAACTTGGAAGTCCAAGAGAAGGAAAATTCAATCACAAATTTGACAAAATCTGAAGAAGATCTCAAGTCAACTATAGAAAATTGCGACCAAAAGATAATAAAATTAAATTCAACGATCGAAACTCAATTAATTGAAATTGAAAGCTGCAAAAAAGATAAAGAAGTTTATTCAAAATTATTCATTGTTGAAGCCACAAAATCTTCAAATTTCACAACAGACATAAATGATTGTAAGAGTCAAGCTGAGAATCTCACAAATGAGTTAAAAATTACAAAAGAATTGATTGAGAAAAATGATAAAATTTTACTAGAGACCAAAAAAGAATTAAATATTAGAAATTTAGCTTTAATTGGTATGGAAAATTTGAATAAGGGTCCGTGTAATGAAAATGAGTTTTCATGCAGATCTGAGCTAAATGAGCTTAAAATACAAAACCAAAACTTTACACAGCTACTTAATAGGCTACAAGAGTCAAAAATCACGCAAAATCCAGAAGCTCCATTTACCATCAACTGTAAAGTTGAAAAAGTCAGTGAATACTTAACATGTCATGTGATTGATGTCAAAGCTACGTCACGTGATACAAAAATTTATGATATTCTAGAAAATTCAAGCCTAAACAATGTTAATGGACTCGATTTTACTGACAGCAAATTCATTGATTTTCCAGCTGAGTTGACAAAAAGATTTGAAAACTTCAGATTTTTTAAATCTTCAGATTCCGTGTTTTTAAATTTTAATGAAAATATTTGCGAATATTCGAACAAAATTGAAGAATTTTTGGTAACATCGTCAGATCTTGGATGGTCTATTACGCTTGACAACTGCAAATCACTCAAATCCTTACAAATTGAAAATTCTGGAATTCGAGAAGTTTCAGCGAAAAATTCAATATTTTCATTAATCAAAATTAATTTAAATGGAAATAAAATTAATAAAATTTCAAAAGAATTTTTCAGCAATTTTGAAAATCTAAAGAGTATCCAGCTGGCCAACAATAAAATTGAGTCAATCGATGGAAATGTTTTTGATGGAAATAATGCACTTGAAACTATTAATTTGTCTGAAAATCCAATTCGTAAAATTAATGGACAGATTTTTACAAACAACAGACAACTTGCAACAATCTTTATGAAGAATTCTGGTTGCATAAATGATGATGCCATTGGGAGGAGTAAGATTGAAAAGATTAAAAACAATTTATTGACAAAATGTGTCTGAATGTCTTAAGATTTGAAGATTAATATTGTAATTTAAAATTAAGAAGTAATAAAAGCATTTAAACATATTTTTCAACTTGATTTGAAACAAAATTGGTCCAAATATTCACTGGATCTTCTTTCGTCAAGCATGACAACAAATTTTCCTATTTTTTTATTAATCTTTAACACCAATTTGACAAAAATTATTCATATCCATTCGAATAGCAGTCAACAATGCACCAGCAGTTCCACGGAAATTATAAACTTTATCAATACAATCATTTCCACTTAAGTCAAGACTTTGAAGCTCTTTGAGTCCATTAAATGTTGAATCATCGACAAATTTCAAGTTATTGCCTTTAAGTGAAATGTTTCTTAATCTTCGATTATTTGAGAATGTTTCACCAGTTATTGAAGCTAGCTTGTTGTCATCTCCATTAAATTCTTTAAGGTTTAACAAACCTTTAAAGATTCTCGGGCTGATTTCCTCAATTTCGTTGTTTTTTATTGACAAAAATTCAAGTTTGCCAAGTTCACGGAAGTTTTCAGGTGACACCATTTTGATAAAGTTATATCCCAAGTCTAGTCGCTGTAGGTTCGGCATGTCATCAAAAGCATCTCTTCTTACTCTGATTAATTCACCTTTGTTAAGGCTCAAACTCTCAAGTGACCTAAGGTGCCTTAAATGTTCTTTTTTAAGAATTCTAAATGACGTTTCTGATGCTGAATAGGAAACTAAGTTCGGAAATGATTCATCAACATTTATCGGTAAGTTTTCACTTTGAATGTTTGTTAATTTGAGGCTTGTAACTTTTCGGTTCTTCTCAATTTGCCATGATGATTCATCAATGTGACGATTATCAATTAAACAGGTTTGTGGACTGTCTAGTTGATCACATGATTCAGTTGGTGGATTATTGGAATTGCTGTTTGTATTCGTGTTTCTGGCTGCATTTGTTAAGAATGTTATTAATAGGAAGCATATAGCTGATGTGAGGAACCGATACATTCTGGAATGGATGTAGAAATTAAACAGAATCAAAACTGGTTTGATCTTAAAAATTGTTAAAAAAAGAAATTCACCCAAAGGTTCGTCCCGAGTGGGAATCGAACCTCGCACCTCTCGATTGCCGGTCAAGTGCTCAGAACACTAAGCTATCGGGCTTTGCCATTGGAACTGGCAGAATGCCAAATGTGAACTTCTCTTTTTCAACTGTTCTGTTCTAGAGCTTATAACCTTTACCGTTTCAACTAAATTGTCTCATAATCGAAGTGGCAAGGCCATTAGAAGCCAAATGAAACTTAGTAAGCAAAAATCTCGTTGGACTTTAAAGTTCTTTCAATTAGTAAGCTCTGGTTTGATTTTATTTAATCTGCACATTATTTTGCAAGACAGTCACATTTATAAGGTTTTATTAGAATACATGTCTAAGCTTTCTGTAAAAGCTCGATGAACAGAACTGTCGTTTGGAAGATAATGATAATGAACTGCTTTGACAGTTCTTTATTAAATCAACTTCACAAATATTTACCTTACTCAATTCAACAAAATAAAATCACAAATCGCAAAACTTCCACTGCCTTCAATTACTGTTCTTAAACTGAATTTCTTCTTCTTACCTCAACGCCTTATAAACGACGCAAAGATGCTCAAGAATTAGGTCAAACAACTTCTTTATACTGAAAACTAGTCTTCTGTATATTAATTTACACTGTGAATTACCATCATTTGTTTGTTCTTTGCACTTTCTTTGATTTACATAACATCTTTAAATAAACAAGTTTGGATGCTGTGACAACTTAAGACTTGCCGTAGAATTATTTCAATAATAAAAACAAATCATTTTAAAAATTGCAGGCAAGGAATGGAAAATTGTTCCCATTTGTTTTAACCCGAATGTTACAAGTCGGTTAATCGATCAGAAATCCAGTATCAAGCTGGTGTAACTGGTGTATGCTGGCTTCGATTTAAATCCAGCACCATGCCAGAATCATGCCGGCTAGGCACCGGATTTCTATTCGATTAACAGACTTGTGCTATTAGGTCATCAGAAACTTTGGAATATAGCAACGATGAAAAGGAGTTTGAAGCTAAGGAATGTCTTTTTGTAAAGTTTTGAGAATTTTGCAACCCTTTTCCACATCGCCTGGTTTCTTTACAAAAGTAAGAACAACCTTTGCCAACAAAAACGATTGAAGATAGGATTATGAAGTTTTAGTCCATTCTATTAACACTGAACGAAGGAGATCTTACTTCCAGTAGTACTACTTAATAACAAATAGCACAAGTCGGTTAAATGAATAAAAATCCTTGGCACCGGATTAATAGCTTCGATTCAAATCCAGCACCAAGCCACGATAACATTGGCTTGATGCCAGATTTCTGATCGATTTATCAACTCGTGCCATTCGGGTAAAAACTGTTCAAAACCCCTGAAAAACAGGTACAATAAGTCTAGATCAAAAGTATTTTTTCTTCTCTTTCAAGACATGACTTTTTATTGACTTCTCTCAGGTGCTCCTACATTCATTTAAATTTATAAGATTCTATATATTGTGTTAATAATAGAATATGCTTAAGCGAATGGCAATAAGCGACAATTAATGTCTAATTTCTATCTTAAATCTTTAAATTCCGTAAAGTGAAAAGGGGCCATTCACTTATGACGTCAATGGGGGTCAGCAAGAAAAAAACAATAGAAATTCTTGGAAACAAATTTTTCTTTTTTAAAAAATGACCGTTAATTTCGGACGTCATAAGTGAACGATCCCAAAAACAAGAAATTTTGAATTTAATAATTTTGGTCTTTTTTAAACATTTTGATTTCTAATTTGTGACAAAAATAACAAATTTTTGCTTCAAACATCTACAATAAAATTTATCAAACATAAAATTAAACTTGATAACAGTAACATTTTTGGTAACATAAACAATTCATAGCGATTTCTTCTTCTGGCACCAATTTGTTGAGAAAATCTTGTAAGCGTATTTTTTATATTATTTTGATGAGATTGTATTTTGAAAAATTTTGTAACAATTTGTTGAAATATTTCTGAAATTATGGAAAATAATTTGAATTAGTTCATTTAGTTTCATAGAGTATGGGATAGGGTATGGGATAGGGTATGGGATAGGGTATGGGATAGGGTATGGGATAGGATATGTGATAGGGTATGTGATAGGGTATGGGACATTACTCACCTTAACAGAAATACAAAGCATAATTCCGATCATAAATTTTTATCTATTTCTTTTGAAAAAATTTGAAATTTTTTTATTTATATTTCACTGATCAGAACCTTATGAATCCTCATCTAATCCCAAGCAGACAAGGAACAGGCTCAGCATTCTTATTTTGAATTTAAAATGTAATCATCTTTTCCTCGAACTTAACTAAAACTCGCAGAAAAGAGACTCAAAACATCGATCATTAAGGTGAACAAAAATTTGCACAACTACTTCTAAAAATTAATTTTTTCATTTTTAAGTTCTAAACTTAAGTATTTTTTTTTAAATAATTTAAAGTGTGAAACTTCGTCCAATGATATTCTTCGATGCACGTTTTGGTCTTTTTAGTTATATGCAGCAACAATAACTGCAGAGGGGATCACACTTGTAGCATGAGTGGTGATGGTGATGATGTTGATGTCTAAAATTGAAGATTTGAAAATTATTTTAAGGTTATAATTTTAATTTTATATAGAAATGGTAAATTGAGCATGCAGCTAGGTTTTTAATATGATTTGATGTATTTAATGAAATTTTGAATTTTTAAGCAAAAAGCATACAAAAATTTTGACAGAGCTCAGAATCTGCTCGAATTTAGGATCATTTGACTGTTTTGATCCAATATTAAGGTCAATTTTGAGCTCTGTGTTTTGGAATATTTTCTAAAATTTAATATAAATTTAACTTAATTCAAAAATATTCCAAAACATTTCAATTCTAATCCACATCAATAACTTCCAATTGGGTCTCAACGATCCTACCTATAATGATATAATCCACACCTTGAACACTTTCCATAACATGACTTATACTTGCATGTTAAGCACGAAAGACACGTGCATGATGATAATCCAGTACAGCACTTGTGACTGTGACTGTGACTATGACTGTGACATGAATGCAAAAGGCATGAGTGGCAATCTCCGCATGAACACATCTTTTATTGGGCTGAAATAGAAAAATAGAAAAGAAAAAGTTAAAAACTATGTCAGTTCCTCCAATAATTGGCATACATTGTTTATGTGCCAATTATCAATTTGCACGCAAAAAAGTTCTTATCAAAGTTGCAAAAACAAAAAATAGAGCAAGTCAATTTTGATGAACTTTCAAAGTTTTTTTTCTAGCTCATGAAAAATTCTAATTGTGGCTTTGTATTGAACTTTTAAAAACTCAATTTCCTTTTTAAATATTAGACTAATTTCATTTATGCAGAGGTTTACCAAAATGTATTAATTGGTTAATAATTAAGGATCCAAACTGTTGAAGTTGTGACTTTGTACATAAAAATCGTTGATAAGACAAATTTAGCTACATCAAAAACTTTATGCCATTGAGTTATTGGAAAAACTGATAAGTGAACATTAAGCCTTGAAAATGAGCTAGATTCAATTTATGAATTTTACCCTTGAGTCAAACAAATTGAAGGATAAATAACAAAAAAGTTTTCTAATTATTTTCAATTGCCAAAATAGATTTGGTTTGATCGAAACAAGGCACGCTAATTTTAATTTTATATCATTAATATTTCTTCTTTCAATCAAACAACTTTTGGAGATAAATACAGACGCTCACTGTTATGGGGCTGTTCAGGGAATACGTAATGCTTTTAGAGGCTTTTGTCACTTGAGCATCTAAAACTAGTAAAACACACCAGAGGCTTAACTAAAGACTTAAGCTAAGAATTAAGGATTATTCTAGATGATTTTATGAAATAAAGTTAATATACTTTAATATACTAACACCGAGACCTAGAACTTTTTGAAAACACGATGACAATAAGCCTTTCAATAGAGCTTATTTTACAAAATTTCCTCAAAAAATGGTCAGTCACCAAGCTGTGCCTAAAGCGGTGAAATGGTATCATTGGCCTAAGTTCTAGAACATTGGCCTTACTTCTCCAGGGTTGAGGGTTTAATCCAAGGCCAAGTCAAGATCTAGAAGCTCTTTTTCTATTTCACCGTTCTAGTTACGAAGCTCGGCTCGTGTGTCAAGTGAAGCTTTGAGGTCTTCAGCATATAAAGTGTCTCATTTGCTAGGTATATTAGGAAATACTAGCAATCTTTGCAATCTGCAGAGCTTCCAAGTGGTTTGGATTGCAATATAAACTGTGGGTCTAAAGGATATGGAAAATAGATTCTGTTCAAATTTGAATCGCAGTGCCTCCAGCTCAAAAAAGCTGGGCCTTCTTCATTCTATACATTTTTAAGCTACGCCTCTTGTTGTCAGATTATTTGATAAAATAAATGTCAAAATGTTCTAGGATAGATAAGGAAAACAGTAATATTTTCTATTTAAATATATTTTTTACAAATTTTAAGGAATGAGGCGGTTTACTTCCTTATTTAGTGATCATTAGTTTAGTTTGAAAAATTCAATTTATTCCTATAAATTGGGTTAGAGAAACTTATTCTTATTATGTGTTTTGTGAAAGTTTTCGTTACATTTTCTTGCATTACATTTGCTGGATCAAGCATTGAACCATTTGAGGCAACAGAAGAAGCTCTGTTATCAAAAATAATTGCAGACATTTGTGAAGAATTTTTCATCAAAGAATCAATAGAATTTAATGTAATTGTTTATGGTCGAAGGACACGTCATTTTGATGACATTTTGGATGAATTTTTGAGACTTAACAGTGAAAACTTTTTAAAAAATGTACAGCATGTTGAGAATGTGTTCAACTGGAACCACAAATTTGAGGATTCTGCTGTAATTTTGCTTCATGAGCTGGAAGATTTGAGATATTTAAATGCACATGCAAAATTCACAAATCAGTTGCCAAAAACTCTAAAGTTTCTGATTTATTGTCAAAATGATGGCAATTTATTGGAAGCTAGTAAACTTCAATTCTACATGTCAGATTCACCAGATATTTCTTCGTTTGAGTATTTTATCGTCAACGAGAATTCAACAATTGAGCTCAAAACTTTCGATTATTTTATGGACAATGCTTGCAACCAAAAAAGCATTAGAATCTTAAATTCGTTCAATAAAACTACGGAAAATTGGACCAAAAAACTCAAGAACTACAGAAACTTTGAGAATTTTAACGGTTGCATGCTGACATGCACTGACGAGTACAATGTCTACCTTCATCTCGACAGAAATAATTCAGATCTGATCAAATGTGTTAGATCAGATGAGCTTAATAATCCATGCTTTAATCTCTTTTTAAACATATTAAGCAATTCTAATATCGGATATCGTGGAATTACTTATGAAATTTTTGAAATTCTCGGAAAACTTGGAAACTTTACCACAAATTATCAGTTTTCTGACAACAATTACATAATTTCAAAATCTAAAACAATTATTTATCAAGCAATTACAATCTTCAAAGTTGGTCAATTTAAGGAATTGTCAGAAAACACGCACATGTCGTCAATATTTTTTGACATTCCAGTTGGAATTTTCATAAGTCCACCTGAGTTTTATACTAATTTTGAGAAGCTCTTGTTGCCATTTGATGCCATGACCTGGATTTTTCTTGGCATTATGTTCATAACAACCACAACTTTCTTAGCTGTAATGAGATTAATGCCAGTAACTTTGAGAAATATCTTCTATGGAGAAGGCATTCAAACACCTGGACTGAATGTGATTAAAATATTTTTCGGAATCGGTCAAACTAAGCTGCCAAATGAGTCAATTTTGAGGTTTATTTTAATTTTGTTTGTGATGTTCTGCTTGATTATGAGGACATGCTATCAAAGTAAAATGTTTGATTTCATCACTAGCGATATGAGGAAGCCACCACCGAAGACACTTGAGGAAGTTATTGAGCATGGATACACGATAGTGCTTTTAGACTATTCAGCTCTTTATCATACTTTATATAATGAAGTCAGAATGATAAGTCGAACGTGAGTAAAGCATTTACAGTATTGAAATTTTATTAATATTTTGCCATTTTCCAGTGCCAAAGTTCAATTCGTTTTCGAAAGTGAAAGACTCGAGCGTCTCTATTGCAGCAGCATTCACAATTCGTCAGACAAACTTGCCTTTTTCTTGCCCACAAAACTAGTCAATTCTTATAGTTCATCATGTCATGGCTCATTAGCACCGATCAAAAACTTTCACATGAATACTATTCCAGGTGCTTTTGCAATGACCAAGAATAGCATTTTATATCCATATTTTGAGGATGTAATGGAGAAGCTGATACCTTCTGGAATTCCACAATATTTGCCAGACTTTCATGCATTTTTGTTGTATGGAAATTATAAGAATTTAGATATGGAAACGTTGAAAGTTTTGACACTCGATGATTTAAGTTTTGGATTTATTTTGTGGCTTATTGCTTGTGCAATATCAATGATAGGGTTTTTGATCGAAATTGTGTTTGCAAGCATAAGTAAAGCTTTTAAGAGTGTTGTGGGATTGATTTTGCTGTTGCAGGCAATTAAAAGATTTTAAATGTTTTGTTTCAAGCAAAGCTCGAAGTCGACTCGGTTTTGAGTCGAGTCAACCCGAGTCGACCCTATCGACTTCGAGCTCTGGTTCCAAGTCATTCAGGAAATAACGACAGTTCATGTTTGTTTTACATGTCAAACATGTTGTTAAGTCGATTTAAGGATTAAGGAAGCTTTTTATTTTTATATGAACTATATTTCAATTCATATCCTGGTTTAGTAAGAAACAACCAAGCAGTAAGAAACGATTTTTTACAAATTTATATTCATAATTTGTTGCTTAATAGCAAAAGCTTTAAAGCCTCAATCTTCAAACCAAGATTGAATATCAAAAGTGATTGCAGAAATTTATGAAGAATTTTTCATCAAAAGTTCAATAAAATTTGATTTTATTATTTATGGTCAAAGAACACATTATATTGACGATATTTTAGGAGTAATTTTAGGTCTTGTTGGTGGAAATGCTTCAAAAACATTACGTCACATAGATGACATGTTCAATTGGGACCTTATACTTGAAGATTCTGCTGTAATCTTCCTTTATAATTTGTCTTACTTAAATTATCTAAATTTAAACTCAAAATTATCAAACGAATCACCAAAAATGCTCAAATTTGTAATTTATTGTCAAAAAAACAATGAAATTGGTGAAGTTTCTGGAATAAAGTTTTACGACTCGGATTCTCTTCAATTTCTATCATTGGAGTATTTTGTGGTCAATCAGAATTCAACAATTGAGCTGAAAACTATCGATTATTTTATGGACAATGCTTGCAACCAAAAGAGCATCAGAACCTTAAATTCATTTAACAAAACCACCAGAAAATGGAGCAAAAGACTCAAAATCTACAGAAACTTTGAGAATTTTAACGGTTGCATGCTGACATGTACAGATGAATACAATGTCTACCTTCATTTTGATAAATACAATTCAGACCTTGTCGAATGTTTAAGATTAAATGAATCAATTTATAATTGCTTTACTGTTTTTACAAAAATTGCAAATCATTTTGATGTCGGTGTCCGTGGAATTACTTACGAGGTTTTTGAGATTCTCGGAAAACTTGGAAACTTTATTAAAAATTATCAATTTATTGATGGAAATGTCTTTATTGGTAAAAATGGATATACGATTAATCAAAAAATTACAATCTTCAAACTTGGACTTTTTAAGGAACATTTGGAAAACTCGCACATGTCTTCAATATTCTTTGACATTCCAGTTGGAATTTATTGCAGTCCAACTGAGTTTTATACCAATTTTGAGAAGCTAATGCTTCCGTTTGATGCTACAACTTGGATTTTGCTAGTTGTAGTCTTTTCAACAGCTAGGACAACAATTTTTATCATGCGATTCACTCCTAAATATTTCCAAACATTCTTCTATGGATATGGAATACAAAATCCTGGATTGAATGTTACTCAAATATTTTTTGGAATCGGCCAAACTAAGCTCCCAAATGAGTCAATTTTGAGATTTATTCTCATATTTTTTGTGTTGTTCTGCTTAATCATGAGGACATGCTATCAAAGTAAGATGTTTGACTTCATCACTAGTGACATGAGGAAGCCACCGCCATCGACATTAGATAATAATAATATAAAAAAAAAATTCTTTAATTTAGCTCATTTTTTTAGAATCACATTGTAGTAAGACATTGTGTAAATCCTTGTCAATACTCTATACATATTTCGGTCTTTAGTGGGAATCAAACCTACGTCCTTCCAAAAGAGGGTTACAGATATTCAGTCTATTGGCTAAGTGCTCACGCATCGTAGGTCTAAATCAGAGTTGTGATACAGGCACCTGTGCACAGGTGAGAACCGACAATTTCTTGATACTTCTAATGAAAGCTCACAAATTATCAGGGATTTGTATGGTTCTCACCTGTGCACATGTACCTGTATCGCAACCTTGGTCTAAATCTCGCACTGGCAGATTCGCCAATATATGGCTCGATTCCTAAGATTCCAGTTTGATCCGACACCATAAGAACGTTAGCCTGAGACACCCAAACACCTACTTAAAGTTTACTATCTTAAATGTATTCAATCTTGCATGAGATATTGAGCTTATTTAAATGGAACCTCCTTTATACTTTCATATGATCTAGAGCCTTGATTACAATCCTTGTTCTTTACGACTGCCTTTTGTCAAAGAGTTTCAAAAATCAATACAAATATTTCTTTGTAGTTTGTTTAGAGCTCTGCAAGTGATAAGTCATTAAAATGATATTTTTAAAGATTTTTGGAGCATTTTGTGTTCTAAAACTTGCATATCCAGTTATTTATTTTCACCAAGCTCTAAATGATGATTTAATTTCAAAAGTAATTTCAGAAATTTGTGAAGAATTTTTTATCAAAAAACCAATAAAATTTGATTTTATTATTTATGGTGAAAAAACACGTCATCTTGATGACATTTTGGATAGAATTTTAGGAATTTTTGGTGGAACTTTAGTAAAATTGTAAATATTATTAAAAATACAGATGACTGGAATCACAAACTTGAAGATTCTGCTTTGATATTGATGAAAAATTCAAGATATTTATCATATTTTAATACAAATGCAGAACTAACAAATCCATCTGCAAAGCTACTCAAATTCTTGATTTATTGTGAAGAAAATTGTGAATTCTCCAAAATGATTAGCATTTTTTACTATAATTCTGACAAGCCACATGTCAGTTCCTTTGAATATTTCATTAATAATAAAAAATCAACAATTGAATTAAGAGCAATTGACCATTTTATGGAAAATTCCTGCAATTCAAGGAACATTAAAACCTTAAATGTATTCAATAAATCATCTCAAAAATGGCAGAAAGTCTTCAAAAATTACAGAAATTTTGAGAACTTTAACCAATGTCAATTGACTTGCACCGACCAATACAACATGTATCTTCACTTTGATAAACTTAATTCAGTCGTTTCTAAATGTTTCAAGGCACATACGGCCTGTTTCACTAAAGTGGATTATCCTCGATTTCGGATTATCCACTTCAGTTTTTTGGAAATGTCTTAAACTTTATGGGAGGTGTGGTATTTCTAATTTTGGATTAAAATAGAGTGAAGTATGCCTGAAATTTCAATATACTTTAAACTTTTACTTTTCGTTAAGAAGTATTAATTATTTAATTTTCTAGCCAAATCTAGTAGATTAACTTCGATTTTTGCTATAATTCTCAAACTAATGAAGATATAAAAATTCTAAGTATATGTTAATTTAAGAAGCAAAGTACTCTAATAAGATCACACATTAGATCTCTTAATAACCTTAAGCGTCTGTAGATATTTCCAAAAAACTGAAGTGGATAATCCGAAATCGAGGATAATCCACTTTAGTGAAACAGGTCGATAAAGATTTTAATCTGTGCTATGAACTCTTTGAAAATATTACAAGACGCCCTGATGTTGGCTTTCGTGGAATCACCTACGAAATTTTTGAGATTCTCGCAAAACGTAGCAATTTCACTACAAACTATCAATTTGAATTTGACAATGACATTGTCTCGAAAAGAACAAATATTGTGGATCAAGCTATTAAAATTTACAGAGCTGGTTTCAACAAAGATCATTTGGAACTTACGCACATGACCACAATATTCTTTGACATTTTAGTTGGGATTTATGTAAGTCCAACTGAGTTCTATTCAAATTATGAGAAGCTATTGCTGCCATTTGATGATACGACTTGGATTTTATTAGTTGCAATATTTTTAACAACTACAATTTTCATTTTTATCATGAGATTTTTGCCGAGACATTTAAGAGACTTTTTCTATGGAAATGCAATTCAAACTCCCGGACTGAATGTCACACAAATATTCTTCGGAATTGGACAGACGAAGCTACCGAATGAATCGATTTTGAGATTTATTCTAATATTTTTTGTGATATTCTGGCTGATTATAAGGACATGCTATCAAAGTAAGATGTTTGATTTCATCACTAGCGACATGAGAAAGCCAACTCCAAAGACACTTGATGAAGTTGTTGAACAGGGATATACAGTTGTGTTCCTTGACAATGCAGTGATTTATAAGGCTTTAAATAATGAGGTTTTGAGGAGTAGTACGAGGTAAAGTAGCAACAAAACATAGTCAGCTCAATTCAGTAAAACATTAACTTTAATTTTCAGCTTAAAGTCTATATTCTTACATCCTGGAGACTTCCTACAGTCCTACTGTCAAAGTCGCTTCAATTCATCAGCAAAATTAGCTTTTTTAATGGAAATCAGCATGATGAACTCAATAAGCTCAATATGTGAAGGTTCCTTAAGTCCTGTTAGAAATTTTCACATGAATGCCATTCCTGGTGCCTTTGCGATGAACAAAAACAGCATTTTGTATCCAATTTTTGATGATGTTATGAAAAAATTGATTCCATCGGGAATTCCGCAATATTTGCCTGACTTTCATTCATTTCTACTGCATGGGATATTTGTGAATTCGGATGGATATGAACCGAAAATTTTGAGCTTTGAGGATTTGAGTTTTGGATTTGTGTTATGGCTTATTGCTTGTATTGTTTCAACTATTGGATTTTTAGTTGAATTTTTTATTGGACATTCTTCAAAAATTGTATCAGAATTTATTGGTTTGGCATTCATGTTGCAAAAAGTTCAAAGCACAAATACCAATTTAAATTAGACTGATTTTGTAGTATGGACATTCGACAAGTGCATGGTAAAGCAAGTAATTATTAACAAAAATTAAAATAACGAGCGGGAAAAAGAATCAAGTTGCAGATCTTTTTATGACAGAGCCAAGTGATGCTATGTAACATTTGACACTATTATCTTAGTAGCTGGTAACAAGGAGCTAGGAAATAAGCTTCTAGGAAATTAGAAACTTCAATTTAGCAAGCTGGTAAGCTAATTACTTCTGGGTAATAAAGTAATAAGCTAGGGACAGTAAATTCGTATAAAGGAATTTCTAAAAAACAGAAATTTAATATCTGGGCAATTCTCCAGAATGGTGAAATTTTGAAATTCATTTCCGAAGAATCGAAATATCTCAACAAATAAGTTGACTCTAGCTTATTTAAATACAGTGTCTGGTAGAAAAAAGAAAAATAAATCAGTTAGATTGTAAACCTGACCAGCTTTAGTGGAAAATGTAAACAAAATATTCATTTCAAATCAAAATTTTCTGATTTACCCTATAGAGAATCGCCCATCTGAGTTATTAATGAGGTGGCCATGTGGAAGTTTTTTCATGTTAGCTAGGAATTTAAAAGATTTTTTAAGGGGCCGTTCACTTATTTCAATTTTATAGACTCCCAAGCCCATTGTAACAAAATTTGTACGAACTTTTTGAAAATCTTAGACTTTTTTCCCCTAAAAGCGTTACGTTATGATCGAACGGCCCCTGATCAAAAACCCTAGCAAAATTAATAATTTTCTGTTGTCAAACAAATCCCTCCTTCCCTCTGGCTACGTGCCTGACATGCTTGGTATGCATTGAATTATTTTATATCTAATATTTCGAATTTGTCATTCAACAAGCCACAAAAGTCCAAAATTAAAGATTATTATTTAAATGATATTTTTATTTATGTTCAACATATTGATTTGTTTTTGAAGGAATAGATTACAACTACAAATTTTATCTGGATTACTGTAAATGAACTCTAGTAAAGACAATTTGTTTATAAACTTCCGACAAAGAAAGACGCAATGAATTTAACTAAAATAATAATTTCATTTTATATTCTTAATTCAACATATCCAGAACAACCATTAGAATATACCTTCGATGGTCACTTTATATCGAACGCAATTGCAGAAATTTGTGAAGAATTTTTCATCAAAAATTCAATAAAATTTGATTTAATTATTTATGGTGAAAGAACACGTCATCTTGATGGAATTTTGAATGGAATTTTGGATCTTGTTGGTGGAAACTTCAGTAAAACTGTACGAAATATTGAAGATATAATGAGTTGGGATCATGAACTTGAAGACTCTGCTGTAATCTTGTTTTATAGATTTTCATACGTGACCAATTTTAACAAACGTGCAAAATTGTTGAATTTTTCACCAAAAGTACTCAAGTACATCATTCATTGTACAGATATGCAAAATCTTTTTAAGATTCCTGCTAAGATGTTCTATGATTCAGACTCAATTGACATTGGTTCATTAGAATATTTTGTGGTCAATGAAAATTCAACAATTGACCTCAAAATTTTGGACTATTTTACGGACAATTCGTGCAACCAAAAGACCATCAAAACATTAAATTCATTTAATAAAACTACTGAAAAGTGGAGCAAAAAACTCAAAAACCACAGAAGCTTTAAGAACTTTAACGGTTGTATGCTGACATGCTCTGATGAATTTAACGTCTACCTTCATTTTGATAAATATAATTCGGAGCTTGTAAATTGTTTTAACCCCAACGAACCAGATACAAATTGTTTTTATCTTTTTCAATCCATTTTGAAGCGCCCCAACGTCGGCTTACGTGGAATCACTTATGAGATTTTTGAAATTCTTGGAAAACTTGGAAACTTTACAACAAATTATCAATTCGTAGATAAAGAATACATTGTTACAAGGAATAACTTTATTGATGATCAAAAGATTACAATTTTTAAGGTTGGACTTTTTAAGGAACATTTGGAAAACTCGCACATGTCTACGATATTCTTTGACATTCCAGTTGGAATTTATTTCAGCCCAACTGAATTTTACACAAATTTTGAGAAACTTTTGCTTCCATTTGATGCTACAACTTGGATTCTGCTAGTTGTAGTCTTTTCAACAGCTGGAACAACAATTTTTATCATGCGATTCACTCCTAAATATTTCCAAACATTCTTCTATGGATATGGAATACAAAATCCTGGATTGAATGTTACTCAAATATTTTTTGGAATCGGCCAAACTAAGCTCCCAAATGAGTCAATTTTGAGGTTTATTCTCATATTTTTTGTGTTGTTCTGCTTAATCATGAGGACATGCTATCAAAGTAAAATGTTTGACTTTATCACCAGTGACATGAGGAAGCCACCGCCATCGACTTTAGAGGAAGTTATTGACCAAGGATATACGATTGTGCTTTTGGACTATTCAACTCTTTATCAAACTTTATATAATGAAATTAGAATGAGAAGTCGAAGGTAAGGAATGACTTGCAGATAAAGAACTTCCTTGATTTTGGATTAGGATCATATTTCTAATTTGGTCCATAAAAGAATGAACAAGGCCCTTCCTCAACCATTATTTTGTGAAGCTTTAGTGCTCCACTAAGAAAAACTGCTTTAAAGTCTAATTTTGAGTTTAGATCCTAGAATTTAACTTCAGGTCTAGCGTTGGACCTAGCTGAAGATCTTGATAATTGCACATAGCCTTAGGACTCTAGTCGAAAGGTTGTAGAATCTAGACCAGTTTTGTTTAAACTGTGTGCCGCGGAACAATGGTGTGCCGTAGAAAACTTTTATTTTGCTCAGATCAATAGGATTATAACTTAGCTGCTGAAGGTTTTTGAGCCACGGCACACTTTAGAGGTAAGCCATGACCATGGTCGCACAGAGAATGCGGCCAAAGCTGCATAATGACCAAAGCCGCATAATGACCAAAGCCGCATAATGACCAAAGCCGCATAATGACCAAAGCCGCATTCACTGTGCGACCATGGTCATGGCTTACCTCTAAAGTGTGCCGTGGCTCAAAAACCTTCAGCAGCTAAGTTATAATCCTATTGATCCTAGCAAAATAAATAACATAACAACTTTTTTTTCATCTATAGCGCAAAAGTTCAATTCGTATTCGAAAGTGGAGCGATCGAGAAGCTTTACTGCAGCAGTATTAACAACTCATCAGCCAAACTAGCGTTCTTTATGCCAAAGAAATTAAATGCTTTAATAAGCTCACTTTGTCAAGGTTCATTAACTCCTTTCAAAAACTTTCACATGAATGCCATTCCATGTGCTTATGGAATGGTCAGAAATAGCTTTTTATATTCAGTTTTTGAGGACGTTATGAGGAAATTGATACCATCAGGAATTCCACAATATTTGCCAGACTTTCATGCACATCTGCTGTATGGAAATTATGAAAGTTTTGATGTAAAAATGCCAAAAATTTTGAAAATGGATGATTTAAGTTTTGGATTTGTTTTGTGGATAACAGCTTGTGGATTGTCTATTGCTGGTTTTATGTTGGAAATTGTGATACCGAAGATTAAGACAGCTTTGATAGAAACTCTTAGAATTCTTATTTTATTGAATTTTATGAGGATGAAGACAATAATGTAGATTTAAAGGAGTCCTTGAAGTGAGTAACTTAACATATCGAGCATATCGAGAAAATTGGAAGCACTATTTTGGTTTTCTTAATAACAAGAGACTTTTATGAGAATATTATGATGGGGAGGTATTTTATGACTGACTAAGCTTAAAGTGGGAGATCCGAACGTTCAACAGCCACCAATAAGACTAGATAAATAATTGCAAAAGCTGGGTTGTGAGTCCGGATATCATAAGTCTCGATACAAAAATCATGCATCAGAAAATTATAAGTCCAGAAAATCAATATCACTAAAGGTTTATAAGTCCAGATAAAAATTGTACCTGGACTTAAAAACTTCTGTGCAGTTTATAATCCCAGCTGTATTTGTACCTGGATTTGTGAACTGCACGTGAGGTTTTTAAGTCTAGGTACAATTTGGATCTGGACTTATGAACCTTTAGTGACATTGATTTTCTGGACTTATAATCTCTGGAATTTTAATCTCTGGACTTATAATCCAATATCTAATCGCAACCACGACACTTTGAACCCTGTAAATCAGTTCCTCTTCCCGATTGTTCTGTAAAGGAACTAGCCTGTATCAATACAAGCATGTCATACCATCCAACCTATTTCTACATTCCCAATTTATCTAATAATAACTTCATTGAAAAATCCAGCACGTGTTATTTACAGACATCGCGAACAAAAAAATCAGCAAAATATGTAAAATCAATAAGCTCAAAAACTTTGTTTTTTTTTGGGTTAAGTCGCGAAAGTCAGAAGCTACAAAATCGAAAACTTTTTGTAACAATGAATCACGAATGTGTAATGAGCTTGTTAGGAAGGAAAACAACCTTCGAAATATTTATGATTTTTTTTTCTACTATTTCAGTTTGTTTCTAGACTTTATGGTAATTTCTCGAACATTTGTTGAGCAATTGATGAGCTTTATTGTGTATTTTGAGAATATTTTGTCGATATTATTTTCATGAGACAATTTTGATACAGGCAAGTGAATGAAATTTACGAGTATAATGCTTCTTATTTAGTTAATGGAAGTTGTGCCATGAGGAAGCAATAATGTTTGTTTATGAAGGTTGTAATTTGAGATTTTGAGGAAGAATAAAAGTTTTTTTTGCACTTTATTTGGGTTTCTTTCGATTAATTCGACTAGATAAGTTGGAATAATTCTGGTTTTTAAGTCGTTTAAAGTATTAATCATGTATTGAAGCTTACAACTTAAACAATAATCCATTAAGGTGTCACTAAGACATAAGATTATGGTCAAAGTAAGGATGTCCATCAGAATATTTTTCAGCTAAATTGGTTTTACCTTTTTTTGATTGAAGAATTCTTTAATTTTGATTTTTCTCGCTTTCTGATCAAATAGCGATAAAAATCTTATTAAAAATAATTTACTAAAACCTTTTTTATTTCAGAATTTTCTTTAAATCAATTTAATGATTTTTTTCAGCTTTAAAATTTACGTTCTTGATTTTAAAAAAATGCAAAAAAAAATTTCACTTACCTTGAATGTTTAAATTTTTCACAAAAATCCTTCACTTTTAAATTAGCACAAATAACTCCTTGGCTACCGTAGAACTTCAACTTGATTTTTATTCCATACACCAGATCACCAAAGCTATCTCAACAGCACTTAAAATTCTAATTTTTCTAGTAACAAGCTCAACAAATTATTTCCTGTGACTCAACTTTACAAGAGTTCAATGGAAAATGAAATTCCAGAAAATGCAAAATTATTGATAGACCCTGAAATAAAATAAAAAATATGAAAAACTTGTTTATTTGGTTTCCATAGAAATTTTCTGATTTTATTGACTCAAAATTTTGCTGCTTCCTCATAAAAAATGGGAGAAAATTAGTTGTTTTTGCGCGATTATAAAATTCAACCTTGACTAAGTTTTACGGTTCCCTCATCAAGCTAGCTCTACCTGATTTGTTGCTGATATGCTTTTTTGTCTTCCATCACAATTTTTTTTTTGTTAGCACTTATTATTAAAAATCGATTAAATGAATAGAATTTTCATATTTTTCAAGGTACTCATAGACAGATGATTTGTGTTTAGTGAAGCTCAGTTGATGCTTTATTATGAATTTTTGATTGATATTTTTATTTTAAAATATTATTGCTTTGTTTTGATGAAAAGCTATTCTAGTCATAATTCTTTTAAGATTTTGAACGTGCTTATTTCATAGCTTTGGATTTTACTTTTTAAATTCAGTGATGATAAATCGTAGGAAGGACTCAGCCTTCTTTCTTCTGCATGGGAGGCACTGCGATTTAATTTATACAGGATGTTTTACACCACATCGCTTAAACTAACATTCTGAAATCTGAACCCATTGCAAGCACAGCATTTCGAAAAACACATCACTTGGATAATACAGCTATGATTAATTTAGTTTTTGAGCAAAATACATGTTTATGGAGCATCTTTGCAAAGCAAAAATCATGTCAAATCATTAATCATTTCTCAGTTTAAAATTTGATTTAAAACCGACAACTATTACTATTATTGAAGAGACACAAGTATGCGCACAAGATGTTGTATTAAAATCATCCAGATGCTAATACATTCAAGTGCGCCTAGCAAAGGAGAAATGTTTCATATGTATCAAGTACCTCAAAACTACATCAATAAACGAGTCTTAATTCTTAGCCAGTGCGAAATTTCCTGGAACGGGACCAAAAATAACAACTTGAATATCTTCTTTGCCAATGAAAGATTTTCAAGTTTTTTGTGTTTAAATGATGAGATTCCTAAAAGTAAAGAATTTCAAAATAAATTTTGTCTCAAAAAGTTTGTATTCTTCAAAAAAAGAGCGTTTAAAATTTTTTGATTTCGATCCCGGAAAATCGAAAAAGCCTAGTCGAAATGATAAAAAAAGCGTCTTGAATTCTTTAGACTTTCTCAAGATTTTCGATTTTCTGTTTAGTTTTAGAGCCCTACTTCAAGTTCCTGATCCGTTATTTTTTCCAACATTTCCCAAATGCCCAATTATGGCTTGATCTCGTTCATTAAGCAGTCAAAGTATCTAAACTTCCAAAAAAGAACAAATTTGAAAATGATTGGATTTGAACAGACGACCTTCGAGTTACGATCCAAAATTTGTGAAACTTAACTGCATAAATTCGTCATCTCTCAGTTAATAAAATACACTATTTTGCTTTAATCAACAGATTCTCAGAGATTTAGCGTAGATGTTGCCTGGGAAATAAAAATCAAAAAACAAGTAAAAAATCATTCAATGTGCGACTCATCTAAAGTTCAAGCAGGATACAAAGTGAAAGCTTCAAACCCAATGTTTTTTATAGCTAACAAGGCATTAAAATTTAAGTATAATACATATTACTCGTAACACAGAAAATAATCATTTAAGTTTCATCTTTCGTTGAGATAAGTTTAAATCTTTTTAAAATAATTATTATTTTAATAATATAAAGAAATATTAAGTAAAATGAGTGATAACTTAAATGACCATATGCGTGAGTAATTTAATATCTAAATCGTAGCTTCATTTGTTTTATTTTTATCACATTGATCTCTTCTGGTTGACTTGATCTCTTTCGTCTATTTTTTTTACAAAAAAAAAAAGAAATTCAAGAACATTTTCTTTATATTAAATGTTATGTATTACTTTATAGTCCAATTTTCAATTATTCAGTCCAGCTTTCAATATTTTAAGTCGACATTAATGAATAGACCTTGCAAACATTGAAATAATCAAATTCAGTTAACCTTTGTGTATAGCAAATTTGAATTTTTTTATATTACTTGATCACATAAGCTTTAAAAATGTGTTTCTATCGCTCATCAAATACTGATTGCTGCAACAAAAATGTACTTAATCCAGATTTAAATTATTTTAGATGAATTTAAATTTAACGAGATTCACATTGAATCCACTGAAGAAACCAAAGAGGCACAATCAAGTGCAACAGCAGATGAATCTTTTGAAAATGATTTTACAAGTTTATCAAAGAGCTTCACGTCATTAGACGATGCTCTTAATTACATCAATTCGTCCACACTAAGATGCGATCTGGGTGCAATCAAAAATGTTTTGATGATTCGATTGCGAATTGAGCAAAATTTCAGCAGTTTTAATTCAAATGAACTTCAAGGATTCTTAAATATGTTCATGAAAAAATCAATTGTTCTTTTGATTTCATCAAACAGTTGCGAATCTTTCATTTTGTTTTGGAAATCAGACAAAATTGATTATTTTCTGGTTTTTAAGCCACCACAAAAAAGAACTCCTTTTGAGATTAAAGAACTCTATGGATTCATTGCATTCTGCTTAGTTGACTTCTTATGCAATGATCATTTAGGCGAGTAATCTTAGGAACGCAGTCTGTTAAGTCTTGTTAAAGAATTTAATATTTTTCAGGTTTGAATAAAAATTGCAAATCTGCAAAAGATTCAAATGAGATTGACTTGGGGAATATAGAAGGTAAAGAAGGCTTCAACATTCTAAAATTATGTGCAGAAGATGGTGACATCAAGTGTATGGAGATTCTTTTATGTCTCAATTTATTTAAGGATGATTTCGATGACTTTTTTAATGCTCAGTCTAGAGCACAGTTCTTTAAGCATTACAATATACTTTTACTTCTCCTTAAGAACAATTTTACCTACCCAAAATGCCTTTTCAAAGACCAATTTCCAGATTATCTCAAACAGTTTATTTTAGACTGTGAAAACATCCATGAAGCAGTCAAAAATAAAAATTCTGAATTAGTGAAAGAAATTATTGACGAAAATCCAAAACTTAATCATTTTTACAACACAAAAAATGAATCTGTGCTCAAAATCGCTCTTACTTTAAAACAGTTCAACATTTATGAGATTTTCCTGGCTCGTGGCATTATTCTTGGAGCACACGAAGAATTTGAGAGAATATTAGAAGAGTTTACTGAAAAAGAACTGACAGTTCTTAGAGAAATCCACTTCAGATGCTCGAAAGACCTGCCTGAAAAACACATGGATATGCTCATGACAAATACATCAATCAGTCACGATGATTTAGAAAATGAAGGCAAAGAAAAGCTGGTCCGTAGAGCTTATAATGTGCTTAATAAAGATCCACAAATAAATCCAATCTTAAAAGCTGTTGCTGCATCAAAAAGATTTACCATTGTATTTGACTTTAAGCGATTATCCGTTAATACAGTTGATCCAACAGCATCTGAGGATATGAGGGGAGTATTCTACCTTGATAGGAAAATCTGCATTGGCGCTCAACAACTCCTTAATCCATCTACTGAGCATGAAACATTTGGAACTTTAGCTCACGAACTTTGCCATTATGCGATGTACTTGACATTCAAGAATCGTGCAAAGCCATACTCAAAGCACGATCATGAAAAAAAGGAACAATACAAAAGGATTGTACAAGACTGTATGGATCATCGAGAAGAAGAAGAAATTATTAATTATGTTTACAATTACAATCAAAACATGCATTCAGCAGAGTTGATAGTTCGGGTTGGACACCTCCTGGCCATGTATCATAATCAGCCAGAGAAGCTTCAAGAACTACAAAAAACATATGCATTATTATTCAACTACCATTCACATGTAGTTATACCAGCAGTAAACAAGGCAATACCTGACATTAAAGACAAGGCAGACAAGGAAATGATGAAAAAAGATAAGAAAATCTCAAATTTATCAATTTTATTGTTCGTGTCAATTGGTTTAGGGATCATTGTTGCATGCCTAGCTAGTTATTATTTCTATAAGCCTTTTTATAAATTCAATGAACTCTCTGACAGTCAAAAAGAAAAAGTTCGAAATGGTCAGATTAGGTATAAAAATGAAAGTTTAAAATTAAGTGATATATTTCCAAAAGATTCATCGATTTTTCTAAAAATCACTTCAATTCACATTTCACAAATATTGAATGAAAAGATTTTGAATTTTGATGATGATCAATTGCACTATTTAGACATACAAATTATTTTTAAATGGGAAAATCTAACTGAAAAATTAACAAAAAAGTTCCTTAACTCAAATTTGATTTTTCAAGGTGAACATGTGAAGTTTCAAGATCTATTTGAGTCTTATCCTGATGCTTTTAATGCTCTTAAGTCACAACAGATCATAAGTGTACTTAGCGGAAATGAATTAGAAATTAGCAAGAAATTTGTGAATGAAAATAAATTTTATGTTGAGCGCAAATTCATTCCTGAAGATGCAATTTTTATTGTTTATGAGTACGAATTTGGACAAGATTATGTTTATGATTATGACACTTATAAAGAGCATGTTGAGAAAAGAACACAAAACAAAACTCTTCAAGAATTTACTGATGAACTTTTTAGCAAAAATCCACATGAAATTTTACAATTCTTTGATCAAGCCAGAAAAAATGATTATGCCAAAAGCCTTCATAAGACTCTTGATCAGGAACTATTAAAATTTATGCACAAAAATTCCTCAGAAATGATTCAACAAGCAGAAAATGAGAAAATTCTAATTTTGTCATCAGAAGCAGGCGCAGGAAAGACTGTGACTTTTGAGAAGCTCACAATGGAAATAAAGTAGGGGTTCCAGAATTCCCGTTCCCGTAAGATTTCGGGAATCGGGAACGGGAACGGGAATGATGTCCGGGAACGGGAATATTCCCGGGAATCATCAAAGAAAAAAAAATTAAAAGCTACACTTACATCATGTATTTTATTTAAGTTTTTAAATCAAATTTGAATTCTATTTGATTTGATTGTCAAATTGATTCTTTTGACAATAATTTCCGTTTAAAATTCAATTCTTTTTGGTTTTAGAACAATTCTTAAATACGATTTTAAAAACCTGATTGCATTAACGTGGTGGTCTAGCAATCTATAACTGTAAAATTCTTCCAAACCCAAGACATCCTAATTTATTGACTTCTGATAATCTACGAATATGTACATGATTAAATTACAACTTATGTACTGATTTTTTGATTACTTACATATTCAATATTAATTTCAAGCACATTTTTTATTTTGGAAAAATTACTTTAATCCAATTTCAATTAAGTTTATTATTTTGTGGACATCATACATTTAGAAAAATATTTTTAAATACTTTCATATTCACACAAAATTTTCAATTTTTTCTCTTTGTTTTTCATAAATATATGTTTTTGATTTAAAAAACATCAAATTTGAGTTTAATATTTCAACTCTTAAATTCCTTAACGTATGTTTTCATTATTATTATAATTTTTTTCTTTAAATTGTAGTTTTTTCATGAAAGATACAACATAAAAAAAAATCTAATTTGAATTGTCGGTTTTTTGGTATGAAAACGGGAATTTCGGGAATATTCCCGACAGATTTTCGGGAAACGGGAACGGGAACGGGATTCCCGTTCCCGGGAATTCCCGGGAATATTCCCGATTTCAGAACCCCTAAAATAAAGTCAAAGTTTCCAACTAGATGGGTTTCATACCTTGACCTCCCTAAATACACACAACATTATAAATCAAATGAAATTGACAAAAATTTCTTAAAGGAAATTTTAAATTTTAGTCAAGAAAAAATTAATTTTGAGGTTAGAATTTTTGAAGAATGCTTCAAGTCTGGAAATTTGGTTCTTATTTGGAATGCATTTGATGAAATTGCACCAAAACACAATGAATTTGTCCTTAATGTCCTAAAATCCATCTATAAGACTTCTTTAAATATTCAACTAGTTTGCACAAGACCTTTATATTCAGATCAGTTGAGGAAAGCATTTAAAGTTAGGATTTGGGAGCTAGTTCCATTTAATGAAAAAGAAAAAAGTAAATTTTTTAGAGAATTTTTCATTTTTAAAAATGTTTTAAGTGAAAATGTTGAAGGCATTATTGAGAAAATTGGAAAAATTGTAGCAAAATTAAACTTTAATCAAAATTCCTTTGTATACAATTTTGAAACTCCTTTAATGTTGCGACTAATAGCTGAAATCTATGAAGATGAAAAATTATTTGAATCTGCAAATATCTACGGAATTTTTAAAGCATTCGTGGAAAACAAAATTGAAATTTGGTTAGAAAAAATTAGAGGATCATTTAGCGTAGCCAAAAAGTTGCTTTTTAATGGTGATTTAAAAATAATTTTACAAAAATTTGCATTGAAAAATGAGTATACATTATATTCGACTACAACATTAGGATTAAAAATGAGAAAATTGCAAATAATGCAGATAGAAAATCCAAAAGATATTCCAATTGAGGAAATCTCGCGAATGGGAATTTTATTTATTAACGGAAAAAATAATTTTGAATTTTCTCACAAAACTTTTTCGGAATTTCTCGTTGCTCAATTTTTCATTGAAAACATTTTTGAATTTGACAGATTTATGGACAATGATGAAGCTGAATTAAGACTCGAAATGTTTTTCTACTTAACACATCAGTATGGAGACGCTCAGCAAATAATTACGGACTTCATGACCTCATACCTTAAAATGAAACAACAAAAAACTAAAAATTTCTATTCAAAAATTTCAAAACTGTTAAGAACAAAATTTAAGAATTTTTTCGTTCGAATGCTTGACACAAACTTCCCAAAAGTTTTTGAATTTCTATTCGAATTTTTTAAGCCTGATCATGACTTGCTTGTTGACTTGCTTCATGTCGATGAAAATGAAACTTTTTACACAGCTATATTTAATCCAAATCACTTTGCACTGTTCACAGATCCTAAAGATATCAAAATTTTGGCTCAAAATTGCTTGAATGAAACGGAATCCCAAAAATTTTTGGCTGGAAAAAATCAAAAAGGAAAAATTTTATTTGGAATTCATTTTTATGGCTTGCTGAATATCACAAAAGTACATGATGCTTACAGTCCAGAACTTGCGGCACTAAATTGCACTTCATTTTGGGATTTTTTTACAAAAATCAAAGAAATTTTGACAATTGAAGAACAGAAAGAACTTTTCATAGCTGCATTAAGTCCAAAAATTTATATATTTTTTGACAGTATATTTAGCACTGCTGACTTTTCCGAATATGAAAAGCTTTGGACAAATTTTGAAAATTTACTGTCTCAAAAAGAAATGCAAGTTGCACTTGGAGATGCTCTTGTGCTTTATTTTGAAATTTTCCCAAATAAAAATGCAGGCCACGAAAAATTCATAAAATTATTTCTTAAAAAAGCTGAAAAGTTTTTGTCCAATTCACAAATTTCTGATATGATTTTGGAAAAAAATATTTTACATGAAGCTCATTGGGATCCAGCAAGTTTTAAAAGTTTATGGAGTTTCCTCAATAATCACACTAGTGAGGAACAACGAAAAGACATTTTACTGCAGGATGATTTGGATGATAAAAATTTCTTTTTTTATTCTTCTTATAATGAATTTAAGGAAAGCTTTTCTAACAAAATTTATCCATACTTTTATTTTGACTTTACACCATTTAAAATTTATCACCGTGTTTTAGCAACTCCAGATGCACCAATTTTTGATTTCACAGAAGAAATTTATCAAAATCATTTTAACACAACAGAAATTCAAAAAATATTTTTTAACACAAATGACTTCCTTTATTATGTAATTGGTAGGGCAGAAAAAGAACTATTCCAGAAATTTGCGGTATTTTTGCAAAACCTTTTTAAAGGAAATGAAAGAATGTTGAAAGAATTTTTGGGAAGAAAAATTGAACCAACAAGATTGTCAGTTTTTGAACTGGTTGAAGATTATCGAGGTCTTTCAAACCTTAGGCCTGAATATTTTATAAATCTTAAAATAATATCTGATTTATATGATCAAATTTAATGTTTTAATTGAATGTTAAAATCAACGAGCTTAGAGCTCAGAGAATCGACTTTGAGCTTTGGTGATAATCAATGAAAAAAAAATGTAAAAATTGATTCATAATTATTGTTTATTTTATAATATTTAATATAATTTTGATTATTTGAAATGTATATCGAACTTAATGTTGTCATTAATCATCACTTTTTCGAATCATCAGAAACAAAACTTGTTCTAAAATGCGCAGTTGAAGCTATAAATGACTATTTTCTATCGAATTTCCATCGTCAAAAGCTACATTTTGCAACATTTTTATGAGATCTTCATTTTCCTGCAGTATACTGCGAATTTCCTTTTGGAACTCTAGCATGTTCTGTGAATTATTTAAAAATTAATTAGCATTGAAAAAATAAAATAATTAATTCTATTTTCACTACCTTAACATCGCTAGAAATTTCAATTCTTTTCTTCAACATTGATATTGACGGCTCTTTGAAGCCACAAGAAATATTTTTCTTCATTTCTGTATTATCCCGCTTCATCTCTTCCTTCATCCTTATCAACCTATCACGAAGTTCAAATAAAGTTTCTTCATAACTTGACAAATCTTTCTCCAAAATTTGAGCCTGCAAATAAATTGTTTGTGCCATTTTATACCAATCAGCTAGGCACTCTGCTTCCATTATGATTGCTGGTTTGACAATGTCATTTAGTAGAGCTTTGATTCGTTTGCCAGTCTCTGCTATTTTGATCTGGAAAGTTTAAAAATTCATATTAAATATTTTGTGCTGTTCATAAATCACGTTCATCATAAAATGAGATTTGTAAGACCCTCTGCCCTATTAGTAACCGTCACGCTAGCTTTATGCCTTTAAACTTATGCTGACTCGCTAGGTTTATACCTTCAAACTCTTGCTGAGTCCAAGCTTTATACCTTCAAAATTATGCTGAGCGAAGCTCAGCTGACTCGCTAGCTTTATGCCTTAAAACTTATGCTGAGCGAAGATTAGCTGACTTATCAAGCTTAATACCTTCAAACTTATGCCGAGCAAATTTTGGTCTATCCATAAAACTTTTGATTGGGTTTCTACCCGATACACTAATTTTTTGATAGATTTTGATTTCCAATACTGCCTTATAGCTACATCCATAAATATTCTCTTAATTAAAATTAAATTTTTACAAACCTTTTCTAATGCATGAAACTGCTCATCATTGTAAGTTAATGATCGAGTTGCTCTATCTCTTAATAAATGTTGCCAAGAGTCCCTCAATCGTTCAACTAAATGTTTTGATTTTTCATTTGAATAATGCTTCGATGGACTCTTAATATCACGAGAACTCGTCTTCCATTCTCGAGTGAGGATGTCTTCAACACAAAATCGATTATTCAACTGTTGAATTGGCTCCAAAATGCGAGAAAAGTCTTCTTTTAAACTCTTTACTTCCATACATATTTGCTTAACTTCATCATGACATATGTCAGCAGATACTAATGTCTCTAAAGTGTCAGCCAATTCATAGATTGTTGATCTTATGTCTTCAAAATATCGAGATTTTTGTAAAAGTTTATTTAATGTAGTTTTTAATAATCCAATTAATTTTTCAATTCCACTATTAATTAGTGTATCCATTTTTGTATAGTTTATAATACGTCTTTTACATTCATGTCCAACTGAGCAGGCCAACTTAGCCATACTTGCATCATTTTCAACACTAACGCCAACTGGAAATGATGGAAATTTTGGTAATTCTTGATCATTTTGAAGGCAAACATTGTTATTTTCAATACTAAACAGCATAATTGGATTAAAAATTGCAGTTTCTGGATAGCCTTTAATTGATGTATTTGGTGCTACTAGATCCTCTAAGTGCTCTTCTCCATATAACAATAATTGACTATCAGGATTAACTTCGGTTTGTAGACTAATGTGTTCCTTAAAATGAAATAGTGTATTTGCATCATCACTTTCCATAAAAATTTCTATTGATGATGCTCGATTAATGTAAAATATATGAACAGTTTTCTTATTTAATATATTTAAGACTTCATTGAAGAACCGATCAAAACTCCACATTCTTTTTTGATTCTCTTCTAGCAATCCAGCTAAAAGAGGCGTAACTAATTGCTTTAAACCAGTCGACAATTGACAATGATCAGGTAAATTACGAGCCCATTCTATTGGTCCATTTTCTGTCAGTTGAATGCCAGCTATCACACCTGGAAGTTTTTTTGTGGTGATATGATGCATAACTTCCTTATTCTTGCGTCCTAGAGTAGACATGAAATATAACATAATATTAGATTATGTACTCATATTCACTGCAAGTCGACTAGACCTTTAAAATACAACACATCATCCCTACATCTTTAACTTACCTCCAAATGGTCTAAACGGTAGATTCCCAGTAGCCACATGATAAAGTGTGACACCAATTGACCACAAGTCAACATTAGCTGTGAATGATCTATTTACACTTTTCCTTAACACAGCACGCTCATACATATCTGGATGTAAGTACTCTTCAGTTCCATAAAGTGACATAAACTGTTGATTCTCTTCAAGTTCTCTTGCAGCTCCGAAATCTAAAGTTGAGGGATCAAAATATTAATATGTATCGACTGATTTGGTGGAGGAGGCAAGTAATAAGATTGTCAAGCATTATTTGGGACTTGTTGCTACTGCAGAGTAGGCAGAACATTACTTATAAGGTAATTTAGTGAAATCTTGACTATGCTTTTTTGGAATTTTGGCTAGACTCATTTATGAGATCAAGTTTGAGACCAAGACAAAGACTAAGTTCAAGGCCGAGACATTAATTAAAACCGAGGCTACTTTGGAATTGATTGGTATTGTTCGAGAAATATTTTTTGGGATTATTTTCAGTCTTAGTCTTGACTCGCATTGAAAACATTTAACTAGGACATCCTGAGTCTTGTTTACTCTGCAGTCAACTAAGATTTTTTTTAAAAGATATCCAAAAACCATACCTGTAAGCTTATAAATTGTTAAACCTTCTTCTGATAAAAATTTCATAATATTTCCAGGCTTCAAGTCTCTATGAACTAAATTATTGTCACGAAGATGCTTCATTCCAGCAGTTAAATGCTCTAACACAAGAAAAAATTCATGTTGTGGAAGGCCATAAGTATTTTCAGGGTCATCTAAAATATTGAACAAACTTCCTCCCGTACACAATTCCATCACAATTACTTTTCCACGACCCTCTTGATCATCCTCGATTGCAAGAAGCTTTACAATATTGTCATGTTTCACCTTTCTTAGAACTTCAAATTCTCTCATTTGTACCTCATAAGGTCTCATGTGTGAAAGTTGATTGAATGTTTTTACAGCGACTGGCTCTCCATTGTGCTTGTTGACTCCTTGGAAAACGGCTCCTGTTGCTCCTTTCCTAAAATTAAAATTAGGGAATTAAATTAAAAGTTTGGGAATTTTTTCATGTCTTTGTTGAAACTCAGCAGTAGCTAGGTAATTTTTGAATTATGAAAGTATGTTTCCTGAATCGGTTGGAGAGCAATCTGAGTAGATCGCTACATCCCATCATAATTGTAAAAACATCTACACGATTCACAACTTTAACGAATTTTGTCAATTATAACTTATGGATTAAAGTATGGATATAACAAGTTGACAAAAAGATCCAGAAGGTTTTTCACATTTAAGCTCAACAGCTTCACCAAAATTAACATAGTTCGTTAAAATATATTCATCAATTTAGTTCAATTATTACTAAGTCAATTTAGTAATTAAAAATCACAAATGAATAATTTATTTTGGAAAGTTATATTCCATATTATAATGAAATTCAACTCAAAATTATGTTTTTACCCTAAAACTGATGTTGTGCACCAAACATAGTTAAGGCTTCCTCTTAGGAACGACATGCTGGTAGCGATTTCCAAAAGATATCCTTAATAATTATGAATTAAATGCTTAAAATTGATTTTTTTCAATAAATTGTTTTTTTTTTGTTTTTATTTATTTTGGGAGATATACAAGTTTTCTTCTGAACAATATTCACACGACGGAAAAGTTACAACTATTTTTTTTGTAAGTTTGAAATTTAATTTGTCAAAATAAACAGTTTTGCAAATCAATCAAAATAAAGTTTTGTTCAAACTTTTGAGTGCAATAAATTAAATTCATTTACTAAAGTTCAGTAATATTATTAAAATTCAATTTATGTAATTTTACACTTACTTTTTGTAACAGTTTTGAATTTTTTAAAAACTTGTTGCCAGTTTTTCGGATCTAGTTGATATAAACGCTTTGTTCGACTAAGATCGGTAAACCAAATCAAAATTTAAAATTTATTGAATTTTTTTTGCTTTATTTAATCTTTGTTATTAAATTGAAATTATCGCAACTTAAACTAGATTCGTAAAAACTTTTGCCAGATTCTTGTCAATGATTTCAATACTAAAATCCAATAAGATCTAGGATCTTGATTCAATGTAACGTTGGATCTCAATATAAAGATTAAAACGAAATTTAATTTAAAATTATTTTTTGGAATATAAATTCATTACTAGTGAATTAAAATTCTGATTAAAATCCTAGAATCAAAATTGCATTGAAAAAATTCTAGAATTTTAATTAGAATTTAAATAAAATTTGATTCCCATTCTATTTCGATTCTAGAATCAGAATTTAAATTGAACGAATCAATTCTGGAATTGTAATTGAAATTCTTTCTTGAAATTTTACCAATAACTTGATGTTTCGACAGGAACTGAACAAAAACTTAAGGTTATTACTGCATTTCCAGGTTAAATATGAGCATATGGTCCAATATGGACCTGAAGGAACTAGCGGAACTGCTTAGTTCCGCGGAAAAGTTCCCCTTTTCCTTCAGGAAAAGTCATGTAATTTCGATTCTAGAATTTTAATCAGAATTTTAATTCAATTTTCATGAGTTACGCACAGTTATGGCTTGAGAAATCTAGGCATCCAAAATGAAAAAAGTTGTTTCTGAGATGTATGTGCTGAAAAACAATAATTTCTGTCTATTAACTGTTAATGAACTTACTCTAGGAACAAATAAAAAAAAAAAGCTATAAATATGATATAAAAGATACCCAGTAATAACGCCGACACGGAATAACTCCACAACATCAAACCGGAATAATATCGAAAATATTTTTTGCTCAGGTCGGTAATAACTTCACCTGTATAATGTAGGTGAAGTTATTCCGGCGTCGCGACGGAATAATTTCACCTACTTAATATAAGTGAAGTTATTACCGCTTCATACCGGAATAACTTCACCTACATAATATAGGTGAAGTTATTCCGTCGCGGCGGCGGAATGATGCCGAAAAATATTGTATGTCGACTTTATTCCGTCACTGTGCAGGAATAACTTCACCTATATTTATATAGATGTGGCAGTGAATTCGTAATACAATTTGAAATTTACAAATGGGCAATCTCGTTTTTGAAATAATTTTTCTCAATTTTCAGCAATTTAAACGTTCCAGAGACTTAATATACTTATGTAAAACGATAAAATTTGGATGCTATTGCTTGCTTTCTGAACAAAAGCAAAGCAAAAGGGCAATGGGCAATTCTTTGGATGACTTTTTAAAAAATTTCAGCAAAAAATCGAAATTTCATTCAACAAACTTTTTGTTTCATCACATGCATATCAAATGATAGATAAGGGTGTGTTGCATAGGATAGACAGAATAATTCTGCAGAATTCTGCTCAACAGTTTCGCAACAATTCTGCAGAATTATTCTGATAAATTCTGCAGAATAATTCTGAGAACAACATAATAATTCTGAAGATTAATTCTGAAGAACTTATTTTTATTTTGCAGAATTATTCTGTTGAATTTTTTTTTTCAGAATTTCACAAAACAAATCAGAAGCATTTTTTCCAAATTCTGCATAATTAAAAGTTCTGATGAATAACTTTATGAGAATGTGATTAAAGACTTTGTTTTTCCACAATTACAAATTAATATGGAAATTAAAATAGGAGTACAACATTTTTCAGTGTTTCACTAAGTTTGAAACAGAATTGATAAGGAATTGTTTTTGACTTTGCCAATATTTTCCTTTCGCTCCTCTGGTTTAAAGCCTTGAATAGTTCCAAAAAATTATTCATTATTAAAACTTCAATTGAAGATTATATACAAAAGCGTAGAAAATTTGATGAAATTTTTGAATATTCAATTTTCGAGATCGAATTCGACACGATTATTTTTAAAAGTAAAGTTACTAGATTTTTATTGCTCAATTGGCAAGGTACAGGTCACAAAATTTCGAGTCGAATTTGCACTCTCGGATTCAAATCCCATCACCAGCCTAGTGATTTTCAGAAGTTTAGATACTTCGGCTTCTTAGGTGCAGCAGTTTAAGACGTAAAACTAAGAATTAGGCAATGTGAGATGTGGAAATGAGTCAAGAATTATGTAGACAGAATGAGGAAGATACGAGAGCTGTAAAGATCTATAACAGTTTTTAATTGGGTACTAGACACACAACTGCTTAGTGAAGATTATGCGCTAAACACTGAGCTAGCGTACATAATAAAGATTTAAGAATTATTAATGTTATATCTTTGAGATATGTTTATTAACTGGATTTCATATCATGTTTACTATGATTTTCTTATTATACAACAATTAATGTTAAAAATAAAAGTGTAGCGCTTAAAGGTTGCACACTGTTGCACAATTTAACATGAATAAATTGAAATTGAATTGAATTGTGTTCAGAACTCTGAAAAATGTTGTACTCCTATTTTAATTTCCATATTAATTTGTAATTGTGTTTTTAATCACATTCTTATAAAGTTGTTTATCAGAAATTTTAATTATGGAGAATTTGGAAAAAAATGTTTCTGATTTGTTTTGTGAAATTCTGAAAAAAATTTAGCAGAAAAATTCTGCAGAATAAAAATAAGTTCTTCAGAATTATTCTGGTTTTGTTACATCCATGTCACGCAACATTGAATTGTTGCGCAACTGTTGAGCAGAATTCTGCAGAATTATTCTGTCTATCCTATGCAACAGATTCCTTCTGATGAAAATTTATGTCTCCTTACTTTAATTAACAACAATTTCTTATATTGAAACGTTGTTTGTAAAAATATAGAAGTAAATGAATATGTCTTTCTGATTTTCATAAAGTTTTAGCTTAGTTAAATTGCATTTTTGAAACACTTCATTTTTAAAGTTTCCGTTGAATGATAATCACCAAAATTTACATCACCAAAATTTTAACTACTTTAATGCTCCCTTTTTTCGCAAAAAAAAACAAACATGGTATGCAGCACATTAAGATTATTTCGTGTCATTCTTGATGTTCAATGGCTTAAGTTTATTGTTTGAACACAATTGACAACAAATTTGACTTAGTTCGTTCAGTTAATTTTTTTTGTTGATCTTTTATATTGTGTGAAATTTAATTAAAAATGGATTTTTCTATAGTTTCTGGAAAGCGTGATAATTCAGAAATTTATCACATTAATATATATAAATATAGGTGAAGTTATTCCTGCACAGTGACGGAATAAAGTCGACATACAATATTTTTCGGCATCATTCCGCCGCCGCGACGGAATAACTTCACCTATATTATGTAGGTGAAGTTATTCCGGTATGAAGCGGTAATAACTTCACTTATATTAAGTAGGTGAAATTATTCCGTCGCGACGCCGGAATAACTTCACCTACATTATACAGGTGAAGTTATTACCGACCTGAGCAAAAAATATTTTCGATATTATTCCGGTACCGTGTTTTTTTTAATAGGTGCAGTTATTCCGTGTCGGCGTTATTACTGGGTACCATATAAAAATGAAAAATATTTAAATTGTCTTTTATTTATTACAAAAACTTAGGTTTTAACAATTTTATAAAAATTTATTTCTTGCTCGACGCAAACTTAAGCCGCTAGTGTCAGGAAGAATCTTGTATTTAGAATTAAAAGGATAAGCTAAAAGGGGAAATATCATCACGAGTCCAAAAATAAGTAATAAATTCGATATCGACATGGTAAAGTAGAAATATGCAACAATTAAAATTATTTGCAATAAAATCTCATAACTAGTCGTTAACGCTATAAAAATAGGTTTAATTTTTGTATTAACTGAATCAACTGAATAAATGTCCGATACAAAACTTATCCCAAAACCAGCAAAAATTTGAAAAATAATTGAAATTATTGCAGAATAAATCGAATCATCTTTAACAGTAAATTGCGATAAAAATATCAAAATAATTCCACATCCAACTGATGAAAATAAAAACAATTTAATTCTTTTAAAATCAATAAGAATCATAGAAATAATCATTGCTGTCAATCGTGCACTTAATAAGTATAAACCAGTGTTATCAACTTCTCCGTCATAGAAGTTAATTTTTGCTAAATTTAGAAAGTAAATATTAAGTGGCATATTAAATGAAAAAACGAATAAACTCTTGAGACTTATCACAATTATAAATTGATAGCAGTAATGTGTAATGTTCATACTACTTTGTGAATCTTCTTTAACCATTTGAATGAGCTCATTAAATTCGTCTCTAATTGACAACGTTTCATGTGACTCGGACCTTAATCTCATTAAATTGTTCAATGCTTCTTTTTCTTTATATTTTTGTATAAGGAACACCGGTGATTCACGATTTAAAAATAAAGCTAGTATTAAGCCAGTTAAAAAACAAATTAATCCAGTATATCCAAGCATTTTAGTTGGATCATTTTCATATGTTCTTGTTTTGTAAACATGACTAAGGTTGCTTGATGTTAACAGCACTCCAACTATATTGCACATGTTAATCACAGATATGTGATATCCTCGAATTCTTGGAATTGACAGTTCACTTGCATGAATTAAAATGACAAGATAAACTATCCCATTTGATATAGAAGCTATAATTCGTGCTAATTGTATGATTGAAATGTTTGTTGGATAAACAACGAAGAATGTGGCACTAATTGATGATAAAATTGACGCCAAAATCTTTAAAATAAATTAAATTAGTGAAAATTAAATTGTTTTTTAAACGTTTTTGTACAAACATAAATTTTCATTTTTGTGTATCTGCAAACAAGGAATGATCCAAGAATAAGTCCAAAAATATTAGCTATAAACCATGAAATAATTGTCCAAAATATCGCACCATCGTCTTCATATCCACCTATAAATATTTATTGAGGGTGGCTTAGAATTTAAAGTTAAACAGAGTGACAATACCAGAGCTCAAAGTCGATAAGGTTCGAGTCGACTCGAGTTGACTCCGAGAAAATGAGTCAACATGAGTCGACTTCGAGCTCTGGACGAAACTATTTAAAGTATACTTGGTAGCTCTCCTTATGAGCGAGCGTAGCAACATGTTACTGTCAGAGGAGCATCAAGTAGTCTTGGTGGCAGTGACAGTAGATGAAACAATTTGAGCGAGAACCACCGAGTCAATTAATATATTGTTGTCACTTGTGCTACTTTATTTAAGCTCTTAAACTGATCAAGTTGACTACAAACTCTTAAGATATTTATTAAACCTTTACCTGACCAAGGTTGAACTCTTAAATGATTGTTGAAGATTCCCCAACCAACATTCTGACCACCAAAAATAATTAACATTATTCCAGCAACCAAGCCATTTATCTGTGGTTTATTCTTTTGGAAAAAATCAACCCACTCAAATAAAGTTTTTGGATTTAAATCTTTGGCTTCACATTTTTCAAACTTTAAAATTTCTTCTTTCACAGACATTATAAAATTGCAAAATTTACTAGTTTTTTAGATTACTTTATTCATTCGATTCTAATTGAAAACTGAAAAGATTTTTTTTTTATTTTTAAGTTGTGCTTTAGTATTGTTATCAGTCTTTATCGTACATTTGCTTCTATGTATTTTAACTGATTATAAATAAAGAATATTTTTATTATTTTACTTAAAATAAAGAATCAGTTGATTGGTGAAATTGTATTGGTAAGCCAAGAGTATTAGTCTTATGCGTCAAACATCATAGGCTCAATTTCTGAGTATTACCATCCTTATGACATGCTTTGTGATGAATCTTGACTTGGCATATTAAAGGAAGCGTGACCATTGAATTTGAAGAAAAAAACAGGATATTTACAGACCAAAACAGGACACAGGACAAATTTAAAAAAAAACTGTGCATTTCTGTAAAAAGTCGAGCAGATGGTTACCCTAATTATAGAATACATCTAGTCTTTATAAGGATGTGATGCTTATTGTTAATGATTCATATTCCAATATAAACTATAAACTTAAAAAACTTAATACTCATTACTACAAGACTCAAATTGGTTCCAGTTTTAACAGCTAGTTTTGGTACTTACTTCTGCTTACCATTAAAAAGGTGCCATCCAAAAAAGAGGGCCCAACTCTATTTTGAACTGGAGGCACTGCGATTCAAATTAGAACAGAATCTATTGAACCACGCCCTGTAGACCAACAGTTAATAGTGGAATACAAACCACAAGCTCTGCACATTGCAAAGACACGAGGACGTCTAAAGACCTGATGTACGCTTCAATGTGTCTAGTCAAAGTTCGTGTGTGCAAGATGCTGTAAAAAAACCATCCAGATGCTTGTATATCCTAGTAAACCTAGCAAAGGAGACACTTTATGTGCCGAAGACCTCAAAACTACATTCAACACATGAATCGAGCTTCGTAACTTGAACGGTGAAATAAAATAGGAGCTTCTAAAACTTGACTTAGCCTTAGATTGAACCTAGAACCTTTGGCACGTAAGGCCAACGTTCTACCACTTGGGCCACTGATGCCATTTCACCTTCTGCTTTCCATTAATAATAATAATGTGAGAAGGTTCTACCCAAGCGATTTGTTACTACACGTTGCAATCCTGATCGATGATAAAATCTATTGTACCGTTTCCTTTCAACTGCCAATAAAATTTTGAAATTTTTAGTACTTAATATTTACTGTTCTTTAAATGTTTTGTAAACAAAATAATACTAAAGATATTTTAGTACAATATTGGATATAAAAATTAATAACGGATCGTAAACTTTGATTTCTATATTCACACAAGCAATTTTTGGTGCTACTAATTTAAATTTTGCAATTTATAAGAACTTTTGTCCAGAATGATGCTTAAAAACTATTAAAAGTATTGAGAAAATTAATAATCATTTCTATATTGACATTAAAATCGATAATAAGCATAAATCTTCTTTATAAAGTCCAAAATTATGTTATAAATCACAAACATCTACATCCGTGTGAATAAACTTCTTATATCCAATTTTGCAACAACAACAATAATTCAATTTCACCTGTGAATATAGAAAAAGAGTTTGTCTACGACTGGTGATGTTATAAATGAGACAGAAAAATCATGTTTGATTCAATCTTTCTGAATCTTTCGCCAAAGTTCTATGTGGCACTGACCGGTACGAGCTCACTGATATCAGGTAGGATGAGTGAAATTTTGAGTAATTGTGAAAAAGTAAAAAAAAAATTTAAATTCATTTCCTGCAGGATTGATTCTGATTTTCGAATGGTATTATTTCAAAAAGGTATGAACTGAATTTTTTGTGTCGGAATTTTTGATGGATTTTTCTAATTTGGATTAATTTTTATTTTAGTATGGAATTTCATTCATCGGTAAGCTTTAATATTGTACCTAAAACATTATCTGAAAATATCTCAATTTAATGTCAATCTACAGAACAAATCTCCCTAAACCACATCAGCCCATTCCTATCATCAACCGAGAATCCACAAAACGGCGAGCAAAATGGACAATTTGAACTAAAAGTCTGGCGAAATCCTTTCAATCTTTTCCGAGGGTCTGAATATCAACGATATTTTTGGGCAACAGCCAAGGAACCACTCACGTATTATGACATGAATTTAAGTGCACAAGATCATCAGACATTCTTTACATGCAGCATCGATACTGGTAAACCTGACTATGAAATGATGATGCATGCATACAGGGAAAGAAATCCTGTGTCGAGGATCAAAAGTGCACACAAAGCACTTGAAATTAATCCTGAAAATAGCTGTGCTTACATTTTACTTGCTGAAGAGGAAGCGACGACAATTGTTGAAGCTGAAATTATTCTTAAGCAGGCATTAAAAGTTGCAGAAATTAATTATAAAAAATCACAGGGACTACAGGGAGCTTTACATGAAGCAGCACATCGACGAGATGCCAATATTATTATTTATATTAAGCGACGACTTGCAATGTGTGCACGAAAGCTTGGGAAGTTGAAAGAGGCAACGAAAATTTTTCGAGATTTAACGAAGGAACCACCGTCAAGTATTATTTCTGTTTTAAATGTTCATGAGAATCTTCTCGAGTGCTTGCTGGAGATGAAGGCTTATGCTGACTGTGCTGCTGTGTTGGCCAAATGTAAGTTGATATAATATTAAGCACGTAGAATTGTGTATGTAAAGTTAGTGGATATGGCTCTAAGACCATATCTGAAGTAGATAGGCTTGAGCATAGGATTCCTGATCTATTAACCGACTTGTGCCATTCGGGTAAGTATATAGGTGGTCGAGGGGCAAGGATCTCTGATCGAGTGGTCAGAGATCATCTCTTTTGAGGTCCTGGGTTCGATTCCTATCGAACTCGACTTGTTTTACACTAGTATACACATATGACAGTTTTAGGGAGGTCTACAGCAAGTCCCTTTTATTTGCCATCTATACCTAGTTACTAGTACCTAGAAGCTATCACCTGGTACCCATACCTGCAAATATTTCTAAAATTTAAACTTTAAACTTACAATTCAGATGACGACATCAGTCTTCCAAAGTCAGCAGCCATCTGCTACACTTCAGCACTCTTAAAAGCGCGAGTAGTATCTGATAAGTTTCAACCTGATGTAGCTAGTCGACGAGGACTGACAACATCTGAACTGCAAGCTATAGAAGCGATTCATAGAGCAGTCGAGTTCAATCCCCACGTACCTAAGTATTTATTAGAGATGAAAAAGTTGATTTTTCCTGCTGAGCATATTTTGAAGAGAGGTGACAGTGAGGCACTGGCTGTGAGTATTTGAAATATTACAATTGATAACATAATGAACTTAAAACTTCATCCACAGTACGCATTCTTCAACTTAAGGCATTGGAAAAATGTCAGCGGAGCTTTAAATCTTCTTCAAAATACCTGGGAAGGCACCTTCCGGCTGATTCCATATCCACTCCAAAAAGGACATCTGTTCTTTCCGTACCCACAAATGTGCACAGAATGTGCTGATCGTGAACTTTTGCCTAGTTTCCATGAACTCTCAATTTATCCCAAAAAGGAAGTTCCTTTCTTTATTTTATTTACGGCTGGCTTGTGCTCATGCACAGCTTTACTTGCTCTACTTACCCACTCATATCCTGATGTTATGTACATTTTTGCCCAAACTATATTAAATTTTGTGCTTACACCTTTTAAATTTCTTAAGGAAATGTTAAATTATTGAAAAATCTTTTTTATTGTGAACTTTTTTTTGTCTAATTTATTGAACTTTTTTTTATTATTTTTTGACTTGATATTTCCATGAGAATAAAGTCTTTGATGATGACCCAGCGACTATGATAATTTATTCGAAAGAAACCTTTTTTGGAATTTGTTTTTTAATTTGCTAATATTTTGTTACAGAAAAAAAAAGCTTAAAGCTGCTCCGAAAGAAATGTTAATAAAGAATTGATGTCCGAATGAAATGCCAATTTTTGAAGTGATTAAGTAATAATAAAAAAGAGTATTCAAGTGGTTCAAGGAGTTTTAGATTATGCTAGGTTATTTTTAAATATATCAATTTTTTTAAGTTTATAGGTTGTAAGATAATTTTTTATACCTTTAATCGCCATAATTTTTATTGACTATATTACACCATGTGTCTTAATTTGATCACATTGAAAATTATTCAAAGACTTTACACGACTAAGGAAAAGGTTTGGCTAATGCATTTGTGTCTAGTCAATTTTTGATGAAACGAACCCATTTTGCCATTATGCAACTCTTAGGGTTTATATAAAGCAAGAATGCGGAACTGAAAAATTACATTTTGATAATTTTTGACCATTTTTGATCATTTTTTTTGGGTTTTTATTCTATTTATTGTAGTTTTCTTTTTCTCACTCTCTCCTTTCAAGGAAAAAGCCGCCTTTAACAGCGGTTTAGGTAGGTAGTTTTGATCAATTCAACAGTACCATAGCCTTGATATAAAGTTCAATCACACTATTTAGAATTAAGAGTGCCACCAAAACTTCATAAGTTTGCAACAAATAATAAAGTTCAGAGAAGTACTGAAATCAAGAGGCTGGAACTCCTGAAAACTTGTGTGTTCACCAATTTCACAAATTTTCATACATGCTTCCGGTTTTACAAATTTCCAGAAACAAGGTTCCAGTAGGTAAAAGAGGTGAAGGGGCATTAGTTGCCTAAATAGAAGAGCATTGGCCTTCCGTGTCAAAAGTCCTGGGTTCAATCCAAGGCCATGTCTAATTTTCGAAGCTTTGTTTCCATTTTCACCGTTCTAGTTACGTAGCTCGGTTCGTGTATTGAGTGTAGTAATAAAGACTTTGACACAGGATGTGCTTCTTTGCTAGGTTTAAAAAGGCTGGGCCCTTCACACATTATTAATTATTAGGTAGAGTGAGAAAATGCCAGTGGGCAAATGTCCCATCCCAAACTTAGCACTTTTATAAATTTGGCAAGTTTTTGGAAGTTTCGGCTCCTTGACTGGAATTGTTTCAGAGCCTGTACTATGAAATATAGTAAATTATTGAAGGTTTTGAATCATGATTTGATTACTTGAATCCCTGAAGATTGAGGATAGTATAGGCTGACCATCAGAGCCTTTTTTTTTTATTTTTCAAAAATATGATAGTTTTTTTTTCTAATTCGTCCAGAAAACGAATAAAATTGGAAGACACATCGGATGTCCTCTATTTTACTTTCAGGCTATCTATTTTTTTCAAAAAAAATATCTGGTCACCCTAGGACAGTATGACTAACCAAAAAAATAAGTAAAGTCGTAGAACTTCTTATCAAATCTTCCAAAGACAAGCACGTTTAATCCAATTGTTAATTTACAGCAATCTTATAGTAATTTCATTGATAATTAGTTTTTATCATCAGGTAATCAATGGCATTTGACAATAAAGCAATTGATAATTGTTTTTGTATAAAAATCGCAAGTCTTAACAAGTTTTCATCAGTTTAAAGTTGAACAGCTGTGAAGAAAATTCGGTTTTTAAGTCTTAATTTGTGAAGATGATTTTAAAAATTTCAACCGTCCTGTTTCTAGCAAGCTTAAGCCTTGCGCAGAACCCTTTGTTGTACTGTAATTTGGCAATCATTGATGAAAGATGCACCTGTAATTTTGTGATCTATAATCCGGCTGGATTCAATAATTTGACAATGGCTGCAAACCCAGTGACTAACTGTACATTAGATGATGTTGTGGATGCAACTGGAAGTGGATTGACTAAAAATATTCCATCAGTTTTGTGCGATGAGTTTTCGAAATTGGAGAATCTGAGATTGAACAGATTAGCAATCGAAAATATTAACGGAAATCCGTTTAAACATTGCATTAATCTAAAAAGATTATATTTAAGTGGAAATGCGTTGACGGCAATTCCTGCTTATACTTTTTCAAATACTATTCTTGAAATATTAGAGTTGGATAGCAATAAACTTTCAAGTATAAATTCACTTACTTTTGATAGTCTTTCTCAACTAGAGATGCTTAATTTGACTAATAATCCAACTCCTGTGACAGCAGCTGACGTTTTTGATTCTCTAGAAAATCTAAAGTTTCTTCATTTAAGTCATTGTAATATAAATATTTTAGATCCAATTTGGTTCTCAAAACTGTTCAATTTAGTTGGATTAAACTTATCCACAAATAATATTGATGTAGTTTTTAATTCTACATTTAACAATCTGCTCAAACTAGAATGGCTTGACTTATCTGGTAACAAAGTGGAAACTTATCCATCAAATATGGTTCACAACAATACTAACCTACTGAAACTTAATTTAAATGGAAATTCTTTTAGAATTTTTGATTCAAACTTTTTCGTCAGTCAATCGAAATTAACTGAATTAATATTATCAAATAATCCAACCATCAATATCACAGCTGAGTTATTAGAACCTTTAACATCACTTCAGGTTATTGGTTTAAGTTCATGTGGACTCAGTAAAGTCGAAAGTAGTTGGTTTGAGTCAATGAAAGATTTAATCGCTCTTGATTTAAGTGGCAATAAAATAAATGTTATTCCTGAAAAAACATTCAGTGCTGCCAATGATATTGAGTCTATAAACCTTGCGTATAACAGCATAGAAACACTAAACTCAAGATCATTTGGATCTTTGACAAAATTACGGAGTCTTACTTTGAACAACAATACCATTAAAGAAATTGATCATCATTTTGTAAGTCAACCAACTGATCTTATGACTGTTAATTTTGAGTATAACAGCTGTTCGAGCTACAAGACAGACAATTTTAATTTCAACAGAACATCATATATGGGAGCTATGAGAAGTTGCTTTGATAATTTTGATATTAAACCAATAGGTAAGTTCAATTTTCGGTGAAATGCATCAGTGGCCTAAGTGGTAGAGCGTTGGCCTTGCGTGTCAAAGGTTCTGGGTTCATTCTCAGGCCAAGTTAAGTTTTAGAAGCTCTTTTTCCCATATAATACATTATATTGTGCCTCCTTTGCTGGATGACTTCCTACCGGCATCTTGCGCACACAAATTGTGACTAGGTTCATTGTAGGGTACATTAGGTCCTAAGACGTTTTCGTGTCTTTGCAATGTGCAGAGCTTGCAAGTGTTTCGGATTTCACTATAAACTGAAGGTTGTCTTACAATAGATTTTGTTCTGCTTGAATCGCAGTGCCTTTACCTCATTAGACTGGGACCTTTACATGCCTTACCTTTTTAAGTTCAATAATAATGAAACCAGCTTAGTTTTTTTGAAAAATATAACAATATTAAATTCTTTCAGATATTAAAACAACAAATTCATCAATCTACAACTGGTACAGCATCCGATCTAGCGATGGTTGGGACGCTCTGAAGATTTTTGTAAAAGCAGACGAGAATGTTCACATTGCACTGACCGATTCACTGAACAAAGAAACCCCAAGAATTGAAATTCAAATTGGTCAAAATAGAAATCGATTCTCGTTTATTTTTGAAGACGGTCAAGAAGAATTTGAAGAATATAAACGCTACAGACTAAATTCAACAATTGGTTCAACTTTCGTTATCGGATGGAGATTCGATGTTATTATGGTGTTTAAGGAAGGTGATCAATTTCCATTTATGGCACACACAAAGAAGAAAGGCACACCAGCTTTTAATTTCTTTGGGATAAGAACTCCGTAAGTTAATTTTAATTGTTAATCGAATAATGCTAATGATTCATCTCTAAATTAGATTTGAGGATGATCCCGATTCAATTGCATCATGGATAGTCTCTCGCATACAGCCAATCGCTAACGTTTAATATTTTATCAGGAATATGAAAAATAAAGTTAAAATATATTTGTAATAATTTTGAATAAAGATTTTTACTACGTTTTTCTTAACTTGCTTTCTTGTTTGTTTGTTTGTTTGTTTGCAAAAAATTTCAAATCTTGCGATCAATTTTTCGACCACTTCTACTGCTCCAATCGAGCTCAAATTTTTAATGCACATGTATTCCCGGTGACAATACAATATTTTAATACTTTGGAAACACAAAAATGCTTAATTATAGTACAATTTATGTAAAACTTTTTTATATGGGAAAAAATCCAATGTCAATGATATAAAATTTTGATTTGTATTAAATATTATACTTGTGATGCTCTAAAGTCATTTATATGATTCATTATAGTTTAATTAATATTACTAATTATTAATTATACCATAAATTTGAGCAGCTAAAGATATTCTGGTAAGACAAAAAAATTGACATGTAATTTTTTCATGAACATTCGTAAGTGAAAATTTGAATTTTCAAAAAAAACCGTTAAGCACAAGTCCGTTACGAATTAGTGCAAAATAACTATTAATATGCGATGTGCATTTAGCACACATAGTTTGAGCATAAATTTATGCTGTTTTAAATGTATTGCATTATTTATAACACTTCACCAACTTAATTAAATTGACTTTTCTTTTTATTAACGGTTTGACGTATTTTTGCATAACATATAAATGATATTCATTGAATTTAAATTTGAAAATCCGTTATAAATACGTTACATATGTGATTTGCATCTTTATAGTAAGAATCCACACGTTATGAAGTAGAAATGGTACAGATAAACACAAAATCTTTACGAGTGATTTTTAATGTACTTTACTAATGAATGCTTTAAAAAAATTAAATTTTATAAAACGAATGAAAAATTTTGAAAGTCGTTACTAATTTCCCATTGAAAACTGGTAATTTATAAACAGTTGGACGCAACGAAGTGAAGTTCAACACACCTGTAACCTATAAACCTACTGTAATCTATAAACAGTTGAACGTAACGAAGTGCAACGAAGTGAAGTTCAACACACCTGTAACCTATAAACCTACTCTAATCTATAAACAGTTGAACGTAACGAAGTGCAGCGAAGTGAAGTTCAACACACCTGTAACCTATAAACCTAATGTAATCTATAAACAGTTGAACGTAACGAAGTGCAACGAAGTGAAGTTCAACACACCTGTAACCTATGAACCTACTGTAATCTATAAACAGTTGAACGTAACGAAGTGCAACGAAGTGAAGTTCAACACACCTGTAACCTATGAACCTACTGTAATCTATAAACAGTTGAACGTAACGAAGTGCAACGAAGTGAAGTTCAACACACCTGTAACCTATAAACCTACTGTAATCTATAAACAGTTGAACGTAACGAAGTGCAACGAAGTGAAGTTCAACACACCTGTAACCTATAAACCTACAAACCTATAAACCTGTAATCTATAAACAGTTGAACGTAACGAAGTGCAGCAAAGTGAAGTTCAACACACCTGTTACCTATAAACCTAATGTAATCTATAAACAGTTGAACGTAACGAAGTGCAAAGAAGTGAAGTTCAACACACCTGTAACCTATAAACCTACTGTAATCTATAAACAGTTGAACGTAACGAAGTGCAACGAAGTGAAGTTCAACACACCTGTAACCAATAAACCTACTGTGATCTATAAACAGTTGAACGTAACGAAGTGCAACGAAGTGTAGTTCAACACACCTGTAACCTATAAACCTACTGTAATCTATAAACAGTTGAACGTAACGAAGTGCAACGAAGTGAAGTTCAACACACCTGTAACCTATAAACCTACTGTGATCTATAAACAGTTGAACGTAACGAAGTGCAACGAAGTGGAGTTCAACACACCTGTAACCTATAAACTTCCTATAATCTTTATTTCTCTATTTCATTAGAATAAGACTAAAAAGTAGAAAATAAAATACTTTATAAAAAAAAACTTTTTAAAAAACTACGTTTTTCGCGTAGACTAAAAAGTAGAAAATAACTTTTATTCTTGGTTGTAAAGAATTTGGTTTTAAATTTTCAGATTATATTTAATAAATTTTTATATCCTAGTCAATATTGTTCACAAAGTTTCGAATAAGTGCATTTTGATCTTATCGTATAACTCAACAACTTAAAAACGTGGGCGCATTAATTTAAGTTTATCATAAAGTATTGATTTCACATAAACTTATTTCTCCTCTTATAATGCGCCCACGTTTTTAAGTTGTTGAGTTATACGATAAGATCAAAGTGCACTTATTCGAAACTTTGTGAACAATATTGACTAGGATATAAAAATTTATTAAATATAATCTGAAAATTTAAAACCAAATTCTTTACAACCAAGAATAAAAGTTATTTTCTACTTTTTAGTCTACGCGAAAAACGTAGTTTTTTAAAAAGTTTTTTTTTTTTATTAACAAAATGTGTGACTAAAGTTTAAAGTACGACGGCATTAAGTATTCAATCACTTTGAAACTTTGCCTGAACATTACGTTCAATTGCGTCCAACAAAAAAAATAATTGTGTCCTACTTCCTGTGGTTGGATATAGCAGGTTCCATTTTTGGGTATAATGGTGTTGTACTTCAGGTTTTAAAATGACATCATTTCCATTTATCAACTTTATTAGACATATTATACATCAAAATTGATCTCCTAACTGCGTCTGATTGCGTCCTGCACAATTTTTTGGAATTGAACATAAACAGCAAGAGTTATAGTAAACATTTTATTTTGGAAACGGTTTTTTAAATTCATTTTCTAGTTCTGACGCTTGATTCATGTATTAGGAGTATATTTTGATGTTTTTGGCACTTAAAGTGTCCAATTTACTAGCTATACTATAGCTTAAAATGACTTTTTCACGGCATCATGTGTAAATCAATTATGACTTGGTGCATTATGAATTAAAGCATAAAATGTAGTTCAAACGGGTAGGTGCAATGGAATTTAGAATCATATTAAAAAGGGTTAACGGTCATTTTCCAAAACAGAGCAATGGCTCTCGAGGACTTTCTGTTGTTCTTTTCTTTCTGACCCCTTTCCCCCCACTGGATATCATTAGTCAACAGCTCCAAACAGGATTCACATTCTTTAATGGATTATTTCCGATATTATTGAGTAATAATGAATAAAGCATTGACAAAAATATTTAAGTGGTTCGGGGATTTTCTTAGATTACGCTAGGCTTTCTTAAAGTACATATTTATGTGTGTGCTGCACACATTTTTAATTTTTTTTACAATAATCAGAAGTGCAAAAAGTAAGATAATTTTTAAAATTGATAAAATGTTTTGTATAAAAATCACACACCTTGTTGCCTTCAATCAGTTGCTATTTGAACTCCAGTGAGGAAAATTTGAGTCCTAAAGTTAAAAAATTATTAAAATATTAAACTGTGAAAATTTAGTCACAAAAAAATGATTCAACGAATTTTGATTCTCATATCTTTGGCAAGCTTAGCATTGGCTCAAAGTCCATTGTTTTATTGCAACTTGGTAATCATTGAGGAAAGGTGCACCTGCAATTTTGTGATTTACAACCCAGCTGGATTTAATAATTTGACTATTACTGCTAATCCAGCTGAAAACTGTACTTTAAGTGATGTTGTGGATGCAACTGGAAGTGGATTGACATTAAATGTACCATCAGCATTGTGCAATCAATTGCCTATTTTAGAAGAATTAAGAATGGATAAATTGGGTGTTAATAATTTAGTCGGAAATCCGTTTAGAAATTGCAACAATTTAAAAAAATTACATTTGAGTGACAATTCATTATCAGCAATCCCAGCCTACGCCTTTTCAAATACTATCCTTGAAAGTTTGAAATTAAATCAAAATAAAATCACGAGTATCAATTCAGTGTCGTTTGATAATTTAGTGCATCTGGAATTTCTTGATTTATCAAACAACTCTCCACTTGCTTTAGTTGATGACACATTTGATCATTTAGAAAATCTTAAATTCCTTCATATGAGCTCATGTGGAATTACTTCTCTTCATCCTAGATTGTTTGACAATTTGGGAGAGTTGCGGGAATTAGATACATCTGGAAATAATGTTACAACTGTTGTTGCAAATCTCTTCAGTTCACTGAAAAAATTGGAAATACTTAACTTAGCAAACTGTGGACTAACAGGCATTACTGCATCTGCTATCCAAAATAACACCGAATTATTAAAATTAAATTTGGAAAATAATAATATTAAAAATTTTAATGCTGAACTTTTTAATGGCCAGCAAAAATTGGCGGATTTATCTTTGGCAAACAATAATAATGCTACTATCACACCACAACTATTTACTCCATTAACTTCAATGCAAAGACTTATCTTAAGTAATTGTAATATAAATGCAATAAATGGCAGTTGGTTTGTGCAAATGCCAAACCTAGTTGAAATTGATTTAAGCAAAAATAGAATACCAGCCATTCCCGAAAATACATTCTCATCTGCCAACGCTATAGAATCAATAAACCTCGCAAACAACAGCATTACAATTTTAAGTTCAAGATCATTTGGATCATTACACAATTTACATAGTCTCCATTTGGAGAATAACGCCATCAATCAAGCTGATCATCATTTGATTAGTCATTCCACGGAACTTCAAGCAGCTTACTTTGGAAATAATATATGTGCAAACTTCAATACGGATGAATTTAGCCTAAACAGAACTTTTTACACTGAATTATTAAAAGAATGTTTTGACAATTTTGACAGCATTCCAATTGGTAAGTTTTCTCATTAATTTTTATCCTCGTGCGGACCCTGTTAATAACTTGACTTATGGTTGGCTGTAGGTCCAGTTATTTCCTAATCATTAGCGTTAATGATTCTGCCTCGTTTTAAACTCTGTCAAAGCAATTAAATTCTATTTTCACAAATAAAAAATTAAAATAAATTCTTTATGCCACAATCATAACAGCAATCACAACAATAAATTCAACAATCTATGACTGGTACAGCGTCCGAACTAACGATGGTTGGGATTCCTTAGAAGTTTCTGTTAGAGCTTACGAAAACGTTCACATTGCGCTTTCAAATTCTATCAACACAGTTGAACCTCCAATTGAAATTAAAATCGGAGAAGATAGAAATCGTAGATCACACATTTTGGAGCAAGGTGAAATAGTTTTTACTGACAATGTGCGAGACAGATTAAACCGAACAGCTGAAAGAACATTTATAATTGGATGGCGATTTGGAATAGTCATGGTGTTTAGAAAACTTGATCAACTTCCATTTATGGCGCATGCTATAGAAAATGATTTTCCAGTTAATTTCTTTGGATTAAGAACTTTGTAAGTGGAATTTTATTATAATCAACTCAACTCGAAGACAGCTGAGTTAACTTCGAGCTCTGTAATCAAGCGGTGGAAACTCAGCATTAATCTTAAAAATTCCAAAAATCATAAAAATATCTCTGGGCCAATAAACATGAAAATGTGAAATCCCTCTCGATTTAAAGAATAATTCCGTAACTTAAAAAGGATTTCACATTTTAATCCTGAGTTTCCACGTCTCGGTTAAAATATTTTAAAAGTGCGATAAAAATTAAATTTTTTACTTTAATTAGATTTACGGATGATGTCGATATGACAGCCAAATGGAATGTTACCCGCATACAGAGAGAACTTCAATCAATGGCAATGACGAAAATCTATCAAGATATTGAAATAAGAAGGAAGCGAGGAATGCCAATTGATTTGCAAAAATATCTTCGAAATTAATAAGTTTTAAACTTTTTAAAAATATTGTTTTGAATGAAGAACTTAAATAAATAACAAAATATGATAAACTATATTGAAAATAACTTAATAATTATTTTTATCAATTCGCTACTTCCACGTAGAATTTGGTTTGCAAGGTTTGCTCTTGTTGAACTAGTTGAAATTAGTCAATGAATGGTTTAAAAGTCAAATCTTCCTTGTCATATCGCCAACAAATCTTATTTAAATGTGGCTCAACAACTTAATTTTCAGTCTGTTTAGACATTAATCATTATTTTTTAGAACTTTGTTCAATGTCACCGTTCTCGAAGATGAGATAAATTTTCCTCTGAAAAAGACTTATCGAATGTCAATGCTCCTATAAATTTAACAAAAGTTTGTGATTTTTGTCTTGATTCAAACTCGATCAGGATCGCAGTGCCTTCAGCTCGTCGCAACGTATAGTAACACACCGTTGGCTAAAACCCTCTCACATTATTACTATTATTATCTTGATTCCAACTTATTTTCACTTCAATAGTTGAATCTTAGATTCATTGTGATAGATTTTTCAAATGTCAATCAATTTCACATCTACTAGCATCTAGATGATTTCTTTACGGCATTTTGCACACACGAATTGTGACTTAATACATTGCAGGGTACATCAGGTCCTATGACGTACTCGTGTCTTTACAATGTGCAGAGCTTGCAAGTGGTTCGGATTCCAATATAAAATGCAGGTCTAAAAGGTTCGGTACAATAGATTCTATTCCAATTTGAATCGCATTGCCTTTAGTTAAAAGGCTGGGTCCTTTGTAGATCTACTAATAACTGCTATTTGTGTATACTAATGTAAAACAAGTCGGGTTTGATGGGAATCGAACCAATGATCCAAAAGAGGCGAGCTCTGACCAATCGATCAGAGATCCCTGAAGATCGCTCTGGCTATCCGTCAAACACATATAACCAGTTCAAGGAGAGCCTTATGCTCAGGCCTATCTACTACAGATACATATGCTCTTCGATCCATATCCACACCCTTCACATTTTATTATTCAACATTTGCTTCTAGTTTTGCATTAAAATTTCATACCAAAATAGGGGATTCACCTTCCAAGCAGGTATTGCAAATGGCACATTAAGATTAAAATTTCAAGTGTTTAGGGGATTTTTTTTCAAACATAAATTCAATAAAAGACTCCTTAATTCGATTTTTGTAACTAAGACTCATAAATCTTTATCAAGTTAGTTGTTCAAATCACATTTCACTTCCTCCAATTTAATTGGATTCGTTATCATCTGTCAAACACGTTTCAGTGATATACAAGCGGAACTGAATTATAAAAAGGAAGTGCATATCTTTTAATTCCAAAAGTAGTAGGATGTTGCACGTCTTATCTTATCGCAACTGCTGCTTTCTGGATTATTTTGGTAAAAATAAAGAAATTCGAACATTTGTTTTGCTGTATTAATTGTTGACTGATTTATAGCAACAAGATTACGTTGGATGCCTGATAAATATTGTGTATAAAAATCGCGAATTCGATGATTGACTATGGTAGTTCTAATTTAGACATTAAAAAGACTAAATCAAACTTTAATAACAGTGTTAATTAAGATACAAGTAAGAATTGACATCAGGTAGGCAGTCAGACAGCGTTTAATGACTTAAATCAAGAATTAACCTTCGTTAAGCTTCAAAAATATTCAAAAAGTTTTTAAATCAATAAAATTTTCATTACAGATCAATAAAATGCTTCTAAAACTTCTAATCTTGTCACTCGTCACCACATCTGCATTAGCTCAAACCTCAATTATAATTTGCTCGCAAGCTTTTGTCGACGACATCTGCACATGCAATTTCCTTATCTTTAATCCAAATGGATTCAATAATTTAACAGTTGTTGGCAATCCAATAACAAATTGTACATTTGAAGACACCAAACAAGCAATTGCTATGGGTTCGTCCCCAAACATCCCATCAGCTATATGCTCACACCTTCCAAATTTAGAAAAACTAGTGATGGAAAATGTTGGAATTATAAATTTGAATGGAATGCCTTTTAGAAATTGTGGCAACTTGAAAACATTGCAGTTGGGGAATAATGAGATTGTTGCAATTCCAGCACATGTATTTTCATTCACAGCTTTAGAATTAATTGAGCTGAATAACAATAATTTGACTACCTTTGATGAACATGCTTTTGACAATCTATTCAGGTTGACTACCCTTAACATTAATGAAAATTCTAATGGAATAATTTTACCAGAAACTGTTTTTCATCATCTTATAAGTTTGCAGAGCTTGTTGGTCAGTAATTGTGGAATAACATCATTTAATTCTTCGTGGTTTGCTAGCTTGAGGAGCTTAATACTTTTAGATTTATCTAGAAATAACTTCTCAACAATTCCAGAAAATACATTCAGATCACAGCAAAGCTTAAGATTATTGAACTTATCTTTTGGACAACTTGAAACAATTCCTGAAACTACATTCCAAAATATCACAAACTTGCTGATTCTTGACCTTCAAAGTAACAAAATTAAGGAATTTCATCCGAATTTATTCTCAAGTCTAACATTGCTACAAAACTTGCATTTGTCAGACAATCTGAACGTCACAACTCCATCAAATATCTTCAGATCGTTACAATCACTGAGAACTTTAGAGCTGTCATCCAATAATGTAACAGTAATTGATGGCTGGTTCTCATCATTGAGCAACTTAATTAATATTAACTTGAGCAACAATAACATAATTACAATACCAGACAACACATTTACAGCAGCAAGAGCTTTACAAAGAATAAATCTTAGTCGAAATAAAATTGGCATCTTAGATTCAAGATCTTTTGGCTCATTACATATGATGACTGAATTGGATGTTCATAATAATTTGATTGACGAAGTGGATCATTCATTAGTGAGCCAGTCATCGATATTAAGGATTGTTAATTTTTCGAATAATAATTGTACGCAATTGAGAACGGATAGCTTTAATGAAAGTAGAAGTGTCCATATGGATGCAATGAAAGCTTGTTTTGACAAGTTTGATTTAAAGCCTATAGGTAAGTATTTTGAAATGTCAATATCTTGTCTCTCGATTCGATATCGATCTCGGGCATTATAAATAGATTGCTTCTTGTTAAGTAATATCCATAAAACCAAAATGAATCTAGAGTGTTGGTAATGTGGTCTTAGCTTGGCGCCAAATTGGATTGATGATGACTTGGCGATTAAGTGAACAAGATTGACGATTAAAAACGATGTTTCTTTGTATTCTAATATTTGATCGAATTCCTTCGTGTTAATCATGTTCAAGCTTCCAATCTTCAAATCTAGGTTTTCGATTAAATTCAGGCTCTCGTTTCAATCTTCTGTGGGTGTGACGATATACATTTCAGGTCCGTTCTGAGAATACTTCATTCTTGGGTAATCTTGTAGCTCTCGTTCCTTTTTCTCTCGCTACACTTCAAGTTCCTGATCCGTTCTTTAATCTAACGTTGCCCAAATGCCCAATTATGGCTTGATAACGTACATTAATCAGTCAAAGTATCTAAACTTCTGAAAAATAAAAAAATTGGGAATGTCTGGATTCGAACCGACGACCTTCGAGTTACCATACCAAATTTGAGTCAAGTGCCTTACCTTTTCGAACTGCGAGGAACTTAACTGCTTTATTTTATTAGTTTCGCATTTCTGACCCCATTTTGCTCTGATTATACTGAAAAAAACCCCTTAAAAGTGTAGTAAATCACTGTAAAATACAAGAACTGAAGAAATGGTCAAAAATTTATCAAAAATGATCATAACTTAGTTTATCAGTTCCGCACCCTTGAAAACATTTTTTCGCTTGTTCAAAGATTTAAATTTAAATCTTCATACATTTCTCCAGAACTTCAAACATTCAACTCAACAGTTTACAATTGGTACAGCATTCGAACAAATGATGGCTGGGATGCACTCCATATTTCTGTCAAAGCTTATGAAAATGTTCATATTGCTCTTTCAAATTCAACTAATACAACGGAACCTCCAATTGAAATTATAATTGGTCAAAACAGAGGTCGTGTATCATCTATTTTAGATCAAGGCGTTGCTGTGTTCAGTGATAATAATGAAAGAAGATTGGATGAAACAGCATTTAGAGATTTCATTATTGGATGGAGGTTTGGAATTGTCATGGTATTTGAGGCAGGCGAACAAATGCCATTTATGGGTTATAACATGCAAAACAGATATTCTGTTGATTTCTTTGGGCTACGGACGATGTGAGTATATTGAACAAAAATTTTTAGTTTTGAGCTGGTCAATGTGAATTAATAATTGCCACGAACTTGCTTGAAGCTTACTATTAAACTTTAAAGCAGAGATCGAAGCCGATTTTTTTGGCTTAACTCAATTTTTGATTTTTTTGATAGAAAAAAGCCATTTAACATCCATTTTAAGTATTTAAATTGAACTTTACATGCTTTACTATGATTCTGTGTAATATTTTGTCAGCATGTAGCTATAGTAAGCTCAGAATTTCAATTTAGTCGATGATAAGCCGATCGGCTTAAATTTCGGCTTAACATTCTTTAACTTGAAATTCTGAGCTCACTATAGCTACATGCTGAAAAAATATTTCACAGAATCATAGTAAAGCATGTAAAGTTCAATTTAAATACTTAAAATGGGTGTTAAATGGCTTTTTTCTATCAAAAAAATCAAAAATTGAGTTAAGCCGAAAAAATCGGCTTCGATCTCTGCTTTAAAGCTACCATTGTAAGAAATATGAATGAATCTTTTTATTAAATATTTGTTCTTGTTCATTTAGTATTAGCTTAAGTGACCATAAAGCTGAATGGAAAGCCTCCAGACTTCAAATGTCTTCGACTAAGTCATTAGATGATGTTTATGCTGACATCAAGAATAAATTGAACAAAAATATTCCAATTGATTTAAATCTTTATTTACGGTGAAGCTTAATGTCAAATAATTATTTAAAAACTGATCAAAAATAAAAAAAAAACATTAATTTTAACTTATTTACTCAATTTTATTGACACTTTAAGATAATAGAAATTGACCTTGATGGTAGTAACTCTACCTCTCGATCCAAGACCATAAAAAAAATAAATAAATTATCAAAAATAATTGATTGTACTGTGTTATCAAATTTTTTTAAAATTAATTCATTAAAACTTAATAATCTTGTAGTATAACATTTTATTGAACATGTAATCGGCCGTTCACTTATGACGTCCAACGGGGGGCGGGGAAGAGGGGGAGGGGTACAGCAAAAAAAGAACCGAAGAAATTCCTGGAAATCCATTGTTCATTTTGAAAAATGACCGTTAATTTTGAACGTCATAAGTAAACGGTCAGGTGAACGGCAGCTTAGTTAAAAAATATCAGAAATGCCTATAATAAAAACTTAACATTAGGACAATACTTGAAAATATAAATAAATTCAATAATGACAAAACCTACTGAAATAATCAAGTAGCAGTTCTCAAGTGGTCGTAAAAGATCAACAATTGGCTTCAGATTAATCTTGGTGAAATTCAGTGGAAACACTCGAGTTTTGACTTTCAAATAATCGCAATGACGAGTTTTTATGTTTTTCACTTATCAACAAATTGTTCATAGTAATTGTGGAGAATTGCGATTTTTAAATTTGTTGTAGAAGGTTAGGTTTTAACTTCCACGCGTCAAAAGCGTGTAAGTTATTAGTATCGGTCAAAACACACTTTTTAGCGCAATTTTGAAACTTGTTTCGAAAAGGTAGCTTAATAGTACGCTTTGATCGTTTGCTCGGCTGCTCGGCTACCTGCAAAAACTTTTTATCTAGACATCGTAGAGAGTTCTAGTTTTTTGCGTTAGCTGTGTTCAATCGTTTTATTTCGGCGACGAATACTTAAAAATCGCAAAACCATCGGGAAATACTATGATTAATGATTTTTTGATTTCATTACAATGTAGCCAACGTCAAGTGGGATAGTTTTAAATATATTTTGACCGTTAGAAAATTTGAATTTTAAAAAACCGTTAAATGACAAATGATCTGTAAATGAACGCAAAATTATTAGATAATCAAATACTGATCGCTAACACACAAATGCGTTGAATTCTGTCGATACATAACACGAGGACTTTCGCCAATTTTTTTAATACAGCCTAAACGACTCATTTTCAAAAATTTAAAAGGGTACCAAAATGTGTGTATTAAAAGACCGGATTTTTCTGTTTATAAACATTTACGGTTGGACATCATCTATGCCTTCAAAACGCCAAAAAACGTCTTTTTGAGTCTACAAATTTGATAATCAGAGCCATTAAATTTTCGGAAAATAATTTTTTTGCCATTTGATCACACAACATAATCAATTTGGGGAATGGAAAGTCATTTTTCGTAATTCTCAAATTTCTGTAGTTTTGAAGCTGTCAAATTTGGAAAACCTAGAAAAAATGGTAATTTTCTTAAAATTCTTGCGGCACCAGACTTTTTTTCAAACTGGATATTATATTGATTTTATCTAATAGTCCTCATCAAGAGCTTTACAAAAATACCCCATATGGCTATGTTTTGACTTTCCCATGACTTGCTATAGCCTCTTGAAAATCGAAAAAATTGACGTTTTTGGAACCTATTTTTCTATGGATCATATCTCAAAATTATAACCATTTTAGAAGCTGCGGTTTTTTGTGTAAAGTAGATCTAATATTGAAAAATAATTACGCTAAGTTTCAGACAATTTTATGGATACGATAGTCCACAAGGTCAAAAAGTCTACTTAGTGGCATGCAATTTTTGAAATTTTTTTATCATTTTTTGCTCCGTTCTCGCTTGTTTTAAGGTAAAATCAATTAATTCCCAAATTAGTTTGAGATATTGATGTCTTGAGTTGATATGCGGAGTTTCGTTCAAAACTGACCAAAGCATGAGGCACTTGAATTGTTAAGCTCCCTTTTCAAAAATGCTCTACTTTTGATTAAAAATGTTGACAATAAAATCTGTCGAATATTCAAAAATTCTCATTCTCTTAAAGTTTCTCGTCAGTGAAGGTTGCTTGAAAGTCTGGCGAATAAAATGATAAGGAAAAATTTACTTTCTTTATCAATTGTTTTACTCGTTATAACCTCAAATTATTTAGTTAAATGCGAAAATGAAGGATTCTTTACGGTTGTTGGAGGAAATTTGTTAAAACTGCAGCAACCTTATCGAGTATCTGTAGCATTTCATGGATATACTGAGGAAAAAATCTTACAAATTGGAATTAAAGAAATTGACAACAATATTTCAAGTTTTGAAATATTAAAGAATGTGACACTAAAGGATGAAGGAATCTTAAATGTTGATTTTGATGTAAGTTCCTATTTGATATTGAGCTTTCCAAATTCAGAGACATAACCTACCGCAAATTGATTACATAAAATATTCATGAGAATAATTTTAAACTGATAACAAAATAATCAAATAAATTTGTGTATTTTCAGTTAAGTAATCAGCCAAAAGGTCGTTATGTACTCGAGGTTAAAAGCATGACCGGTGAAAAATTTAATCAGACTGTTGGACTTCATATGAATCTCAGAAAGCATTCGATCTTCATACAGACTGACAAAGGCATTTATAAACCCAGTGACATCATAAAATTTCGAGTTTTAATCTTAGACATTGACACCAAACCTTTCAAGTTCGATGACATTGAAATCTTCATCACAGATGGTAAAAGGAATCGAGTCAAGCAGTTCGAATTTCCAAAATCAAAGTTTGTTAAAGGAGTTTATAAAAATGAGCTTCAATTGTCAGATTCACCAGTCAAAGGAAATTGGAAGATTAATGTCAAAATAAACAATGAATCAGTTGCAGACAAAAACTTTGTGGTTGATGAATATGTGCTGCCAAAATTCGAGCTCACAATGGACACAGAGCCTGCAAACTTTAAGGATGGAAAGATTCGAGCAACAGTTAAGGCAAAATATACATTTGGAAAGTCTGCAAAAGGAACTGCAAATGTCACAGCTAAATTTCGTAAAGGTCATTATGATCGGGAAGAACGGAGGTATATTGATGAGTCAGTCATTGTTTCTAAACAAATTGATGTCGATGGTAAAAAATTTGTTGAATTTGATGCTGAGAATGAGTTAAAAATGAATAAAAGCAGCTACCATAGTCGTGTAGAATTAGTGGCCACATTTATTGAGAATCTGTCTCAAAAAGAAGTAAATGTGTCGAAAGTTGTCTTTGTCCAAAAGAAGCCTTACAAGTTAGAACTTTCTGGAGAAAAATACTTTATTAAACCAGGAATTCCGAATCATGTCATCGCAAAATTAACTTATTATGACAAAGACATGCCAATTACAGACAAAAACAATCCAATCAAGTTTAATATCAAATATAAATACGATATCATGCGAACCTGCATTCGACAAGAATATCCAAAGTGGTTTGATCCATATTATAGAAATCGGAAGCATAATAATGGTGAACCTCAAAGGAATTTGACCAGAGATGACATTATACATACTGAGTATGAATGCAGAGAAATTAAATCATTTGATAATCAACAGGAAGCTTATTCTAAAAATGGACGTGCTGAGATATTTGTTGAAGTTCAAGGAAATGCTACTGATATTGAAGTTCAGGTGTGTATTCGTAGAAAAAGCTTCAGAATAGGGTTTTCAATCCCGGGATTGAAATGTATGTAATCCCGCGATCAAACCCGGGATTCAGTACATTTTAATCCCGGGATGGGAAACCCTAGTTCAGACTATGCTTTGAACCATTCATCTCATCTATGTTTTCAATTAACGTTCAATCTCATTAATCATCTCAATTCAATTAGTTCTGCTATTCTTTTATTAATAATGTTTTCCTCTTCTGCAGGCATCATATCTGGATGTTGAATCATATGAATTTAGAATGCGAACATTAAAGTCTGAAAACAATCGATATCTTCAAGCTCAAGTAACATCCGAAAAGTAAGAACTAATATTTTAATTTCATGTTCATGGCTTGGGCATAGCAAACGACAATGATGAGCGTTTTGCGGAGCTGTGCACAAGTCATAACCTTGTCATTGGTGGCACTGTCTTTATTCGTAAGGACATCCATAAAGTGACTTGGTATTCTCCTGTCTCTTGGACGTTCGAGTTTTTTGCGAAGCCAAAGTTCACACGGACCATAAGTTTCTTGTCGCAATCATACAACTCAGACTTGCTGTTCTTAAGCCTACGTTCGAAAGTTATAAGCGTAGAGTTGACCCCAGTAAGTTGAGAAATGCACAGTTTCGTAAACGGTTCAGAAATGAACTGGGACAACGGCTTAATATGACAGCTTCCACCGAACCTGCTGCAAACTGGGATCACGTTAAGAAAGCTTACATAGAAGGAGGCAAGGCTGCAATTCCTTTTGTTCCTGAGCGTCGGAAATGTTACAATGGAACTTGATATATCAAAGGAAGGAAGCGAACTTGGCTGTTGGAGCAGCAAGGCTGCAAGTGCAACGGCTGGAGGTACTGGAGTTGTACAATGCGTTGAAAAGGCAGCTAGAAAAGAACAATAAAAGTTCCCTTTTTTTGAAAAATGACCGTACGTCATAAGTAAACGACCCCTTACTTAATAGCTTTAAATCCATTTTTTCAGGATATCATCAAATGATAAGATTGTTATTAAAGTCAAATCAAATGTGGAAATTAGTCAACTTTTTTACAAAGTCATCATCAAATCTGGATTGATTGATTCGAAATCAGTTAACTTTAGTCCATCTAAGGAACATGCTTTAGAAATTTCGTTCCATAAGTTGATGGTCTCATCGGTTCAGGTTATCATTTATTACATAACCGAAGATGGAGAAATTGTATCTGATAAAGTAAATGTTGAGTTTGACACTAATTTACCAAATTATGTAGGTATCATTAAGTAACAAACATTAGGTTCTTAGCTATTAAGATTCCTTTACAGATCAACCTTAATTTACACACAAATCAAACCAGACCAGGTGAAAATGTCACAATTACAGCCGAAACGATTGAAAATTCCTATGTGGGACTTGTTGGAGTCGATCAGAGTGTGTTGCTCTTAAAATCCACAAATGATCTAACCCATGAAGCTGTGCAAGATGAGCAGAGCAGGTATGACAACTATGATATATACAATTATGCAAGGTATGGACCAAAAATCAACAAATATTACGACAACTTCAGAGAATCAATAGTAATTATTTCAAATTCCAAAGAGACTCCAGGTATAGCAAATACTTGATGTTTATTGTCTAAAAATAAAAGTTAATTTTCTTACAATAGCACACAAGTACATTCCAGTATATTACAACATTACTCATGATTTGCCTTTGGATGGATATGCAGGCATACAGTATTCTCTTAGAGGACCTGGGCCAATGCTAAAAGTTGGAGCACAAATCAATATTGCACTTAATTCCAATAGAGATTCACCTTCCTCTGAAGCATCTTACTCTGCAGCTGCACCACCTCAAAGATCCATTGAAATAAGGAAAGATTTTCCAGAAACTTGGCTGTTTGAGGACTTTGACATGGAAAATAGGTAAGCTTGATAATCTAATGAACTTTATTGCAACTTTTAAACTCCTTTAATCCACAGTAACAAGCATGTCTTAACCAAAAAAGTCCCAGACACAATAACATCATGGATCATCACTGGATTCTCACTCAATCCCAATCTTGGTTTAGGACTCACAAAGGAACCAACAAAGTTGAATGTTTTCCAGCCATTCTTTGTGTCAACAAATCTTCCATATTCTATTAAACGCGGTGAAGTTGTCTCAATTCCATTTTCTGTCTTCAACTATTTAGGAACTGACCAAAATGTCATCGTTAAGTTCTTCAATTCTGATCGTGATTTTGAGTTTGTGGAAGTTAATGAAGCTGAAAATTCAGTCAGTCGTCAGAAGCGTGCACTTGAAAAGGAACGGACAAAAGAAATTCTTGTCAAATCCAATGAAGGAACTTCCATTTCATTTATGATTCGTCCATTGAAAGTTGGTCACATAACAATAAAAGTTACTGCTGAATCACAACTTGCTGGTGATGGAGTTGAACGACAATTGAAAGTTGAACCTGAAGGAGTTACTCAATATTTCAATGAAGCTGTCTTTGTTGACTTAAGGAACCAGAAGAATTTCAGGAAGAACATTCAAATCACAGTTCCATCAGAAGCTGTTGAGGATTCAACAAGAATGGAAGCTTCAGTTATTGGTGACATTCTTGGACCAACACTTGAGAATCTTGATAATCTTATACAACTTCCATATGGATGTGCTGAACAGAACATGCTGAAATTCGTACCTAATATTCTTGTCCTTGAATATCTCACAAATCTCAATAAACTGAATCCAGAAACGGAAGCAAAACTTAAAAAGCATCTCGATGTTGGATATCAGAAGCAGTTGACATACAAGAATAAAGGCGGTTCCTACAGTGGATTTGGAATGAAAACTGAGAATGGATCAACATGGTTGACTGCATATGTAGCAAAGTCATTCAATCAAGCATCAAAATACATCGATATTGACCAAGAAGTCATAACTGAAGCACTCGACTTCCTCAATTCAGTTCAAAGTGAAAATGGAAGCTTCCCTGAGTTTGGTCATGTCTCATACACACCAATGCAAGGCGGAGCATCAAAAGGAATTGGACTGACTGCATACACATTAATCACATTCTTAGAAAATAAGCAGCATGGTGAGAAATATAAAGACACGATTAAGAAATCTTTAGATTATGTTGTGAAGAATATTTGGGAACTTGATGACATTTATGCACTTGCCATAGCTAGTTATGCACTTCAACTTGCTAGACATGAGAAGAAGGATGAGTTGCTTGCCAAATTGAATAATAAAGCAGAAGAAACGGAAGGAATGAAATATTGGAAGAAGGAAATTGTTGAAGATGAAGGAAGAGCTTATTGGTTCTATAGACGTAGAAGTACAGTCAATGTTGAAATGACATCTTATGCTATGCTTGCATTCATTTTAGCTGGACATGATCAACAAACAATTCCGATCATGAAATGGCTTGTGTCACAAAGAAATTATCGTGGTGGATTCCAATCAACACAAGATACTGTCGTTGGACTTCAAGCTTTATCTCAGTTGGCATCAAAAATTCCATTCAGCAACAATCAAATGAGAATTTCTATAAAACCTGAAAATTCAGCACAAAAATCATTTGACTTGAATGACAAAAATTCATTAATTCTTCAAAAAGCAGAACTTCCATCAAGTTCAAGGACATTTGAAGTCACAGCAAATGGAACTGGATTTGCAATACTTCAGATTTCTTACAAATACAATTTAGATAATGCAGGCAAACATCCACGATTCAATTTAAAGCCAACAGTTGACACAACATCAAATAAAGAATTTTTGAACTTGAAAGTTTGCACAAATTTTGTTCCTGATTCACAAGATGACAAGTCTAATATGGCAATTATGGAAGTGACTTTACCCAGTGGATTTACATTCGATAATGATCATTTGACTGAACTTATGACGACTGAGAAAGTTAAAGTAAGATTTTATAGTTTATAGTTTGGCTTGGTTCTTAATGATTGGAATTGAATTTTACAGAAAGTCGAGACAAAGGATGGAGATACAGTCATAATGGTCTACTTTGATGACATTGAAGCAACATACATTTGTCCATCATTCCATGCTTATCGTACACATTCAGTTGCCAATCACAAACCAGCTCCAATTGTTGTTTATGATTATTATGATAATTGTAAGTCACGATCCTCATCCATTGCTTGACTTTGTTCCTATATTATGATTTATTTTACAGCACGTCATGCTCGAGCATTCTACAATCCACCAGAAATCTCATTGTGTGACATTTGTCAAGGTGCTGATGACTGCAAAGATGCTTGTGAGGTTCCAACTGTTGAGATTCATTGATTGTTGTTTAAATTGTGTTTTTTTGTTTCTTGAGAATGATAATGATTTTTCAAAATTTTGTTTTGTTTCAATTTAATTGTGAAATAAAATGAATCATACCTAAAATGTTGATAAGACTCTGTGATTATTTACTTGATGATGACTTCATTACATCTTTAATCGGGTAAATATTATTTGGTTTATTCTGCATTGAGAATTTAAAAGGAACAACTGGTTATTCTTTAAGTTTACATTTTAAGAGTTCATTGCCCTTTAAGACGATCTTTAAGAATGTCAAACGAGTTTAGTTGTTTATACCTTTGTAGCAATTGAACTTGGACAGCAGAAAATTAAATAATTGAATATCTCAAAATTCTAGATTGCACCAAATAAAGCTCTTTTTGCTGACTTTAATCTTGGCCAACTTTTTCATTTTTGTGATTAAACCTTAAACATTAAAATTTGTGAATATAAACCGAGAATAATTTTAAAATTTACTCATTCTTTCGTTGTCTTTAGTCGGTGAAGGTTGCTTTAAATTTCACCTTAAACATGATAAGGAACAAATTTCTTTCCTTATCACTGCTTTTAATAGCTTTAGTGTCAACTTACTTAGTAAATTGTGATAGTGAAGGAACATTTACAATTGCTGCAGGAACTTTGCTTAAATTTCATCAACCTTATCGAGTTGCTGTTGCTTATCAAGGATATAAGCATGATAAAGTTCTACAAATTGGAATCAAGCAGGTTGAAAGTAACTCATCAATCTATGAAAACTTTAAGAATGTTACTTTAAGAGGTGATGGACTGCAGAATATCGATTTTGATGTAAGTTTTTATTGCTGTGGCTTATTGGGATTTGATTTTGTAAGAGATTATGTCATTGTAAGGTATTGGGAGCCTTCTCATATTGGTGGTTTGATTCAAAAATCTACTAATGGATTTATACTTACTTACTGTAACCATGTTCTTAAGTGAAGCTTAGGACTTGTGAAGCTCTGTCATCTAGTTTGTACAATTTGTCTGTCCGCACATTAAACTGACATTCGTTCATCACTGTTCTGCGCCATGTAGCTTTTGGAGCTCCAGGGCGTTTTTTCCCTTGCGGATTTCCACCAAGGGTGGTGTAACAAACTTGTGTTTCTGTCCAGCAATGACATTCTCTCTGGCAATTTACTAGTGGATACATTTCCTTTAATCTCACAAATTGAAGGGTTGTTGTTTAAGCTTTGCTTAGTAGCCATGCAATCCCCATACAGATGACATAAACATAATCATTTAGCTGCCCACCAGCATATGATGATTTTGTTATGGACATCAAGTTACTGACCTTTACCACCTCCTTGATAACAAACAATAAATCACGAGATTTTGCCATTGCCTACCGCAAAATCTTGCACAAAACATTCTTGAGAATTAATCTTCATTTTATTTCACTGATAACAATTTTTCTTATTCTTTTTTTCAGTTGAGTAAGCAACCAGAAGGTTATTATGTGCTCAAAGTTGACAGTATGAGTGGCGAAGATTTTAATTCAACAAGATCACTTCATATGAACATTAAAAAGTATTCAACCTTCATTCAAACTGACAAAAGTGTCTATAAACCCGGTGATATTGTCAAGTTTCGTATTGTAATTTTGGATGTTGATACAAAACCTTTTAAGTTCGATGACATTGAGATCTTCATTACAGATGGTGGTGAACATCAAGTTAAAAAGTTTGAGGATCCAAAGTCTAAGTTTGTTAAAGGAGTTTATAAAAATGAGCTTCAATTGTCAGATTCGTTAGTTCAAGGAAGATGGCAGATACATGTCCGTGTTAATGATAATGAATTCAAGAGTAAGAGCTTTGATATAGAGGAATATGATTTGCCAAAGTTTGAGCTTGTCTTGGATGTTGAGCCTGCAAACTATAAAGATGGAAAGATTCGAGCGACAGTCAAGGCAAAATACACATTTGGAAAGATGGCAAAAGGAACAGCAAAAGTGACAGCAGTTGTAAATCAAAACACTTACCATTTCCGTAGAAGATATAAGCCTGATAAGAAGGATTTAACAACAGTTATAAAACACATTGATGTCGATGGCAAAAAGTTTGTTGAATTTGACATGGAAAGTGAACTGAAAATGAATAAAAGCAGCTACAACAATAATGTCGTACTTACAGCAACATTTGTAGAAGAAATAACTAAAAAAGAAGTGAATGTCACCAAGTATGTCCACATTGAAAGATCGCCATACAAACTCGATATTTCCTATGATAAATACAGTGTAAAGTCAGGACTTCCATTTAAATTTACAGCAAAATTGTCACTTCATGACAAGGACATGCCAATCACAGATAAGAACAATCCAATCAAGTTCCACTTACAATACAAATATGACGTCATGTCTACTTGCATTACAAGAGACTACCCCAAAGATTTTGATCCTTGGTTCAAAGTTCGAAATCCTAACAGCACAGTGACTCAACGAACATTAACTGAAGATGATCTTATTAAGAAGGAGATTGAATGCAGAGATGAGAGGAGTATTGATGAAGTTAAGGAAGCTTATCCAGTTAATGGATTAGCTGAGGCTTATGTTATAATCTCTGGAAATATTACGGAAGTGGAAATTAAGGTAGGTTCCTTGGTCTGCTGTCATATTTCTGTACTGCTATACAGCAGTAGTTCTACATGCAACAGGTTGTGCGAGACTAAAATTTCTTAATGATTGAATAATTAAAATAAAACATTTATTTCCACAGCTATCTTATTTGGATACAGAAACCTATACACAAAGAGTCAAAACTTCAATTTCTGCAAACAATCAGTTCCTCCAAGCTCATGTCATATCGAAAGAGTAATAGCTCCTTAGTGCTACTTAGAAATCAAAATTCATAATTTTTTTCTTATTTCTAGAATTTCGACAGGACAAAACATCAAAATCCGCGTTGAATCAAACACAATAATCAAGTACCTGATTTACAAAGTCATTGGTGGATCAAATATGATTGATTCTAAACTAGTAAGATTCAATCCTTCTAAAGAATATACTTTAGAAATTATGACTACACCTTCGATGGGCTCATCAGTTGATGTTCTTGTTTACTACATCACAGAAGATGGAGAACTAGTGTCCGATAAAGTTGATGTCAATATTGATAACTTAGGAAATTATGTAAGTTGAGCCTGACTTGACCATACATTTGTAGGCTAACACATAATCTCAAAATAATTTAATTCTAATAGATGAATCTGCATTTATCTACTGAACAAGCTGAACCATCTGAAAATATCAACATAACCATTGACAGCAATCCACATTCATATATTGGATTGCTCGGTGTTGACCAAAGTGTGCTTCTCGTGAAACATCCAGAAAATGATATTGACAGTTCAGCTATTGCTAGAGAAAAGATGTATTATCAAAGTTATGACATATATAATGACAACTCATATGGATATAAAGCATACAGGAATTATGAAGATTTTAGATTAGGAATTTTTGCTATCTCAAATGCAAAACCAACACAAGGTTTGAATTCTTGACTTACTTTGTCATGTTTTACTCGGGAAATAATTTTTATAATTCATTAGAACGTGAGAGCATCCCAATGTGCTATGATGACACCAAAGATTATCCATTGGATGGTTACAATAAGAGACCAGAATACGATTTACAATCAGCCTCTGCTTATGGTGACTCATCTGGCATGAGTGTGTTTAAAGGAGGACAAATATCTGCTGGAAACAGACCAATTAAAATTCGAAAGGAATTTCCAGAAACTTGGTTGTTTGAAGATTTTGACATGGAAAATAGGTAAGCTTGATAATCTAATGAACTTTATTGCAACTTTTAAACTTCTTTAATCCACAGTAACAAGCATGTCTTAACCAAAAAAGTCCCGGACACAATAACATCATGGATCATCACTGGATTCTCACTCAATCCCAATCTTGGTTTAGGACTCACAAAGGAACCAACAAAGTTGAATGTTTTCCAGCCATTCTTTGTGTCAACAAATCTTCCATATTCTATTAAACGCGGTGAAGTTGTCTCAATTCCATTTTCTGTCTTCAACTATTTAGGAACTGACCAAAATGTCATCGTTAAGTTCTTCAATTCTGATCGTGATTTTGAGTTTGTGGAAGTTAATGATGCTGAAAATTCAGTCAGTCGTCAGAAGCGTGCACTTGAAAAGGAACGGACAAAAGAAATTCTTGTCAAATCCAATGAAGGTAGTTCCATTTCATTTATGATTCGTCCATTGAAAGTTGGTCACATAACAATAAAAGTTACTGCTGAATCACAACTTGCTGGTGATGGAGTTGAACGACAATTGAAAGTTGAACCTGAAGGAGTTACTCAATATTTCAATGAAGCTGTCTTTGTTGACTTAAGGAACCAGAAGAATTTAAGGAAGAACATTCAAATCACAGTTCCATCAGATGCTGTTGAGGATTCAACAAGAATGGAAGCTTCAGTTATTGGTGACATTCTTGGACCAACACTTGAGAATCTTGATAATCTTATACAACTTCCATATGGATGTGCTGAACAGAACATGCTGAAATTCGTACCTAATATTCTTGTCCTTGAATATCTCACAAATCTCAATAAACTTAATCCAGAAACGGAAGCAAAACTTAAAAAGCATCTTGATGTTGGATATCAGAAGCAGTTGACATACAAGAATAAAGGCGGTTCCTACAGTGGATTTGGAATGAAAACTGAGAATGGATCAACATGGTTGACTGCATATGTAGCAAAGTCATTCAATCAGGCATCAAAATACATCGATATTGACCAAGAAGTCATAACTGAAGCACTTGACTTTCTCAATTCAGTTCAAAGTGATAATGGAAGCTTCCCTGAGTTTGGTCATGTGTCATACACACCAATGCAAGGAGGAGCATCAAAAGGAATTGGACTGACTGCATACACATTAATCACATTCTTAGAAAATAAGCAGCATGGTGAGAAATATAAAGACACGATTAAGAAATCTTTAGATTATGTTGTGAAGAATATTTGGGAACTTGATGACATTTATGCACTTGCCATAGCTAGTTATGCACTTCAACTTGCTAGACATGAGACGAAGGATGAGTTGCTTGCCAAATTAAATAATAAAGCAGAAGAAATGGAAGGAATGAAATATTGGAAGAAGGAAATTGTTGAAGATGAAGGAAGAGCTTATTGGTTCTATAGACGTAGAAGTACAGTCAATGTTGAAATGACATCATATGCTATGCTTGCATTCATTTTAGCTGGTCATGATCAACAAACAATTCCAATCATGAAATGGCTTGTGTCACAAAGAAATTATCGTGGTGGATTCCAATCAACACAAGATACTGTCGTTGGACTTCAAGCTTTATCTCAGTTGGCATCAAAAATTCCATTCAGCAACAATCAAATGAGAATTTCTATAAAACCTGAAAATTCAGCACAAAAATCATTTGACTTGAATGACAAAAATTCATTAATTCTTCAAAAAGCAGAACTTCCATCAAGTTCAAGGACATTTGAAGTCACAGCAAATGGAACTGGATTCGCAATACTTCAGATTTCTTACAAATACAATTTAGATAATGCAGGCAAACATCCACGATTCAATTTAAAGCCAACAGTTGACACAACATCAAATAAAGAATTTTTGAACTTGAAAGTTTGCACAAATTTTGTTCCTGATTCACAAGATGACAAGTCTAATATGGCAATTATGGAAGTGACTTTACCCAGTGGATTTACATTCGATAATGATCATTTGACTGAACTTATGACGACTGAGAAAGTTAAGGTAAGATCCTATAGTTTGGTTGAGTTCTTATTTATTGAAATTGAATTTTACAGAAAGTCGAGACAAAGGATGGAGATACAGTCATAATGGTCTACTTTGATGACATTGAAGCAACATACATTTGTCCATCATTTCATGCTTATCGTACACATGCAGTTGCCAATCACAAACCAGCTCCAATTGTTGTCTATGATTATTATGATAATTGTAAGTCATGATCTTCATCCATTGCTTGACTTTGTTCCTATATTGTGATTTATTTTACAGCACGTCATGCTCGAGCATTCTATAATCCACCAGAAATCTCATTGTGTGACATTTGTCAAGGTGCTAATGAATGCAAAGAAGCTTGTGAGGTTCCAACTGTCAATTAAATTGGCAGTTGCTTTACTGCTTCAAATTGTAAGTTTTAATGAAAAGTTATGTCCTATTCTGTAAATTTTTACTGTAAAAGTTTTTAAACTTTCTCTAATTTTAGAAAGAATTTTTAAAAAATAAAAACAAATTGTTTGACTTAATTTTTTAAGTTTACAGATTTTAATGTGTTTAGTATTGTTCAAGTTAAACTACAAATGATCATTGATGGCACTAAATTGAACTAAAGATTCTTTCATTTCCATTAGTGACATTCGACGAACTTTATAAAAATAAATAATCAAAAGAATTGGAACTGAAACTAAAATAAAACTCAAAATAATAGTAAATGCCAATAATCCTAAACATGAACAGTTCTTAGCTTCAGCTTCATCATTTTGTTCCTCAGATTCTTTCCAATTTGATGATTCATCAACTCTCGGCTTACAATTTTCGTAAATTTCAGCTGTAATGTTGGACTTTAACCACCGATCATAAATTGTGTGCATTACACATGGATTAAAATTGAAATAAATCCTTTCAAGTTTCTTCAATTCATTAAAAACATTTGGTTCAACATGCTGGATTTGATTGTGCTCTAACGAAATTTCTGTTAATTTTAAATTAAACTTGAATAAATCTTGTTCAATGACTTGAATGTCATTTCCTTCAAATGAGAGAGTTTTGAGCTCCGTGAATGGTTCTAAGTTGTACTGATGAACTTCTCGTAATTTTGAATATTTTATTGATAATGATGTAAGGTTTCCTAGTTTGGTTTCTATCCCAAATGGGATGTAGTAGACAACGCTTGCTGTGATAGTAAGCGAAACTTTTTTGACACTTGAACTGTAGCTAAAATGTGGATATGAACTGTTAGATATGAGAAATTATTTTCAAGAGATATAAGCAAAGGAAGGTCGACGATCAGGATCGAGCAATAAAGGTGTATTTTTTCAAAATTCTATAGTTTTTGAATTTAAGCGTTCCTGATTTTGCAGTATTACATGACCGAATATCAAAAGTCGGATAATTAAATAGAAATCTGGTACCAAGCCCCAAGGGGAGGAGGGTCCTTTGTCATTAACGCAAATGACAGACATTTAACTGCTTTTCTGATTAGTGCTGAAGTTCAAACTCGTATAGAAATGTAAAGCAAACCAAACAGTCCCGTGATTTCAGACCCATTTAAAATCGTTGCATTCCTCTTCTATTTTACACGTCATTGAAGACGCACGCACGCAGCAAATATTGTAAGTTTAAATTAAATTAAATAAACATCTTGAAACTAATCCAAAATTTTATATCCCACTATTAGTGTGAACCCTAGCTCCAGAAATAAAGCAAATTCACATAATAGCGCCCTTAAATCCGATTCATAAATTATTTTGAAATTATTTTTTTTTTCACTTTTAATCGTTATTTAACAAAACCTCACTAGTTTAAGGCAAAAACAATAAAATCAGCTTTTAATAATCAAATAGAGAAGGTCAGGTGACAAAGCATAATTTTTAACCCCCCCCCCCCCCCCCCTCGACTCCCCCTTCTTGGCTACGCCCCTACCAAGCCAATCGAATCTGTCACCATGCCTGAGTTATGCCAGCTCTGTTTCAGATTTCTATTCGATTAACCGACTTGTGCTGTTCGGAGCAACTGAAAAAATGACAAAATGGCGACAAATTGATGCTCTTAAACTAGGGTTACCATCTAATTTTCATGAAAATACAGGACTTTTGGTAATTTTTTTCGAAAAATACAGGACATAGAGTAAAAAAATACAGGACCAAGAACAAAATTTAAAAATTTATACAGGACAGTCTTGAAAAATACAGGACTGTCCGTTGAAAAACTACGCAGATGGTCACCCTATCTTAAACATCTCTTTATCCACGCATGAGACTATTGTGTTATTTATGCTAGATCAACAAAAAGTTTACAGCAGAGGTCGAAGTCGACTCGAGATTTTCATCGATTTTGTGACTCTATACAAAATTTCATCGACTTCGAGCTCTGGTTTAAAGCATGCGTGGACAAATGATCGTATCGTATTCTCGTCGATTTAAACTCGCTTGAGTATATGGAAAGTGGGAAAGCATTACAAATATCCAATGCCTTTATTAAAGATATAGCTCTTTACCTTATCGTAGATCTGATCATTTCAAGGTCATCGATAGTTTCATTCTGTTTCAAAATCTTTAAATGTTTAGCATCACAATCAGAATGAATTTCTGTTTCAGAAGAGTAAATCATGTATCTTATATTACTGCATCTTAGCTTCATACTGATTGAATTAATTTGCACGATACTAAAAGTTGTGAGGAACACGATTGTCCTTAACAAAGTTGAAAAAAAAAATAGTATTTAAAGTTACTTTTGGATTATTTTATAAGCTCACCAAAGTTTTAAATTCATTTTTTTTTTGTCCAAGTCAGGAAAATTTGGAATGAACAAAAATAATATTCGCAATGTTGACACCTTTGCAAATTAGATATGACTGAGAGTAAGTAGATATGAACAGATAGAAATCGATAAATTAATTTACAATAGAATCTCGTATTACTATAAGCATTTGATGTGTTTTTCAGTAAGTTTATTGCAAAATTGCTCTTTTGTATTTCAATTGTTGATGATTTATTTATTTTATTTTTCATATTGCAATTTATAAAGGAATTTTAGGACTTTTATACATCATGTGTAATACATTTTATGATAAATCAAAGTCTATTAAAACTGTGTTTGGCATTCAACTATTGGCTAGTTCTTCTAGAGAATCTTTATCTTTATTTTTATTGTTGGACTATTTAAATAAAATTGGGGTTTCTTTAGTTTAAGAAAGGTTGTTCTCTGATTTGACAGCAAATGGTGATTATCTAGCTTCCAACAAGATAGCTTCCTTTAATTCATTACGAGAACTTCTCTATTGTATCTCATACTAGCTCTAACATAATACTTATCAATAATCACAAAAGACAGTGCAATAATGAAGACGACAATGAATAAACATGCAGTTATTGTCAGTTCCGGACACTTATCACATGAAATTTTAAATGACTCATCAATTCCTTCTTCTTGCTTCATCCAATCTGATGATTCATCGTCACGTGGCTTACAAAATTCTTGAACTAGTGAGATTGTTACCTTGGGATGGTTTTCCAGATTCAAGCTATGAGCTAAGCATGGATTTAGAGCTAATTGAAGAACTTTTATATCTTTTAGATCATCAAATACTTTTGGGTCGATATGCTTAATGTGGTTGTGGTTGAAAGCCACAACTTTTAACTTTGCATTAAATTTGAACAAGTCATTTTCAATGACTTGAATTTCATTGCCTTTCAGTGACAAATAACGGAGCTCTGGAAATACTTTTAGATCAATTTGATGAATTTCACGAAGTTTTGAGTTTATGATTGAAATTGCTGTTAAATTTGTGAATTTATTCTCGATATTTTTTGGGAAATAGTAAATGACACTAAATTCGATGTAGATTCCTTTAATATCTGTGTCTTTGTAGATATGAAATCCTTTAAACATGCTGGTTCCATCATAAATTGGCTGTGAAAAATGCTGTCCTGTAATATTTGTGACAATTGAATTTGGTTCCAAAACAATCACATTTTCAGCTTCACAATGGTAAATTATTTGAAGTTCCTTATAAAATTTCAGTCTGTATTGGCAGTTTATGTTGATTGTAGATATTGCAGGTAATATGACTGCTAGCAATGCAGCAACAGCTAAGATAGTTCTGAAAACAATTTGAAATTAAGATTTTAAATAAAATTAATAAAAATTTTACCCAAACTTATTCATAATCTCTTGACTAAGTTACTTCATTAAGGCAAGAAAAAAACTTAAAATTTTTTTTAAGCTGTCGATTAATTTGAAGTTCTTATCAGTTTTTATTTATTTTATTTTGTTTTTATTGATATTTATATTTTATTAGGAAACATTCATTTACATATGGACTTGAACCGATTTTTTGATAATTTTGAACAAGTAAAATCAATGAATCTCAACAGTTGGAACCTCACAAGCATCTTTGCATTCATCAGCACCTTGACAAATGTCACACAATGAGATTTCTGGTGGATTGTAGAATGCTCGAGCATGACGTGCTGTAAAATAAATCATAATATAGGAACAAAGTCAAGCAATGGATGAGGATCGTGACTTACAATTATCATAATAATCATAAACAACAATTGGAGCTGGTTTGTGATTGGCAACTGAATGTGTACGATAAGCATGGAATGATGGACAAATGTATGTTGCTTCAATGTCATCAAAGTAGACCATTATGACTGTATCTCCATCCTTTGTCTCGACTTTCTGTAAAATTCAATTCCAATCATTAAGAACCAAGCCAAACTATAAACTATAAAATCTTACTTTAACTTTCTCAGTCGTCATAAGTTCAGTCAAATGATCATTATCGAATGTAAATCCACTGGGTAAAGTCACTTCCATAATTGCCATATTAGACTTGTCATCTTGTGAATCAGGAACAAAATTTGTGCAAACTTTCAAGTTCAAAAATTCTTTATTTGATGTTGTGTCAACTGTTGGCTTTAAATTGAATCGTGGATGTTTGCCTGCATTATCTAAATTGTATTTGTAAGAAATCTGAAGTATTGCAAATCCAGTTCCATTTGCTGTGACTTCAAATGTCCTTGAACTTGATGGAAGTTCTGCTTTTTGAAGAATTAATGAATTTTTGTCATTCAAGTCAAATGATTTTTGTGCTGAATTTTCAGGTTTTATAGAAATTCTCATTTGATTGTTGCTGAATGGAATTTTTGATGCCAACTGAGATAAAGCTTGAAGTCCAACGACAGTATCTTGTGTTGATTGGAATCCACCACGATAATTTCTTTGTGACACAAGCCATTTCATGATTGGAATTGTTTGTTGATCATGACCAGCTAAAATGAATGCAAGCATAGCATATGATGTCATTTCAACATTGACTGTACTTCTACGTCTATAGAACCAATAAGCTCTTCCTTCATCTTCAACAATTTCCTTCTTCCAATATTTCATTCCTTCCATTTCTTCTGCTTTATTATTTAATTTGGCAAGCAACTCATCCTTCTTCTCATGTCTAGCAAGTTGAAGTGCATAACTAGCTATGGCAAGTGCATAAATGTCATCAAGTTCCCAAATATTCTTCACAACATAATCTAAAGATTTCTTAATCGTGTCTTTATATTTCTCACCATGCTGCTTATTTTCTAAGAATGTGATTAATGTGTATGCAGTCAGTCCAATTCCTTTTGATGCTCCTCCTTGCATTGGTGTGTATGAGACATGACCAAACTCAGGGAAGCTTCCATTATCACTTTGAACTGAACTGAGGAAGTCAAGTGCTTCAGTTATGACTTCTTGGTCAATATCGATGTATTTTGATGCTTGATTGAATGACTTTGCTACATATGCAGTCAACCATGTTGATCCATTCTCAGTTTTCATTCCAAATCCACTGTAGGAACCGCCTTTATTCTTGTATGTCAACTGCTTCTGATATCCAACATCAAGATGCTTTTTAAGTTTTGCTTCCGTTTCTGGATTCAGTTTATTGAGATTTGTGAGATATTCAAGGACAAGAATGTTAGGTACGAATTTCAGCATGTTCTGTTCAGCACATCCATATGGAAGTTGTATAAGATTATCAAGATTCTCAAGTGTTGGTCCAAGAATGTCACCAATAACTGAAGCTTCAATTCTTGTTGAATCCTCAACAGCATCTGATGGAACTGTGATTTGAATGTTCTTCCTGAAATTCTTCTGGTTCCTTAAGTCAACAAAGACAGCTTCATTGAAATATTGAGTAACTCCTTCAGGTTCAACTTTCAATTGTCGTTCAACTCCATCACCAGCAAGTTGTGATTCAGCAGTAACTTTTATTGTTATGTGACCAACTTTCAATGGACGAATCATAAATGAAATGGAAGTACCTTCATTGGATTTGACAAAAATTTCTTTTGTCCGTTCCTTTTCAAGTGCACGCTTCTGACGACTGACTGAATTTTCAGCTTCATTAACTTCCGCAAACTCAAAATCACGATCAGAATTGAAGAATTTCACGATGACATTTTGGTAAGTTCCTAAATAATTGAAGACAGAAAATGGAATTGAGACAACTTCACCGCGTTTAATAGAATATGGAAGATTTGTTGACACAAAGAATGGCTGGAAAACATTTAACTTTGTTGGTTCCTTTGTGAGTCCTAAACCAAGATTAGGATTGAGTGAGAATCCAGTGATGATCCATGATGTTATTGTGTCTGGGACTTTCTTTGTTAAGACATGCTTGTTGCTGTGGATAAAAGGAGTTTAAAAGTTGCAACAAAGTTCATTATATTATCAAGCTTACCTATTTTCCATGTCAAAATCTTCAAACAACCAAGTTTCTGGAAAATCTTTGCGAATTTCAATTGGTTTTGGTCCTCCACCTCCTGCACTAGCCCCAACTCCAGAAAAAAGTACAGCATCACTATCAAAGTCACTTGCACCAACTCGATCATAAGATGCAATTTCATATTGCTTTGTTGGATAAGGATATCCATCCAATGGTAAGTCATATGTATGATTATCATAAGTTTGGATGTATTTGTATTCTGTAAAGACAATAACGATTGGTATATGTATTTTACTAGCTGATTCAATTTACTTTGTGATCCTTTTGTATTGGATATGATAACAAGATTCTTATTAAAGTCTTCATAGTATTCATTAGGGCCATCATATCTCCTGTAGTGATATATATCATAACTTTCAAATCTTCTTAACTCATTGCTTACTGTGACTTCATCAATGTCATTTCCAGACTTCAAAAGAAGAACACTCTGGTCGATTCCAAGAAGTCCAACAAATGAATTTGGTGTGCTGTCTACTGTGATAGTGACATTCTCACCTGGCTTAACTTGTTCGGATGAAAGGTGAAGGTTGATCTATAAAAATTAATTAAAATATTTAAAAATAAAATTATTTTGTCAACTTTAGTTTAATTTACATAATTTGCGAAATTTCCATCAAGATCAAAGTCTATACTGTCAGAAATAAGTTCTCCTTCTTCGGTAATGCAAAAGACAATGACTTGAATAGATGAACCCATTGATGTGGTTGGGACAATTTCTAAATAGTCATCCATGATTTTGGCATATTTAAAAGATTTTGTCTCAATATATCCAGATGATCCTACTATTTTGTAATTGAGTCGATTAATCTTTTCATTGGAAGCTATACGAACTACATATGAATCGTTTGATTGAGTCCTGGAAGTAAGGAATTGTTATATTCAGATTGAATTATTTTTTGTGAATTTATAGACATTTCTTAAGCCAGCAGTAGCTTTATAGTTCGACATAATGAATCTATGGTATTGTTTCATGAAGCATAGCTTTGCAAGCACTCATGTACCCTAATCATATCATATCCTTACCATTGTGGTGAATAATACAACTGAATGAACTTGTTACTTTCTGAAACTGCTCTTGAAATATAATTCGTATAGTCACTAGCGTCAAGATATGAAGCCTAAAAGATTTTAATCAATTTCAGCAATCGCAAAATAATTCAAGTATTTTACTCACATCCACGCGTATATCAGTGATGTTTCCAATAACTTCAAGAGGAAGCTCAGCAAGTCCATTTTTAGGAAACACTTCTCTGACTTCATCCATTGACTTGACTTCTCTGCATTCATATTCTGATGTTATTATGTCATCTACAGTCAATGTTCGTTGAGTCACAGTCTCATTCCTTTTGTAGAACCTAAAGTATGGATCAAACCATTCCGGATAATCTTTACGCGTGCATGTTCTCATAATATCGTAATTGTATTTAATTTCAAATTTAACAGGATTGTGACTGTCAGTGACTGGCATGTTTTTATCGTGTTTCATCACCTGAGCTCGTAATTTAAATGGAAGTCCTGGTTTGATTTTTTCTGCACTTTTAGTTAATTCAATCTTGTATGGAGATTTCTCAACATAAATGTCTTTAGTCACATTCATTTCTTTTTGATTAAGTTCCTCTACAAATGTTGCTGTTAGAGTCACAAACCTTTCATACCTGCTTTGGTTCATTTTTAACTCATTTATGACGTCAAATTCTACAAACTTTTTACCATCAACATCGATCTGCTTAGACACTCGAACTGACTCGTCAATCAACTTTTGTTCCTCACGTGAATAATGACTTCTGTATACCTCAGCTGTTACTTTTGCAGTTCCTTTAGCAAACTTACCAAATGTGTATTTTGCTTTAACTGTGGCTCGAATCTTCCCATCTTTAAAGTTTGCTGGTTCTGTGTCCATTGTGAGCTCGAATTTCGGTAAGACATATTCATTAACCTCAAAATCCTTATTTGTATTTGATTTATTGTTAACTTTGACATGGATCTTCCATGTGCCCATGACCGGTAAGTCAGACAATTGAAGCTCATTTCGATAAACTCCATTGACAAACTTTGATTTTGGAGATTCAAACTGCTTGATTCGATTCCTGCCACCATCTGTGATGAAGATTTCAATGTCATCGAACTTAAAAGGCTTTGTATCAGCATCAACAACAAAAACACGAAACTTGACATTATCACCGGGTTTATAGATGCTCTTGTCAGTCTGAATGAAGGTCGAATATTTTCTCAAATTCATATGCAAAGCAACAGATTGATTAAATTTTTTGCCAGTCATGCTTTTGACTTCGAGTACATAGTCGCCTTGTGGCTGATTATTAAGCTGTGAGGATGACAAATGTTATCAAATGAAAAAAAATATTCTCAAGAATATGTTACGTTATATATTGGGGTAGGTAGTGACAAGATTATGTTAACTTAATCTTGTTGACTCATTAAAGATTTCTATTTTTTAGACTTTATTAGTTCTGAAGAAAAATCTGAAAAATGAAGGAATTCTAGGTCCTAGATTTTCATGGATTTTTTAATAAAGTCCTGAAAAATGCTCGAATACTTCAAAAGCTTGCACTAGACCAGTGTTGTCCAAACTTTTTAAGCCACGGCACACCTTAGAAGTAAGCCCTAACCTAAGGTCATTTCCGAAAAAATTCTCCAGTACACTAGTGTGCCGTGGCACGCAGTTTGGACAACACTGCACTAGACACTAGACATTAATAATAATAATGTGTGAAGGGCCCAGCCTTTCAGCTGGAGGCACTGCGATTCAATTTGTAAAGAATCTAACACCAAACATTAAAAGGTCTAAATATTTAGTAAACATTGATGTCTAGTGTCCAATCGGGAACATTTTAATCCCTAAATTTAAGATAACCTGCTCGATATTTTAAGCAAAACTTACATCAAAATTGACATTCTTAATTCCATCACCTGAGACTGTCACTTTCTTATAAACTTCATATCCAGTGGAATTTTCCTTAACTTCCTTAATTCCAATTTGTAGAATTTGTTCCTCCTTATATCCTTGATATGTCAAAACTGTTCGATAAGGTTGCTGATATTTCAGCAAATTACTTCCAACAACCGTAAAAAATCCTTCATTGTCACACTTAATTAAGTAATTTGAAGCTATGAAGAGTAGAATAATTGATAAGAAAAGCATTTTGTTCCTTATCATTTTGAACAGGCTGATTTAGAAACAACCTTTACTGACAAGATGCTTTGAGAGAATGAGCAAATTTTGGATTTTATTTTGAACATTATCAGCCAAAAAAAAATATGAAAGCAGCTTAAAGTTCTAAAATGATTAAATTAGAACAATTGTGCGTGATTAGCTTAAAAGGAGTAATTCCCATTGCTGGGACAGAAACACAAATCTGTTGCACCACCCGTGGTTGGAATCCGCAAGAGAAAAGACGCTCAGGAGCTCCAAAAGCTTCATGGCCCAGAACAGTGATGAAAGAATGTCAGCTTAATATGTGGACAGATAAATTGTACAAACAAGGTGACAGAGCCAGCAACAGAGTCAGATGGAGAGCCTTTTGTTGTAACCTAAGCTCCATATAGGAACTTGGCTTAAAAGTAGGTTTTTTCATTGTTTTGTGAGAGTTGAAGTTGCCGACTGTGTCTCACTGTAAAGTCACAAAGTGACTTGACGGCAAGATCATCATCAGTCCAGTGTGTACTTAAATTCTATGAAATTGAACCAAGCCACTATTTGAAGACTGTTCTACGCTTTAATTCTGAACATTTTTAGCGTTTTTAATTTTAATTCACAATTTGCTCCATCAGCATTCAAAGTCATTGGATGAACTTTGGCAAATTTGAATTTTTGCAGCCTCTTCCCTTTAATTTTGAGTTTTTGAAAAACATTTTCAATCACAAATGCTAAAATTGATAAGCAGCAACATCCAAACCAAATATTAAATCCAAAGCCAAGATCATCTAGTTCCAAAACTTTCGGACCTTCTTGAACTTTATAATACATCCGTTTACGAGTAAAATGTTCATTACTCAAATAACCCATGACTCCAGTGTCAATCAACCTATCAACAATAGATTTAAACATCCGAAATGCAAATGAGTTCTGGTATAAGCCAACAACTTCATGTGATGTGTATAAAGGTTCAGTAAGTTGATTCCATACGTAATTCTGGGACCGTCTCAATTCGAGATCATTTTGAAATAATTCATCTACACAAAGGCACAACTTTGCTGATGCATTTAATGACTGTGTTTCAAATTCATTGTAGTATTCTTGGTACTTTATGTGCTCAACATTCAGGCTGTAATGAAGAATAAGTTGGAATTAAGTACAAAGTTTTTTAAAAACTATTCATTAATTGCTTGGTTGTTTTAAAGAGCTACATAGAGTTATGTAGTCTTAAATTATGGCAATGATGGTCAACGCGTGTGTCGCGGCACACTAATGTGCCGTGATAAAATTTAAGATATCTAAGAAATCGTATTCTGTGTGCAATTTTGGTCATGGTTTACATCAAGTGTACCGTGGCACAATAAAGGTGGGACACCACTGGATTTTGAAATTATACCGTCAATTAGGATTGCTTGGCTTGAACTTTCATACATTATAAGGCAGGATGATTTTAAAAAGTTAAAAGATCAATCTAGAACTTTTGGAATATTTTTCTTAAAAATATCTGGTTGACTTACCCAAATCTAGATCAGTGTTGTCCAAACTTTTTAAAGCCACGGCACCCTTTAAGGGCAAGCCACGACCAAAGTTGCACACAGCATATAGCTCGCGTCATTTTAAAAAAACTTCTACGGTACACCAGTGTGCCGTGGCACACAGTTTGAACAACACTGGTCAAAATAATAGTATCAAGCCAAGTTTTCTGTTATGCTCTAGCTATACATACCTCCTCTCATACTCATCTGCTGCAGTTGCTATTATTGGATTAGAAATCATCGAATGAACTGTGTAGTTCCTGTCAATTAAATCTGATCTAATCTTTGGTGCTGATCGTCGTGGTTTACTGGTCATGAACTCAAACAATTTATTTTGATAACAAGTCCGAAAAATCAAGCAAAACATAAGAAAAAGTGCAAGTAGAAAGCGTGGAAAGTCTTTCTTCGGTAGTCGAGTTTGTGAGATTCCAAAAAATATTCCAATGACATTGTATAAAGGATGATGAACATTCTGTCCATAAATTAGATTCTGAAATACTTTTGGAAGTCTGTTGACAATCAAGATGACCAAAAATACAATAATGAAAGTCATGACTAAGAATATCCAAGTTAGTAAGTCAAATGGCAAGAAAAGCTTCTCATAAGGAGAATAAGCCTCAGCTGGAGTGACATACAATGAAACACGAAGGTCCACAAATGCATTTGAGTATCGGTAATGCTAAGTAATGAATCTGACACTCAATGTAAATAAAAACACGTGCGGAATCTTGAATGTATTATTGACTGTGATAATTTTAGCTTCATCTGCTCTAAAAAGCAGCAACATGTTGCTTTGTACCACAACAGGTTGATATTCAGCTTTAAAATTGTGAGCTTTAGCTGCAATATCGAAGATAACTGGAGTGATGCCATGTTTTTCAAACGTTTGAGCAGCACTGTCATACAAAGAATATCCAGATGAATATAAATTGACTCCTTTGCGGTAAGGAAGTGGTAGCATCAATACCAATTCACATCCATTATATTGAAGGTATTTTTCATGGTTTTTAAGCTTTAATGTCCATTTTGAAGTTCTTTTGATGAATTTGTTTAAAATCACGACATGAGCTTTATTGCAGATTTTTGGACTAAAATACTCAATTGAAGCAAGAATGACTGAATCTTCCTTATTGACGATAAAATATGAATGATGGATGATTTCAGCTTCAAAAATTGTTAATTTATCGAATAATTCTAGAATCCTGTGAGACCTAAGTTCATCATATGTCAGGTTAGAGATAAAAATGATGTACTTGAAAGGCTGGTTCTGGTACCTGAATATGCCATAGTCTAAATGCATATTGTAAAAGTCATCAAATGTGTCAAAAAACAAAACTGATGATCTAGTCAGTAAGTTGGAGTATTCATGTATTTTATGGTATTCCACTCGTCTAAGGAAGTCCACTTCAGTTTGTGTCAAAATTTGATCCAAAATGTCTGTCGAAAAATCATTAATTTTTCTATAAATTATTAAATTAAATAAATTTTTTTCTTGCACTAAAAACTTGTCGATTACATCGAGAAGTGCACTAAAAACTGACTTGACATCGTCCTCAATTTCAACTTTTTTAAGAATTTTTGTGAAATTTGCACTTTTTTGCATGCTGGCACTGACAATAAGCAGAGAAATTATTGTCAAATTTAACCTCATTATTAAAACAATTAAATCAAAGCTTTTCATATGTTTTCTTAGGCTACGAACAACCAGGAACTGACTTACAGTTTGACATTGAGTCAATATGTCTACAGAATTTACATGGACATGTGTTCTTGATGTTATCGTAAATGTTAGCGTTGTTAACAATAATTTTGATGGATAAAATTTGACTTTATATTTGGTATGAAGCATAGACATCGATACATTTGGGATATGTTGACATTTTTAGACTCAGGAACTTGTCTGGAAGCACCATGAAAATCAATAATCACTCACTCAGGCGCATAGCTAGGAGGGTCTTGAACGTTTTGAACCGAAGCGAGAGCACAGCCTAGCAATATCCTCCTGACTACGCGCCTGCACTCACTTCTTTGGCTGAGCCACAAGTCTTATAAGAATCTAATTTCAGTGAAATTTTGAAATAATTTTAACGAACTTTTAGATTTTGAATTTTAAATCAATAATGAAAAACTATCGCTTTGCCCATCTTTAATGTTTACAAACCAATCGCCGAGAAAGAGTTTACAACATTAAAATTTTCTATTAAAATTAATTATTTCGAGTATTCTGACTAGTCAATGAGATCAATAAGAAATTCAATTATTATAAAAAACATAAATAAACTAAAGTTGCATCAATAAAATTAAAAACTTACTTCAAAAATTGAAAAAAAAAAAAAGGTAACAACTTTGAAACATTTTTGACCTTAATCCATCATTTAATCTTGATTTTATTATAGAGATTACATTATTCATTGTATGTGAATATCACGAAGTTCATGGCAGTATTTGCTGACTTGGAAGCTGATTTGTAAGCTGAATTCCAGTTAAGATTGAGGTATCGACAGATAAGATCTCAATTTTGAGTAATAAAGAACAAAATTCGCTTAAAATAAGCAAAAAAGGATTTTGGCGCCATTGGGATTTGAACCACGAACCTTTGGATCCTAAGGCCAGTGCTGTAACCATTGAGCCACCAACGCAAATCACAAAATCTGACAGAAAGTCATTAATAAGTCTCAATTTTAAAAACTATGCTACTAATCCATTAAATAGCTGCTTTTGGTCATCAACATTGAGGATTATCTTAAAAATCAAATTCTGATAAGCAATTAAGCTTTGGAAGCTTCTAATTATCCAGATTATCTTGATTGCTACAAAAACCTTGATCAACCTTGATAGTCAAGTCCAACACCATCAACCCACCAACCGTTCCAAAACTTCTTAAACATGGATAAAATCTGCCGCTTGTGTTCCCAAAAGTCACCGCTTTTAACATCAATATTTTCATTCCAAATGGATCGTCTCTTATCAGATATGATTCTTATCATATGTCCGATAAAAATTGACGCTTCTGATGAATTACCAAAAAGTATCTGTAAAGCATGTCTAAAGCTTATTTTGGATGCAATTTCATTAAGAGAACGAAGTGTCAAAAGTGACTTAAAGTTCAGAAGCAACAGCTTAGCAATGGAAACGCCAGAAATGGTTAGAATTAATCAAGATTTAGATCCATTTTATAGCACGACATTTTTCGAGTCTGATTCAGAAAATGAGAACGAAGAAGAAAGTAAGGAACAAAATAAGAAAAAAATCAGGAAGTCAGCACCAGAAATAAAGGATGTTGACAATGAAAATTCAAATTCTGACAATTATTCGGAATCAACATCCGAATACAAGAACATATCAGCATATGAGCCGCCATGGAAAAAGTCAAAAAAATACCAACCGCATGGTAAAGGACGTTACAAGTGTCCAAAATGTACAGCAACATTTACATTCCCAACAAATGTCCGACGACACATTAAGCAAGTTCATAGTGATGAAGATCCAAAGCCACATCAAATTAGAAAACCAAAGTCATCGTATACAACAGATTCATTGTGTTGTGCTGTCTGTGGCTTGTCATTTACAAATTCATCAAATATGCGACGACACATACGAAACATTCATTCAGGTGAGACTTTAAAGAGACTTGAAGATGGTGACTATGGGAATGATGACAGTGAGGAGCAAATTTGTCTGAGCGATATAAAGAAAGAACATAATAAGAGTGGTCTCATAGTGCAGAATGTCACTTCTTTTGGACTTATTGATAGTGTTCGTGGTGGGTCAGATGAATAAGTCAGATCTAAACGTTTTCTATAAAGAACAAAAACTATTTAAGGACGAATAAAATTAAATTATGAATTATGAAAATTGTTAATCGTCTTTTGATGCTCTTTTTAGGTTAGTTTTTGAATTTTACAGGGTTTACGGATAGTCAGACGTAGTTTATAGGTTCAGAAAGCTTGTAATCAGACTATGAGACCACTCAGGGGGTTGGCTGGAATATTTTGAAGAGTGTTCAATCACTCGTAGATTAATTTTAGTTTCTGGAGAGGATTCAATCTTTTCAAAAGAGGTCCATAGCTTGTAAGGGCAATCCAATGTCTCTTAAAAGGTGTCTGATGATTCAAAAACTGTTCCAATCTGTCTCTAGCTGTTCAGAACAATTTTTATCTATAACCTTCCTTTGTCATCTCCTAAAACTAGTTTTGTTGCTGGCTTTCAAATGCCAACTTACGATTTCAAGTCCAAAACTGTTCAAGGAGCTTCCAATTGCCTAAATTGGGGTTTAGAGGTTTAATTGGTCTGGAACTACACAACTTTAAACTTATTAAGTACCGAAACTAACATTATCATTCCTATAGATCCAGATCCAGCACAAAAACATATAAACCTAAAATCAAGAAGATCTTCAGAAGAAGACCAAAAAAAGTTTGACGAGTCAGGCGATTTAACAAAAAAGTACTTTTGGCAGCAAATTAACAAAAGGTTTACAAAATATGTCGTCGTCATTGGCGAGGATCCTAATAGAACTTTTACTTACCGATGCTTGCTGTGTGAAAAAAATGGCAAAGACAAAACTTTTGAGCAATCGGTTAGCAATGAAAGTATGTCTAATTATAAACGACATTTAAGGACGATCCACAAAATTCAGTCTGAGCAATTTAAGAAGGGCAAATGTGGTGTGTCTAAAAGGATTAAGATTGAAAATGATGTCGAAAAAGAAGAAGATGGCGATGATGGGGATGAGGAATCAAATTTAACGCTGTCGATTCTCAGTAATAAGAATGAGGATAAGGCACAGAATGAAGATGTACAGAAAGCGGAGGCGGAACCAGTCTTTAAAAATGGATTTATTACAGGTTTTTTGAATACTAATTAAATTGAAGTTGTGAGATTATTTTCAAAGTTTGACAGCAATTTTGTTTGTCTTGCTTAATTGATCAATTTGTGATAAATGTGAGTCAGCAAACTAAAACAAATGATTTTCGTTGTCCTGGATTTAATGACGGCATTCACTACAAAGGGTTTTTAAAACACCAAGGTCTTGCCAGTCTTGTTTATAGTTGCAATTTTTGTTCAAAATTAACTGCCAAAAAAATTTCAAATTTCCATACAACAACCTCTCAAGTTTCACAATTTACAATATTTGTAAACAAAAATAAATCTCAAGTCAAGCAAATTCAACCAATAATCCGAAGAATAATCATCAATGGACAACATCTGCCGGTTGTGTTCATCGCGTTCGCGATCACCGACTTCAATATTTGATTCCAAAAATGGCAAACTGATTGCAGACTTGATAAAAATAATTTGTCCAATAAAAATTGCCATTTCTGATGACTTACCAAAGACAATTTGTAATTTATGTTTGAGGATCATTTCTGAGGCTGTTGAGCTGCGCGAGAAGAGCATTGAAACTGATCAAAATCTAAGGCGGAAATTGACAACGAAAGAGTCAAAAAATACCAAAAATAACACGAAAATTCCAGAAATAATCAATCCAGATCCAGTGAAGCTTGAAAAGGAATCAAATCTTATAAATTTTATTGATCAAAGCTTAGTTGGTCATCAAGATTTTCATGATTATGAGGACAATGATGATGATGACAATTCAGGATACATGGACTATGATCAGCATGACGATTCAGACATCGTCAATTATGAACCACCAATGAAGATACAGAAGAGGGATACAAGCTACTCGAAACGTACTATTGAAGATGATATTGATTCTATGACTAACATAGTTGAACTTAAAAATGTTATGAAGACATTCCATAAACGACTGATTAAAGTTGAAAATGTATTAAATGAATCTGAAGAAGTTATTGAGAAACCAGTGAAAAGAGGTGATTTTTTGATGAACAAGATATCGACTGTACCGGAGTTTGAGAAGTTTGTTGAGGACATTTCACTATCTAAAGATCTGAGGGACTATTTGGTATGTTTTTGAATTATTCCGATACAATTTTGAAGCTTGAATTTCAAACAATTTAGTACTTTGAGGTTGGAATAGATTTTGAACTTCTTTCTCAAAATTCATTAACTTTGTCACTTCTTTTTAGGTTCAATATTGGAAAGTTATACCTCACGGATCACGACAATCTCCAGAAAATGGTAAAGTCTATGCAATTCTACTGTCCCTGTTTGATGAAGATTTTCTCCACAATAATGTAAAATGGGGACACGGAACCAAAAAAGAATACAATAAAGACAGTCAAAGTGATGAAAAGAACTCAAAAACAGTAGTATTAAAAACAGTTGATCACTTTATAGACATGATTAAAGAGGCATTGGGATTTAAAAGTGATGCAAATTCACAAATTGCAACAATTTTCAAGAACCTATTTAGAAATAAAATAAAACGACAAATGATAAAAGGAATAAATCCAGCTGAAGTTGGACAAAATGTTCAACCAACGATTGCACAAGGCTTGCAGGAACAGACGTAAAGGAACTAGATTTAAACTGTTTTAATTTAAATAAAATATGGAATTTTCTGGATATTTAAATCACAATTGTTTGTTTAATTTACTTAAATATTCATTGCTAGTTCAGGTGGAAAGATGTGATATATAAGCAACAGCATCTTCAACTTATTTCAGTTTTCTTTAAAACTTTCAGAATGCCGTCTTTAAAAACTGTTTTAATTTTAATTTTAATTTTTGGTAAGTAAACGAACAAAATTATTCGAAATTGAATTCTCTTGCTGAACTATGTATCCTGAATTGTCATTGATGATATGGTTCGAAGAGCATATCTGTAGTAGATAGGCCTGAGCATAGGGCTCGCGTTGAACTGGTTATATGTTTATGACGGATAGCCAAAGTGAATTAACCCGAATGGCACAAGTCGGTTAATCGATCAGAAATTTGGTACCAAGCTGGTTTGACTCTGACATGGTGCTGGATTTAAATTGAAGCCAGTACCATGCCAGAGTCATGCAGACTGGGCGCCGGATTTCTATTCAATTAACCGACTTGTGCCATTCGGGTAAGTACCTCGGTGGTCGAGTGGCAGGGATCTCTGATCGATTGAACTCAGGGATCGCATCTTTTAATATCGTGGTTTCGATTCCCATCGAACCCGACTTGTTTTACATTAGTATACGCATATAGCAGTTATAAAGAGATCTACAGTCAACATCATTATTGTCCTCATAATCGTAAAAATCTTGATGACCAACTAAGCTTTGATCAATAAAATTTATAAGATTTGATTCCTTTCCAAGCTTCAAAATTGAAACCTCAAAGAAACATTTTTTTCTAGATTACTGCCATTCATTCCCAATTGAGCTGTCTTCTGGACTCTCTTCGGAGTCAAGAGGATTGTGGGATTTTTTAACTTCTATTATCAACAAAATTCCATCATATCCACCAATTTTTATGCTGCCAACTTACAATCCAGCCGTTCCAAATATTCCAAATTTACAACCGGCAACCACTACAACAGGAACTACAACAGAAGAGATGGATAGAACAACAACACCTTCTGATTCTTGGTTCTTTGAAGCCTACTCAACAACAGAAATTTGGGGTTGATTCCAATCAATTTATTTGTCAAACTTAATAAAATTGAACCTCAAAAAATTAACGATCATTTTATTTTCAAATTTCCCAGGTCCAAAAAAAACCTCCACATTTGAAACTTTTTCAGATTTTTTTGTAAACAAGAACTTCGAAGTCCAGTCTAGCATTTAAAGTCTAATCATCAATGGAGAATCTCTGTCGTTTGTGCTCATCGCAATCTCCAACATCCACTTCAGTATTCAGCATCAAGAATGGTCGCTTACTTCTCGATATGATAACAATAATTTGTCCTGTAAAAATTGACATTTCTGACACTTTACCAAAGACAATTTGTAGTTTATGTTTACGGATTGTGCTGGATGCTGTGGACCTTCGAGAACGAAGTATTTTGAGTGATTTAAGTTTAAGGACACGATGTCTTGGTGGAAAATTTGTGGATGTGTCAAAGACAATTGAAAACTATAGAAATAATTATGATGGAAGTGAAAAACGGCATCTGGATGAGTTAAAGTCCCGAAAAAGTCAAGATCCTTCAAATTTTTCAATTCCAACAGATCCAATAAAAATTGAGGAGGAAAAAGTTGAGTCAAATGTGATAAATTTTGTGGAAGAAAGTCAGACGAGTCATGAAGACTACTCGAGCTATGATAATGACCAGAACTTCAACGATGATCAGTCAGAATTCACAAATTATGAACCGCCATCGAAACTGCTTAAAACTGACGACTCAAGATGTGAAAATTGTAATTGCCATAAAGCTTCAGTCATCAATCACGAGCTGAATGAGAAAATTAAACAATATTTTCGAAAGCCATTGCAAAAAGGTGGGAAATGGAAGTGTCATATATGTCAGAAGGAATATGCTGGCCATTTAAATAATATGAAGGAACATCTGTCAATAATTCATAAAGACATCGCACAAATGCTTGGGTTAACAATGAAAATAAGAGCAAGGAACAAAGATAAGATGAGCAGTGATGCAAAGTCAGACAATTCGGGCGATGGAAGCTTCTCTGACTTTGTGCTGCATAACAATTCTAATTAGAATTTTATAAGATATTGGTGGTTGCTGATTATTTTAAGGGAATTGTACTTCGATAGCTGTTTTTATTAAATTTAAAGAAATAAGTCAGTGCTTCTCAAACTTTGCTCCACGACACATTTTTTGGTTCAAGAACTTCAGGATTGTCGTTAAATTTGAACTAAATTAGTAGTTAAGTGTGTCGTGTGATAACAAATTTGAGCAGGAATCGTTTGAGCCATTGGATATCCTTAATGTTCCTCTAATAAATAAAACCTTAGATAATAAATTAACTTAAGTAATAAAAAATTGTTTTAAAACTTATGTTGACTCTTGTTTATACTGTTACTAAGGTTCTCAATCAAAAGGTTGTATTTGAGTTTTTGTAGCCACATTAATACATGAGATGTATGTCCGAAAATGGCCTTTAAAGTTGATGTTTCGATTTGAGAACCACTGTCTCAAAACATATAACAGCCCGGGTTTGATACCGGGATTACATCCATTTCAAACTCGGGATTGAAAACCCTAATTCTATTTATCATCGATAAATTGGACACTGGAATATCCCTTAGGAGATCAGGAAGCCTTTTTTGACTGAACCATAGGAATAATACTTTACTTACTTACTTCGCTGGCCTTACAAATCAATTGTGATCCATGACCTCCCTTAGATGGCGCCTGAAGCTGGCTCTATCGCTGGCTCCCGTTTGCCAATTACCAATACCAAATGCAATACTGTCTCTGTCGAAAGCCTCTTTCCAAGAGTACTTGGGACGCCCACGTGATCTTTTATAGGAATCATAGGAAGATTGAATTAAGGCCAAGTCGCTTATTCCGACTCATAGTAATATTAAGCAGATTTATATGTGTTATGACGAATTTCTACCCTAGACAATTTCTGTAAGACATTAAGGCATCATTTACGAAATGAAATAGTCTACCGAGGCATAACGTTTGGCCATCACTGCCTTATAGTATTGCTTATTATATACTTTATGAGTATCCTTAACAAATTTCACAAGACTTTTAATCATTACTTCTTGAAGAATGCAACTAATTCATGGCAACGCATTGACCTCTTAGAATACGCATCAAGTGCCGAATTCTAAAGCTTTCTGGGATATCAAGTCGCATTAAAACTTTATTTATGTCTCATAAAATATTCTTATGATTTATATAATGAAGATTAGTAGCAATTGAACCCCGTGTAGCCCTTAAAAGCAAGCATCATTCATATAAACGTCAAAATATAACGAGAAATTGATTTCAGCTATCATCCACTATAATTGAAAATGCATGATAAGTCACATAATTACATTGTAAGTCAAACAAATATTTTGGTAGCAATAAAAATGCGAAAATTGTTTATTAATCATAAACTAAGTCAATAATCTCAAAATGAATGTTAATAAATAAGTTACATAATAATAATAATAATAATACAAATATGAAATATGCTGTCAACTGTCTCATGAGATTGCCTTGATCTGGCACAAGTAAGGTCTAAAGTTTATAATCGAATCTGGAATTTTCCTGCTTTTGTCACATATTTTACACCTGCAAAAATAAAGTTTTTAATAAATCAGGCAATAAATGAGTTTTGAGGGTCGTTTACTAGTGATGTCTATCAAATTAATGAACTTTTGGGTCTTGGAACCAGTTTTTCGGTTTAATCTAGATTGAACACTACCACGGCGCCTGTCTTAGGGTCAAATAAGCTAACATACTCCAGATGTAGTGTTTAAACTTGATTTTACGAAGCAGCTAGCTCCTATGATTGTGCTTTCAGGCATTTTTCAATCTATCAAGAATATACCTAAGCAGCCAACCCTTAACACTCATAAAAGTAAGACATCACTAGCAAATGAATCCCAAACAAAGTAATTTGTACCTTTAAAAGGTTTGTACTTAACATCGCCATACATATCGAGTCGATTGACTTTCAACCCCGACACAGCAAGTTGTGAGATTGTAAATTGGACATTAATTGAAGGCATTGACTCGATTGTACATCCCTGTACGGTTGTGACACTTCCTCGAATATTTGGAAGCTTCTGGACATCAATTTTACCGACATCCCAATTGAGGATCTTTGTGTTTTGATCAAATACATATTTGCCTTGTGTAGTCACAAGACTGCAGTTCACGACACTTTTTGGAAATAAAATCTCAAGTTTGACACTTTCAAGTGTTCGTCCAAGTGTGGTTTTAGGTCCAACAGTTATGTCCAATTTTCCTTGTTCTCCACTTTTCAAATGAATATTTTGTCGGATATAAATTGGAATTGGTACTGTTTGGGATGTGACATGATAAGACATAAGTCGAAAGGAACCGTCAGGTGGAATAAAGCTTAAAACACGCTCTGTGTCCCATCTTTTGTACCTTACACATGGATGGAATGAGACGTCATCTAATATTCTAGGATTTATGAAGGATAGACTCAAGTCAGGCATTCCACTCAGCTTAATCAGGCACTGAATCTCGCCAGATATTTCAGCAAATATTGTCGCACCTGACCTGTCAATTATTGCATCAACTTCCTCAATTACATCAAAATATGCTTCATTATTTGTGTACTTGACGCCTGATTTCCTCCATGGAATGGCTGATAAAGAACCGACTGGAAGTGTGTCACTAAAATTTGTCTTTCCAGTCACTGAATTTGCAATTGATCTGAGAATATTTGGTGGCTTAATAAGCTCTTTAAGAACATTCGATTCTGTTGCTAATGGAAATCCATTGTCAAGCATCTCGTCTAGCAATTCGTAGATTACCACGTAATTCTCCTTGATTATTGTCTCATTACATTCACTAAAGTAGTCAATAAATGTGTCTACAACTCGATGGAGGAATTCGAGGACAAAAAGTGGTGAAATTTCTGATTTACAGACACTGACCAAGAAGACACCACATCTACCGATTGAGACTAGATTTGTGGATTGGAACGATGTTGGAATTACTGGAATTACGTCCTAGAAAGAGAAGTTTTTTTTGTTAAATTTGATTAACTTGAAGATTTTGTTTCAATTCAGCACAAATTTGGAACAATTCAGCACAAATCTGGAACAATTCAGCACAAATCTGGCACAATTCAGCACAAATCTGGCACAAATTTGCCACAATTCAACACAAATATCGCACAATTCAGCACAAATCTGCCAGATTCAGCACAAATTTGGCCAGATTCAGCTCAATTATGGTTTCAATTCAGTGAAATTAAGTGAATTGAGCTAAACTCTATAAGATTTTAGAAAAATTTTAACTGAATTTCAATATTATTTTGTGTTAAATATCAAGTCAATATTGAGTATGATCTGATAAATTCGGTCAAAAATAGAATGCAATCTGCCAATTTTAGCTTGTCTTATCATCCCTATTAACAGTTCTAAGTCAAATTCATTCAGTCTAATGACCTAAATCCAACTTATCACAAAAACATTTATTTTGCAAATTCTCTTATCAATTTTTCACTTACATTCGAGACTTTTAATTTGTCTAAGAAATAATCACAAATGCCCTTGGAAATTACACTTCTCCAATGCTTCTCTAAGAAGACATCACCTTGTGTATTGATAATAAACAGACTTTCCATAATTAAAGTGGAATTTTCACTGAGATCTAAATAATACAAAATATGTTTCGTTCATGAAATTGTTTTGTTGTCAAAACTACACCGTGCAACCTGAAACTTGAAGAAGTTGGAAACCTTTGAAATTGTGAAAATTAGTTTAAATTCTTAAAAACCGTTAGGAAATATTAAAATGTATCTAATGAACTTAGTATTTTAAATGTTATATTTGTCAAATAAAATTTTAAAGCATTTATTCTCGAGAACATAAAGTTGATTTACTTCATTTACAATTGCTTATCAATGTTCATTCATCTAATACAGTGGTGTCCAACCTTTTTTGTGCCACGGCACACTTAGTGGTAGGCATACGATTCGTTGGATATCCACAACTTTTTTCATGGCACACTAGTGTATCGCGGCACACGGGTTGCCCATCACTGATCAAATATATTTTAATTTAACAGCTTATATACGACTTAACCTCTAATTTCACAATTCCTTCATAATATCGCTGCATTTAACACTAATTTTCAGATCAGCCAGATGATCAGCTCTTGTAGTTCCAATGTTAACAATAGCTACCGGAAGACCAAGTTCTTTAGCCTGCAAAATTATTCTATATCCACTGAACACTTGAAGACTCGATCCAAGAACTAAAATTCCATCAGAATTGATGATCAGTCTGACAACTTCTTCGATCCTAGTCATTGGAATATTGTCACCAAAAAATACGATGTTTGGCTTCAGGTCACCTAGGCATTGAGGGCTGGAAATAGAATCGGTATAATGAAACTGGCAGTTAAGTGTGTTCACAACAGTTCACCCAAAATTGACAGAATTGAACCAAATTTTAATCTAAAGTTACTAGTTCAACTAGTTTAGCTAGCCTTTGATGCCAGAAGTAGCCTTAAAACAGGAATCTGTCTCTAGATTAACCCTAGAAATGCCATACATTCCTCCCAAAAAATCACAAACTCACCATTGAGGTAAATAAAACTTTTTAATATCCTCATTGGAAATTTCAACATCCCCATCAGGTCGAAAACTTTGAGCTTTAAATGTGTCTGCTTTATCCCTTAATTCTTGATTAAATGATTCTAGAATTTGTTGAAAGTCGTGTCTGGGTATCGAATATCCACATCTATCCTTTCCATTATGTCCAATGCATATCACTTTGTAGCCATTACCTGTGGATAAATATTGCATACAGTATATTTAAAGCTTGCTCTAGAAAAGACTTGACAATGTCTAATGCAGGTCTGCCAACTCTTATGTAGAATCACTTCAATTCTGATAACAAGTTGTTCCTATATTTAAACCTAAAATACTTAATGATAAGTCACTCACCATGCAGCTCAGTAACTGCCTTACTTCCAGCCTTCGCATGAAGGTTATCAACATTTTGTGTCACAACGTGAAGAACTTTTGAATCCTTTTCCATTTCAGCTAATTTAATATGTGTCAAGTTTGGCTCAACACTGCTAAATTTAGGCCATCCAATGAAGTTTCTAGCCCAATATCGTTTCCGTAGCTCATGTGATCGAATGAATTCTGGGTACTGATATAGGAATAGGAGAAATTGTGATTAATTGTAAAGTTCTGAGGAATAATACTTAAGAATATGCAAGCGTGGAACCAAACCTGCGTGAACAAAATTAACATCATTCAGTGTTGATACAAAGGGCCTTGAAAAAAAACAAAGGGTTGACCAGATTTTGCCTTTGAACTAGCAAAGTCATGACTTTGCTAAGGTGCAACACAGTCAAGGACAAAATATATTGCCTTTAACAAATGAAAAGGCTTATGCTTTTGACAAAGGTTCAAATTGCTTCCTCTTAGGTCCACGTTTTTAAAGTCAAGTACTTGGTTTCAACACTGCAATCATCAACCGAGCTCGAATGGCACAAGTCGATTAATCAATCAGAAATCCGGCACCAAGCTGCATATTGCTGGATTCGAATCGAAATCAGCACCATGCTAGGGCCATGCTGGATTAGCGCTGGATTTCTATGCCATTCGGCGAGCATTAAGCCAGTATTATTAAGGTAATATGTAGTTTTAGATGATTGAGTAGTTTTGTACAATAACAATAGCTATTGGTACTTACTTGTACAGGCTTGTGATTTGAACGTTGGTAAAGTCCAACACCTTCTGATCGATAGTCAGGAATTCCTAGAAATACAAAATGTTATTGATATTGGAACAAGAACTCATAAAAGAGGCTGTTGATAGAGACAGCGTTGCATTTGGCTGACTGTAGCCAGCTATAGAATAGTTTTAGGGGACGACTAAGGGAGGTCATGGATCACAACTAATCTGTACGACTAGCGAAGTAGTAAGTAAGTATTGATATTCGCAAGGATTTTATAAATAAAATTTTGTGTAGTTGTTTGACATTGATTGCTCCTTTGTTGTGGCATTTAGAAAGGTATGGTTAAATTCACTAAGATGATGAGTAGTCTGCCATTAGCACCAAGCTTCTGATTATTGCATTGAATCTCTTCAAACTTTAACAAAAACAGTAAAACTCACCAGATTCCGTAGAAATTCCAGCACCAGTCACAACCAAGACCTTTGGTTTATCAAACAGGAACCTTTGAATTGCTTCCACATCTTCTGCCTTTACCAATTGATGTTTTGGTACAAAGAACTGCGTTGCATATTTTCTTGATGAATTTTTTAAAATATTTATCGAATTCATTTTTTTTTCAATGTTTTGCTTCTATTGTTTTGTAATTTGTTTTATTTTTAAACAGCTGACTTTTGTTGACTAAAGTTATAATTTACGTAACGGTTTTTTGACATTTGAATGTTTATGTTAAGCTATGTTATTAATCGGATTATGGAAGAAAGCTACAAAAATTTTCAGGAAACATCAGTGAATTTGTGAAGCTGTGGATTAATTTATTATTTACTGGATATGCTGCATTTTTTGTGGATTTAAGTGGATGTAACCGAAGTTTTGTTGACTATTTAATTAAAATTTATAAAGAATTCATAAAAGTTCGTCAAAAAAAATCATAAAATTAGATATTGAGCTATGGACACAATCTGCAGACTCTGCTCAAACCAATCAAGCATTTTAACATCAGTATTTACCCTCAAAAATGGCAGAATCATTGCCGATATGATTTCAATAATTTGTCCAATTAAAATTGAACTTTCTGACAATCTCCCAAAGACTGCATGTACATCCTGCATTAAGATAATCTACGATGCAGTTGATCTTCGTGAAAAAAGTATTCAAACCGATCAAAACTTGAAATCCAGTCAATTCCAGCACACAATAGAGCCAGTAAGGATTAAAGTTGAAAAAGATCCATTTAATCATGAACTTTGGCTGGAAGATGAGAGCAACAATTATGGAAGTCATGAAGACAGCGATGAGTCACAGACAAATGAGGATGAGGACATGGAATACTATCCTGAGATGCTGTTAGAAGTAAAATCTGAAGACTCAAGTCGATTCAAGTGTCCACACTGTTCGCAAACCTTTACACTTTCAACGAATCTCCGACGACATATCGCTAAGTTCCACAAAGATTTAGACGCTGACAAACCACAGAAAATATTCGAGAATAATAGCTGCAAACTTTGTGGCTTCCAATTGGCACATAAATCGAATGTCAAGCGACACATGCAGAGGTATCATGACCCAAGCTTGCCATATGCTTGTACCAAATGCACGTGCAGGTTCAAAAGTGAGATCAGGATGAGGACACATGTTGAAAAAACGCACAATCATCGAACACCAACGATCTATAAAGTTGAAAGCCAAAGTGAAGATTTTGAGGAATTGCCTAAAACTCAACTAAAGCATGAATCAATTTTGTGTGATCTTTGTGGCAAAAACTTTCCTAATCGATCACTGCTGGAACGTCACTTGACCATTACTCACAAAACAAAACAATCAGCAATTCCAACAGAAAATGAGTCAAGCTTCATGTCTGGCTGTTATCCATGCAACTTGTGTGACAAAACATTCACGATGAGGCACAACTTAAATCGTCATTATAAGCGGTTCCATTCATCAGATTTAAGGTTCGAGTGCAGTCAGTGCAACGACAGATTTCGGACGGAACTTCATCTCAGTCGACACAACATTCGAGTTCATGAGAATCGCAATGGAATTTTTAATAAAATCAATGAACCGGAAGTGCCAAGTGAGGCTACAAAAGGTGAGGAAATCATTGAAAAATGTCAATATTGTGAACTTGAATTTAATGGAAGTAAATACAGATATGAGCGACATATGATATTAATGCACGAGAAGGAACTTGACAAGATTTACAGCTGCGATATTTGTCCGAAGAAATTTGTATTTTTAAAATCATTAAAGTATCATGTTGAGGTGCATCGGAAGCGAGCGAGGGAGGAGAACTTTCCATATCAGTGTGCAGCATGTCAAAGAAAGTTCCTGAGTGAGGAGAAGTATAAGCATCATATGTAAGTATTTTTTAGGCCTTAATCTGCTTCTCTTTGGGTAATTAAAGCATTCTTAAGCAAAAAAGCCAAACATTTTAAGGTTCCTCTCATTATCCAACCCCAAACCTTTCATAGGTGCTCCAAATAGCACTGATCATTGGTTCTACCTATGGATCTCCCTACTTTAAACAATTTTTAATTACATCTTCATCCATTAATCTCTTAAGTAACCTTAATCTCAAAAAAATAGTGAACTCTTTAATCCGTTCCAATTTCAGTACCTATTCACATGCTGAAACATCATCATTTGTATGCTACCTGTGCGGTAAGACACTCGATTCTAGGAAAAAACTTAATTATCACATGCTACGGCATCAAGATATAAGAAATTATCAATGCACAAAATGTGGAATGAAGTTCCTTCAAGCCAGACATTTGGATCGTCACATGACAACACACAGTGAAGTAAGACCGTACGTTTGTACAGAAATTGGATGTGGAAAGGCATTTAAAATGTCAGATGTACTCAAAAAGCATCTCAGAAAAGTTCATCAAGTTGTAACTTCAAGTAAAATAGTTGGCAACTTAGGGAATAAGGACATGATGATTGTAAATCAACAAATGAGTTTCATTGAAAATCAGAATTTGTAAAAATATTTAATTTAATTTGTGTGTCAAGTTTATGTACATTATGAACTAGGGCTCGAAGTTGATTGGGTTCGAGGCGACTTGACTAGACTCAAAACCGAGTCGACTTTAGCTTTTCGGAGTCAACTCTGAGTCGACTTCGAGCTCTGTTATGAACGTTGGCTAATAAAAAAATTTGAACTGTAAGCAAAAATTAGTTCCAAAATAAATGTTTTTAAAGACCTTCTAGGAATCTCGTAGAGTCACAGGGTTAATGTACGTTCTGAACTTCAATCATAGTCATGACAAATTATGATTTCTGTTTATTTCCTCATCATTAGCCAGGTATGTCGTTTAACTGATTTTCTTTTCCAGGGTATCTTGTAAGAACTAAAGCTCTTACTTTCTGTGCCTTATTTCGACATTTTGTCATCAACTGTTTGGGTTTTATCAAAATTAGTTGAAATCTATTATTTGTGATGTCACTTTGATCCATAATCAAGCATGAACCATAATAAGAGCGCGATTAGTGCAATATTCAAGCATAAAGCTGATGTGGCTCGGCGAATGGTTTAGTCTTTCGGGACTTAATTATTACAATACCGCAAAGCGATCATTGGCTCGAAACTGGGTATGGGCTATTTTTCGCTTGTCCTTTTTCGAATCATATATACTGGAAATGAGGTTCACAGCTTTCCTTTGTAGGCTACAGGTAGAAATTTCATCAAAGGAGTGGTTCGGATCCTACTATAAATTGTGGTTCTAGGTTTGAGTGCAGTGATTTGGCACATCCTCACTCGTTAAACTCTCATTAGCTGCGAATCGCCCTAGCGCACCTCTGGAACATAATTGATTGATTTTTTAAGCATAAATCTAGTTTTAAGTTAACACTACGTCTGATTATAAGCATCCAAGAATTTTGAGATGCAAGTCACAACTTACAAATTTAATTAAATTTTAGTTAAATTTTTTATTGACAATTATAAATCACAACAAAATTTTAGTTTTATTCTATTATTGTAGTCGTTTCCATTTCAGCGTCTTCACTTGGCGAAAGTGTTGTGTCATCTACAAAGTCATCTTCTGGTAGTTTTCTTGGGCTTACATCTTCATCATCTTCGTATTCGAACGGTTCATTACTTCTGTTAAATCCAACAGTGTTTTTGAGGATCCTTACGAAAAATTTGAAACCATATCTGAACAGAAGTTGCCAATTTTCAGGTACGTAAAGTCTTCCGTTGTAAATCACAACTGGATAATCAGATTTGATGGCTTGGCGGGTGTTTCTTGTCAGAACTTCACTATTTTTATTGTACAGTTCAGAATTGCCATCACTAAGAGCTGCACTTTCACAGCAAGTTAAAAGACTTGATATAAAAACTATTATTATTGGAACTAGAATGTGTAATCTTGATGACATTTTGATACTCACTGATTAAAATTCAAGCTGAAGACAGTGCAAAGTTTTTGGTTAAGAATAGTTTAAATGAATAAATCGTGACTCTAACACGTTTTGAGTAGGTTCTTAATTTATGAAAAATCAGATCACGTTCCATGAAAGTCTCGTCTGCAAGCCAAACGTGAAAATTCATTAAAGATTGTTCAACAAAATATTTTTGCTTACTCTGCTCAGTGATGAGTTTACGTATTAGTCATTCTTAAAGCCAGAGCTTGAAGTCGAAAGGGGAAGTCGCCTTGATTACAAGTTCAGACTCATACACTTGAAATTAGGTTAAATTATTTATGTCTAGACAAAAGCTCAATTCAATTGTTTGACTGTTTAAAGCAGTGTTGCTCAAACTGTGTGCCGTTGCACACTGGTGTGCCATTGGACATCCTTAGGTGTGCCGTGAAAAAATATCTGAAGTCAAAGTGTGCCGTGGCTGAAAAAAGTTTGGGCAACACTAGTTTAAAGGATAAGAATTATTAAACTGCTGAAAAAAAACTTCCGAAAGTCTTGTACATTTTTGGGAATCTTCCGAAAGCTTGCTAAGTGTGTACGCCTTGCACCCGGCATTCTCTTCTCACTTGATCACTCTCTCATTCATATTCAGTTATTAAAAGCTCTCATTAGAGAATCAATTTCAGTTTGAATAAAATTCTCAAACAAATCAGTCGCGGAAATGGATCTTGTGACACAAATTCTCACACTTTTAATCGGTTTTGCATTATTTGCTTATTATTTATTGCACCGTAGATTCACATACTGGGAACGTCGTAATGTTCCGCACATCAAACCCGAATTTATTCATGGAAATTCACGAGGAATTGGAAAAGACTTTTCATCCGGAACATTCTTCAAAAATATGTATAGTAAATTAAAAGGCAAAGGTCCATTGGTCGGTGTTTATGTGTCAGTTATGCCTATGGCTATTGCTACTGATCTTGACCTGATCAAGACAATTCTGGTTAAGGACTTTGATGTGTTCACAAATCGTGGATTGTAAGTTGGAATATTTTATGCAAGTCATGTTATTAGTTTAAGTATAAGTAATTGCTAGTAAGAGTCTGAAGTACACAGTTATCTTTGATCGATTGAGTGGTTCTTTGGAAAATATTATAAATGAGACCAATTTGAACTACAAGTTAAGTTAAGAGTGCATCTAGAGTTTGCTTATACACAGAATTAAGTGTGGCTTCATCAAGCGCTTGGCCAGAAGGATCTTGTCCCCTCTTAAACGTTTTGAACCGCAGTGAAAGCACGATCTAAAACGCTTAAGAGGAGGATAAAGTCCTCCTGGCTACGCACCTGGGCTTCAGAATACACAAAAAAATTTCCTGGTTTTTAATAAAAATAAAATTTAGCATTTACTCAAAAAAAAATCGTCAAGTCATCGTTCATAAATGCCAATGAACTTCAGCATTAAAAATTCTACGACTTGTTTACTCTGTTTTTTGTAATCGTACAATATGCTGGTAAACACGAAGAGCAAACATCAAGCAGTCATTCAGAAAAACTGCTGAGTAGTTAATGAGAATTAATTTGTATCAAATATTTGAGAATAAGCTGAGAGAATTCTGATCTTTGCTCATCATTAAGTTGCTCTCAGTTGTTCTCTTTGATGCTCTTTGGATCTCTCTTTCTTAAAGTTGTTCTTTTTTTTGTACAAACACATTTTCGTTCACTCGATTGAGATTCTCTGTTTTGCCGGTCATATGCAAATTTAAGTTTACAGTATTTTGATGGATGTTTGAAATTTAACTGTTGTGCAATTCTTTATTAATTATGATTCATGTTTCCGATACTTATTTATAACACACCACAAGTAAAAGCTGGTGTATTGGGTAGAATCTCAATGCGGCCATATTCACACCGTACCATTTAAAGGGGTTTTGGACATTTTCCCACTGACTTTTGCCCACTTTACATATAACCACTGACATTTTGCATTTAAAGTCTTGTGGATAGATCATATGTTTGAAGATAAAAAGCTTGACGAGTCAGCTGAGCTTCGCTCAGCATAAGTTCGAAGGCATAAAGCTTGATGAGTAGCTGAGCTTTTCTCAGCATAAGTTGAAAGACATAAAACTAACGAGCCAGCTGAGCTAAGCTCAGCATAAATTTGAAGGTATAAAGCTAGCAAGGCTACTGAGCTTCGCTCAGCATAAGTTTCAACGCATAAAGCTTAACGAGCTGAGTTAAATGCTATTAAATCCAAAAAAATTAAAATGAATTCTATTTAATTATCATCTTTTAATTAGAATTGATTAAATGCGCATTAAACAGTAACAAGCAAAACGTGCTTGAAAGATAACAAATCAAGACTGTCGACATTAGTCACACTCAAAACAAACAACCTTTTAAGGAAAACTCGTATCAGATAAGAAATTTAAATAATTTCCATTTAAGGTATTACAACAAAGAAGACGATCCGACATCAGCACATCTTGCGTCAGTTGAGGATGAGGAATGGAAAAGTTTAAGGAACAAGATCACCCCAACATTTACAAGTGGAAAGATGAAGATGATGTTCCCAATTATTGTTGATGTAGCTGATCGAATGGTTAAAGCTATTGCTGTTGAATTCAATCAAGGTGAATCTGTAGAAATAAAGGATGTAGCATCAAGATTCACAACTGATGTCATAGCCGAGGTTGCTTTTGGTATTGAGTGTCATTCGCTTGAGGATAAGCATTCAAAGCTTTATAAAATGGGACAGAAAAGTTTTGGAGACGTAAGTTTTTGGAAGCGGACATTAACTGGTGCTTATCCAGATCTTGCAAGAAAGCTTCATGTCACAACATCAAACAAAGAAGTTGTTCAATTTTTCGAAAATGTTATACAGCAGAACATTAAGTATCGTCAAGAAAATAACATCCAACGCAATGACTTTATGTCACTTCTCATAAAAATGATGAATGAATCGACACTTAATTACTTCGAAGCTTTAGCGCAATCATTTGTGTTCTTCTTGGCTGGATATGAGACAAGTGCATCGACCATGACTTTTTGTATTTATGAATTAGCTCAACATCCAGAAATTCAGCAGAAAGCTAGGGAATCAGTGATTAAGGTATTGGAGAAGCATGATGGGAAATTTACGTACGAGGCTATAGCTGATATGCAGTTTGTGGAGCAATGTGTCAAAGGTAAGGATAACAATATGACATTGGTTGCATGACTATAAGTTCACCTTGGTAGATTCGATTGAATTAAATTCATTTTTTTCTTTTTCCTAAACAGAGGCCCTAAGAATCCATTCTCCAGCCTCTGGAACTAGGAGAATAGCCAAACGTGACTACAAAGTACCAAATACAGACATTGTAATTGAGAAAGGAATGTCAGTCATAATACCAGCTAATGGAATTCATTTCGATCCAGACATTTATCCTGATCCATACAAATACAATCCAGATCGCTTTGCACCAGAAGAAGTAGCCAAGAGACATAACTTTTCGTTTTTGCCATTTGGAGAAGGACCTAGGGTAAGTGCTGGTAGTTGTGTGCTTATTTTTAAGAGATTTAGTAGTCTTTCAACCTAATTCATTAGGATTAGATTCTTGGACTAATATATGAACAACCTACTTAGTGCTGACCAGCACAGCTATTAAAAAATGGGTTACAGACATTTGTCCACTGACAAATGCCTACTCTATGTATGCCCGCTGGTACTTTTGCCCACTGAGATTTTCGCACTGATACTTTTGCTTACTGGAACTTTTGCCTATTGATATATTTGGCCACTCATACATTAGCCCACTCGTAAAATCATTCCTTTCATTTCAGGTTTGCATTGGTGAAAGATTTGCAATAGTTGAAATCAAGCTAGCACTAGCTAAAATTTTAACAAACTATGAATTCACTTTGGACCATTCCAAGACACCAGTTCCATTGGAATATTTGGTAAACCGTCTGCTGCTTACTCCATCAACTGGAATCAATATTTTTGTTAACAAACTTTGAGATTATAATTTTAATAAACCAAATAAATATCAAATCTAGCTTCTGTCCACTTAAAAAAATCAAAATAATTAAACAAAAATATTTTTGACAATAAAAAGTGTGAAATTTATTTTAATGGAAATTTTTTTAAGCAACAAATTTTTTAAAATCTGCCCTGTAAATAATTGAGTATAAAAGTTAATCTATTGACCTGTTGGACCAGAAACGCGATCATTATGAATAATCATAACATCTTGAACTCTCATATTAGGTGTCAAGAATGAAGCCAAAGCATCAGCACCTTGTCGATTAATGCGATCAAATGGATATCCCATATGACGTCTATCAGGATACAAACGATCACGAATTCCACAGTATGATGCAGCATCACTGCAAGTTCCACCCAAATCTTGATTGACACGATCTTGTTCGTAGTTTGAGACCATAACGAATAATTGTGCGCGAATTCCTTGAGTTGTACCTTTTGGAATCAACATGTGATGTGGCCATCCACATCCGCAGAAGTTGAACTGTTGTTCTCCTTGTCCTCCTTAAAATTGAAAATCAAATTTAATGTTTTCTTTTGAGATATTAAAAATTTAACCAGTCATTACCAGTTGGACGAGTATCCAAATTTCTGAAAGTTCTTTCGTAAGGAATTGTAACAGTTGATTCAACAGATCTTCGTCTTAAAGTATTTTGGCCAGGGCGCACTGCGGGGATAAAATATAAATAACAAGTCACAATTTAATAATCTCTCTAGAGCATAAACTTACAGTTAGCAACGAACTTATCTAATTCAATCATATTACGACGTAGATCACGGAACAGCATTTGCTGATTACGTTCATCGGCAAGTGGAGCCATGAAGACACGAACCATACCCAATTTGGGAGCACCTGAATCATTGTTGACTTGAATGGTAAGGTTATATGGGATGTGCTGCAAATGAGTAAATCTGAAGAAAAGAATCATTGAACTTTACAGCACTCTTAAAATCATTGATTAGCTTACCTGGCAAAGACATCACCACGTGGCACAAAGTCCATACCCTTTGACAAATTAATATCAGATTGTTGCCAGAAAGTATGGAACTGATTGTTGCGTCCATTTTCAAGTTGAACTCCAACACTAGCAACAGTTATGCCTGGATATGACAACTGCTGTACTGTATATGGTGGAAGACGAATCTTGTATTCATTGAACATATCGTCAATAGCTTGATGCCAGCGATAAAAGATTGGATCACGCATAGCTGTTGCTGAATCTCCCATAACACCAAAACTCTCCAAGTGACGATGATCAGGATCATGTTGGTAGGAAATGATGACGTGTCCCATGTTGTGAAGATCACCATAATAATTAGAATTTGGTGTCAATAGCGATGCTTCCATCATATCTCCCAAAACATCAATACCCGTTTGTTCCTCAAGAGCTCTTCGTTGTCCACGAGCATCAACATAAGCCATTTGATTAACGGCATCCATGAATCGTTCACGCCATCTTTCTAAATCCGTGATTTGTAAGACAACTTGATCAAGTGTACGATTCAGATTTTGTAAGACTGCATTTGTTTGACGAGCTGAGGATTAATTCCATGTTAATATTAAAATAAGCTTAAGTGTCCAAAAATCTATACAAACCTGGCCATGATCGAGATGCAATCAGTGAATCTAATTTGGGGAAATATCCCTCAGGGATAAATGCTCTAAAATCAGACAAAGGTGCTGTTCGAGGTAGATTATTGCAGAGACGTTCGAAATTGTAACGAGCAACGATCTAAAATAGATGCAAAGGTATGGTTAATGCTAGCAAACATAGCTGCTTTTTTAAGCAGTCCCATAATTTCATATAAACCTATTAGTTCATACCTGTTCATGCATGTAGTAGAACAATTCACCACGCCTGTCTTTACGAACGATATTGATGTCACTTGACTCGAATGGGTAAACCAAATGCCTAAAAACGTGAAACTTTATAAATATATTCATGCTAAAGAAGCACATGCTAGACTCACCAGTGCCAATGATGCAAGTTAATCTATTACAAGAAAAATGTTATTCAATTAAAAAATAACTCTATAAATTCAAATACTTACTCCTAAATCTTCACGGAAGTACCAAAGTCTGTTGGAAAATTTGCATTTTTAAATTATCAAATATACCCGCGTATCCAAGCGGGTCTTGTCCCCCCCTCCCCCTTTAACGTTTTCAACCGAAGCGAGAGCACGATCTAAAACGCTTAAGGGGGGACAATACCCTCCTGGCTAAGCGGCTGTATCAAGCACTAAGCACTTACCTATGCTCAGGTTCTAAATCCGAAGCTGTATAATCTCTAGGAATGACAATTGGTCTACGAGATCCTGGTTGAACAACATTTGCTTCCTCACGAGCTCTTCCGAAGCTTCTTGAGTCAATGAATTTGCTTGGAAAGCTTTCAACAAAGAGGGGCAAATTTAAATCTTTTGTGTCTGGTCGATGAAGTAAAGCAACCGATAAGGCATAATTGAACAATTGACCATTTACTCGATCACGAGCATAAACTGCGTAGCTTTGGAGTTGATCAATGTCACGGGCCTCTGTAATTAGATGACGAGAAAGTTATAACTGATTTTAAACCGTCCATAGCAATCTTGAGCGGTGGTTCTTTAACTTTTACAACCTTGATACAGAAAAATCACTTGTTGCAAGTGTTTCATGGATCAAGGTTTGAAAAGGCTTAAAGATCCCACACAGCATATGAAAATTTAATATTACTCACTCAAAAAGACATCAGTCAAAGCACTAGCAAGCTTTCTATGTCTCGGAATGAACAACGAGAAGTTGTCCTGCTTATCCAATTCACTTGCCACCTTAATGTTCGGAATTCCCGCATCTCTAACGGGAATTGTCACTTCAGCTTCTTCACCAAATCGACTTTGAATGTCACTTCCAATATTTTGGTACTTATCCTCGAGGAATTTGTCAGGAACTTGAAAAACTGCATTCTGTTTACCCTTTGGGGTAAAGACAGGTTCACTTGGGTTCTCAAAGAGCAAAAGGAGATTTTTCTTGTCGGCCATGACTTGAGTTGTTCACGATTGGAGATTCAAAATGCGACTGGTGAAATGTATGGAGCTAATGCAATGCTTTTATACTGAGAACTTCTGTTTAGATTCGGAAGTTTCTGATAGCAACGCTGAGAAACCACAGAACATTCTTGTGAGAATAAATTTGGATATGCTCTGCACAGCTTCAGAACTTGAAATTATTTTGATTTAATTTTAGATTCTTTTTATTTTGTTTTTGTGGACAAAACCACAAATGCTGTGGTCTTTTCTAAATGCATTAGTAAGTATGTGATTGGCAGTGAAAACATGGACAGTGATGCTGGTGAAAGTATATTTTGAAAGCGTATGTTGATTATGACATAAAAAGATTACTGTTTTGTATATAACTGTAAGATGCTTAAAGCCGTAATGTTTCTAGACTCAATCCTCCCACAAAATTTCACATGGCTTCACGAGCCCCTTCAAACGTGAACTACCTTAATCCCACAAAAAACTTATAAATGTTCCTTAAAGTTCACACGGCTTCACAAAATATACATTCCCACTCCTGATACCAACCTTTTCGACAACCCTCACAACCTAGGGACCACTTGAATATGCACCCAAATCATTGATTTCACACCGCTTCCGTTCTAGAGGCTTGGAGGATATTGGGGGTTTATAATAAAAATGACCATATTATTTTATTAAAAACTTCAGATAGCAATGTCGCTAAATTACCTACAAACCACTAAAATGCAGCTTTGAGTCACTGAACTGGAGATGGTTCTTAAGATGGTGCTTAAGTTGGTTCTTTAAGTGGTTCTTTCAATGGAGCAATTATATTATTAAGGGCTAGTTCTTTATTTTTCTGAAAAACTTATGTTGTACTTGTAATTAGTTCTAGTAGAGCAAAAAGCAAAAAGAGCTTAGTAGATGGTTCAGAATCCTTAAGAGATTAAAAAAGTGGCAAAAAATTTAATACACTCCCAGAATTAAGCTCTTTTTCTATCGTAAAAATTATTCGGCTGCTCCCTTGCATCACCATAAACACATGCCGATGAAAAATTAAACAAACACATTTTTTGTTGACGAAACTTTGATTAATGATTTTTTTTAATCAAAATTTAATTAACATTGAGGTTCAAATTTCCCATAATTGATTCCGATCTGATTTGTCGAAGAACTTTTGTACGAGTTTTGTCTTCTAGACTCCATAAAAATTCTTCAAATAGCAGTAAAATAATAAATATTTGGTTTAATCTCATCCAAGCACCCATTATCAGGAATTTTCAGTGCAACATATCCAATTTCATAAGATCATATTGTTTCATGTTCGGTCATTTATTACTTTTGACTAGAATGCGATGAGTTGAAGCCTTTGACTGATGAAAATTCAGGTTTAAGTTGACATAGACATAGAAGTTGACTGTTTTAACATCAGCTACTAACCAAAGTTACATAATTGAAGTTTTAAATTATTTGGGAAAATTTTTAAACCAACAACAATAAAAATACTTTTGTGAACTTTTAAATCAAAAAAATTTATTCTTCAGAAATTGTTAAAAATAAGCATAAATCCTCATTTATTGAGCATCTTTAAATCGGAAAGGAACAAAAAAAATGTCAAAATTCTACATTCCATACATATTGTTCAAATAGCACTCAAGCATGCCTGAAATAAACGTACGCTTGAAATCAAAATTTGCAGCTCTCATCTGGTCCATAACTGCATCTTCTTGCATTTCCCATGCCATAATTCCAAGCTCATAAGCTCGTTTTGTCTCATGTTCCTTCATATTCATCTTCATGTTCATCTTCATGCACATAGAAATGCCTAATTTATCAAATATTGCTGTATCTTGCTTGACTAACGTGTCAATGACTCTAAATTGGAATGTGTCGAAGAAAGCTTGACAAAGGAGGATTACTGATAATTCCTCAGATGATTCCAAGTCTCTGACTAAAGGAGAATCAGATTTTAGTCCATTAAGCTTGTATTTCATGCATGGAACTTGTTCAGGCTTAAAAATACGCTTAAAGAGGTTCAAGGTTCGATCAAATTGAGCATCAATAGTTTTATTAAACAATGGCATGTCACACAGAATGTCAGCAAATCCAAATGCAAGAACTTTTGGTTTATTTTCAGGCATCATCATTGAATTTTCAGGCTTTGGATTTTCATTGCATTCTACTCGATTTTCTGATTCTTCAATTCTCAATTTCTGTCTCATACATTCAGATTTTTCAGAGAATTTTTCCATCTTTTTCCTTCCTACATATTCATGCATAAGTTGACACATTTCAGTCATTGAAGTTTTTACTGAGAAATTTGCAGAATTAATAAAATTCAATGCTTTTCCGACTGGTGATTGAGTTGTTGTCACAACTGACATGCCTTCTGAGCTTGAATGCTCATTACTCATCTGTTCATTACTGACTGAAAATCCAGAACTTACAATCAACTGATGAGATAAGATTAAAATCAAAATTTTTGTAAAAAATTCCATTTTTAATTGAGAACTTTTCCTTGTAAAATAATTTCACTAACTGATCAGGTGAATTAGTTTGAGATTAATTTATATAGGAACTGAAAGTGTTTATTGCAAAAATTCAAAATATTTAAAATTTCCTATCACGAGGGAAAATCCCAAACAACTGGAATGTAAACATGTCAATTTTTTTTTATAAATAATAAATTAATACGACATCAAGGCGTGGTAGCTATGAAAATACTTCGGATAACCGAGGATAACGAGGATATTTGAGGATAATTTGGGATAATATTAATATTTTTATAGTTTCCACGCCTTGAATGGAAGGAGAGAAGCTGGAATTTTCAAGCAATTGCAAATTGAGGAAAGTGGTTTTGGCGAAGGAATTTTTTTTCTGTATTTTAATGCACGGTGCGCTATTCTTGAGTCAAAAATATCAATATTAAATGTTGGTACATAAAAACTTGATTGTGACTAGCGCCAGGGCCTCTGATGAGTTTTAACAATCGATCTTAGGTTTTTTTAACAGCCCTAGACTCAGGCGTGTAGCCAGGAGGAGATTTGGGTGAAAAATTCCTCTTAATCAATAGAAATTTCTTCTTTTCTTAGGGATTTTATGAAAAAATCAGAGATCGAAGCCGATTTTTTCGGCTTAACTCAATTTTTGATTATTTTGATAGAAAAAAGCCATTTAACACCCATTTTAAGTATTTAAATTGAACTTTACATGCTTTACTATGATTCTGTGAAATATTTTTTCAGCATGTAGCTATAGTAAGCTCTGAATTTCAATTTAGCCGATTTTAAGCCGATCGGCTTAAATTTCGGCTTAACATTCTTTAACTTGAAATTATGAGCTCACTATAGCTACATGCTGAAAAAATATTTCACAGAATCATAGTAAAGCATGTAAAGTTCAATTTAAATACTTAAAATGGGTGTTAAATGGCTTTTTTCTATCAAAAAAATCAAAAATTGAGTTAAGCCGAAAAAATCGGCTTCGATCTCTGGAAAAAATCCTATAAATAGTCCCTTTTCAAGTTGTTTTGGTGGAAGTTAAGTTAAGTCAATTCTTTTTACACATCATGATGAAATTCAATACTAATTATCAAGTCTTTATATAACCAACTTAAATGTCAGTAAAAAGTACGTAATTATAATTCAGTATTTTCATAACTTTTCGATTACAACATCAGATTCGTAGTAAACATTATTGAAATAAAATATATAGTGATGGCCAACCCATATGCCGAGGCACACTAGTGTGTCGCGAAAAAAACGGGGAATCTCACGAATCATAAGTCGTGTACAGTTTCAGTCATGACTTAAGACTAAGATTATGTATATGGGTCCGGTATGGTCTGCGGCTCCGAAATATTTAATAGAATCGCTTGAATTCAATATGTCAATGAAATTCACAATTAATACACAGGAACAAGAGATTTACTGGTATTGACTAGTTACAATACGATATTCTTCATAAGAGGGCTAGATTGTTTTAATCAGCTACCTCCCATTATAAAAAAGCAATATGATATTTTAAATAAAGGTCAAAATCAAAAAGAACAAATTGAAGTATTCAAAGGACAGAAACAAAATTCCAAAATTTGAAGACTGCCTGCTAAAATCCAAGCAAATGGCCAAACTCAAAAATATGAGCGATAAACTGAAGTAGTATATTTTTTTAAAATGTTTTAAATAATACATCGCCATAAAAAGGTTTAGCAGCTATTAGGTCAAATAAGTCAATTGAACACTCGTGCAGCAGCATTAAGAATAAAGTTTAAATTCTCAACTGCAATCTTTATTGAATTTACCACAAAAAATAGAATTTTATCATTTTATCAACAAATTTTCATAAACAGTTGAATAATCTCACATATGTGACAATTTAAATATGGGTTAATAAGTACAAGCAGAAAAAAAATTGCTAACCACAATGAAGATAACAAGAACTGTTACCAGCAAGTTTGTCAAAACAATAACAAAAACATTGAAGCATTTGATCACCAAATCAAAAAAAAACATTAGATCATTGTTTATTGCAAAAACAATCAACCATCAAAAAGTTTCAAAACAAAATTGAACCAAAGCTTCAGCCAAACAATCACAAAACATCAATTTTCATAATAACAACACAAAAAGCGCTCAATCAGTCCATTAATTCTCCTCAAACTCGCAAATCGTCACCTAAATATTTTCATTTTATTTGTTTTCACTATCACAACAGAAAAAAATTGCTTATCTCAGCCTAAGCTACATTTGATTCAATGTAATTCCGAAAAAAAAAATATAAATACACGAGAGAGTCAACTAATTGCTATTGACGTGAGAGAATTTCATTATATTTTTTTATCAAATAAATTTGACGAGTCAAAAATAAGTGAAAGAACCTTTGAACGAGCTGGATGTGAAGATTTTGAATGTGTCTTTAAGGTTTTCTGAGTTTTAAGACATATTTTAGTGATTTTGTTGGTTCAAAAGTGAAGAATTTGGTAGAAACTTTAAACATTGTTCATCAAATCTAGTGAATATTATAAAAACTTAAAAGAAATATTTTAATTTTTGTTAAATAAAAAAGTAAATTGCAAAAATGAGTGGAAAATTCGGAAATCTAATCGGAGCAATTGATGAAGGTAAGCAAGTCTCATTATCTTATCGACATTTATTGTCTTTATAACTGAAGTAATGATAAAGTGTAATTAATATTAAGCTAAATGCTCAAAATGTCCATCTCAAAAGAATCTAGTTGCAATTGTAAATTGAACCTCAAGACAATGAACTTTGCACAATATTGTCTCATTGTTTTGAAATTCTAGATCATAATAGTGTACTGAAATGGAGAAATTGACTCAAAAATTATAATGACATTCTAGAATAGTGACGTCAACATGAAGAATTGTTACATCAACTAGGGAAATTAAATCTGTTTAATTGTCCAAGGTCAGTAATTAGAAAAAGCCGATTCGAGTTATCAACACAGTTGAAGTTTATTTGTGTGAAAAATATGTAACTTTTTGGAAGTAGTTTTGGCAATTTTTGTGAAGCCGAAGACCTCAAAACTGCACCCAACACACGAACCGAGCTTCACAACTAGAATGACGAAATAGAGAAAGAGCTTGTAAAACTTAACTTGGCCAAGGATTGAACCCAGAAACTTAAACACGTACGGGCCCAATGCTGGCAAACAGAAATTTTTGAGTTCTTATTATTCGAACTTCGAATTTTTGAGGTTCTTATTTTTCGAAAATCGAATCTTTGAAGTTCTTATTTTTAAAATATTCGTTGTGAATTATTATTTTTCGAGTAATTTGTAATTTTAGTAAACATTCCTACTAGTTTTTATGATTAAGATAAACACTGTGATGAAATTGCATTCCTTAAATGTTTATGCTTTAAAAAACAGCTGGTTTAAAAAAAATAAAAAGTAACGGACTTTCTTATTTTGAAATTTTAAAAAATAACGCACGAAAATTTTGAATTTTTTTTGTTTGTAACGGACTCTGTTCTCTTTGCTAACATTGGGTAAGGGCAATACTCCACCACTTAGGCCACTGATGTTGGCGATTTGTTTTTTTTTTTTTTTGATCATAATGAAAACACAAAGTTTGTTTGACCCAAATAGAAAACTATATTTCACGGGAGTTTTAATTGGTGCCTGTAATTCACTAAGAGATATCATTCTAGTTTTTAATAAAAAATCTAAATACTTTCTCGTTTTCATATTTTTCTTTATTGCCTTTTAATGATTATGAAAAATTAGAAAATTTCTTTAACTTCATCATACAATATTTTAAGGGTTTTTAAATTTGTAAACCACCTTTGCTCAGATGCTGCAAGCTCATCGAAGCTTTGTACAAAAGCAAAAATTGACAATTTTGTAGGCTCTATATGTCTTTCTAAGTATGCTTTTAACAAGAATGGATTATTTTTGAAAACGTCTTTTAAATAAATTACAAATTTTTCAAAATTCTCCTCCAATAATTGTTCAATTGCATAATATATTAAATCATTTGAACTCATTATTATTTGCTGAATTTCTGAATCATTAAACATTTGCTGATAAATGTCTTTTATGTAGTCAAATGTAAGTGCATAAGGAGTTGAGATAGCTCTATGGAGAATATTGAATGGAGTAAAGTCATAGTAAAGATAAACATACAATTTATTAGAATAGATTTCTTTTGACTCGTTTAGTGATGAAAAGAAATAAAAATTTCTATCATCCGCATAGTCTATTAATAAAACCTGCTTTTTTTCATCAAGACTAGTGTGATCGCTGATAATTGTCCAAAGATTTATGAAATCAGACGGATTCCAATGAGCCTTTTGAAGAATATTTGTTCTTAAATAAAAATCAAAAATTTGAAAATCAGACAAATTTTCTTCAATTTTTTGAGCTAAGAAACGCAAATAATATGAACTTTCAGGTTCATCGTATGCGAAAAGTTCAAAATAAGAATTAATTGAATTTTCTAAAATATTTTCAAAATCAATTTGCGATAAAATTGTTTTAAAATAATGCCAAAGCTGTTCGTAATTAGGATTCGTGTACTCTGTTGTAAAGTTGGAGTTTTTAAATAGTTTACTATAGTAAATGTAAATTTTTGGACTTAATATATTTGATGCAAGCTCTTTCTGTTCGTCTACTGTTAAATTTATCAATACTTTATCAATCGAATCCCAATAAGAAGTGCTGTTAAGACCTTCCAACTCAAAACCATACGTATCATGTTGCTTTGACACATTTAAAAGCTTGTAAAATTGCATGCCAAACAAAATGTTTCCTTTTTGGCTTGTTCCATTGGTGAACATTTCAATCTCATTTTCAGATAAATATTTTTTTGCAATTGTCTTTATCTCTCCAGGATCAGTAAATAATGCAATATAATTTGGATTATAAATTGCTGTATAAAATGTCTCAGATTCATAAATGTGAAGCAAATCCAAAAGTAGATTGTGATCTTTACTGAAGAACTTGAACAAAAAATCAAATATTTTTGGAGAGTTTGTGTCTAATAAACGAAATAAGAAGCTATGAAATTTAGTACGAAGAAGTTTTGCAAACTTTATGCTAAAAGTTTCATCTTTTTGTAGTTTTTTATTTTGAAAATAAGAATCCATAAAATCCGTAATTGGAGTTTGAACTTCGCCATAATTTTTTGCATACAAAAAGAATATTTCAAGTCTTAATTCAGCTTCTTGATCATCAACATAATTGTCAGCTAGATAGACATTGTCAATAAAATACTTTGCAATAAAGAATTCTGTGAATGTTCGATGTGCAAATTCAAATTTCGTATCGCCATTAATATATAAAATTCCCATGCGCGAAATCTCCTCAAATGGCAAATCATTTGGAATTGTTTTTTGCATAATTTGCAATTTTTTTGTTTTTAATGCAAACGTTGTTGTTTGAAAAACTCGAAGTTCAACAAGTAAAGCATATTTTAAATAAATATCGACAACACTAAATTTTGTGATAAACTTTCCTAATAAACTATATTCAAGTGTGCTTTTTGTTAACCAAATAATAATTTTTTTCTGAACAAATGTTTCGTAAATTTCATACAATCCTGGAGTGTCTAAAGAATTGCGATTTTCATAAATTTCACCAACTAATTTAAGCATCATTGGTGTACTAAAATTATATGAAATCTTATCATGTGATTCGAATTGCTGAACAACTTTGCTTACTTTTTCTATAAATTCATCAATGACATGTTTTGATAAATTTTGAAATGAGAAGAATTCTGTGAGAAATTCACGTCTCTCAGCTTTTGTAAAAGGAATCAATTCCCATGTCCTTACTTTTAAAGTATCTCTCAATTGTTTACTATAAAGTGGCCGAGTGCAGACAAATTGAATATTTTTAGTATTTTTATAAATCCTTTCAATTACATTTATAATAAAATTATTATATGCTGGTGAGATTTCATCGAATCCATTCCATAGCAAAATTACATTTCCAATTCTAAAAGATTCTACAAAAACTTGCCATTCAAATTCATTTTTATCAAAATTTAAATTAAAGATATTTTCTAATAAACTTTCAACATTCTCAACAATTTCATTTCTCATATAAAATTTAATATAATCTTTTAAATCAATAAATGAAACCCATCGAGTTGGAAACATTTCTTTAATCTTAATTGCAAGTTGTTGAAATGTGACAGTTTTACCAGCACCTGCTTCCGATGACAAAATAACAATCTTGTCTTTTTCGGATTTTTCAATCAACTCATCCGAAGTTTTATGTAAAAATTTATATTCATCTTTAATAGGATCAATAATAATTGATTTAAAATAAATATTTGACAAGACTTGATCAAAAATCATGCACTGAGCTTCAAAACTTTGATTAAGGAATTTATTTGTAAATTCTTCCAAAGTTAAGTTCATAGTTCTATTCAAAGTAAGTTCATCAATTGTCAAATAATTGTGTATATAATCATATCCAAATTTATAATCAAAATCAATCAATTTTGCATCCTCGGGGATGAATTTACGATCAATATAGAAATTAACGCTACTTTCTAGCTTCTTTCCAACTACTAACATTTCAGAACTTAAAATTTGTATGATCTGTTGGGTAGAAATTGATTCAAAAGCTTTTGGAATTCTTTCATCTAAATAACGAATTTTAATAATTTCGCCTTGAAAATTCATTTCAGAAGATAAAATGATTTGCTTTAGATTCGGCGCCATATTATGCCAACTAAAATCAATAATGCTACTTAAATAATGCATTTCAGAGTCATCAAGATTTAAGTCTTTTCCAGACAGGAGCTGAGATATATGATTGGAGGTTAATCTATCATAAGCTAATGAATTTGAGGGAAATAAGTCATTAAAATTTAATGACACATTTTTAAACGTAACTTTAGAATTTTCCACTTTTTGTTGATTTTTTGGAGACATAGTTTTAAAAACATAATCTGGATTGTAAAAAATGAAACCAACAGAAAAAGCAATGGCAATCGCTATGATCATCCCTAACACTATTGAAATATAAAAATTCCTTCTTAATGTTGAAATTTTCTTATTCTTGAGCTCAATTTCCTTGTCAACTTTTTCCTCAATTGATGATATTGCTTCCTTCATGTCAGGACTGACTTTATTCTCAACATAATCGAAAAGTTCTTTAAAATTTTCTTTCGATTCTCTCAGCTTTTCAGGTTGTTTGTGGTAAAGTCCATATAAGTGAGACACTCGAACAGCAAGTTCAGCATGTTGCATATCATGCTCATAATGTGAATAAACGAGGTCTACGAGCTCTTCTTTTCCCTTCCTTTGCTGACACTTCATTGATATTTCCTCAAATTCTTGCATGGACTCATGATCATTATCATAATATGGATTAGCATCATTTCCATAAGTCAAATTTAAAGCATAATGACAAAGCTCATGAGCCAATGTACCAAAAGTCTCATTTTCTGTCATCTTGTTAAGCAGCTGCCGAGCACCAATATAAATTCTACCAGATACATAAAATATCCCAGCTGTGTTTGGAGATGCTGTTGGATCAGCAACATGCACGTTGTCTCGATTAAAATCGAAAATTATACGAAATTTTTTCGATGCAGCCACAACCATGAGAATTATCCTGATTAGAGTATAACTGTTAAGAATATTGAACGAATGCTGGACAAGACTGAGCTTTTCGTGGACATTATCAACATCATGTCCTACAAATGAGTTTGCCATAAGTAAGTTTATGTGACTTTCTGGCAAATCCTTTGCATGCTTATTATGAAGCTCTCGAACGGCTCTCTGTGTGTCATAATCCAAATCTTCCATAATTTCTCGCGTATTCTCATGTGGACCAAAGTAAACTTCCTTTATCATAAGTTTTTCGTAAATATTTAGTTGCTTTACTCGAAGTGCAAATGATGCTGCTGATTCATTAAATTCATTATAAAAATGACGAATATTTGGATTTTCGTCTACAATTTCAGTCACTTTTTCTGCATCACCAACCTCAATATAATGATGAATGTCGAAGCACATGCTCATAAACTTTTGAACATCAGGAGAACAAATATTCATATCCATATTTGAAGGATGGACTAAGTTTGATTGAAGTAATAACAACAAAACATCCATATGATGTCCATCAAATGCCAAAGACTGGGCATTTATATCTTTAAAGGGAGATTCAGTTTGTATTCCTAATTGCAATAAAATTTCAACAACTGTAGCATTTCCAATTTGAGCGGCAGTAAGCAATATATTATATCCGTGACAGTCAGCAAGCAGATGAAGCTCAAATTCGGTTATTTCGTGTTTGTTTTCGATTCCATTCCTAAGACCTATAAAAAATTTTGATTTATTTTAACTAAATACATAATGAAGTAGTTCCACTGCCGCCATTTTAAAACCTCCAGAAATGTTAGATATGTTCCCTTGGGAAATTTGCCTCGCCAGAACATGGAAGCTTTTGTCTTTGTCTAGGCAACACTTATGTATAGACATGTCTAGCCAAAGGCAAAAAAGTGTGCGTAGTTTAAGAAAATACCTATCCAAAGGCAGTGCCTAGACATAGGCAAATAATGTTTTCTATTGCTAGGCAGTGCCTTTAGCTAGATATTTGATAGGAAATTGATAGGAGACAACAGAGTGCCTTTGGCTAGGCATTGCCTTCGACTAAGCACCTTATTTTGATTTTGGCTAAGCATGCCTATACATAGGTGTGGCCTGGACAAAGTCAAAAGCTAGCATGCTCTGGCGAGACACCTTTCCAAAGGTACCAATCTGACAACTTTGGGTGACAACTTTGAACACCACATCAAGTGTCTATTCTTATGGCAGCAGTCATGATTTCCTAGCTTTATTCATATAGTCTACAGAAAATATAAAAAAATCGATTTGGGTAGTTTCCCTTATGTCTTAAATAATGCAATTAAAGCGGGCTTCGCTCATTATTAAGCAGAGCTCGAAGTCGATAGGACAAGAGTCGACTCGACTTTTCTTGGAGTCAATTAATTAAATTAACTGTATTTTTTTTGTATGTAGTTTCTTTTGTATGAAAAAGTCGACTCGAAAAACCCATATTGACTCGAAACAACTAGAGTCGACTTTAAGCTCTACTATTAAGGATTAAATAGAGCAACAAATTAAAATAACATTGAACAATCAGGCCCATATTTTAAAACATTGCAAGCCTAATACGTTCTGAGCGGACAGTGACAGTAGGAAAGCTTTGCTAAGGGCAAACCTTTGAAGTTATTTACTTATTGATTAATAAGTTCTTGTACGCTTACACGAAGACTTTTATAATTTTTTCAGGAAACTACCCAAAATAATTATTATTATAGAAACTTATTTTCATACCTAGATGATCGTGTCTTAAAGAATTTATTAAAAAGTTTACAACAAATTCATATAAGATCCTATTGCCAATCATTTTTGATGAGCAGTACGGCTTTAGAAAAAGAAAATTATCAATATCTCTAGATTTCCAATAAATCAAATAATTGTCTTTAGTTTTTGATCCAAAAAATAAAAGAATGGATTTGTTGCAGCAATGAGAACTTAAACTTTGCACTTCATTAGAACTCAACCGTGTGCCTAAGTCCAAATTTTCAAACTTGATTAATGAAATGCTTTTAGTTTCCTTTAAAACATTCTCAAAATATGTTGAATCAAATAATTTAATGGCGTCTGAGATATCCTCACAGATTTCAATTATATGTTGCGTTACATTATCTCCACATAAGCTTTCAAGTAAGAAGTTCTGTTGTGGTACTTCAATTTTGACTGATCCTGATCTCTTTTGATGACTTCCATTATTTGATGTCACTTCACAATCTAATAAAATTGTATTAAAATGCATGTGAGATATTAATGTAAGATTTATGAGAGTTTGAATGAAGTTATTTGTGAAAATTAAACAAAATTGTTTATAAACTGGTTTAGACTCCGGGTATGGTTGTATGAGTATCGACTCAAAATCCAACATCGTAGCCTAAGCTTTATAAAAGTCTCTTGTTAAATCAATCTAGAAATAACAAGTCAAGAATATAGCGTTCCTAATAAATGCTTCAATTCAATACTAAAGTCACTCTATAAAATATCATTGAAATGTTAAGATCCAAATTGATCCAAATATCCAAATCTAAATCCAAATACATTTTATTTGGCTGCTTTGACTTTTTATAGAGTGACTTAAACATTAAATTGAAGCATTTATTGCAACATTTTAACCTTTTCAACCAGTGTTGAAATCTGCCTATACTTCTGCAAAAAGACACTTTCTATATGAAGAATTTATCTTCTGCAGATTTCTGTCTGCATGTAGATTAAAAAAAGTATCTACATGAAGAATCTATCTTCCAAAGAATTCTGTCTTCCACAGATTTCTGTCTGCATGTAGATCAAAAAAAGTGTCTACATGCAGAATCTGTCTTCCAAAGAATTCTGTCTTCCACAGATTTCTGTCTGCATGTAGATCAAAAAAAGTGTCTACATGCAGATTCTGTCTTCCAAAGATTTCTGTCTTCCACAGGGTTTGTCTGCATGCAGATTATTATATTTTGATATTTAATAAATATTTTTAAATCAAAAACACATAGAAAGATTTAGGATACAAAATAAAACAACGAAATTAATTTTGCAAATTAATGTGGATTCTTCTTCACTTCCTCTGACAAGTCTCTTTTATAAAAAAATGATCAAACATTCGGGCTTTTAAAATTAATAAAAAGGGTTTTTTCATTTAGATTTTCTCGTTGTCAGAAAAATGCTTAATAATAGCATAAATACACTGAGTTACGCTTTTTATTAAGTATTCGATACGCCAATAAAACGATAGAACTGAGAAAACGTAGAAGGCTACGATGTCTGGTTGCTTCTATCTCAATCAATAAGCTACCTTTTTGAAATAAGTTTCAAAAATGCACTAAAAATGGATATTTTCAGTAACATACACACAATTTATCCACATTCACAAAATCACCATTCGCCACATTTGTCATCAGATTCATGAAAAGAAAAAAATATTGTGAATTAGTGTTTTATATTTGATTAAAATTAAGCTTCTCTGTCAGTCCAATTCGTACATTTTTACGAACTCTGTAAACCGTTACCTACAAATTGTAAGAAAATATTTGCATTTCGAGGTAATCGGGAAAATTTGAAAATGATTTGACCGTTAAAAGTACTTATTATTGTTAATTTATTGTAAAACCACACTTTTTCATTAAAATATAATAATCTGCATGCAGACAAACCCTGTGGAAGGCAGAAATCTTTGGAAGACAGAATCTGCATGTAGACACTTTTTTTTAATCTACATGCAGACAGAACCCTGTGGAAGACAGAATTCTTTGGAAGACAGATTCTGCATGTAGACACTTTTTTTGATCTACATGCAGACAGAAATCTGTGGAAGACAGAATTCTTTGGAAGACAGATTCTGCATGTAGACACTTTTTTTAATCTACATGCAGACAGAAATCTGTAGAAGATAAATTCTTCATAAAGATAAAATCTTTTAAAGATTCTGTAGTATTTATCTATGGAAGACGTCTGTCATTTCAACACTGTTTTCAACATTTCTGCGTGAAAAGTTTTTTTTCTAGACGATTTTCGTGGACTAAGAGTGTGTCTTAAGATTTGAGTCTGACCAGGCGCGTAGCAAGGAGTGTCTTGTACCCCTCTTAAGCGTTTTAGACCGTTATCTCACTGTGGATCAAAACGTAAAAGGGGAGATAAGATTATTGCATGCATAAATATGAATAAATACGATATTTTCAATTTTAATTGAGATATGTCACGCTTTTAGACCAAAAATTGGCAAAATCTGATGACCAATCTAGTCAAACATCTTTAGTTTTTTTTTTTTATAAAAAAATTTTACATCCAAATATCTATTTTTATTTCTTAATTAGCTCTTCTTACCATTTTCGGAAGCAATATTATGATTTAAATTCCCACTTGTGTCGAAAAACTTTACTATATTTCTGTGAAAATATCTTGTAATGCTCATATTTTGTTAATTAATGAAACAAATTGTTCTTTTAAATCGATCTTTATCGAAAGGAAACAAATTGAAAACTGTGCAGCTTTAAAATTATGTTTTTTTGTTCCGAAAATTTGTTTTTATGATGCTTTGTAAAACCTGCTTAACATCTTTTTAATTTTGCTAATTTATTATCCACCCGAATAGCACAAGTCGTTTAATGGAATAAAAATCCGGCGCCTGACCTGCATGACTCTAGGAAGGTGATTGCTTTGATTTAAATCCATCAGCATTCCAGAGTCACACCAGCTTAGTGCCGGATTTCTGATCGATTAACCGACTTGTGCCATTCGAGTCAGTTTTTGATTAACAGAATCTAAAACACAAATGAAAAATATTTATATCTTGGTTCATTATCGAGTGAGTTTAGCTTGGCTTACAATCTACTTCGAAATTCAGTGGACTCTCCATTGTATTCTTAAATAAAAATCTGATCTTAACCTGTTTTTTTTTTTTATGGGAAAAATAAAATATTTTACTGCTTTGACGTTGAAAGAAGCAACACAATTTATGTTCATGAATTTTTGCAAATCGATGGAAGCTGATCATCATTGAATGAACTTCTTCGCTATGTTTTTGAGGAAGTCACTCAAATTTGATCTTCAAGCTTATTACTTTCTAAGAAAAACTGTTTACTTGAACCTTGTCTTTTATGATTAGGCTGACCATCTGTTTGGCTTTTAGAGGATAGTCCTTTTTTTTCATTTTTGTCCAGAAAACGAATAAAATTGAAAGACACATAAGATGTCCTCTTTTTTATTTCAGGTCCTATATTTCTTGAAATAATATCTGGTCAACTTAAATATGATGTTTGCTCAATGAAGAGATTTAAATAATTTGTTGGCTTTTACTGTAACCATGTATTTTTGTGGAGCTTAGTTTACAACAAAAGGATTTCAATCTGACTCTGTTGCTGGCTCAGTCACCAAGTTTGGACTTTTATTGGCTTTCCTTTTAAACATTGTCAGATAGATCCATATCGAAAGAATCCTAGCTGCTCGTTGATGGTATTGCCTTTGCTTAGAGATTTCAATTCCCAATCATGTATTGATGAAAATTATAAATTAGACTGGTCAAAATTTATTCATTTTATTTTATTATTTTAACTCTTTTCAAGCTATTTCAACGAACAATAAAATTAAATAAAAAAACCATGCATCGAAAAAACTAAGGATCAATAGATTGAATCCTTATTGTACCACTTGGTTTGGGAGTTACCTCTTCACGTTGATAATTAACCCATGATCTCTCTTAAATTAAAAGTAATTTAAATTTTTATCAAACAATTAGTTATTTCTTACGTGGAAAGTAATAAACAGGTGCTCTTTGAATAACTTGAATTGGAGCAAATCGTTGGAAAGTGTTAACTCGTTGAAATCCATATCCCGGATTGTATATAGTAAATGAATACTCTGTTTATAAAAATCATAACTACATTCCTAATAATATAAAAGGATATTAATTTAATTACGTGGAAATCCAAAGGATAAATTAAACAACACAAAAAACACGAGTAAAGCTTTCATGATGAGTTTGAATACAATAAATTGAGCTGTTCTACTCAAAAACTGAAGCCTGTTTGATGAGTTTGAACAGTATTCAAATGAAAATTTAACACTTATCAATAGAAATATAAAAACAAGTAAATAATGTCCACTTGAATGTCTCACAGAAGCGCATTTATTTTCATGATTAATTGTATTGTTTTTTTAAATAAATGTATTCTTACTCTCGTGTCTGGTTCCAATATTCTGATATATACTGATACTTGCTTTGGGGTCGTTCACTTATGAAGTCCATCAAAAAACCTGATTTTTAGACCCCCCCTCCCCGCCTCTGTCATAAAAATTCTATAGAAAAAAATTATTTAACGTTCAATAAATTATTTGAAATTTTGTCGCTAAAAGTTGCACCACAAAAACAATAACTATAGTATAATTGATAATTTGCTGCAATGAATTTCCATACAGAAAAAGTTTATCATTTAACGGTTTTTTGAAATTCAAATTTTACAACGGCTAGAAAAAATTTGAAATTATAAAGGCAATGTTGAATTTTTTAAACGTACTCATCACGTGGTTTTGTTTATGAAATAAAAAAATCATTAATTATAGTATAAAAACACTGTTTCAAGAGTTTTAACTGTTCGATCGGACAATAAACATTAGTAACGGAGCTAATAAAACAAACCCGAGCTCTCTACGATGTCTGGTTAAAAAGTTTTTTTCAGACGAACGAGCAGCCGAACGAAGGAACAAACATTTCGCATTATTAAGCTCCCTTTTTGTATACAAGTACACAAAAATGCGCTAAAAACTTGTCCGAGCAAATGCAATTTTTTGGCCTAAACTAGCGTCATAACTTAAACGGACGATTTCGCTAAAGTGGATTATCCTCGATTGCGGATTATCTACTTCAGTTTTTTGCAATTTTTTTTTTATATTATTATTAAATTTTTTAAATATTTTTCCACTTAAGTTCTTATTTTTCTGGTATTTTTATACCCATTTTTGAAAACCTGCTTTAAGTTCGTTCACATATGACCTCCGATATTAACGGTCATTTTTTAAAAAAGAACAATGAACTTCCAGGAATTTTTGTTGCTATTTTCTTGCTGATTCCACCGCACCCCCCCTCCCTGACATCAAAAGTGTACGGTCCCTTTCCAAAAGAAAGTTTCATAAACCGATTTGAGTGTTTGCTCGTTGCATACCAAAATCTCTTTAATTCAGATATATTCTATTGTGGTATCGGGCATTTAGAATGCTTTAAACAATGACTTTATACCACATTAAGATCTGAGGAACCAAATACAGATTAAGATGTTTTTTTTGAAGCATACAATGTCTTTTTTAAGTTTGATTTTTTTTTCACATTTTAAACTAAATTACATTAGGGGCCGTTCATTTATGACGTCAATGGGGAGGGGGAGGGGGACAGCAAGAAAAGGAAAATAGAAATTCCTAGAAATCCATTTTTCTATTTTGAAAAATGACCTTTAATTTCGTACGTCATTAGTGAACGACCCTTTAAATCTGACAGTCTTGCTTTTATTTTAAAAAAAACCTGAATTTAATAAACTAATTCATTTGATATGCATTTTTCATTCCTGCATTCAATTAGGAACATACAAAATTGGTAAATCTTAACTTAATAATTTTAAAAGATTTTTCAAAATTTACTTTTTTATTTTCTTAAACTTTTAAATTTCCATAAAAAAAACTAAGCGTTCTCAATTATTTCTCATTTCAGGCACAAGCTCATCCCGCTTTATCATTTTCCGAGCAGAATCAACAGAAATCATAGCTTCACACCAAAAATCAGTCACAAACATATTTCCATGTGAAGGATGGTACGAGCAAGATCCAATGGAAATCATCAATGTCGTCCGTGATTGCATTGAAAAAGCAGTTGAACAATTGATAGAATTAGGTGGACATCCGAGTGATATCAAAGCTGTTGGAATCACAAATCAAAGAGAAAGTACAATTGTTTGGGATCCAGAAAGTGGACAGCCACTGTACAACTGCATAATTTGGAGTGACATCCGAACAACATCAACAGTCGATTATTTACTTGACAAAGTTCCAAATAAGACAAGAAATAAGAATTATTTAAAGCCACTTTGTGGACTTCCATTATCGACATACTTTTCAGCTGTTAAGCTTAAATGGCTTCTTGACAATGCACAGACGGTTCAAGCTTATGTGAGAAATAACAAGCAAATGATGTTTGGGACAATTGACACATGGATCATGTGGAATCTAACAGATCAAATGCATGTTACAGATGTAACAAATGCAAGCCGTACGATGCTTATGAACCTTGAGACACTCGAATGGGATCCAATTCTTAAAAAGTTTTTTGATATTCCACCAAATGTTGTTCTTCCAGCTATCAAGTCAAGCTCTGAAATTTATGGAAATATTATTAATGGAGCACTTAAAGGAATTCCAATTTCTGGATGTCTTGGTGATCAGCAAGCAGCTTTAGTTGGTCAAGGTTGTATGCATCTTGGTGATGCTAAATGTACTTATGGAACTGGATGTTTCTTACTTTATTGTACTGGTGGAAATAACGTTGATTCTGAGCATGGATTATTGACAACTGTAGCTTACCAACTTGGCGATAGATTTCCAGTTTACGCTTTGGAAGGGTCAGGTAAGTTGGAACTTTAATAATCCAACTTTTTATCATGTCTATAAATTCTCTACAATTTATAGTTGCTGTTGCTGGCGCATCCCTCAGCTGGTTAAAAGACAACATAGAATTATTTGAAAGTTTCAGTGAAATTGACTCATTGGTAAAGTCTGTGCCTGATAATGGTGATGTTTACTTTGTACCAGCATTTTCTGGTCTATTTGCACCACATTGGGATAGCGAAGCTCGAGGCATTATTTGTGGAATTACTGAGGAAACCCAACGAGGGCATATTGTTCGTGCAGCTTTGGAAAGTGTTTGTTTTCAGGTTAGTTTTAGGCAGATGGCACCAACTGCATTTAATTACAACTTATTCATTCTAGGTCAAGGACATTCTCGATGCAATGAACTTGGAATGTGGAACTCCTCTATCAAAGCTAAAAGTCGACGGGGGTATGACAAATAACAATTTCTTAATGCAAACACAATCAGACATAATTGGACTAGAAGTTATGAAGCCTGCTATGGTTGAAACAACAAGTTTAGGTGCAGCTATGGTAGCTGGAAATGCAGTAGGTCTGTGGAATATGGATTTAAAAGTTGAAGGAAATTCGAGAATTTATAAACCAAAAATTACTGACGACGAAAGGGAAATGAGATTCACAAAGTGGAAAATGGCAATTGAGAGGTCACTAGGATGGGATCAGAATTAGGTACAATATTATTTGAGATAATTTTAAAAAGTATTTTAAGAAGGCTTTTCAATTATTATCAGCAGCGCTCTTCTAGCAGAATAAAGAGCTTCATATGTTCAGGTTTTTAGTTTAGATGAAGTTATTTGGGGTCAATTGAATGTTAAAGGTTGTTTAAAACACTGAATTATTAATAAAGCTATCAAAGATTAAATAATTATAGATTTGAAATGATTCATTGATGATGATCGATGCGTTGACATCCAAAATTATTTGATTATTTTTTGTCCTCAACGGACAATTAGTTTTTGTCATTTTATAGACAGATTTTGTCCTCTACGGACGATTGCGTATTTGCAACGCTGCACAATTGCATTGACACAGGTTATATTAATGCAAAGGACCTAGCCACAGTATGCACGTCTCAAATCATACGAACCGAGTTGCCATGACTAGAGCAGCGAACCCGACTTGCTGCTACATCTATTTACTGTTTATCCTTCAAAAAATACTTAAACTGTCCTAGGTTAGAAATACAGAGCTATATAACTAGGGTGACCATCTGCGTAGTTTTACAACGGACAGTCCTGTATTTCAAACTCCTGTCCTGTATAAATTTGAAAACTTTGTTCCAGGTCCTGTATTTTTTTCAGGAAAATTTCCGTTAATTTTCGAATTTTACTCTATGTCCTGTATTTTTCGAAAAAATTTACCAAAAGTCCTGTATTTTCATGAAAATTAGATGGTAACCCTATATATAACTGACTTGATCAGTTCCGCGCTATAGTACTTAAATATGGTGAAAAGGTAAAAAATATTGACTTTTTAGCGCATTTTTGAAACTTGTTTCGAAAAGGTAGCTTAATAATACGCTTTGTTCGTTTGCTTGGCTGCCTGCAAAAACTTTTGATCTACACATCGTAGAGAGTTTTAGTTTTTTGCTTTAGCTCGTTTCTATCGAGTTATAGGCGCATCGATCAGTTTGAAAGCTCAAAACCATCTTTAACTACTATAATTAATGTTTTTTTAATTTCAATACAGTGCAGCCTATGAAAAAATCTCTTCATAGAGTGTAACCTGTTCAATTTTTTGAATACCTCTATAATTTCAAATATTTATTGACCGTTGAAAATTTTGAAATTCAAAAAACCGTTAAATCCTTTCTATGCAAGCATTCATTGTAATTATTTGTTAATTACACTAAACTTAATGATCTTCTAATCTTCTAATGATCAGTAAATGAACGCAAAATAATTAGATAATCAAATACTGATCGCTGCGTCAAAAATGCGCTGAAGTCCCTCGATATCAGTAAGCAGTTAAGTGCCTTGCTGGTCGAATAGGTAAGGCGCTTGGCTCAAATTGGGTATGGTAACTCGAAGGTCGTCGGTTCGAATCCAGCCATTTCCAAATTTGTTCTTTTTCAGAAGTTTAGATACTTCGACTGCGTAATGTACGAGATCAAGCCATAATTGGGCATTTTGGTCAACGTTGGATTAAGGAACGGATCAGGAGCTTGAAGTGTAGCGGGAGAAAAAGTAACGAGAGCTACAAGATTACCTTATAATGGAATATTGTCAGAACGGACCTGAAATCTATCACGTCACGCCTACAGAAGATTGAAACGAGAGCCTGAATTTAATCGAAACCTAGATTTGAAGATTAGAAGCTTGATTCTACGTCACCCATAGTGATATGAAATGTATCACTAATCAATGTAAAAAAAAGTAAAACATGTATAAATACTAATTCTTCCGGACGGTATCGTCGACAAATAAATAATAATAATAAAAATAATATATAACACGAGGACTTTCGCCAATTTTTTAATTAAAATGCGTGTGTCACGGAAAATTCTAGCTCCTTTGAATCTTATTCCGTAAATCCGTTAATCGTAAATCGACAGTAAAAAAACCAGATTTAAAGTTTAATAAATAAGTGTTTTATTTTAATTTTAAGCAACGCGTGGAAATTCAGAATTAATCTTGAAAAATCCATGAGCAAAAAAATGTAAAATCCCTAATGCATTTAATGAATAATTTGGGGATTTTACATTTTTAAGCTTACTGTCAGGGATTTTTTAGGACTTTTAGGAATAACCCTGAGTTTCAACGCCTTGATTTTAAGCAAATCATTGAGAAAGTTTCGAATTTTATGCTTTAAATTTAACATCATTAATTGTGCAATTTTAAATAATTTATTTATTATTCAATTTTATCATTTGTGTTCAATACCTCTGTGAAAAATACTTGGTACTAATAACCTAATGGACATTGAAATCAGTTGAAATATGAATTTTTAAAATTAAACCTCAAAATCAGACTCATTTCAAAAAAGTGAACAACTTAGTAAAATTTGTGTTTGATAAAAATTAAAAAATTCGGTACACTTAATAAATGCTTAAATATTGTTTAACTATGGCTTAATAATCCTTCAATGTTTTGCCGCTTTGATAAGTTTTATATCAAAAATAAAAATTAAAAAAGTCATTAAACACATCATTGAATAAAACTTAGGAAGTAACGTACTGGTCACCTCTTCTTGCCTTGTAACACCTTGATCCTTTAAATTAATTAATCGAACTTATCTAAAATGGAATTCTAAAAGCCATAAATGCATATAAATCCACTGAAACATCACTTTATCGGATAGCCTGAGCCATATGTAGTGGATTCAACATCAACTCCAGTTCTGCATCTCTTAAATTAGCTCCTCTCAAATTAGCTTCTTGCAAATCAGAACCTGATAAATTTGCACGTTCCAAATCAGCACCAGCAAGCACAGACGCTCGCAAAATGCAATTCTTTAAATTTGCACCTTTTAAATTTGCAACTCGAAGATTCACATAAGCAGCATTGCTATTTTCTAGACTCGCATTTTTGAGATTACAACCTTCAAGATTCGATCGAAGCCCACTTGGATCTTCAAAGTTACAATTTGAAAGTACAGCTGATTCAAGATTAGCACAAAGTCCTTTGATGCCTAACAACTGAGCACTGTCCATATTTGCATGAGTCAAGTCAGCACGTTCAAGATTGCAGTAGCTTAAATTACTAAAACTTAAATTGCAATGTGACAAATTTGCGTACTTAAAGTTAATATTTCGTAAGTCCAAGCGTCTCAAATCAGCACCATAAAGGTTGACTCCCTGAAATCTTAGTTCAGTTTTGAAGGATGTTTGGACGAGGGCATGAATAACATCTTGTCGGGTTAGTGCTGTATTGTCTTCAATGTTTAAATAGCCGGAATTTCTAGCAACAATCGGTGTGAGCTGCTGAATAAGATTTTCTAATCCATAAAACCTTGCTTCTTCTAGTATTCCTTCTGGATTGAGGTTCTTGTCATAGATCAATTGACCTGTTCGGAGGTAGTTGAGGATTGGCTCAAAGTATCGGCCGTTTCTGAAAAATTTTGTAAAATGGATTTATTATTGAGTCTGGTCTCAAATGGATGATAATAAGCTATTGACATCAATTTGATCAAGAATATCCTCTAGCTATTCATTCAGCATTCCTTAAGGCAAACATCATGAAGAAACAGCCACAGTATACCAAAAATAAAGATAACCCTCACCTATCTATTAAGTAACATCCATCCTCCATTCGTCCTGGTTCCATAAAGTCATTTTGACTAAACATTCTGTAAATCATCGAGTTCTCATCCTTCATCAGCGTCATACGCGTTGTCTGATAAACAATTCCACCAACATTTAACTTAATCCATTCTGAGGACATCCTTAAAATTTAAAATTATCACAAATTATATTTTATTTTTATTGTTTTCAGTCTGCTGATTCACAGAAGTTCTTTCTTTAAATGGAAAAGGGGTGTGAAAGTATGAATATGTTTTGTTTTGAGTCATCAATGTTGATTGAATGTTGCATGCCCTTGAAATGTTGGTTTTGTTATTGTTTTGAATTGGTTGTTGATGAAGCATTGACGTTGCTGGCTTGTTTTGATAAACAGCTGCCTATTATTTGACCCTTAATTGTCTATGATTGAAAAATGTGAAAAAATAACCATAAATTCATGCTAAACTATTCACAATTAATTTTAAAAATCTTTAATTAATCCATCAAAATTAGTCCACTTTCCCCTTATTTTTCTTGAACAACATCTTCACTAATTTTATTGATTCCTTAATCAAAACATAAAATCCTAACACAACAATCGCAATAAAATCAAGCATCAAATACTTCCAAGAAGGCACATGTCGACCAGCGTAGTCCAAATGCTTAATTCTATTATGTCTGATGACATACTCAACCCACCATGCTGCTTTATCGACAGGCTTCATTGGTGTTTCACGAACAATTTCACGGAGCTTCTTGACATTCTTTTCATAGTCGCCAGTTATTATTTCTTCAATTGCTGCTTTCAATTTCTCTTTATTGATTGTTGTGATGTCCAATAGAATTCCAATGCCAAGCTTTTGGACTCTTAATGCGTTGGCACTTTGATCAAAAGCAAATGGAATGACGATAAGTGGAACTTCTCGATCAATTGACTCTTCCATTGATTGTTGACCTGGAATTGAACATTATTTATTGTTAACATTGTAAATAATAAAAGAATGAATTGTAGGATGGATTCATAATGTTTAGGAATATAACATAAAATGAGAGTTCAAGCAGAACTGTCTGGAATTAATTAAATGAATTTGTACGTCGAGTCATTTGGATTTGAACCTTGGGGCTTATTGCTTGTCCTTTATGCTATTAGCAAAAGTAAACACTAATGAAGCCAAGAAACGTACCTCCTTGAGTAATGAACAACTTAACTCTCTCATGTGCTAATAGATCAGCTTGAGGGAACCAAGGATATACGAAAACATTTTCTGGTTTGCCTTCCATTTCCTCATTTTCGTATTTCCACATTACATCATATGGAAGTTCACCAAAAGCTTCTTTAAACACTTTCAAAGTAGCTTCACTAATCTGTGATGATTTGACCATGGAACCAAATGACATGTAGATAATTGGTCCTGATGATGAATCCAAAAACTGCTTAACTTTCTCTTCAACAATCCCTTTTGGTTCCTTAATGTGCATGAATCCAAGTTGCACAGTTGTTGGTAGAACTGGCCTGACATGTCCCAATGTTGGATGAACATTAACCAGCAAGACCTCACCAAGTGCATTCAATTGATCAACTGGGAATCTTATCTCACCGAAGTGACGCTTGATAAGCTTATCAAAAATTCGATTATTAACATGCTTATAGTACAGCATGTAGTAGACATGAAAACGCACAACGCGGAGACGTTGAAAGAAACTTAAATCCTCAAAAAATGGAAAAATATAATCAGGATGAAGAATTGGATTGAAGACATTGCCATGTAGTTGCATCAAACTTGAATTTTTCCTTATTTTAATCATTTCCTTGATTTTTGGATGCTCGAACTGTTTTTCAAAGTAATCATCCAGCACGTCGATCCATATTCTTAGCATTGCTATTTCGTCAAGTTGAGCTTCTTTCCATTTATTGAAATCTATTAATTTTCCCATAACTTCATACAAGAAACTAAAGTCAATTTCCACAACATTTGGATTAGTTTTCTTATATTTCGGCGTTGTCGTGATTATTGTCAGTCGATGACCACGAGCAACAAGCTCATCTGCCAATGCTCCATAGACTGCATTATGTGAAACTGAAGCAATCGGAAAAATCGCAAAAATAATAGCAGAACTTGCCATGTTAATTGCGGTTGTTGTTATCAGAGATCGAAGCCGATTTTTTCGGCTTAATATCGGCTAATTTGAAATTCTGAGCTCACTATAGCTCCATGCTGACAAAATAATTCGCAGAATCATAGTAAAGCATGTAAAGTTCAATTTAAATACTTGAAATGGGTGTCAAATGGCTTTTTTCTATCAAAAAAATCAAAAATTGCGTTAATAGAAGAAATATCTCGCAGAAAGGTCATTTGTCTCTTTTTGCAGATGACACTGCATATTCTGTTCAGATGGCATGGAAAAATCTGAAAGGAATTAAGCTTGAACTTGTCAAAACTGTAGGTTCCTTGCAAACTTACTTTCAGGATTGGAAAATTCAAATCAATGAGTCTAAAACCGAATTTATTATGTTTTCCAAATCCACAAAAATGATCGAGAAAACCGAACATGATTCTATTAGCTTCAATGGTCAATTGTTTTCTTGGATAGAGGCAGTGAAGTATCTTGGTGTTGTTCTGGATAGGAAACTATCCTTTAAACAGTATATTGCCTCAGCGATAAACAAAGCAAGTGCTGCAAGTTTCTCGAGTCTCTACTGCTTATTGAGTAGGAATTCCGTTGCCTCTACAGACTCTAAACTTAGAATTTATAAATCTTATATCAGACCAATTTTAACATATGGCTGTCCAATTTTCCCGAATTCTGCTGCTTGTCATTTGAATAAGCTGCAATTATTCCAAAATAAAATTCTAAGAATGATCCATGGTGTTCACTGATCTGACTTCATATCAAACGATATGCTACATGATTCATCAAATTTTCCTTCAATTAATAACTTTATTAATAATATCACCAATAATTTCTATTGCAAAATTTCACACCATCCAAACGATCTCATCTCTTCTCTTGGTCAATATAATCACGATTCTCTGAGCTTTAGAGTTAAACATAGATTACCAAGAGCTCGTATTTGATGTAAATGCCGGTAAATGTATTCTTTTTTAATTATTCATTTTCTCTTCTTTTTAAACTTTTCTATTTTTCTAAAAAAACTTTTTGTCTTTTTTAACTATTTTTTTGCCTTAACTTCATAAAAATTACATTTTTACTTCAAGCAACTACTTTGAACACCCTCACATAAGCGATTGATTTAAAACCGACAAAGGTCAACATCAAAAATATTTAATTTCTGTTCCGCCTTATATTATGCATTGAATAAAACATTATTATTATTATTAATAGAAGAAATGTAATGAGCCTCATACTAAGGACTTAAGGATTTTTATATTCACACCGTTTTCATGTGTGAATCTATTGGTTTTGTTCAGATTGAAAAATTAGTTTTTTTGAATTTTGTGAGAATATGGAGCAAGATAGCTTAAAATGTTCAGAGATGAAAAGTTTGTGCCTTGAATTTCACATCTTTTGCAAAAAAAAAAGATTTCAAATTGGTTGCGGCATTGCTGAGAAAATTGCAAAATATGCTTTCTGTAAGCAAGCAAACAAGCGAACAAGCAAGTTAATCAGCAAGAAATCTCAACAACGAGACATTGTAGAGACTTCTAGTTTTTTACATTTGATCCATGCTGCTCTATAGAAGAGCTGTATTGTTTTTCACATCAAACTCAAATTTTTAAACCAATATCCTTTGAACCCAATAAAAAAATTATTTTCTACTCTTTAGACCACGGGTAAAAACGTGGTTTTTTAAAAAGTTTTTTTTTATAAAGTATTTTTATTTGTATTTGTTTTAAGCACAAGAATATTTATGCAAAGATTCAATCCATTTGGATAAACCCTCGAAGAAAAATGTGACAAAATTGATTTTGACTAGCGTCGCCCTTAGTCCAAAATTGAAAATGTATTTCCTACTTGGTTTTTTGCTCAAAAAAATTAAGGATGTTTTATTTGATTTTAACTAGGGTCGCCCTTAGTCCAAAATTGAAAATGTATTTCCTACTTGGTTTTTTGCTCAAAAAAATTAAGGATGTTTTATTTGAATTTGTTTTAAGCACTAGAATATTTGTGCAAAGTTTCAATCCATTTGGATAAACCATCGAAGAAAAAAGTGACAAAATTGATTTTGACTAGGGTCGCCACTAGTCCAAAATTGAAAATGTATTTCCTACTCGGTTCTTAGTTCAAAAAAATTTTAAGATGCTTTATTTGTATTTGTTTTAAGCATTAGAATATTTATGCAAAGTTTCAATCGATTTAGATAAACCATCGAAGAAAAAAGTGACAAAATTGATTTTGACTAGAGTCGCCCCTAGTCCAAAATTGAAAATGTATTTCCTACTCGGTTCTTTGTTCAAAAAAATTTTAAGATGCTTTATTTGTATTTGCTTTAAGCATTAGAATATTTATGCAAAGTTTTAATCGATTTAGATAAACCATCGAAGAAAAAAGTGACAAAATTGATTTTGACTAGGGTCGCCACTAGTCCAAAATTGAAAATGTATTTCCTACTTGGTTTTTTGCTCAAAAAAATAAAAAATGTTTTATTTGAATTTGTTTTGAGCACTAGAATATTTGTGCAAAGTTTCAATCCATTTGGATAAACCATCGAAGAAAAAAGTGACAAAATTGATTTTGACTAGGGTCTTCACTAGTCCAAAATTGAAAATGTATTTTCTACTCGGTTCTTAGTTCAAAAAAATTTTAAGATGCTTTATTTGTATTTGTTTTAAGCATTAGAATATTTATGCAAAGTTTCAATCGATTTAGATAAACCATCGAAGAAAAAAGTGACAAAATTGATTTTGACTAGGGTCGCCACTAGTCCAAAATTGAAAATGTATTTCCTACTCGGTTCTTTGTTCAAAAAAATTTTAAGATGCTTTATTTGTATTTGCTTTAAGCATTAGAATATTTATGCAAAGTTTTAATCGATTTAGATAAACCATCGAAGAAAAAAGTGACAAAATTGATTTTGACAAGGGTCGCCACTAGTCCAAAATTGAAAATGTATTTCCTACTTGGTTTTTTGCTCAAAAAAATTAAGGATGTTTTATTTGAATTTGTTTTGAGCACTAGAATATTTGTGCAAAGTTTCAATCCATTTGGATAAACCATCGAAGAAAAAAGTGACAAAATTGATTTTGACTAGGGTCGCCACTAGTCCAAAATTGAAAATGTATTTCCTACTCGGTTCTTTGTTCAAAAAAATTTTAAGATGCTTTATTTGTATTTGCTTTAAGCATTAGAATATTTATGCAAAGTTTTAATCGATTTAGATAAACCATCGAAGAAAAAAGTGACAAAATTGATTTTGACAAGGGTCGCCACTAGTCCAAAATTGAAAATGTATTTCCTACTTGGTTCTTTGCTCAAAAAAATTTTAGGATGTTTTGTATTTGTTTTGTTTTTGTTTTAAGCATAAGAATATTTAGAAAAAACGAGAAAATTGATTTTGACTAGGGTCGCCCCTAGTCCAAAATTGAAAATGTATTTCCTACTTGGTTCTTTGCTCAAAAAAATAAAAAGAGCTTTATTTGTATTTGCTTTAAGCATTAGAATATTTATGCAAAGTTTTAATCGATTTAGATAAACCATCGAAGAAAAAAGTGACAAAATTGATTTTGACTAGGGTCGCCCCTAGTCCAAAATTGAAAATGTATTTCCTACTTGGTTCTTTGCTCAAAAAAATAAAAAGAGCTTTATTTGTATTTGTTTTAAGCATTAGAATATTTGTGCAAAGTTTTAATCCATTTGGATAAACCCTCGAAGAAAAAAGTGAGAAAATTGATTTTGACTAGGGTCGCCCCTAGTCCAAAATTGAAAATGTATTTCCTACTTGGTTCTTTGCTCAAAAAAATAAAAAGAGCTTTATTTGTATTTGTTTAAAGCATTAGAATATTTGTGCAAAGTTTCAATCCATTTGGATAAACCCTCGAAGAAAAAAGTGACAAAATTGATTTTGACTAGGGTCGCCCCTAGTCCAAAATTAAAATGTATTTCCTACTTGGTTCTTTGCTCAAAAAAATTTTAGAATGTTTCATATGTAATTTTTTTAAGCATTAGAATATTTATGCAAAGTTTCAATCTATTTGGATAAACCCTCGAAGAAAAAAGTGACAAAATTGATTTTGACTAGGGTCGCCCCTAGTCCAAAATTAAAATGTATTTCCTACTTGGTTCTTTGCTCAAAAAAATAAAAAGAGCTTTATTTGTATTTGTTTAAAGCATTAGAATATTTGTGCAAAGTTTCAATCCATTTGGATAAACCCTCGAAGAAAAAAGCAAGGGTCAGACACTCCAACAGAATTGTAAAGATTGTACAATTCTTCACAATCCATATGGAAGAATTGTAAAGATTGTACAATCCTTACAATCCTTACAATCCTTACAATCTTTATATGAGAAGGATTGTAGGGATTGTAATCCGTACAATCCTTATATGGAAAGGATTGTAAAGATTGTAATTCTTACAATCCTTTCCATATAAAGATTGTAAGGATGAAATAATTGTATGGAACATTTAAAAATTTTTTTCACGGGTTATTAGAGAAGAAATATTAATTTAATATTAAAAATTTATTTGTTTGAATTTAAAGAACGAAATAAGCTTGATATAACAATTTTTTCATTTATAACCAGGGTGGGTGATTTAAATCAAATATCAAAATCAAAATCTTTTTGCAATGATTTTAAAAAGGATTTTGATTTAAATCATTTTTTCAAAGGGATTTTTTTTTTTGGATTTTGATTTAAATCTCTTGTATGAAAGATTTTATTGGGATTTTAAAATCCCTCCATGCAAGATTTTTGTTTTCAATTTCTCAAATTATTTTTCAAATCAACAGTTTTCAGTTGCAGTTCCTAATAAGTAAGAATGCAGTTGATCCTTTTTTGGCCTGAATCTTGCAACTGGATCTTTTAGAGCCAAATATTTCTTAAGGAAAGGTTACAGCAACCAATAGTTCCATGCTGTTTGAATTGAACGAAATCCATTTCGTGTTTTTTAATTTTCTGTGCCTTGCTGCTTGCATATAAATAACTGGACTTTATCAATCATGCCT